TGCTAGTTTCGTGCGGAAAAAAATTTATTTTTTGTGGAGGCATTAACTTTTACGGTAGAAATAGGTATACAACTTTTCGTGCCGAAACTCGACAAAAAGTCTCAAATTTTCGTTGATTTTCGACCTAAAATCTCGGTGGTTTCTGCAAAGCGCGAGTTAGGATTCTCGCATATATTTTAGAAAAATGTTTTTTGGATTTGCCTTTGTAAACTTCGAGTAGAAAAAAATTATTTTTTTAGAAAAGCTTCCCGCTTGGTAAGGATAAAGCTGGTCTTTTAATCGTGGAATTTGCAAAAAATTCGAGCCAAAAATCTTTGTTGTTTCTGCAAAGCGCGAGCTAAAGACCTCTCCTATGACTCAAAAGACTTTATTCTAAATTTGTGCCAAGCTTCATTTTAAGATTTTAAAAAATCTCAATGTCATCCTTAGCACTTTCTTTGCCAAATTTTTTTTTAAAATCTACCGCCAGCGACCCAGTTCTTCAAAAAAAAAACCATTTTTTGTTATCTCTAATGCACTTTTCCTATCAAAAACATCCTTTTTTCGAATGCCTTATACTCTAACTGAGCAGCCAAATTTTCAAGCAACAACCTTTAATATCGCGACCATTTTTTTGCACCCAACCATGAGCGCCCTCCAAAAGGGTTTGGTCTCAGATTCTTATCGACAAAACTCCATCAATTTGCGTCATTTCTAAGGGGCTTTCTCTTGTAGGGACTTTAAGACTCACAAAACTCCGCCTGTATGATTTTTTCGCTGTTTTTAGAAAAACCGCCGTTAGCACAAGACGATGGTTGTTTTGAAGGAGTGACTCTCTCCAAATGGACGGAATATATGGGTTTCTGATGTGTAAATCTTTTTGCTTTTGATTCACCAAATGCATTTTATTATAATACAAATCTCGTGTATATAAAATAAAATTCGTTTCATCGTATGTGGGTCGTTGTTAAGCGATTGGAAGAGAAAAAAAAATTAGGATTTTGGAAATTTTTTTTGAACGGAATCTCGAAAGGCTACTGTTTTGTTGCAAATATAGACACTTCTTACAGTGACGGAATTGATCCAGTGATAAAAAAGTACCATTTTGTACCCAGGAAGTATCAAAAAATGTAGCAAAATGCCTCCATCGCCAACTTGGAAACTCCGTCTTGAAGAGCGCGCCCTCACAAAAAGAGCAGGCGCGCGTTTGAGATCGGAGTTTTTTCACTTGGAAACGGAGTCATTTTGCTAGATTTTTTATACTTCCCGGATGCAAAATGGTACGTTTTTTGCCACTTGATCAAGTCCGCCGCTGTAGGTAATGACCAAAAAAATATTTGTTGGAATTTTTGTCTCGCGCTTTGCAGGAGCAGACGAGATATTCAATGGCCTTTGTTGACGAGAGAAAACACGAAATTCGGAGGGCGGCCAGAGAAATTTTTTTCTCTTATTTTGGCTAATTTCGATTTGAATCAAAAGTCTCTCAATTCGGCAAAAATGAGGCTGCCACTTTTCATACCAAAACTCGACAAAACACGTCTAATCCTGACCCACTTTCTATCTAAAAAATCTCGGATGTTTTTGCAAAGTGTGAGCTACAAATCTGGCAATTTTTTTAGAGAACTTTGGCCTTGATTTGTGCCAAATTTCATTGAGATATATTTGTTGAACTTTGAGAACTTCCTCTATAACTGTATGCTTATAATCTTTGTTTTCTGAAAATACAATTTTTTAATTTTAAAAGTTCTTTGTCTCCTTGTATTCTCCACATCTCCTTGCAAGAGTTTTCAACCCTCTCCGCAAGTCTTGCTCCTCATCCCCATCGCTTTCTCCCCCGATTCCAAAGCGGCGCACGTGGCCGGAGCTTCCTGTAAACAGCGGCGAATGAAACCCCTTAAGCAATTCGCTTTCTCCAACGGCCATTTTTATCCGCACCGCTGGGAACACGTGACCGAAGAGAGAGAATGTTTTTGTGCAGCCAGTATCCTTCTCCTTCCTTTTTCTCAAAAAAAAAATTTTTTTTTTTCGAAAAATTCTCTCTCTTCGAAAACACCCGGCAGAGTGGGGCTTTCGTGCGGAACGCAAGCAAGACACGAGAGTTCGGACATTAAAAGACACTGGGGGGAATATAATTCCTGTGTGGAAGGCGGTGGGTGTAGCGTTGGGGAGGAATTGAGAACACTGCAGCTTTCTTGTTTTAAATTTTATTTTTTTTTGGCTTATTGGAGATTTTGACCAGTGTTTGCTAGATGCAATACAGCAATTTTGTGCAACGATCTTTTACAGGGCTCTGGCGGAAGTCAGGAGTTAAAAATCTTTGATTAATGGCGATTTGATTTGTAGCGAGCGGATTGTTTTGCTTGAAAAAAGCTTTGTTTTGCGTAGAAAATAGATTTGCTATCGAAAAAATTGGCTGCCTATTTTATTTAGCAGTTTAAAAATAGCTTTGACAATCTGCAACAATACCAAATTTTAGGTGTTTTTTAGAGCAGAATCTCTTATGATGCGATGTGCAAATCTCGATCAAATTTTGCGCAAATTTAAATTACTACTTTTGAAGAAATATGCAAAATTTTTAGCTCTTGCTTTACTGAAATGGATGAGATTTTTATGCTTAATTATAATAAACAAGAACATTTTTGTGAGGTAGATGATTATGTATGAGTATAATGAGCTTTTTGTTTATCTTTTGATAGACAAAATTTCCCCAAAAATATATACATTTTATACTGAAAGATATTTTTAATTGGCCAAGATTTGATTTTTTTGCCGTTTCATGGAGTGTAAAAAACCTTTTAGACAGATTTTTTGAGATTTTTTACCATTTTTCTAAAAAAAGGATTAAATTTTTTTCCTGCGCGATTTGAAAGAATAGCGCCAAAATGTGCTTTTCTCTAACCGCTCTCAAAACTTTGCGAACTCTTTTGTCGACAAAAATTGTTGAATATTTTGGCTGAACAAAGAAAGAGCTAAATTTTTTAAAGTTTTTATTCATCCAAGGCAAAAACGTGAGCAAAATCTAAAGGAAATCTGAGCATTTTACATCGAAAACTTACCTTGTTAATCTTAAAAAAATATCTTTTAAAAAATATATATTTTTGCAGTTTTCTGCAGCCTTGCTTTTGCAAGTCTTTGATCAGTCATAGCCTTCAAAAAAACTTTTTTTTACTACCCACTAAAATTGCGTTTCCCACCCTTTTTTACAGCAAAAACAATTTGAAGTTAAAAAGTGAGCAAAGGCTTTTTGCGTTGGTCACATTTTCCGCGGCAGTTATAAATCACCGTACCGATGTTGCCGTCTCCAAGAAATGGCTTGTTATTGAGAACATGTTTACTTGCAACTGCATCATCCCCGCATAGTCTTCTCCGTTTTTTCTGTATCTTTTATCAATATTTGTGTTCGATTGATTGACGTTTTTGTTTGGAATTTTTTAAATTTCATGTTCTCTTATCGCCTTTGGCTGTTTTAAAATTTGTGGGAAATCAGTTTAGCCTTATCAGTGGCTAATTCCTAAGAGTCTTAGGCTCCCTTCCGTTTTTGATTTATAGCAAAAAATTTTAAAAATTTACTTGAATTAGAGACTATAGAAAATGAGGAGAGACGGTCATAGAAAAAATACTTTATAACCAAATTTCTTCTAAATTCTTGAGAAAAAAACGATTTTTTGTATAAAAAATGACTCCACGACTGTATAAAAACACCGTCTTTTACTGAGGAATCTGCAAAAAATTGTGAATGTTTGTCATCTTCGAGCTAAAAATCACGATCCTCACTGCAAAGCAAGAACCAAAAATCTCAATTTTTCTTTGAAATCTAGAAAAATTTAATCGTACTGGTCGTCAAGATCCACCAAAATATGGCTGTGGGAATTTTATTTCTTTCTATTTTTTGTGAAAAAAGTTGACCGCTTCCAATCCGAAAATATCGATTTTTTACATTGTTCAAGCTGAAATGCCGAATATTTTGACTTCTAACAAGGAAAGTACTTTTATGGGGGCTCCTACTTTTTGACGGGACATATCTCAAAAAATCAGAAAAAATGTGCTGATCAAGGATATATAAATCTTAGCTGCCCATTTTAGGTTTTTAGGGGTGAAAATGCCCAAAAACTGGCTAATTTCCCTACAAAAGGCGCAGGAATTCGAAACGATAAAAAGCGCAGTCGGTCTCTTCCTTCGGAAGAGAGCGGTGTGGCCGAGTGGTTAGTGCCGTAGTCTGGGAATCAAGAGAGGGTACGCCGCACAGGTTCGATTTCCCTTTTGGGCCGAATCAACCTTTTTTTGAAGTTGAAGGTCTGAAAAATAAATTTTTGGGCCAAGACTGTCTTATTACGTCTTAGAAACTCAATAAACACCATTTTAAGCCAAAATAAAAATTGTAAACCTGTGAAAAATTAAGCGAAAAGGGGTTCATATAGGACTTTAAGTCAACTTCCGATTGAGTTTTCACCCCTAAAAACCTAAAATGGGCAGCTAAGATTTATATATCCTTGATCAGCACATTTTTTCTGATTTTTTGATATGTCCCGTCAAAAAGTAGGAGCCCCCATAAAAGTACTTTCCTTGTAAGATGATTCCATATCAACTGAAAACTTACCAGCCTTATTGTCATACCTATTCTGATTCTCAGCTTTTTTTATAACAAAATTTTTTGATTATTCAACTTTAAACTAACAGTGGCGGACCTGATCCAGTGGCAAAAAACATACCATTTTTCATACCGGAAGTATCAAAAATGCGGCAAAATACCTCCATTTCCAAGTAAAAGTCTCTTTTTTGCGAGGGAATAGGTGCGCTCTTCAAAACGGAGTTTTTTTCACTTTGAGAGGAAGGTACTTTGCTGCATTTTCGATAATTCCCGGATGCGAAATGGTACGTTTTTTGCCACTGGGTCCGGTCCTATACTGTACCAATTCTAAAATTTTCAATTTTTCGAACCACTTTTTTTCTATATACGCAGATGCTCAAGTCCTACTCTAAAAAGCCTTAAAATCACCATATGTTAATTGCAGATCCATAGAATGATTAGCGTGGCCTTGCAAGCGCCGCATTATCAGACCTTCAGCAACCTGGATGTGCCCAGCTCCTCCAAGAAGTCGATGGCGTCCTACGAATTCAAGCGGATTGCCCGCAAGTTCTTCCGTCGCGCTCTTCGATTAATGGGCCGACAGAAGAAGACGCCGCAACGCAATCCCATCGAATTCTTCCGACCAAACTTGGAGGCGAATGCGGAGTTAAAAGGTCAGCGAAAAAATGGTTTTTGGGAAAATGGGGGTGGAATTAGATGACCTTGAACTTTGTAACGAATTTTGGAGGGAGCAGAATGAAAGAACTTTTCGCATTCGGCACGGAAATGGTAGATACGAAAATTTGAGAAATTGAAATTACGGTAAAATATTTTTACAACATACTTGCTTACAGCAAAACCTGTCTATAACAAACAACTTTAAGGGCCCACGAACCATTTTTAGGCCAAAATTAAACACCTACAACCGCCCACTTATAATACATAAAAAATTTATTTTTTTCTCTTTAGCAATTCTTTGTACGTATGTTTTACTGTATGCCATTTAAAAAATATGTCATCTAAATATACACTCTCATATTTTCTTCGAATCTTGCATGTGTTTTCTGAACTAAAACGCACATTTTTTCTGAAAATTTCGGTTGACTTTTTGTGCCTACTGTCAACATATTCAATGTTAATTTTTTGAGAGAGCAAGCAAAGTGAGGAGAGAAGGCAAGACAAAAAAAAATTTACAAAAAAAGTTTAATTTTCGACTACAGGGTGGTTCAGCTAAGTTCGCGGATGTTAACTGCTTATAACTTTTTATAGGATTGTTCAATTTTTATGAGCAATAGCTCATTTTATTCCGTAGTAGTTACCATTTTGTTTCCATTTTGTTACCATTTTGTTAATTTTTGAAAATTAAATTTTTTTTAAAATTTACGTGAAAAAGCATGTTTGACTTTGAAGGGTCATAACTCGACGTAGGATTGATCATTTTTAATGATCTTTTTTTCAAACAAAATGGTAACTACTAGGGAATAAAATGAGCTATTGCTCATAAAAATTGAACAATCCTATAAAAAGTTATAAGCATTTTACATCCGCGAACTTAGCTGAACCACCCTGTACTAGAACTTTCACCCGACTAAATCTTTTTCAAAATTTTTTCAAAAAAATCCATGTGACCTTTGAAACATAAATCATTTTCATTGCAATTTCAAATCACATTTCTCTGATCACAAGTTTATCAGCAATGGAAAAGCGGTCGGAGATAGTGGGAAACAAAAGAGAATTACAAGGGTTTACCCTGGTTTTGCAAGCGATCAGAATGCTGTTTACAATGACGAATCTTGAGAATCAACTTTTCTGAAGCTAAAAATATCGCATAATCTTTACAAAAATTTGGTGCAAATTTATGTAAAATTTTATGGAGTTTAATACTTTGCATTTTGAGCATTTCCCCTACTGTGTAAAGAGTAAAATTTCATAAATTTCAAACCTTCTATTTCTCAAAAACATGAATATTCTAAAGCAACAACCAAAGCCTTTCTTTTCAGCCCACCTCGACGCAACTCGCCGAGATCGCCGCCTCTGCAATGGCCTCGACGAAGCCATCGCCGTTCCCTACTACTGGGGCCACATAGATCGCCATGAAGCCGCGCAAACACTGGAAGGCCTTGGCCACGGCTCCTTCCTCCTCCGCGACTCCAGTCATCCAGATTTTCGGTTTGCCGTCTCTTTCCGTTGCGCCGATTCTACCGTTCATGCGAGGATTGCCAGGTACAAGGGCAACTACAGCTTCAAGTTGGATGATTCGCGAAGGTTTTGCGCTCCGACGTTGACCAAATTCGTTGAGCATTACAACAAGTTGGAGAGGTTCTTGTTCGACGAGCCGTACTTGAGCAAACCCGTCTTCCGGCGAAGGGTGTTCAGCTTGAAAGTGAGTTTGTAGATGTGAATTTCTTCGGAATTAATTTACAGGGGAAGTACCCCAAGTGCGACGCTCAGATTTTGATGAAACTTGGCACAAATTTAGAATAATTTTGTCTAAGATATATACGAGAATCCTAGCTCGCGCTTTGCAGAAACAATCAAGATTTTTTGATCGAAAGTTGGCGAAAATTTCACACTTCTTGTTGAATTTTCGCACGAAAAGTTTCATGCCTATTTCTACTATAGCAAGAAATGTTTCTACAAAAAAATCAATTTTTTCTGCACGAAGCTGACAAAGTTATGATCAAAAAGTGTCTTTCTCTCTGACCGCCCTCCGCGTTTGGCGTACTCTCTCGGCCGAAAAGATCGTTGAATATCTCGGCGGCGCCCGCAAAGCGCGAGCTAAAACTTTCAGGAATTGATATTTAGTCCATGCCCGACGTGTGTGCAAAATTTAAAGAAAATCTGAGCGTAGAACTTGGAGTACTTCATCTGTTAATTTACTCAACATTTTATGCACAAATTTCTGGCTAAAAATGTTCAAAAATTGTCTTTCTTGGCCTTAAAAAAGTTCAAATTATAACCCTTTTGCCAATCACTTCCTTCCCTCCAACAATTCGGATTTTTTCAGGAAATGTGCAACGCAGTTATTGCCTCCCGCGTCACCCTAAACAACGTCGACACCCTGCCACTCCCCTCCCGAAATATCCGAGAGATAACGCAAATGCTTGAAGGCTAATTTCTCCCCCCACAAAAAAAGCCTGTAAATACGCTCTCACTTAAGTATTGATCTTTGTCAGAAAACTGCTGTTCGAATTTGTAAATAAGCCCGCCTCACCGCCCCGTGGAATAAACACATCAATGTATTTTCTCCTTCAACGCCATAAATATTTGTTCCCTTTATTTTATTATAATCAGTATGCTACAGTAACCCCAAGAGTGGGTGCTAAAAATGGGGTCTTATTTTTGTGCTGATACATTTTGCAAGGCAGAGTCATCGACTTGAACTTCAGGGGTTGTTAACGTGAAGGGAAGGTTGTTCAACATCGATCGGCTGAGGACTTGTTCGGGAAGGCCGCTGTTGCATCTGGCGCTGGAGCAGACGCAGAGAAGGCTGGATCTCTGAAAAATGAAGGCTAGTTTACAGGGTGATAGATGTGAGACAAACTAAGGCCCAAAAAGCTCAGGAAAGTATCCATTGATGACTACAGTGACGGGCCTGATCCTGTGGCAAAAAACGTACCATTTTGCATCCTGGAAGTATCAAAAATGTAGCAAAATGCTTCCCTCTCCAAGTGAAAACCCGTTTTGAAGGGCGAGCCCTTTCCTTCACAAAAAGAGCGGAGCTTTTTCACTTGGAGAGGGAAGTATTTTGCTACATTTTGGATACTTCCCGGATACAAAATGGTACGTTTCTTGCCGGTGGATCAGGCCGCCACTGTAGGTTCGAATCTCAGTTGCCACTGTATAAATATATCAACTTACCTGTGCCTGAGGTGGAGCTGGTGGAGCCGCTCCGCTTCTGCGCACTCTCTTGGCTCGACTCAGCTTGAAATCGGGAGGTGGTCGAATTCCAGGAGGGCCAAAAGCTCTGCTTTTTGATTTGGATTCCTTTGACGATTTAAATTCCTTTGACGAAGGAGGAGGGACAGGATTTGTTTCGTTGAATTGCTCGTCGATTTCGAACTCTGGGTCGACTGGAGGTTCAGCTGGAGGGAAGATCTCTTCGGAGAATACATTGCTATCAAATTTCTCGGGGAACTTTGGTTCAGGAAGCTAAAATCATCATTTTTCAGAGATTTTTTAGAGTTTTACAAGAGTTTTTCCCATTTTTTGGGGTGAAAAGTCATCACAGGCCTCTAAAATTATTCTAAAGTTACTATGCAATCTACTTCTCACGCTTACACTTCCAATATTTTGACACAGAGCGCTGCCAGGGAAGAACAACAAGTATTGGTAGATGGGAGTTCCAGTTGGAGTGCAAAACTTTCGCATATGCAATTGATTATCCGGTGAAGACACGTAGGCGACCATTGAGCAACTCTCAACCCCTGGCTCACATTCCTCGATCTCTTCGACGCACTCTTTTGTGTCATCATCACCGGCGTTGGCGTTGCAGGTAATGCATTCAAAGGCAAACGATTTGGCAATACAGGTTGATAACAGCGGTAGTAGAAGTAGGAGATTCATCTGAAAATCGAATGCTCGCAAATTTTTTTGACCACTGCTTGTGTTGTTACAAATTCTAGCACGATAAAAAAATGGGGACTCAGTTAGGGTATGGCTTGGAGACTTTGCTCACTTGGAGTACCCAAAAAAAACATTTGTAAGTTTCCTATTTTTAAATAAAAACTCGCCTATAAATGGCAGGCCTACACTTGCGGGTAACCAAGATCATAAAATTTGATATAGCAAAGTCTCTGTACAACAATCTCCGTTTAACGGAACCTGTTGCTCTTGCAAAACAAACGCTCAAGTTTTCAACTCAGACGTGCCTTGAGGACAGCAATAGAAACTTGAGCGTTGCGCCATGGCCAAATTAAAATAGAGTATTGGCAGGCTCACACTTGCGAGCAACCACTTTGCGGGCAGCTAGAAGAACCATGGAGATTCTGAGGGCTATGTTTGGAAATCAGCCAACATTTGTTTACAACAGGAAATTCTAACGATGGATTTGGCAGTTAGATGTCGCAAATTGGGTTTCCTGGTGTATCAATCAATGGCTTGAATAGCTACCATAAAGTTTACCAGGGATTTTTACCATTTTTTTGAAAACAAACTCCCAAAACTTTAAAAGCAGTCGATTAATTCAATAAATTCGTGTACTTATCAGTACCATAGAGTTCTAAGTGCAAAAATTTCTATCATGCTACACAGATTACAAGAGTAAAATCGCAATTCTAGTGGCAAAATGTTGGAAAAGTGGTTGCCCGCAAGTATCGCGACGCCCTTTAAATAGTACTCTGGATCCTTGCAAAAGTGCGAAGATAACTTTTTAGCTTGCTAGTAAAGCCATTAAAGCTCTTAATGTTCAAAACACGCTTGTAAAATGGTCTGAGAGTTCTCGGAACGATTCACTTTGCATGGCGTGGGTGGAATTTGAGAGCATCGAAAAAAGAACTTTGAGAGCTAAAAAAACCTGTAGGACATGCCATAAAAAGAAGTTGTGACAATATTCTTTTTTCGCAACCGTGACATTTGCAACCACTTTGTGAGCAACCGAAATTTTCCGATTAGAATTACAATTTTAATACATTGTCCCGTAATCTACGTAGTATGATAGAAATTTTGCACTGACGATGAGAACTCTCTGACACTGATAAGTACATTAATCCATTGAATTAACCGACCACTTTCAAAGGTATGGGGGTTTTTTCAAAAAATGGTAAAAATACCTGGTTAGCTTTATGGTAGCTATTCAAGCCACTGCTACACCAGGAAACTCAATTTACAACTGCCACATCCATCGTTAGAATTTCCTGTTGTAAGCAACTCTGTGCCGATTTCCAAACATTCCCAAAGAATCTCGGTGTTTCTTATAGCTGCCCGCAAGGCGTGGGTCTACCCTTTGAAAAGTGTTTAGAGATCCCAACAGTGACAACATGAGACTGCCACGGCTCCGGAGCCGGCTCCTGTTGCCGGCTCAGGCTCCCGAGCCAAAAGTCGGAGACAGGCTTCTCAGTTTTCAGAAAAATAAAAATTTCGATGTTGATAAACCAATTTCTTGAAAAAGGATGTGTTGCGTACTTACGACTTGGCTCAAAAAAGTTGTGTTCGTCATCACTGGCACTAATAACTTTTATGTATTTTTGGAAGAAAAATTTTTTTTAATTTGCACGGGAGCCGGAGACCTTTTTACATTTTGCACCGAAGCCGGAGCCGAAATTTTGTCAGTGGGAATCTCTGTTGACGACTTGAACTTTCGATGGACGTCAATCTAAGCCCGCTAGATTTTTTATAACATATATAAAAAAGATGGTATCAACTAGCTAAAATCTCCGAAAAAATCCAACCCCTATAAAAACGCAAACAAAACATTGACATGTATCATAAAACTACAGCCTTTTATCACTAAATTTATCAAGATCTAAAAAATCATCTTCAACATCCCTTTGCCGATCCAAATCTTCGTATCATCCGTTTGCTGGCTTCAAACTTCCTATCAAAGCTCCAAATCCTCAAACAAACCTCCCAACCCCTCTTCTCGACCTCATTGGATCTCTACGAAAAGGAGATGCGCGACCCTTCCCTTCCATTTTCATTAAGCTTTGTAACTGCACTAAAACCACCTGTGGAAACGCGGAAGAAGAAAGGTGGAATCTCATTGACATTTAATTGGTGTTCATCCCCCCTACCTAAATCCGAGTAATCTATCCAATTCAACCCAAATCGACGGATCCGCCGTAACGAAAAGCGAAAGGTGTGTTGTTCTTTTCGGGTTTGCGCGATTAACGGAGTTATTCTTGGTGGGTTCAGGAAGGGAGACGAAGCACTTCGGAAGAAGTGGAAACTACGGATTTTTGAAGGAATCTCACAAAATCTGAGCGTTCTCAAGTACGATAAACTAACTCAGGGGGATGTGCGGGGCATAGATGATCTTGAAATTTTGCTATGGGAATTTGAAAAAAATCGAGTCACCGTAAAAATTGAAATTTTGACAAAGAAGCTCTGGAAATTGGCATTCTTTTTTCAAGAGTTGCCGATCGTTCTCAAGTTTTTTAATCGCAAAATTCATAAAAATAAGCAAAAAGTGCCTTTTCTCTGGCCGCTTTCCGAACATCGCGGACTCTCTCCCTCTCAAATATAACTGAATATCTCAGCTATCTTTGCGAAGTAAACGCTAAAATTTTCAGGAATTAATTTATGAACTAGCCACTACACAAGTGCCGAACTTGACGAAAATCTGAGCGTCACACATTGAGCACTTCCTTGGAAAAATCAACACATAAACCGGCGCAAAAACCCTTCTCAATGATTACAATTCATCAAAAAATATGTTCGCCTGACAAAAATCAAATTCTACCCTCAAAACTTTAAGCTCAACAGCCTTGAAATGACATTGAAATTCGCGGTGGACTCCTTTTTCAACCCGCTGATTCAATGTGTTTATAATTCCATAAGTTGACAGGGATTCCTTCTGTCACTTTCTTTTTGCCTCTGGTAGAATAATATTATGATCGGGTTACTCTTGATTGCATTCCAACCCTCCAACACGTTTTGATGGGAATCACCGAGGAGGGTTTCCAGACGTTTGTTGACATAGAGTCAAATTGAAAATTTCTAATTCCCTTTTTCGAGAGAAACTAAACGCTTTTGGGGAAGAGCTTTGCGGCCGAGAGAGCGGGCAGAAAAACATCCATGTTTGGCAATATTTTCGGTAGTTTTGAATATTATAATTTTTTTTTTCGTTTCACTCTCTTGTTAACGGACCTTAAAGTAAACAAAAAACAATTTGCAAAACCAACAAAATCAAAAAAACCTCTTCGGCTGCCCTTCCTAGGCATGGCTATAGTGCCGTGAAAGGTCAAAAATCTAGCCCGGCCGCGATCTAACAAGGGATCGGCAAATAGTTGCAACCTGCTTTCTTAACGAAACATGTATCATTTGAAAGAGCATTAAAAATAGTGCACAGCGCAAAAAAATTAGCTGCCTAAATTACCTTAGGGCATAGATACGACCGCTTTTTGAAAGGGGTTATATGCGGCCAAAACGCCGGTTCCTTATATTACAGTAATCCTGGCGGTTTGAAATCGTCTTTATTAATTTCCTGGTATCCAAAAACGTCTAACACGGTCGTTTTATGGCTTTACCTATCGTCGGTTATATGTTATTAGACATTACTGCTAGTTACAGTAAATTGTAAATAAAACTAGGTTAAAGGGAAAATTGGAGCAAAAAGCTTTGGAAATACATTTATATGATCGTCGTAGTCATTCACAAACGAAAATTTCAAAATCAAAAATCTCTTACGCCTTACCAATGGTTAGTCCACTGTGTCAGCAATAGTGTCTTTGGCCGATTTTACAATTTTATCTTCGTATTTTTTCGAAAAAATGTATATTTATAGGCCCTTGTAAATTGAATTATCCTCCAGTAATCATAATCGGTCAGGTTACTGGCACAACACCCTTGTAATTATACGATAGTGACATACCCACTCTAATCACCATCAAATTTGTGGTCGTTTCAAAAAAAATTCAAAAACTCAGAAAAGTTGCACAACCATGGATTTTGTCTCCGGAGGAACAAAAATTATTAAAAAATGTGAACATACCATGGTTCTGTGGCATATAAGAGACGAAACGCAAAACATTTACAGAGACCGGATTCGAAACCAGGACTCGCTGCGCCGGAAGTGGGCTCACTACCACTCGGCCAACTGGACACAATTCTGTTGCCATTCCGAAAGCTTATAAAGCGAGGCGGAAATTAGGCTAAAATCTGTATTTTGGCCATAACTTTGTCCAATGTGAATTTAGGCAGCTAATTCTTTTTGCGCTGTGAACTACTTTAAATGCTCTTTCAAATGATATAGGTTTCGTTAAGAAAGCAGGTTACAACTATTTGCCGATCCCTTTTAAAGTCTGGACCAAACCGGAGTTGGACGATTGGGGAAAAAGAGATTGTGGAAAAAGACGATTGGGGAAACCGAAAATTATTATTTTTCTTCGATGCAAGTGTGAAATTAGGATAATCGAGGGTGCTGATTTCGAAAACGACACTCATTTTTTTTGACAGTTACTTTTTTCCTTACGTAGTACTGTAAAGTATTTTATGATTTTTTTTGATTCTTTTTACAAATACTCGATTTGGTTGATTTTGATGGTGTCGATTTCGAGAATCTTATTCATTTTTTTCTAATTTGAAAGCAGCACCATCGAAAACCCCCAAATCGAGTATTCATGAAAAAAATTCAAAAAAATACTACAATACAGTACTACTCAAGGAAAAAAGTAACTATCAAAAAATGAACGTCATTTTCGAAATCATCACCCTCGATTATCCTAATTTCACACTTGCATCGAAGAAAAATAATACTTTTCGGTTTCGCCAATCGCACTTTTTCCAAATCTTCTCAGTTCCGGTCCAAACATTTCTCTCAATTTAACAAGTCAAGTACCCCAAAGCGAAGTCCGGATTTTGATGAAACTTGGCATAAATTCGGATAATTTTTTGAGCCATATGTGAGATTTCTAGCTCGCGCGTTGCTGAAATGACCGAGATTTTTAAGGTCAAAAGTTGGCGGCAAAAAAACTACAATTAACATCAGTCTCATGAGGCATTCTCATTCGCTTTCCCTAGCATCCAAAAAATCTAAATTCAAGGATTCAAAAAAAATAACAAACCCTTTATAACTTAATAATAACAAAACTAAAACTCTTTTTACATGGAATGTGTTCAAATTTTCTGACTAGGACCTAATTTCTTGGGCATTATCCGACCCATTCAGTAGCTGATATGCCAATACATCACTGAGTTGTTCACAATCATTGACCCTTCTCTTGGGCGACGGTTGCCCCTTCTCTTCGTCTCTCTCCTTTGCATTCTCTTCGGTCTCAATCAACGGTGGCAAGGACTTGTCTCTCTTGTTGCTTTGAGTAGTCAAATCGACGACGGACATGGATCGTCGGGGAGTTTCCTCTTGCGGCGATGATTTCGGCGGTTTTGGGGAGTCGGAAGAGGTTGGCTGATCCGAAATTTGGCCAAGTTCAGCGAGCATATCCGAGACGGTGAATCCTTTGGGAGGGACTCGAGTGGCTTGCGTTAGGATATCTAAAATTTGAATATTGTTATAACATACCAGGCAAAAATTACAAAAAAAAATGTCTAATCTTAGAAAAATAAGGACTAATAGACAATTATCATAATAACTAACGAGCCTATTCGCCTTCTTACATCTAATAATATTATCTGATTTTAGCCTAGCAACATCAATTTTAAGGTCAAATCGTATCTCAAATGATAATGCCACCAAGTAAAACAGACCGATTGACGCTAAAAATTTCTCTTTAAAGCTTTCAAGAATTTCTATTTGGTCTATATACATGTATATTATACATCCAAACCGAGAATATTATACTTGACATCAACCAAAAATGAAGTCAATTCCGCTGTAAAAAATCCTTTAAAATTCCATAAAAACCCTACCTGAGAAGTCAATGAGGCTTATTCTCGGCGAATTCGGGACACTTTTGCTCTTTGCACTTAGCACTCTTCGCCGATAGAACTCGGATTCCGCTTGATGTTGCAATTTTCTGAACTGCTGGACATGCTGAACACTCTTGCTGTTCAAGAACACACCATTCACCACCTTTATGAAGAGCAATGAGACCCAGACAAGAGCTAAAAAATCACATCGTATCATTCTAGACATTAAAATCATCAATTTTTTCATGAATAACATACCGAATACTAGAACATAAACGTTTGTCGAAAAATCGATGGATTGTGAGATAACTCGGATCAACATGATGGCAATTGGGACGGGAATAAAGCCCATTCTTCTTGAGACTACATCCGAGAAATCGGTGAAGGTCTCTTCTTCATGGGATCTGACCACGTCAAAGGATAAGGTGATGGTAAAATCTGAAATAAAAATTGATATAAATGCATAAAATTATGTAGAAACATAGATTAGATAATTTTAAGGGCTTTCTTCACCCATTTATACTCAAATCCTATCAAAAAAAAGTTCAAAAATATTGCTCATAATCAGCCTACCTTGATAAACTTCTGCGCTGATTTCATTGAACTTGGTGATAAACGCATGTTTCAGCCAGTCCACAATCAATTCCGCTACAAAAACCATAAACAAATCCGGGACCATTTCGCTCAAATGTTCTAGTTTCCAATTAACCGCCGTCATATTCCTCAAGACCACTACTATAAGCAGGATAACTGTGTGGAATCTCTCTCGGCAATCACTAAAAACAAAACCAACTAATATAAAATGAAATTTTCTTACCTGCAGGACATTTGGAAGAGATTGGGCTTGGCAAATTTCTTAAAAACAGCTCCCTTAAGTTCAACAAAGTTGTTGGACATCATGATGGTCAAAAGACTTTGATTATGTGAGTTAAACGCGACGTTGAGTGTTGTCGCTTGGAGTAGGACAAGTAGAGCGTGCAGCAAAGCATAAAGTACAGTTGCACACCATTGTACAAAGGTTGACGCTACTTTTCGCTTGCCTCCTCTTTCCGATGCTGTCCAAAACAATGCCTCTAAAATGTCTTGCCCAAAACTGCTGAAAAGCTTGTCCGCCACTTCTAACATATTGTAAAAGATGTACAGTTTGATCACACCTTGGCCTCGGACAATGTGGTAGAGCATTGAAGTGTCAACGAGCTGCATGATCAGCGAAGCTGTTATGATAATTGAAATCTTGAGCAAATCACATGTCTCAGCTGCTGTCCACACTCTCGTCCCAAATATGCGGCCAATCACGGCTAACTAAAGATATAAAATATCAATTCTAAGCGACTTACCAGCAGTCTGATGGGGAGAAATGTAAAAACATTGGCGAATGCATCCAAACAATGGAGAAACCCGAAGAATAAGAATTTCTCCAACTCGTACGGTATTCGAAAGAACGCATAAACTTTCCGTCGCTTCTCTGTATATCTGTCTTGATGTGTCTCCAAAGAATAACCTCTGCAAATACGAACATTCACATCTTTCATCTACTACAACATCATTAACCTAAAATTCGAAAAAAATAATTAAATCTTACCGAGTTAGCTCCATCTTGACGAACTCCCAGACTCCCAATTGCTTGGGCAGGTCGGGTTCCTTTTTTCCGGCCTCCCCGGCCAATGGAGCTCGATCATCTTCAGCATTTAGCTCTTGAATCAAAGAACTTTCGTCCAGTATAATATTGGCATCCTCATCTACTTTGACACTGTCGAACTGCAAGGTTTCCGGCTTCTCGGTGAACTCAGTAGGCGCCGCTGCGATTTTATCTACAGCAATTGTCAAGTTAGGCCCTTTTCGTCGTCGTAACGTTGATATTGGCGATACTGACATAGGCTTACCACTAAAATTAAAACAAAAAACTAAAAAATCTCGTCAAACTGCAGCATTTCAACGTGTTTTACACACAAACGGTAGAAAACTTGTTTACACAAATAGTTGAATAATTTTTTCTCGAAAAATAAATATATAAAACACAATGCCAAAAATTATTCGCATTATAAACTTTCGTGTTGAGACGCAAATGATAGGCTACGAATCTTGGCCGCACTCTCGAAACGAAATTTATGGCGCGAAAAAGCTGAGCCGAATTGTCGCAACCGCGTCCATCGCAACTTTGCAATCTTTCGCAACATTTCGTGTTTTTTCCGTGAATTTTTCATGTTATTCATGACGTTTGTTTCAGAAACCGATTAACCGATAGTAATAATAATGGGATTTGGCGATAACGAGACTGGATTTGGAGGTGGAGAAGGTGGCTTCGGCTCCGGCGGCGGCGGAAGTGGATTCGGCTCCGGCGGCGGCGGAGGAGGATTTGGCTCCGGTGAGGGTAATACAGGAATGCGCGGTGGATTTGGCGGAAGGCGAGGGGGAGGATCAAGTAAGTGGTTTGCGTCTGCACCGATTCTGATTGTTTTGATTTTAGGCGGTTTCGGAGCAAGCAAGACTAACGATAACTTTGGCGGTGGAAACCAAGGGGGTAGTGGAGGCGGTTTCGGAGCAAAGGAAGGTGGAAGTGGAGGATTCGGTGGAGGCGGCTTCGGGGCGAAAGAAGGGGGAAGTGGCGGAGGAGGCTTCGGAGCAAAAGAAGGTGGAAGTGGAGGATTCGGTGGAGGCGGCTTCGGTGCAAAAGAAGGTGGAAGTGGAGGCTTCGGAGCGAAAGAAGGCGGAAGTGGGGGATTCGGCGGTGGTGGCTTCGGAGGAAATGAAGGTGGAAGTGGAGGATTTGGTGGAAACGAAGGCGGATCCAGAGGAGGACGTGGTGGATTCGGTGGAGGCCGCGGAGGAGGCGGCTTCGGCGGAAACGAAGGTGGATCCAGAGGAGGAGGCCGCGGAGGGTTCGGTGGTGGCCGAGGCGGCGGTGGTGGAGGATTTGGAGGTCCCAAGAATGATGATGGTTTGTGGTTTTTGACTCTATTTATCTCAGTTTAGGAGGATTTGGTTCCGGCGGAGGTGGCGGTGGATTTGGTTCCGGAGGAGGCGGCGGTGGATTTGGTGCCAGAGGCGGTAGCGGCTTCGGTGGTGGCTCTAGAGGCGGCAAAAGCGGAGATGGAGGTGGTTTCGGGGCTAACAAAGGAGGTTTCGGTGGTGGAGATGCCGGTAAGTTGGTATTTTTTCGTTTGATCTTCTTGTAGATGACAATACTGGTGGAGGCTTCGGAAAAAGTGAAGGTGGATTTGGCAAGAGCGAAGGATTCGAGCGCCGTCCCAGAAGAAACGACGGGGATGGGTTTGGAGGAGCTCCAGAAGGCGGATTTGGTGGAAGTACGTTTTAATATTTAATTTTTATTTTGGTATTTAGAAGGTGAACATCGTGAACGCGGTGAGCATCGTGGCGAACACGGCGATCGCACCGACAAACCCGAGGCCTATGTTCCAAAAGCTCGAGAGGTGGATGAAATCTTCAAAGAGGATGAACTTGTCACCGAACTCTACGAGAAACTTGCTACCACCGATGAGGAAGTCAACATTGAGAACTGGAAGGGTGAACCGATCAAAGTTGAGAATTGGACGGACCTCAAGATGAATGAGAAGATTCTGGAGAATGTGAAACACGCCGGATATGTGAAGCCAAGGAAGATTCAGGCCTACACCATCCCCATCATCGCTTCTGGTGTTGATGTGAAAGCCCAGGCCGAGACGGGAAGTGGAAAGTCCGCTGCGTTCTTAATTCCCATCATTGAGAACATTATCAAGGAAAAGGAGAATCAAGAAAAGGAAGGGACTACCAAACGGCAAACTCATCAGCCTTACGCCATCATCATTGAGCCCACCAGAGAATTGGCCATTCAATTGTATGAACAAGGAAGAAAACTTTCGAATGGTAAGTTTTTTAATTTTTTTTTATTTTCATTGTTTTAGGCACTGGCGTTCGCGTCGTCAAATGCTATGGTCAATATCATTTCAAAGAAAACGCCCAGGAGATCCTCGAAGGATCTGACATTGTTGTAGGCAGTCCAGGACGTCTCCTCCATTTCCTGGAAGAAGGGATTATCGATCCCGAGTTCTTGAAGGTTCTTGTGCTGGATGAAGCTGATAGAATTTTGGATGATCAGTTTGGAGAACTGGTCAAGAAGATGGGAGAGGTCCCTAATTTCCCTCCTGTAAGTTGAGATTTTTTTAATTTATTTTTTTTTCAATTTTTAGAAAGACAAACGGCAGACCCTTTTGTACAGTGCAACTTTCCCAGAAGAGGTTGAGAAGTTTGCAACGGACTTCTTGCGCGAGAATTACGTCAAGGTTCAAAACAAGGCGCGTTTGTCGGCCAATGCTCGTGTCCATCAAGAATTCATCTCCTGCGAAAAGCCATTGAAGAAAGGAAGAGTTTTGGAATTGTTGCATGAAATTCAGAAGAATGCCAGGACTGAGAGTGAGTATCTTATTTTGTGCATTTATTTGTTTAGATCCGGATGCACCCCTGCCAAGAACATTAATCTTCGTTGAAATGAAGCGAGATGCCGACTTGATCTCGCTTTTCCTCTGCATGAATGAGTTCAAAGCAACCACAGTGAATGGAGACAGACCACAGAAGCTGCGTGAACAAGCGCTTCAAGAGTTCAAAGGAGATAACACCCGTATTATGGTCGCAACTGATGTGATGGCTCGTGGATTGGATATCAAAGATTTGGATGTTGTAAGGGATGATTTGAACTTGATTTTAATGATAGTCTTGGTTAGAAAATGTTGATATAAATTTCTAGGTGATCAACATGGACATGCCTCAGGATGCCGTCACCTACATCCATCGTATTGGTCGTACCGGTCGAATCACTCAAGGTCGCGCTTTCAGTTTGTTCGATCCAACTGATAAGAGGGATATTGAACTTTCTCAGCACTTGATCACGGTGAGTTTGTTTAAAGTTATATTTTTTTGTTGTTTAGTTATTGAAAGGAGATGGAAATGAAGTACCCGAGTTCATCGAAAAGGCCAGTGAGAACGCCGGCCGTGGCGATGATTTCTTCCCAGAGCCCCCAATTGACGATGCTTTCGGTGGAGCTGACTTTGGCGCACCACCTGCTGCCGCTGGATTCGGAAAACCAAGTGGAGAAGCTAACTTTGGAGGCAATGAAGGCGGATTTGGATCCGGTGGTACGCGCACTTTTGACGCCAAAGCCGGAGGAGGTTTCGGCGGTGGTTTCTAAATCTATTATTACTAATTTCCCCTAATATATTATTAATTCTTGTTTTAATAAATGTTGAACAAAATCTAGTGTAATATTGTAATGTAAATTTTTTATATATGGTAAGTTTCTAGAATACAAATCGTAGGTGAGGTGGATAGGCCAGCTTGTCCAGACTGGGAGTACAGGCAAAGTTGATCATCGGCGGAGGTCCGCACATCAAGATCGCGGTGTTTTCTCCCGGTGGGGGGAGATGTTGACTAATCATTTGATCGTTAATGAAGCCCTGGGAGTACTTCCAATTCTCGGGAGGTCTGTCCACAGTGTACCAGACCTTGAATCGGTCCGGGTTCTCCTTTGCTAACCTGTCGAGGTGATCTCTAAAGCAGAATGGTAAAAAATTGGATGTTGGCGATATTACACTTGCCTCAAGAGGATGTCTTCTTCGGTCTGATTGGCGAAAAGCAACGAGATTTTGGTTGGATCGTCCTCGTGCTTGAGAATGTCGGTAATTATTTGAAGCATCGGAGTGATACCAGTCCCACCAGCGATCATTCCGACATTTTGGACCTTCCTCACGACTGGATGCGCCTTCTTCTCGGGTCTGACCAAGAATTTGCCTTTTCCTTCGTAAATGATTAGTCCATTGGGTCCACGGAAGTCGATGGTGTCACCTGAAATTTATACTTCGAATCCAATACCTAAATTACCAAACAAAAATAACAAAACGTCAAATTACCAATTTTCAATGATTCCAAGTGTTGTGACATCTTTCCACCTTCGGGGAACTTGGGATGTTGGTCCTTAAAGTAGACTTTGATCACAAATTCAACAAATCCTTGATCATCATCACTGGAAGTTGGTGTATAAGGTCGGACGACCAACTTTCCATCGACTCTGGCACTAAGATAAACGTGTTGCCCAACTGGGAGTCCAAGGACGTGATTCTCGGTGGGAAGAGCAAATCTGAACGCTCTGGTATCGTGACTGAGTTCGCGCTTCTCGATCAATTTCAGGGCGTATTTTGTATCCGAATCCTCTAACGTCTTCGGTCCTTTGAGCTTCTAAAAGTTGAACACACTAATGACATGACAGCTAAGACATACCTTTTGCTTTTTACCTTCGAATGGACATTTTACAATTCCTTTCTTCTTCAGGGCATATAAAACACCAAAAATCCCCAATGATATGGCTCCAATCGACGCCACAACATAGACCGCCGTGTGTGATTCACCCATCTCTTCCTGGAAAAATGATAAGTGTGCTAAATCAACAAAAACAACAACAAACAACCACTGAATTATTGCGAAAACAAGATAAAAGAGAGAGTTGTCCCACAAAAAAAACGTGCCAAATGTTTTTCATTTTTTGCAGAACAATTTTGGAGAAAAGTTGAGGACTCGCCTGGAATTGACAGAGCTCTGTCTAGAGTCTCGCGGTATTTTACAAGCAAGACGGATGCTAAATTAGCCCTAAGTTTTGTGAATGGTGTTAACATTACCTTAGACATTGTCCTTCCCGACCGGCCCGACTCAAGTATTAGATTCCGTCTAATCAGCCGTTGAAAACCGAAAGGCCTCTCTTTATGGGGAAATCGGGTGACTTGGGAAGTGAAAAGACTGGGGAGCAATTGAAAATACGTGAGGAATTAGAGTAGAAAAAAGGTGTTCCTATTCAAATCAGAAGGCTCAAACTACTTATCAGAACTGTTTGAAAACATAAAGGTTTTCGACAGAAACATGTGCCGATTAGGGAGTAGTTTAGATCATTCAAAAGGGCTTGAAATGTGGTATTAGATGTGGGATTGGGAAAATGTGTAAATTGATTAGCGGCTTCGAGAAATTATGGCTCGAAACCTCATGGTAGAGGTGTTTGATAGAGAAAAATAGTTATGAAGACTGCTATTTGAGGGTTTGCAACTTATCTTGAGGACTTATTATTTAGTCCCGGTCATTTGGAACCCATAGATTGCCAGTGGCATCTACAGATTTTCAAGATATACCTTAATTTTCCCGGTGATCTGGCTAATGTCTAAAGTAATATCCAAATCTTTAAAAAAACATACCGATTTAGAGTGACACATGGAGAAGAGCGTGAGAAATCACTGTTAATTCCTTTATTCACCGCTTCTTTGTTGGAAGAAGGTCGCTTATTGAGCGCGCGACAAGGTTAATTCGACTTAAAAGTTTTTTGTTAAACAAAGCGGAATTTGTCATAATTTTGCCCTTTTAGGCAAAATATAGGGTCTCATGACTTTTCAAAGGGTGCTATAATCTACTGAGGAATTAATAATTTCAAATTTAGTCGTGTAAAGCTTTATTTTGTTATATTTACAAGATTTACAATAGTATGTACAATATAAATTACTGAATTCCTCGTTGAGATCGTCAAATTTCCGGGAAATTAGAGTTTTGCGTGGATGACTGGCTCGCTTTTTACCAAACCCAACTCCTTGAACATGAGCGGTAGGCTTTCGACGCCAAAAAATGCTTGCGAATCCCGGCCGGGCCGCTTCAACATCATATAGGGCACTCCAAAGGCTCCTTGTCGAACAGCATTCGTTACGTTATCGCGTAAAACGCGTCTGTTCTCCTCGGACTGGGCTAGGTTGACAATTTCCGGATCAAATCCGAGCTCTTCAAGGAGTGCTTCCACATCAGCGGGAAGGAAATTTGTCTTGTGCTCGTTGAACATTCGGCTCCAGAAAGCGCGGATTGTTCGGTCGAATTCGTCGGGGTAGTTGTGTTGAATGTACGTTATAACACGTAGAGGGAGGATTGGCGACATTGTGGGAGCGCGCTCTTCGAACCACTGAAAAAAAATTTTTAAATATTTAATTGTATCAATTGGAACTTTTCGTAATTTTCAAAATTTTGAGAATTTTCCTCGACAAAGTTTCGGGATAGTATACTTACAGCTGGTAAAATTACTGGATCCATATCCCAAAATTCAGAGAGTTGAACAAGGTTGTTTCGGAGATATTGGAATTTCAGTGGGACCAACGCGGGCCCAGTGTTCTTGGTCAGCCGAAAAATGGCGGCCATTGAGACGGGATGGTAGTTAACTTTGACTTTCAAGCTGGCTTCATGGTCCTTGATTATCTGAAAATAATCAAGACATTAGCTGAAATTTCCGGTTTGATTTTTTGAGGAAGTTTTGGAACAGTTTTAGAAAGCTTGAGGATTTTGAATGATAATTCAAAACATGGGGTTTCTCACTGTAAGATTATCGAATAAGGGATGAGAATAGGGCATAAACTCTCTAATAATACAGTGGGGGACCTGATCCAGTGGCAGGAAACGTACCATTTTGCATCCGGGAAGCATCAAAAATGCGGCAAAATGCTTCCCTTTCCAAGTGAAAAAAATTGCTTTGAAGGGCTCTCCCTCACAAAAAGAGTGGACACACTGTTGAAATCGGAGTTTTTTTTCACCTGGAGAGGGAAGCATTTTTCCACATTTTTGATACTCCCCTGATTCAAAATGGCGCGTTTTTTGCCACTGGATCAGGTCCCCCGTAGAAGGAAAATCCCATATTTTGAGCTTTCCTTATGACCTTGACTTGGCCATCAATCCGGCCAATTCCTTACCTGATAGGCCAGATAGGCAAATGGCGAAACCACGTCCACATACAGGTCTAGAATTCCTTCAGTCATTGTCCTCTAATTTGGATTAGAAACGAAATGTTTTAATTAAGAACGTCAACATTTGTCAAGCCTTTTAAACCCCACCTTTAGCAGTTAATCGAATTGAGAAAGGCGTACGGTATGCGTTGTACCCACCCACTTTCAAAACGCCTTATCAATCTTCATCTTTTCCCAGTACAATCTACAATGTAATAGATTGTACTGTGAAAAGATGGTCGTTGGTGATTGGGGCAATATTTTTATGGCATTTCATTGTAATGCACAGTAAAATGATAAGGCTTTTACGAAGATTTGTTAATTTGGAGGCTTGGTTTGATTAATTAGCGGGAGAGAAAAGAGTGAACTTTGTGGACTTGAAAGATCTAAGAATCTCGAGGAATTTTGGAGCTAAAGTGAGGCAAATTTGATTAGATTTTGGAGAGAAAAACTCAAGATTTGTCATCAGGCCATGCTGAGCGTTGTACAGGCTAAAAAAGAAGTAAAAAAGAGCTAAAAATTTTATGCCAAAAAGTATCCCTTTATGGTATGAAATCCAAGCTCATATCGACCTTTTTTCTGTTGGAATTTTTTCGGCCTTCGTTATTTCCAAGCAGCTTTAGAAATTTCAACGACTTACAGTGGTGGACATGATCCAGTGGCAAAAGCGTCCCATTTTGCATCAGAGAAGTATCCAAAACGCAGCAAAATATCTCCCTCCCCAAGTGAAAAGACTCGAATTTCAAAAGCGATTTTTTAGTTGGAGGTGGAGGTATAATATTTTGCTGCGTTTTCGACACTTACCGGATACAAAATGGTACGTTTTTTGCCACTGGATCATGCCCATCACTGTAAGTCGTTGAAATTTCAAAAAGCCGCTTGAAAATAACGAAGGCCGAAAAAGTTCCAACAGAAACAAGGTCGAAAAAGAATTCGATATGAGCTCGGATTTGGTATCATAAAGGGATACTTTTTGGCATCAAATTCGAGCTTTTTTGACTTCTTTTTTAGCCTTGTTTGTTGAAAGTTCTCGGCATTTCTTTATTTTCAAGCAGTTATTTGAAACTTTCGAACCTCTTGCAGTTGACGTGGCATAACGAGTAATGACGAAGTTGGAGTTCTTTGCTCCAAAATCTAATCAAATTTTCTCGACTTTTGACCCAAAATTCTACAAAATTCTCAAGCCTGGCGCAAAGTTCGCAAGGTTCACTGTATTCTCTGCCGTTAATTAAACAAACCAAATCTCTTAATGTACGAAACTTTTGACTCTTTCACTTTACCCTGCATTACAGCGAAATGCCATTCAGCTCATCTCCAACGAGCAGGATCGTTAATTACCCTGTAGGTTGGACTGTTAATTAAAATGCCGTAAATTGGAGAAACTGCTTTAAACATTTCAATGGAATAGATGAAATTGTAGATTACAGTGGGGGACCTGATCCAGTGGCAAAAAACGTACCATTTTGCATCCAGGAAGCATCAAAGAATGTGGCAAAATACCTCCCTCTCCAAGTGAAAAAACTACGATTTCAAAAGCGCGCCCGCTCTTTTTGTGAGGGAAAAGGGCGAACCCTTCAAAACGAAGATTTTTTAACTTGGAGAGGGAAGCATTTTGCCACATTTTTGATACTTCCCGGATGCAAAATGGCACGTTTTTTGCCTCTGGATCAGGCCCTCCACTGCATCTCCAGATTTTTTCATCTCCGTTACTAGGCTTATTACTGTTAGTTTTTTCGGTCTTACTATAGGTAACATTACTCATGAACTTTACAATGGCTTTTGATATTTCAATTTTCCCATTTGTCTTGACGCAATAACATAACTTCCCGGTTAAAAAACATCTTTACCAGTTACTATCACACAAGTCCGTCCTCGATCCGGTGTCATTCATAATCATTAACGTAACTTAAGTAATGGGTAAACAAGAAGCTTCCTTCAAAAACGCAACCATTCTTCGAATTTTGATACTTCCGCTGCGCATAAAAAACGTTTCAGTAGTCTGGCGGAGAAAACAAAGTTTTATTGTAAAGTGTGCTCGATTAATGGTAATGGAATCGTAGACATAACAAAGCTATCAGGTGGCAAAGTTTGAGGAATGAGATTTTTTGTTTGAGAAATGAGATTTTTTGGGAGTTGTGTTTTCTTAAAAAACATTTAGGGTTCAATAATTGCCTTACAGTAATTTAAAAGTGATCCAAATGAAACCTATTAGACCACCCAAGAATTAGTGAATTAATTTCACTTCCCTGCAATCATTTTAACAATCAAAACATTGTAAAAATTCGCGCTCAAACGATCCAATTTTAGAAATTGATTCAGAAAGTCACCAAAAGTGAGAAAAATAACCTTTGCTAATGTTTTGTGGTAAACAAGCAAGTCACAACTTGTGACTAAATGTTTACCACTTGTTATTACCGTTTTTGATTCCAAGTGGTTGGTTAGCAGAAGTTACAAATTCATTCAGAACTAGTGTAATATAGGATAAAAAACTCGGACCCAGTGAAACTTTGCGGTGATAAAGTCCGATAATACCGAAAGAAAAGACCAATTGGTCAAAGTCAGGTTGTTAATGGAATTCCTGTAAGAAAATCATAAAATTTCTTCGTGATGAGGGGGTAGAATGACTAAAAAGCTGGCGAATAAGTTAGGTAGACCAAGTCTGAAATGTCACATCGATTTTCTTCAAATTTTGCATTTGAGTTTATAATAAAGTGGTGACCTGATCCAGGGGCAAAAAACGTACCATTTTGCATCCGGGAAGTATCAAAAATGTGGCAAAATGCTTCCCTCTCCAAGTGAAAAAACTGCGTTTTGAAGGTTCGCTCACAAAGAGAGCGGGCGCGCTTTTGAAATCGGAGTTTTTTCACTTGGAGAGGGAGGTATTTTGCCACATTTTTTGATGCTTCCTAGAAGCAAAATGGTACGTTTTTTGCCACTGGATCAGGCCCCCACTATAGGATCCCATGTCAATCCCTGAAAATTTTAGCTCGCGGTTGCAGAGGCAGCCGAGATACTCTATTTTTTCCGACGAGAGGGTTGGAAAAATGAGGATAACGGGCAGAGAAAAAATTATTTCGCCATTGTTGCCAATTACGAGCGGAAAAAAGTTGTTTTTTTGTTAAGTCTACGGTGATAACACCAAAGTATCATCAACATTTGAGCGTTACACCAAGCATTTACAGTGACGGACTTGATCCAATGGCGAAAAACGTACCATTTTGCATCCGGGAAACACCAAAAAAGTAGCAAAATACCTCCCTCCCTAACTAAAAAACTCTGTTTTGAAAGCGTGCCTTTTCCTTTACAAAAAGAGTGGGCGCGCTTTTGAAATTGGAGTTTTTTCAGTTGCAGAGGGAGGTATTTTGCTACATTTTTTGCGTTTTCCAGATGCAAAATGGTCCGTTTTTAACACTGGGTCATGTCCGTCGCTGTATCCTGTAAGCTTGGCCAAGTTTAATCAAATATGAAACTACATAATTATTACTTTCTTTATTAAGGAATCTACAAATCTACACGTTCAAAGGTCCCTTGAACTCGACTCCCAATGAATGACATAATTGTGGCAAGCTTTCGACACCAAAGAAGTGCTCAGTTTCTCCTTGATTTTTGAGCAAAACGTAGGGGACCCCAAATGCCTAAAAATAAACCAAGTTTGAATCAAAAGTCATCAAAATCATAACAATGACAAAAAATAAAACCCTTACTCCCTCGGCCAAAGCTTCGTCGGTGTTGTCCTTCAGCGTTTTCTTCACAACCTCTGAGTTTGTAGCTTCAATAAGGCTGGTTGGGAGGCCCAATTTCTTGCAGATCTTTTCCAGCGCTTCGGCCGAAGTGATCCATTCGTTGTGGATAAATAATCGTTGAAATAACTCGCGGATTAGCCTGTCCGCGTCTTGCGGTTGTTCCTTTTGAACGGCCGTTACAAATCGCATCGTTCGCACGGAACTTTGCTTCAGGGCTTGTTTTGCAAATTCCTGAAAAGAGTTATTAGGTTGAACCAAAACTTTTTTCTGATTTTTATATATCTTTTTTCCAACCGTTTTTTTTACGAAATAAAGATTTTTGTATGAATGTATGTATAATACATGTATATTTTAAAAGAGAGTTTTTTACAACCCGAAGGATGGCCCGGACATTTCGAAAAAACGACCAACTCAGAATCTTTTGATATTTTGCATAGTTGTTGCACCATGATAGCTGAACGTCAGCACGAATTTTTAGTTTCAGAAATTACCGTATACGGGGGTTACGGTAGGTACAATTTTTACAAAGATTGGGTTCGTGTGTAAAAACCGCTAGGAGTAACAGCACAAAACTCCGCTGTTTTACGTTTTTGACCATGAGGAACATTTTCATAATTGACAACTTTGCCGTAGGATGTTGCCTTCGACTACTTCGAAAAATACCAAGGTACCATATTGAATGTAACTTTTTTGCAGAGAACTTGTCTCAACTTTTGAAACCTCTTAGAAACGCTTTGACATGTATGTAACAACATATCAAAAATGCGCGAAAATAAAAGGGGGGGGTTGGAGTTATGGTACTTTGAATTTTGCCGATACGGTATTTCAAAAAATCATTTTTTTCAAAATCGGTGTGGAAGACCAGCAAACATTGCCAAAATACGTTTTCGACCATGGCGAACATTTTTGTAATTGACACTCTTTCTGTAGGATGTAGTTTTTGCCTACCACGAAAATTACCAAGGTACCATGTGTAATACAACTTTTCGGCATTCTACTTGTCTCAACTTTTGAAACCTCTGAAAAATACGTTGACATGTATGGAACAACATATCAAACATTTAGAAAAATAAAAGGGGGGGGGTTGGAGTTATGGTACTTTTAATGTTGGACATACAGTACACCTCGATTTATTCTCGGCGACACTTTACGCAGATTATCTTAAGAACAAAATTTTTTGTTTTATCTACGTTGTACGAACCTCACAAACTATTTTCACTAGGAAATGCAAAAATTTTAGTCCTAAGGATACTGTAACATATCATGCGCAGATAATTGGTTACTGTAACAGCAAGATCAGCGATTTCTTAAATTTTTTGGAACGGTTACCACGGTTTATAGTCGTGTGTGCCATACGACGGTGGAATCTGTAAAAATCGGACGTCAGCATCACAAAAAAGGTTCGGTGTACTGTATGTCCAACATTAAAAGTGCCATAACTCGAAACCTCCCCCCCCCCATTTATTTTCTTAAATTTTTGATATGTTGTTACACATATGTCAAGGTGTTTTTGAAAGGTTTCAAAAGTTGAGACAAGTTGAATGCCGGAAAGTTATATTGAACATGGTATTATATCTTGAGATTTCTCAAACCGGTCGAAGGCTACATCCTAGAACAAAACTGTCAATTACAAAAATGTTTCCCACGGTCGAAAACGTATATTGGCAAGGTTTTCGGTTGTCCTACTCCAACTAAAAAAAATTAAATTTTGATATACCGTACCGGCAACATTAAAACACGATTTCTGAGTCCGTGAAGCAGCCTTTAGTCAGGCCGTGACATAGAAAATTTCGATCTCGGGTTTTTTGCCTTAATGTAACCGCCATCGTCCTAGAAACCCATTGGCAAAACAGTTTTGCCTACTTCCGCCGTTAACACAGTTATTTTTACAATTTATTGTTTATACAGTAATCCACAATAATTCAGTAATGACCTTACAGACCTTCATGAAATTGTGTATACTGATGTTTTCGAACTCGTAAATTTCAAAAAAAGTGGTTGCGACCAGAGATTGCCACGGCTCCGGAGCCGGCTCTTGGCTCCGGCTCTGAGCGGCTCCGGCTCCGAGCCGGGAGCCAGAGCGGGAGCCGGGAATTTTGGGGTCGACTCCGGCTCCCGAGCCCAAAGTCGGAGCCAGGCTTCCCAGCGGTCAGAAAAGTAAAAATTTTGTGATCTTGTTAAACCAAATTGCTTGCAAAACACTGTGGATAATGTGACTTGACTGCAAAAACGTTGGCTGTATGATCTCTGGCACTAATAACTTTTATTTTTGGAAAAATAGTTTAAAAAAACAGTTTGCATAGGAGCCGGGATTCGGAGCCGGAGGCCTTTTTAAATTTTGCACGGAGCCAAGAGCCGGAGCCGGAGCCAAAATTTTGACAGTGGCAATCTCTGGTTTTGACTCATTAGGATTACTGTAACATACCAAACTGCCGATACGGCCGCCAAAAATCGGCCGTAAAAAGTTTGTTTCTAAAAACCCACAGGTGATTTTTACATATGTTAATCAGCATAAAATTCTGCCATATAAACGTTAAAAAAAAGTCCAAAAAGTGGGGCGGCATTTTTCATGGTATGGTGGTTTTCGGTCAGAACTACCAATCCAACGTCCCGAGTTCGAGTCCGCCTGGATGCAAAAACCAAAAATAAAGCGTAAATTAGCTTTAATGTTGTCTTGGGGTCTGTATGAGGGAGACTGAACAATTTTAAACATAGGCGATATCTCTATTTGACAAGGAAAGTACTTTTATGGGGGCTCCTACTTTACACCGATTTTGAAAAGAATGATATTTTGATATACCGTTCGGGCCACAACCAAAGTACCATAACTCCAAAACCACCCCTTTTATTTTCGCGCATTTTTGATATGTTGTTACATACATGTCAAAGTGTTTCTAAGAGGTTTCCAAAGTTGAGACAAGTTCTCTGCAAAAAAGTTACATTCAATATGGTACCTTGGTATTTTTCGAAGTAGTCGAAGGAAACATCCTACGGCAAAGTTGTCAATGATGAAAATGTTCCCCATGGTCAAAAACGTAAAACAGCGGAGTTTTGCGCTGTTACTCCTAGCAGTTTTTACACACGAACCCAATCTTTGTAAAAATTGTACCTACCGTAACCCCTGTATACGGTAATTTCCGAAACTAAAATTTCGTGCTGACGTTCAGCTACCATAGTACAACAACTATGCAAAATATCAAAAGATTCTGAGTCGGTCGTTTCTTCGAAATGTCCGGGCCATCCTTCGGGTTGTAAAAAACTCTCTTTTAAAACTTGGGTTTGAAAATTTTCAATAAATTTGTGTAAATTTTGTGGCCTTGTTATGAAAAGCTTCAATCTGTAAAACCCTCTTTTAAAATTTTCTTGGATTGCACAGGGTGGGCCACTCGAAACTGACAAGTTGTTTCTTTGAATTTCTCCGCGGAGACTCCGCCGATTTTCCCAAAATTTATATTTTTCTGGAGCTGAGACCCGCCATTTTTAACTGATTGAATTTCAAAAAAATATATTTTGAATTGACCTTTCTATGCCTTCCCAAAGTTTTGAAAAGCCCTGAGAATTTCCCACAAATGAGCGAAATTCGTGTTTTTTATTCAAATTTTCCACTAAAGGAAGGGTTTAAATGTCGATACTAAACTGGGCGCCGTCCATTCGAAGGCCATTCGAGATGACCGGCCGGCTCTTTCTGTGGGCAGTTCTCCTGCAAAACGTTGCCGTCCAGGCCCTTCATCATCATGATGCGTTGCGAGCGAAGCTGGATCTCATAAAACGAAGTATGGTCGCAAGAGCTGATCCTTGCAACGATTTCTACACTTATGCTGCCGGAAATATCTTTTTTCCCAATCAGTATGATAATAACTACACGAGACATCTAATGGAATCAAACATTGGAGATGAGGTACTCATTATTATGACGAAACGCTTTTTGATCTTGATTTAGTTTTGTTTTTTAGTCTTTACGCTCATTTTTTTCAATTTCAGATCCGAAACGTCAAGGAAGTTAAGAAGTTGTTCGCAGACTGCCTGAAGAATCCCGCCGTGATGGACGAACCGGGACGTCCAGATATATACAAGGGGATTGTGATGTCTTTCAAAACGAAAGGTTTAACTTTCCCAATGAAGAACGAAGTTGTCGCCAATGACGACGTCCTTTTTACCAACCTGGTCTTGGAACTGTACACCTATATGTTTGAAACGGGATCGCCGATTTTTAATCGATGGGCTTTCGGTGCTTCAAATGGGAATTTATTTTTGACGATTCCACCAAAGATCGACCAAGAAAAAGCTTGGTAAGTTAATTGTGCATCATATGAACATATCAGTTCGTCGGGAAAATAATGTGGATTAATCGAGCCTTGAAAGCGCCCATCATCGCTTTTATTGCCAGATTGAGACGACGAGGCGAGAGTTTCACTGCGATAAATCCACATTATTTTCCCGAAAGACTGGTATATGTTGGTGGCGACTGATGAATACTGTGGACCGGGGTTGATTGAATACATGATAATCTTCAGGCAGGACTATTGCCGTGCCCTTGGAGGATGTGCAAATCGGGTCTCCTACGATCGGAATTACATGGCGGAAGGTTACGTACGGGCAGATCATTTAAAAGGCCGCTTCTTCCACCAAACTATGAATACAAAATTAGACGAGACTTTCCCGGATATTGCTTTCTATGTTCCACAAGTTTTTGGAAAAGATGTAAGTTTTTGGGTTTCGCCTTGTAGCCCCTCCCCCTTTTTGAACACTCCCCCTCATTTTGAAAATTGAAAAAATGAGGTGTGACATCTTATACGATGAAAAATTGTTTCAAATTGAAAAGAATAAGCTGTGACATCTTATGCGATGAAAAATTTCTTCAAATTGAAAAGAATAAGGTGTGACATCTTATACGATGAAAATTTTTTTCGAATTGAAAAAAATGAAGTGTGACATCTTATACGATGAAAAATTTTTCTCAATCTGAAAAAAAGTTCCATCGTATAAGATGTCACACCTTATTCTTTTCAATTTGAAAAAAAATTTCGTCGTATAAGATGTCACACCTCGTTTTTTCAATTTGAAAAAAAATTTCCATCGTATAACATGTCACACCTCGTTTTTTCAATTTGAAAAAAAAATTTCCATCGTATAACATGTCACACCTCGTTTTTTCAATTTGAAAAAAAAATTTCCATCGTATAACATGTCACACCTCGTTTTTTCAATTTTCAAAATGGGGTAGAGTTGAAAAAGGGGTAGAGTTCAGATTGGGGGAAAGTTCAGGAAAGGGGGAGAGTTCAGGCTCAACCGACTTTTTTCAGCCCAGCCAGTCTGCTCATCGTGCCAACTTTCTAAATCATCTAATGGAGTATTTAACCGATCAAACTCTCCGAACGCTAAAGTTTCCCCACTGTGAACAATACATTCGAGAGGCGTTTCCCTTTCAAGTTTCCAAAATTGCCTACGAAGCGGAGATGCAAGACAAGGAGCGATTTGATCAGCTGAAAGCAAAATTCTTCGAAGAAGGAAACGAGATTAAGAAAACGGCTGAACGTATGCTGCAAAACGCGAACTTCAAGCAGAATCGGACCCGACAGATTTATCTGGACAGATTGGCGAAGAATGAGTTCAACTTCTTGGATCAGCCAATTCTGACGGGAGATGTGCTGAATGAAGTGGATGTGCGGCTTTGGGATGCGCCGTTTTTGAGGAGATTTAAGAATGGAATAGCCCATATTTTCAAGCTCAACTCGGTGATAAAGCTGAAGAATTTTGTCCTCCCAGAGTACAGCGTAGGTCTATTCGCAATAGGAAGTAACACGTCAATCCAGCGCATTTCCTGAACCGTTTCGAAACTTCGTATTGTTCTACTAATCGCGCTCAAAAGTCCTGACAATTTTCGCACTGTGCATTCTTCTTTCATTTCGCATTTGTCGCCGCGATTTCCCATTTTTGCATTAGCGACGCACGTCAAACTGAGATAAGCTAAAACAGTCCGGTGAATGGATCGGCAATTTGCGAAAAAAAACGCGAAAAAACGTTTTGTCGGGGAAGAAATGGGGAATTTTTGGGGCGAGAGAGTACGTTTTTGCGTGCCTTTTTTCTCTCTTTCTCTGCGAAATTAGGACGAAGTGTAAAAAACCAATAGCGAAGAGTCTGTTCCGGTCACCGGACTCCTCAGCTTGACGTGCGACGTCCAAAGCCCAATGTTTCGCACGGTGCGAAAATTGTCAGGACTTTTGAGCGCGATTAGTATTCCAACAGAATACTTTTTTCGGTTACGTCCGAGCCTTGAATTGGCACTCTTTTTTAGCTAGCTCTCGTGCTTCGTATTTCTTCTGAGACCTTGTTCAAGTCTACAAAAATACAATCGCAATCCTTTTTGAGCAACATTAGTTCAAAACCGTTTTTTCTAAGTACTAGTCGCGGAAAAAAGTCCTGGGAATTTCTCGCGGCCCCCAAACTCCGTCGCGCTCCGAAAAGTTGATTTGTCGCGGGAATCGCGCGCGACAATAAGGCAAAATCAACAAAATCACTGTGCAAATGCACTTTTCGGGTTCATGCACAGTGCAGAGCCGCCGAAAATTCCCAGGACTTTTTTTCGCGACTAGTATTAATATGGGATAGGAAAAACAGTATGGTTTTCCATTTTTTCAGGAATAAAATTTTGATATTTTATAATATTTTCAGGCTACGATATTCCACACTCCGGAAAACCAGAAAATTTACTTTTTCTTTGGCACTGTTGACTTTCCACACTACGATGTTGACTTTCCCGCGTCTCTCGATTTCTCCGGAACAGGGTTTTTGATGGCCAAGGCATTAGGCGAAACCATTGGCAAGTGATGAAATTTACCTTAAAAATAATTTCCCGTTTTTTAGGAGTTGAAATGCTGCAAAGTGACAAGGACCCGGACAAGGAGCATCGTGCTCGGTGGGACTGTATTACAAAGCTCTACAGTCAACAATGTGATCCGCAAAGACTGGACTCTTGTGTCGATGAGCAAATTATGGTTCATGTTGGTGAGTATTAGCCGCATTACGGCAGGACTAGATAAAAATTCCTGGGTGCCTGTTTTCCCTGGAAGTTAACCGAAGCAGCTGGGGCGCTAAAACAAGTCGTGAAAAGTTTGCATAATTGAGCTGCCGGTGATTTTTCTTTCTGAACCGTTCTTGCGCAACTTTACGTCTTTCCATTTTCATTCTGCAGCGGCGGAAAAAAGAGAAATTTTTGCTCCGACCACAAGCCTCAAAACAAGCGTCCACACGTTTTAGACTTACATTAAGTTCATTTTAGGTATTCGTCTGGCCTATTCTTCCTACTTCGCCCTTGGAAATATCTCGGAGCCCCGATTAATTCCACAGTTCTCTAACAAACAACTTTTTTTCATCAACTTAGTCCAGACAATGGCGTCTTGGACAATGAATCGTCTTCCGCCAGCTCCAGTCCGTGTTTGGGGAGGCCTTGCCAATTTTAAAGGATTTGCCGAGGCTTTTGGGTGCCCTGTTGGTTCGAAATACAACCTTCCAGTGGACAAAAGATGCAATATCTTTGACTTTGACCTCGATAGCCCAAGTTTCACGACGACGACCACCACCACCACAACTACAACGACCACTACAACAACTACTACAACGACTGCACCAACTTCCACTGCCGTAACTGACGCAACTCCTCATCCCAGTACAAACACCCCACCGGCACCTGAACGAACTACTCCCTCTGAGCCAAGAACTACTACCTCTCCGCCTTCGCCGAACCCAGACGATAACCACACCGAGTATGGAGAAGCTGTCCTATTGTCTCCGCCGTATTTCTTATATCTCCTTTTGGGATTTGCCCATATTATGATCCAATAAACGTAAATTTAGGTTTACTCGGTTAAGGAAATTCAAACCACCACAAATTTATTGAAAATTTTCAAACCCAAGTTTTAAAAGAGAGTTTTTTACAACCCGAAGGATGGCCCGGACATTTCGAAAAAACGACCAACTCAGAATCTTTTGATATTTTGCATAGTTGTTGCACCATGATAGCTGAACGTCAGCACGAATTTTTACGAGGGTTACGGTAGGTACAATTTTTACAAAGATTGAGTTCGTGTGTAAAAACCGCTAGGAGTAACAGCACAAAACTCCGCTGTTTTACGTTTTTGACCATGAGGAACATTTTCATAATTGACAACTTTGCCGTAGGATGTTGCCTTCGACTACTTCGAAAAATACCAAGGTACCATATTGAATGTAACTTTTTTGCAGAGAACTTGTCTCAACTTTTGAAACCTCTTAGAAACGCTTTGACATGTATGTAACAACATATCAAAAATGCGCGAAAATAAAAAGGGGGGGGGGTTTGGAGTTACGGTACGAACATGGTATCTTGACATTTCTCAAACCGGTCCAAGGCTGCATCCTAGAACAAAACTGTCAATTACAAAAATCTTCCCCATGGCTGAAAACGTATGTTGGCAAGGTTTTCGGTTGTCCTACTCCAATTTTAGAAAAAATGAAATTTTGATATACCGTACCGGCAACGTTAAAAGTGCCATAACTCCAACCCCCCCCTTTTTATTTTTCTAAATTTTTTATATGTTACATTGAGTTACATTGCACATGGCATCTGGGTCATTTTCGAAGTAGGCGAAGACTACATCCTACAAAAAAAGTGTCAATTACAAAAATGATCGCCATGGTCGAAAACGTATTTTGGCATTTTTTGCGGGTCTTCTACACCCATTTTGAAAAAAATGATTTTTTGAAATACCGTATCGGCAAAATTCAAAGTACCATAACTCCAAACCCCCCCCCCTTTTTTTATTTTCGCGCATTTTTGATATGTTGTTACATACATGTCAAAGTGTTTCTAAGAGGTTTCAAAAGTTGAGACAAGTTCTCTGCAAAAAAGTTACATTCAATATGGTACCTTGGTATTTTTCGAAGTAGTCGAAGGCAACATCCTACGGCAAAGTTGTCAATTATGAAAATGTTCCCCATGGTCAAAAACGTAAAACAGCGGAGTTTCATGCTGTTACTCCTAGCAGTTTTTACACACGAACCCAATCTTTGTAAAAATTGTACCTACCGTAACCCCCGTATATGGTAATTTCCAAAACTAAAATTTCGTGCTGACGTTCACCTATCATAGTACAACAACTATGCAAAATATCAAAAGATTCTGTGTCGGTCGTTTTTTCGAAATGTCCGGCCCTTGTTATGAGAAGCTTCAATCTGTAAAAAACTCTCTTTTAAAGGTTTTCAAGCCATTGAGTCAAATGGCATTTACTTTGGGACTTCATTGGTTTTCATTTGTTGTAAAATTATGTTTAAATTTTTAACAAAAAATCGGAAAAAAAATTGGTTCACCCTAATAGGGGAGGTGCAAAAACTAGCAAAAAATTGAAACGCGTCAAGACATTTCCGGAATTTGGACACTTTTTAGCAAGATATTCACCGGAATGGTGAATATCTTGCTAAATAACGACCTTCCCGTTTTTTTCGTACTTCAATTGATTGCCAATAGTGTAATCGTTAGGTATTGAATGTTGCTAACACAATTTTAGCTATGATCTGACATTTTGTTAGACATGAAATATAAATTTACACCGTTTTTAAGGTAAAACTTGCATTTAAACTTTGTTTTCGGGGTGTAAAAATGAAGTGCGTGTTTCTAGAGTTAGGTGAGCTTATAAATGCAATAACTACTACCGACAGCATCGTTTACAGCTCTTATCGAGGCCACTCGGGACTCTTGGTAGGAGGTTAACCATGAACAACATCATCAACCTTGATCCAAAATTTCAAGTGCGGGTATAAAAACGCGTTTATAATTAAACGCTGATACTAGAACTACAATTTAATGTTGAAACCAGGTAGCGGGCAACATTGTTTAACGTATTATTTACCGTTCCGGAAGTGTCCCTATTCCGGAAATGTCGTGCTGCCAATTCAAAAATCCAAAATAAAAAATGTTCAAAACTCACATCAACAATGTTGAAATTGGGAATTCCATAGTATTTTCCAAGCCGAGCTGTAGCTTCCTGCATGTATTTAAACTTTTGCGGGTTTAATGCTGGCAAGCCCGTGTTCTTTGTCCCCTTGAAGATGGCCGCCATGAAAACCGGACGGCGAAAGATCTCCGCCGGCAATGCGCTTTCATAGTGACCCAACGCCTGAAATATTTACAAAGAAATTGTATTCAGAATACCAGAAACTAGACTTATTTTTAAAATTGATTTACCTGATAATACAAGTAAGAATAAGGTGAAAGACAATCAAAAAACAGATGAACTTGAGGCTTGGGCGCCATTTTGTTCGGAAAAAGCCACCGCTAACGAAAGCCGCGTGGTTTCAGAGTGTTTTTTTCAGCCCTCGTGTGAGAGAAAGTGAGCAAAGAGCATGCAGAGATTTTTTTCAGTGTGTTTATTGCGAACGCTGTTTCAAGGAGTGATAAAAATATTTTTGATGATGTGAATTGCAATTGCAAATACGATTCTTGTTGTCTATGTTGTAAAGTTTTCTCACAACGGCTTTTTGGATTGATAAAAGAAAAGAGTTTTTTATGCGAAGTATCACAAAAACCACAAGGCTTGGAAAACTTTTTGAAAACTTTTTTTGAGCCAAAGCGAACAAAACCTATCTAAAACAAACAATTTCAGAAATCCCGAAAGTCGACTTTATCACAAAAGGCACCTCCACATAGCAAAGCCCTTCTGTAATGAAAATTTTTATCCAACTGCGGTTTGTTACAAAGGGTTTTAACTATATGAGAAAACCGCTTTCTTTGACCTACTCACCTCATTTCACAGGCTCTCTCATGAAGACGATGGCTAAAAATCTCTGCTGCCGCTGAAGTTTGAAAGCTAAAACTTTCAGCGATTGGTTGCTATCCTTTCTTGAGCCCGTACACAAAATCTGATAAAAATCTAGATACATGGTGTACCACTGTTCCTTTCTTATACATAATAGTAGCTCCATCATACCGTTTCTTCAGCATCTGGGCGCAAACAGGTCGCTACAGTGGGGGACCTGATCCAGTGGCAAAAACCGTCCCATTTTGCATTCGGGAAGTATCAAAAATGTGGCAAATGCTTCCCTCTCCATGTGAATAAACTTTGTTTTGAAGGGCGCGCTTTTGAAATCTGAGTTTTTTTACTTGGAGAGGGAAGCATTTTGCTACATTTTTGATGCTTCCTGGATGCAAAACGCCACGTTTTTTGCCATTGGATCAGGTCCGTCACTGTACAAAAACAATATCAAGGTCCAGTACACGCTTCTTTATTTCAAACACATCCTCATCTTACAATGACTACAATTTCGAAGGGATATGACCCTCATATTTTATGTGTAACGCATCACAGAGCTGCGGAAAGCTTTCGACTCCGAAAAAGTGTTGCGGTTTCTGGCCAGCTTGCTTCAACACAATGTATGGAACTCCGAATGCCTAAAACGACATAGGTACTCTTTAATAAGCCTTTTTTAAACAGGGCCTTACTCCTTCTTTACTGGCCATCTCCGTATTTTGCGCCAAGATCTTCTTGATCTCATCGGATTCCGCTCGATCCACATATTCTATGGGATAGTTCAATGTCTTGCAGACTTCAGCAATGTCGTTTTGAGTCTCAAAAAACTTGCGGTCGAGGAAAATGTTGTGCCAGAAAAATCTGACGAGTCTTGTGAACTCATGCGGTTGCTCTTGTAGAACAACTAAGCAAAGTCTCAACGCTTTGATTGTACTGTGTGTAAACAGAGCCACGCCCATGCGCTGAAAAGCAAAAACAAAAAAATGAGTGAATTATTATACATATATATTGTACATAATGCATTGCAAAAGACTTTAGACTTACCTTATCCATGACGACTTGGTTGGCGATCGAAACATTCCAGTATCTGCACAATCTTGGGAATACCTCGGCAATGTACACAGCCTTGACAGGGTTGGCAATCGGGCCGGTATTCTTCGCGGTCTTGAAGATGTCCCTGAGAGAAGAGGGCTTGTATATTACTTTGGCTGGGAGACGGTGCTTGTATTGTTGGAGGGCCTGGAAAAATGTCGAAAAATAAACAAGTGGTCTGTTGATGGATTTGACACTTTCAGATATTTAACTTGACTACGTGTGACGAAAAATATTGGCAATAAATCAGACGTTCTGAGCTCATGAAAAATTCAATTTTAGGCGAAAATTCCCTCCATACAACAAGTTGACTCTTTGGTCGCTTACAATTCGTTGTAACGAGCCCCTACAGTGGCGGACCTGATCCAGTGGCAAAAAATGTGGTATTTTGCATCCGGGAAATGTCAAAAAATGTAGCAAAATGTCTCCCTCTCCAACTAAAAAAACGCCGCTTTGAAAGGCGCGCCCCTGAAATCGGATTCTTCACTTGGGAGGCATTTTGCTATATTTTTCGATACTTCCCGGATGCAAAATGGTACGTTTTTTTGCCACTGGACCAGGCCCGCCACTGTATAAAGCTAAAAAAGAGGTTTCGTTTATGCCGCTCTCCCCGTTTAGCGTTTACTCTCTTCGAAAAAGACCGTTGGATGCGTCGGTTTCTTCGACTTAACGCGATTTAAAACTTTCTGGAACTGACGTGTAATCGAAGTCCAATGTGTGCCCAAGATTTGAAAAAGATATGATTTTTTTCACTTACTATCTTACCTTGTAAATTTTTGTTAACCTTGGTAAAAAAAAATAATAAAGTTTCACTATGTGTTTACAAGTTGGAGTGAGAGATCTTACCGAACTTTTTTACCGCATCTGGCTTCACCTGATCTCAATACCTTACCTCAAACATAACAAACGAAAATGGCGAGACAACATCGAAGTAGAAGTGGATTTCAGGCTTCTCAGACATTGCAGGTTGTCGATAGAAAGAAATAAAGCCGAAATTTTTCGAATCAACAGTACAAGCCACAAAACTTGTAGTTCCAGTCCAAAGGTTAATCAATTTTTTGATGCCATGTGCTTTCCTTGATCGGTCTTACTGTTTATGATCAAAATATAAAACTTTTGGAAGTAATTGTTACATCATTTAACAGTAGTTGCAAAATTTTACACAAAGATAAAGCTGAAGAAAGCTAATTGCAAAACATGTTTTTCTTCCGAAGTGATTCAGCTCATTTCTCATTTGGAATGGTTGTAAACGTTGTTATCGCTTGTATTTACAAGCTGCTGTCAAATGGACCGCAAACTTTTTTAATTTTCGAAAGGTTCTTAAGGAAAGTAACGGGAGGTTTGAGCGATTCGAACAAAGGTTGAGGATCCTTCGTTTCTTATCGCAAATCTTTGCGTCGACAAAAAAGCTTCTAAAATCATCAAGGCTAACGATGAACGGATGACAAGCGTAAGAGCTGAGTTTGTGCTGTTAGGAAATCATCGACCCCAATGGAGTTGGAGACGATGATTTTGCAAATATTTCTCACTGTCTGATGCTGTTCTGCATGGTCGAAAACGTACACCTGAACGATTTGTGCTAAAATAGTGCTTCGTTGTCTCGATTACGGCATATCTTTTTTAAGAAAAAATGTTATAGTATGCCGTCATACGGTAATTTTGGGCAAAAATAAAGAAAGTGAATGTTTTGACAGTCATGACGATCAAGTTGACCAATTTTGGTTTAATTCTGAGAGATCGATTTTAACAATGTCCAGGCTTCTTTGGTAAAACGGATTTTAAGTCATAGCCTAGTAACAGGGCCCACTAATAAGTACTAGTCGTCCCAGAAGGTACATTGACTTTTTGTTTTAGGTTTTCATACGCGACTCCTAGCTCGCACTTTGCAGAAACGAGATTTTCAGAATGAAAGTCGGACAAAATGTGAACTTTTTTTGCGAATTTTGGTATAGAAATTTTCCTGCTTATTTCTTCCATAGCGGGTAAAGTTTCCACAAAAAATCATTTTTCTCTGCATGAAACTGACAAAGATATAGCCAAGAAACGCTTTTTTTCAAATTTGGTGTAAGGATTGTATGATTAAATATGTTTGTCTTGCCTGGCAAAGGTCCCGATTCCTTGGCCGAAGCCACCACCAAGAAATCGGGACTTTTTATTTGTCAAGACAAAAAAAATTTTGATCGCATTATCCTCTAAAAAGTATGCTCAAAGTGCACAAACTTTAAAGAAAATCTGAACGTTGCACTTGGGGTACTTCTCTTGGAAGTGTATAAATAATAAGGCTGCGGCCACAAAATTATATATAAGAGGTAAATTCTACCCTACATATCGGGGTATATTCAAATTTTTTAAAGCCATGGTACTTGTGGTACGTGGTCACGCGTTTCGGTCATATCGAATCGTATGTCCCGCGGCTTGCAGAGCTTAGGACAGGATAAGACGTGTCATGAACAGTACAATAGAAATAACTATTCGAATCTCGTGTAGTTTTTGCTTTTTGTGTGCCTTGTATGTAGAAGAAAAAGATTGCTAACAGGGGAAGTACCACAAGTGCGACGCTCAGAGTTTGATGGAACTTGGCACAGATTTAGAATAATTTTTCCTAAAATACATGCGAGAATCCCAGCTTGCGCTTTGCAGAAACCACCGAGATTTTTCGGTCGAAAGTCGACGAAAGCTTGAGACTAATTTCGGTACGAAAAGTTTCATCCCTATTTCTACTGTAAAGTTTAATATCTCCACAAAAAATCAATTTTCTCCGCGCGAAACTAGCAAAGTAATGGTCAAAAAGTGTTTTCTCTCTGACCGCTCTCCACGTTTAGCGTACTCTCTCGGCCGCAAATATCGTTGAATATCTCGGCTTCGCCTTCAAAGCGCAAGCTAAAACATTGAGGAATTGATATTTAGTTCTTGCCCGACGTGTGTGCAAAATTTAAAGAAAATCTGAGCGTCACACTTGGGGTACTTTTCTTGCAATTTAACTGGCATATTCAGATTTCCCAGAAAATTCTGTAAATTACTGCTGTGTAATTTAACAGTTTATAAGATTTTTAATAAAACCATGACGCTTGAAGCGCTTCTTTCAATTCAATTTGCATCATTTCTATCATCTCTTCCACTTGTATAATTAAATCTTGGCATTTCCCCCACTCCTCAGCCCATTAATTCTCCATAAAATAAACAAGTGGAGGCGTAGTCTACTAAATCTACTACTTCCCATGCAAAAATTGTTTATTATTATGCGTTCGGAGGGCGGCGTTTTTTTGTTAAAGTCTTCGCTTTTTTCGAAAAGAGCGTTCCGAATTCCCTCGCAAACGCTTTTATATGAAATTGCGACGTCCTTCGCCTTCCATTCCCCCACCAAAAGCAGTAAATCTTTTGTCTTTTTTCGGTTACAAACTCACGTAAATTCCCCCCAAATTGTTAATTTAAGTGCTTGATTTTGTGAATATCCAATTATAGCGCCGCTTTTCGCGTGATTTACCTATCGACGAGCCCGTTAAAATGACCTTTCTTTTTCGGTTCGAACCACAAATGAACCGTTGAAGGGTCTCCGTGAGTTCCGTCTGGAACAATGTTTTGACTGTTCGGGTTGAATTTTCTCAATTTTAGACTTTTGATTTTCTATTGTAAAGATTGGCGAGGTGAAGTTTTCAATGTGAAACGCTCGTATTTGAACTAACAAAGGAAGTACTTCAAGTGCGACGCTCAGATTTTGATGAAACTTGGCCCAAATCTAGAATATTTTTCAAAAAAATATATGCGAGAATCCTAGCTGACGCTTTGCAGAAACGACGGAGATTTTTAGGTCGAAAGTCGACGAAAATTTGAGACTTTTTGTCGAATTTCGGCGCGAAAAGTTGCATCCTTATTGCTGCAGTAAAGGTAAATGTTTCCACAAAAAATGAATTTTAAGTCTAATTTTTGCGCACGCATTATGCCCAAGGCACATATCGATTCGTACAAAAATTTAGCTTGTGTTATGTAGGGCAACTAATCATTGTAAGATATTCAGCGACCCATGCTGACGAAAGAATACAGGAAATGTGGAGAGAGGCTAGAAAAAATTTCTCTTTTAATATCGTTGACCTGATCCAGTGACAAAAAACGTACCATTTTGCATCGGGGAAGTGTCAAAAAGTGTAGCAAAATACCTCCCTTTCCAAGTGAAAAAACTCAGATTTCAAAAGCGCGCCCGTTCTTTTTGTGAGGAAAAGGGCGCGCCTTTCAAAACGGAGTTTTTTTTAACTTTTTTGCCACCGGAATAGGTCCTGTAGTCACTGTAGAAACGGTTTTTTTCTTCTAATTTTTGCTCAAAAAGCGCAACTTTTTATGGCGGGCTTCGCGTACAGAAGAGATCCCAACTTTGTTCAAAGTTTTGCCGACTTTCAGAAAATTTTCCGCATATGAACGTGACAAAAACCGTTTTCCTCAAGAACTTTTCCGCACCTGCACAAATAATAGTTTTCAAATTGTTCATTGTAGTAGAAATTGAGCCGGAAATTTTTAAAGACGAAATCTAAAAATGGGTCGGCTATTTTCAAAAGCGATTGACGTAAATATCACCGTAGTAAAAACTGCAAATCATGTTTAAAATTTCAAGCCGGGATTTTCTGCGGCTGATATAAAAAGTCTGTTTTTTCAAATAGGCAGGCGAAATGAGGAGAGATGACCAGACGAAAAACAGATTTAGGAAAAAACTTTTTTGTTTAGACGTGATTTCTCGAAGGAACGTTACACGCCCCGTTAGCTATTGAGTCTAGAATTTGTGAACCGAAAACCTCGAAAAAATGTTTGTTCTTTGGCAACTTCCGATCAAAAAAAAATGTCGGTTTTCTGTGAAAGGCGCAAGCTCAAAGTCTTGCGTATGTCCTGGAAAGTAGTGTACTAACGGGGAAAGTGCCCTAAGTGCGACGCTCAGATTTTCTTTAAATTTTTCATACACGTCGGGCATGAACTGAATATCAATTCCTGAAAGTTTTAGCTCGCGCTTTGCAAGAGCCACCAAGATTGAACGATCTTTGCCGCCGAGAGAGCACGCTAAACGTGGAGAGCGGTCAGAGAGAAAACGCTTTCTTTCCATAACTTTGGCAGTTTCGTGCGGAAAAATTCGATTTTTTGTAGAAACATTATCCTTTACGGTAGAAATAGGCTTGAAACTTTTCGTGCCAAAATTCGGCAAAAAGTCCTAAATTTTCGCCGATTTTCGATCTGAAAATCTCGGTTGTTTCTGCAAAGCGCGAGCTAGGATTCTCGCATATATCTTAGAAAAAATTATTCTAAATTTGTGTCAAGTTTCATCAAAATCTGAGCGTCGCATTTGGAGTACTTCCCTTGTAAATTCAAGTCATCTTTTTCTCAATACTACATGTCGCACGTCAAGGACTTCCCAGTGAAATAAATCTCCGCATAACGTGCCCTTTCCATAATAAGGGCATTTTTTTGGAAACCATTTCCGGCCCAATTACATCCATCCGTTTGAAACGCGGAACCAGACTAAAGCGCAATTTATTCCACCCAAAGTGCGGTGCGTTATTTCGCGGTGCTTGGCCGCAAGTTTTGTCTGCTCGGAAATTGCCGGTCTCACCTCCGGGCCATTATCCCCCATTATCTCGTAATAAAAGCGGAGTGCGTTCCTTGGAATTTTCTCGTCTTGGCAAACACTCCAATTCCCTTACGACACAATGTTTACAATCTCTGGACCTTTGGCCGGGCATTTGCAACAAAAACGGGGAAATCCGTCATCGATATGCATTATGTATTTTGTGGATGACCGTGTTTTGAGGGCTGTGAATTGCGGGTGAAAACATGAAAGAGAGGGGTTTTTTGAGGCTAATGGATTTTATGGGGTCTTGTTTTCAGGATTTAAAAAATTTTAGTTTAGATTTTTTTTGATTTTTATCTTGAATACGTGAGATTTTTACCTAAAAACTGAAATTTTTAGGTCAAAAACTCGAAACATTTTCCCATAAAAAAAGTTGTAAAAGTATGGCCAAAAACGTGCATTTCCCACGTATCTATTTCTAAAACTTTAGCTCGAGTTTTGCAGTGGAAAATATTCAAAAAAAATTGCGAAGATAGAGTACGCGAATGGCGGAGAATGGCTAGAGAGAAGATCGGTTTTAACCGTACCTTTGAATTTTGGGGCCAAATTAACAAGGGGAGTACCCCAAGTGCGACGCTGAGATTTTGATGAAACTTGGCAGAAATTTACAATATTTTTTTCTAAGATATATGCGAGAATCCTAGCTCGCGCTTTTCTGAAACTACCGAGATTTTTAGATCGAAAGTTGGCAAAAATTTGACACCTTTTTGTCGAATTTTGACACGAAAAGCTTCATGCCTATTTCTACCATAGAGGGAAAATCTGAGCGTCACACTCGGAGTACTTCCTTTGTAAATTAAGATGCACTTTTTTATGAATAAACTTTAAGAAAAATTCTTGAATTTTTGCCAGCTTTCAGACCAAAAATTTCGGTTGTTTCTAAAAATTGTATGTCTTAAAAAGAATTCACCTAAATTTGCCCCAACATTCATTAAAATCTGAGAATCTCACGCCGCCCATCTTCCCAGTAAACTTTAAATTTGCAGGCCTTTCATTTCGAAATTTAAATTTCGAAACCTCCCCCTCCTCCCCCCAAATTGTCAGTGGTCTGAACTTGCACTTTCCCGTGTACTTTCCCGCCATCTGATACCTTTTTATAAGGCGCTTTAATAAACCTTGTCCCGCCAATCCGCATGCTCAAAGAATGAGGTTGGACGTAGAGCGGAGCTTATCGCTGAATCATCGCAAAACAAGCCATGACTGAGTTCCGCTGATTATGCTTTAAAATGGCGGGCCGAGGTCTCCAACGTAATGAAACTCTCTTTTTTCGGCGACGCATATTTGGATGAGCAAACAGAAATGTAGGGAATTCTTTCCAAATTTAGATTTTTTAATCTTGCAGGAGGAGGGCGGCTATATAATACTGTGTAATGTTGTGAATGGAAACTAGTATAAATAACGGTTATTTTTTAGTTTTATTTCTCAAACGGGATACTTTTTTGGGGCTTTTTTTATTAGTCATATTTCTGCCACTTTTACCGAGGGCGTTATGACTTTTTGGGTCAGCGACAGTTCAACGATACTACAGATTGCCTCGGTTCCTCATTGTATCCATGAGGGAGGCTAGTAGGAGGCTTTGCTAGTAGAAATAATAAGATTCATCGGGTCACAAGGACCTTAGTAACAGCTATAATAAAATTTGAAAATGTGAACATGTTGCAAGTCTTCGCCAAGTCTCCGGCGAGCCTTTGCCGAGCATTCGCCGACCATCCAACGGCTTTATCAGGCCTTGTCGTTTTATGCATATGAGAGGCTAGGAGAAGGCATAGTTAATAGAAATAACAAAATTTCTCGGGTTCTAGGATAGCTTATCACCATTTTTTTGACGTATTTTACATGTACTCTCATCAATAATATCTAGATAAAAGTTACGGATCTTCGTTTTTTCCCCTCAAATTTTGGTCTTTTGTATGTTACATTAACTCAGGGATAGTTGTGAAGCTGCCCCCAAATTAATACCATTATGCCCCCAAATTCTCCCATTATGCCCTTTGGGGGCATAATGGGAATATTTTGGGGGCACCTTCCAACCTCCTATTTGAGGGCATGTGTTTGGGGGCAGAATGGTATTAATTTGGGGGCAGCCATTGCGTTGTCCTTAACTCAGGGTAAAGAAAACTAACCTTAATAATAGCTAGAATTAGAAAAACTGGACATATTGCAAGTCTTCGCCAAGTCTCCGGCGAGCCTTTGCCGAGCGTCCGCCGACCATCCAACGGCTTTGCCAGGCCTCGTAGACACTTCCTACACCCTTTTTTTGGGCATCCACCTGTCCGACTCCCCGTATCGGTCGATTTTGCGTTGACCTGAACGAGCTCTCGTCGACCCAAAGTCGATACGTGTCATATTTCGGCCAAATTTTCCGAGAACTGCCAATAATTTTCGTTTTTTTTAATCTCATTTTTTCAGAATCAAAATGCTCTCCGAACCCGTTGCGCAATTCTACATTGACAAGCCGGAGACGAGTCAGTCCCGGGGGGTCGACCTATCAGTGCCGCACTTCATCCTGTTCGAGGCGATGGATGATCCCTTCTCCGGGGTGGTCCAGAAACTCTTCGAATATGGACAATGTCCGTACGAGCGGATCGAGGTGTCCAACAACAAGGTTTTGAAAAGCAAAGGTGAGAAATTTCGGGACAAAATAAGAGCTTTTAATGCATGGAAAAGCCTGCCTTCATAGCAAATTATTTATTCTTTTAAATTGAGCGATATGAAGGAGTAAATTTAACCCTTCAGGTGTGACAATATCAAAGTTGCCAGCCCTTCAATTCGACGGTCTAACTCTCACTGGATTTTCGACAATTTGCCGGGCCATTGCAACCCGTGTCGGGCTTGATGGATGCTCAGTAAAAGAGTCGAACGAGGTCGACATGATTGTTAATTTTGTTGAAGCCGAGATGACTCGGCTACGGCCGCTTATTCAACGGCTTGAAGTCGAAGAGACAGAGTCCGATGATGACGATGATTTACAGAATGAACAGCCATTTGCAAGCAAATATGAAGGCTTTGACTTCAAATTGGCCCCAATTCTCGACGCCAGACTACGGTCAAATCGCTCCAAAACACTTGTTGGGAAAAGTGTAGGTTGAAACTTTGATATCGCTTGTCGATTTTATGTATAGGGGTATGCTGATAAGAGGCTTACTCTCTGTCTTTTGTCCTGTAAAGCTGTAGAGGAAGCTCTTATAAGGCAACGTCTAGACGCCCTAAATTTCTGATAAAACTTTTAATCTGCAAATGGTGGAGGTGGAGATTAAAGACTTGGAAGCGGCTTGTTGTACGATTAATGCTATAATCTTTATTTTTTCTTTGATTTACGCGGAGAAATTCTCAAAATGCAACGCTCAGATGTCGATGAAATTAGGCATAGATTTAGATAAAAATTTTCTAACGCATACGTGAGATTTTTAGCTCGCGCTTTGCAGAAATAACCAAGATTCTTAGGCTGCAAGTTGGCGAAAATTTGAAAATTTTTATTTCCAATTTTACCATGAACTAGGAGCCTTTTTGCTATAGCCAGAAGTTTCCACAAAAAAATTAGTTTTTTACAAAAAAAATCACAAGAATATGGGACCTTTCTCGCTGACCAGTCTCCGAATTTCGCCTGCTCTCTAACGCCCAAAAAAGTTGAATATTTCAGCTGCATCTGCAAAGGGCAAGCTAAGCAAGCTCTTCAGCGAATGAAGAGTAGCCCTAATAACATAAAATCTGACCGTTTCTCTTTGCGTACTTTTCTTAAAAATCTACATTATTTTCTCCTTACCACCATTCTAGCTAACTCGTTATAATTCTCATTTCCAGTTGACCTGGGCCGACTACGTGCTGGTCTACTTCATGCGGACACTGATTGAGCATGTGGGTGGGCAGATCCTCGACGATTACCCGGACCTGGCGCACTACTACCACAAGAATCATGCCTTATAAGCTGCATTGCCTTAACCAGATATTATATTTCATCCTTTACTCGGGTTTTATCATAAATGTATATAAACACAAAGATTTGTACCATTAAACAGTTAAAAACAAAGGTTAAAAAATAAATTAGTCATCATTATCGACATCTCCATCCTCCTTCGAATACTGCGAATACATGGCGTTGTTGCGTTGTTCCTCCGCGGTTCCGAGGAGCCAAAATGTCTCCATTACGCCTTTTCCTTTGATCAAAACCTCGCCGCGACTTTCGGTGACATACCCACCCACTACGTTCAGAAGAAAGTGATTGCAATCGGCGGAGATGTGGATTCGATTGGCTGAAAACAAAGCGTTTGTGGAACAGATTACGTATTTTTTATACCACAACTGGCAAGAGTTTATACAAGGTATGGCAAGTGAAAAAATTCATATTTTCTTCGAATTCTGCGCAAATTTTGTTCCTAAATTACACGTCAATTCCCGAAAGTTTTAAATCGCATTAAGTCGAAGAAACAGGCGAATCGAACGGCCTTTATCGACGAGAATGAACGCTAAACGAGGATAGTGGAATACAAAAAAGCCCTTTTTGTTGACAAAAATTCGGCAATTTTTTCAGCGTTTAAGCTTGGAAAATTTCAGTCTTAATTCTACCGAAGAAGACAATATTTCCTTCAAAAAAGTCGTGTTTTTCTGCGGCAAATTGGCATACACAGTGACGGACCTGATCCAGCGGCAAAAAACGTATCATTTTGCATCCGGGGAGTATCAAAAATGTGGCAAAACGCTTCCCTCTCCAAGTGAAAAAACTCCGGTTTCAAAAGCGCGCTCGCTTTTTTATAAGGCAGAGCCCTTCAAAGCGAATTTCTTTCACTTGGAAAGGGAAGTATTTTGCCACACTTTTTATGCTTCCCGGATGCAAAATGGTATGTTTTTTATCGCTGGATCAGGGCAAAAAAATCCCCCACTGTATCTGCCAATTTGCCGTAGAAAAACACGACTTTTTTTGAAGGAAACATTGCCTTCTTTGGTAAAATTAAGACTGAAATTTTCCAAACACAAACTCAGAAAAAATTGCCGAATTTTTGCCAACTTTTGGGACTAAAATCCCGGTTTTCTTGTATACAAAACACAAGCTCGGAACTTGCTAATGTTCTGTAAAAAAAATATTAAAATTAATGCCAAGTTTTATTCAAATCTGAGTGTCACACTTGGGACACCTCCCGGCTTTACTACTTCCTTACGTTTTCCATTGCTCTCCATTCTGGACGCCGTATTCACCGAGTCGCCGAACAAACAATACCTTGGCATTGCCAGTCCCACCACTCCAGCGACCACAGGGCCAACATGAAGTCCGATTCTGAGCTTCATTTGCTCTCCAGGCAAGTTCGGGATAGTGAAAGTTTTGATCGAACGCATGAAGTGGATCGACATGTTCGCGATGAATCTGGCATGTTCATTTCCGTTTCTTTTGGGGAGACCAGACACACAAAGGTAGCCGTCTCCTGAAAGCGCAATTATTTCATATTTTTACAAGCCCTTATCCTAGTGTAACATATAAAATCCAGCTTCTTTTTTGATGACTATTTTTTCAATATTCTCACCGATTGTCTCAACTTTGTACACATCGTATTCAGCGATGATTCCATCAAGTAATGTATAAAGCTCATTGAGCAAATTGATGACTTGTAGAGGAGTGCATTTTGAAGCAATTGTAGTGAAAGATACCACATCCGAAAAGAAGATTGTCACCGTGTCGAAAGCTTCTGGCTCAACGGATTGACCAAGTTTTAGTTTTTCGGCAACTTGTCTGGAAAATTGCTTTTTACAATAACTAACCCCCATAAAAGTACCTTGTAAAAAAAATCTAGATTTTTATCTTGCGCTTTGCAGAAATCACTGAGATTGTTATAGTAGCGGACCTGATCCAGCGTCAAAAAAGTACCATTCTGCAATCTGGGAAGTATCAAAAAATGTGGCAAAATACCTCCCTCTCGAAGTGAAAAAACTCCGATTTCAAAAGGTCGCTCGCTCTTTTTGTGAGGGAACCTTCAAAACGGAGTTTTTTCACTTGGAGATTTTGGTGCGGTCGCGTATTATTGGTCGACAATCCTAGTTCTATCATCACAGAACAAGCCGAGAGATATATTCAACGATCTTTGACGACCACTGAGCACATCGAAATTACAGTGACGAACCTGATCCAGTGGCAAAAAACGTATCATTTTGCATCCGGGAAATATCAAAAAATGTGGCAAAATGCTTCCCTCTTCAAGTGAAAAAACTTCGTTTTGAAGGGCTCTCCCTCATAAAAAGAGCGGGCGCTTTTGAAATCGGAGCTTTTTCACTTGGAGAGGGAGGTATTTTGCCACATTTTTTTGACACTTCCCGTATGAAAAATGGTACGTCTTTTGCCACTGGATCAGGGCCGCCACTGTACGATGCCTAAATTTGCTCCAAAATTTGCCAGAACAATGTGACTGGAGCAAAAAAGTCTTCGCTATACGCGAAATTGTCAAAAAGTAGAAGGATTTTGTTATACGGAGGCTTATTTTTGCCTAAAATTCACTCATTGGCCTCAAAAATTTTTCTTCAAATTATAGACAAGTTTCGTTGTAGAGTGTCCTCGTACCCTCTACAACGAGATTTCACTGTACTAGCCACTCATTTTCAGCACCTCCCACTCCCACCGTACCCTCATCATCAATTTCTCATTGCCGCAATAATCCATGGCTCTTACGCCGCACCGTAATTAAAAACTAATTCCAGTGGGGATTAGTCCCCAATCCCCCATCTTTCTCAATTCTAGCCTCCCTCCTTTCGGCCAATCATCACTCACTTTGGCAGCATACGGTGCAACAGCAAGTCGGAGCGTTTTTTCTCCTCGACCAATTCTTTGGTCCGGTCCGCGACCTCCTCCTCCAGATTTAGGGCGTGTTGTTCGAGGATTCCGAAAACATGGTCCATGAGATTGGCGTTCCGTCCGCCCGACATGGATCTCAGCATTGACCGGATAAGTTCGATTTTTGGCCGTTGCGCCGCCGATTCCGTCCAACAATCTTTCATTAGGTGGATCTGAAAAAATTGCCCAAAAATCATTTTTTAAACAAAAAAATAAAAAAAGCGTCTTACAATTCCCTGATTAACATCCGGGATTGCAGGCTCAATTTCTGGCCGTATACTTCGGGATCCACCCTTTTTGACGAGATAAATTATCTCCTCAGCACCACCTTTCACATCATTCAATTCATAGGCAAGTTTCATGTTCACAAGCTCCGAACAGATGATCCCAAAGGCATAGACATCGGCGGCCGTTGAGATTGCAGATTCACCGTCTCGGAGGACTTCTGGCGCGGTCCAGAGGAGGTCTGGACATAAAAGAAAAAAATGATGCAATGTTTTTGAGATACGCAAATTTTGAAAAAAAAAACTGTTTCAGAGGTTTACAAAACTAATACCAAGTCAAAATCGATGGCATGGCAAAAAAATTTTGGATATGCAAATTTTTGAAATTTAGAAAATATTCCTCAAAACTCAAAATCCACTGTCTGTAAGCCTTTATGACAGTGATTCTTTGACACAAAAATTTTTATAACGATTCTCTGACAAAACTTTTTTTTAAATCCTGCAAATTTAGCGCCTTTTTGAATATGCAAATTTTTTTATTTTGCAAATTTTTGAAAAAAAACTGTTTCTGAGGTCTTCGAACTCATACCAAGACAAAATTGATAGCTAAGTCTTCAAGGCATACGCAAATTTTCTGGATTATGCAAATTTTTTGGATTACGCAAATTTCTGAAATTTTTCAAATATTCCTCAAAATCCAATGCCTATGAACCTCTATGACAGCGATTCTTTAACAAAATTTTTTTTTCATAACGATTTTCTGATAAAAATTTTTTTTTATTATGCAAATTTATGTAAATTTTTGAATATGCAAATTTTTACCTTTAGCATCTCGTTCGCCATCCATTCGCAAAAATGCCAACCCATAATACGATATCTTGACCTGCCAACGGTCATCCACCAAGCAAGTCGAAGACGTTAGGCGACCATGAACATGAAGTGCGCTATTATGGACGAAATGAAGGCCCTAAAACAATAAAAATGAAAAAAATAATGTCTACAGACTTGGGAGGATGGTAACTTCAGTCTCTATAGATATCTTACCTCCGAAAGATCCCTTATCAACGAATAAACAATGAAGGCATCCATGTTGACCGTGCCTTTTTCGATGACGTCTTTGATGCTCCCACGGCCACAGTATTTCCAGATCGACAAATAATCCGGCCCGTCAATACTCAAGCCCAAAAATTTATTCAGATTTTCGTGATCCAATTGACGCATCTGCAAGTTTTCATCATTTTTTGAAGCGTTAAAATGCGCAAAATTTAATATTTCTGAATTTTTCTGACTAACCATTCTGAGCTCCGTCATTTCCGACTCAACCAATGTTTTTCGGACCCGATGTTTTCGACCAGTGACGAATTCATTTTGAAAAATGTACAGCTGATAGTGTTTCGAGCTTTTTACACTGTCAAATGTGAACTTGGAAGTCGTTGAAGGGCCTGATTGCAAAGATCGACTGCTGAGGGATTGTGATTGGTTGCGCTGAAATTTTAGTGGGAATAAGTGGGAATAATAGACAAGGATAGAAACAATTTAGTATACATTAATACGACACCCTACTGTCGAGAATAACTAGCCTAAATTTGAGATTAAAAAGGATCGTCAAAGCGGAATTGGGACTTGAGGGACTAAATAATCAGTCTGGGATGCTTCTTCAATACAGTGGACCTGATCCAGTGACAAAAGACGTATCATTTTGCATCCAAGAAGTATCACAAAATGTAGCAAAGCCACCTCCCTCTTCAAGTGAAAAAAACTCCGATTTCAAAAGCGCGCCTGCTCTTTTTGTGAGGGAAATGGCGCGACCTTCAAAGCGGAGTCTTTTTCAACTGGAGAGGGACGTATTTTGCTACATTTTTGATACTTCCCGGATGCAAAATGATACATTTTTTGCCACTGGATCAGGTCCGTCACTGTATTGAAGATACATCCCAGACTGATTATTTACTCCCTCAAGTCCCATTTCCACCTTGACGATCCTTTTTACTATCAAAGTTAGGCTAGCCACTGTATTGAAGAGGCATCCCAGACTGATCATTTAATGAACTCAAATCTAGGCTCAGGTTGCTTGGTGTTGGTCTTACAGATCTAAGAGCGATTCTAGGCCAAGCATGACCGCTAGGAAACAAAACCTCTCATTGTCAGCAAAAACAAGTCTTCGGATCTGCGCGCCCAGTACTTCAATACTAATGACTCATTCCTCTCGAGCACTCGTTTTACAAAGGTCCATTCACCTCTTTCACATGCACCACAAAGCAGAAAAACTTACTCTATTATACTTCTCCAGTAGTCGATGGGGAATCTGCCACATCTCATTCAATCTTCGTTTTTCCTCACTTTTCGAGCTGAAGTTCAAATTTTAATAAATTTCCCCCAAAAATTCGCTTACTGCACAAAATAGAATGAAGTCCCAAAAAGCGATAAGATCAAAATCACAGCCACACAAATTGCCGCAATAAACCAGCCTATGTACGCCTCCCAGACCGGCTTCGGGCATCCGTTGCCGTCGAAGCCGCAGGTTGGGGTTGACAATGGCGCTACGCCATTTCGAGAGGCCCAAATTTTGGAGCGATCCGTCACATTTATCTTGACATTCAGACCTGTAAATACAAATAAATCGTTTTCTAATTTTCTGATTTTAGCCGGCATTTTAAGACGGAAGAAAGTTACCTTCAATGGCAAAAGTTGCATGCTCAGTCATCCTCTCATCCTCCGCGTATTCCGAGAGAACATATACAGAGTCTCGGACTCCGTCATCGCCAACAACAACTTTCCCAGTAAACCCTAAAAAACAGAAGTCAAAAAAAACTTTTTATGATCAGTAATATGGCCAAAACAACGGCGAAAAACCACATTCCGGGCAGCTAGAAGAACCTTGGATATTCTGCTGGAATCTTTGAAAACCAGCCAAGATTTGTTTACAACACGAAATTCTAACGATTGATTTGGCAGTTAAATGTTGCGAATTGAGTTTCCAGGCGTATAAGTGGCTTGAACAGTTGCCAAAAGGTTAATCAGGCATTTTTAAAGGTTTAGAAACCATTTTTTAAAAGCAAACTCCCATAAAATTGGAAGAGGCGGTTGAATTCATTAGATTCATGCAATTATCAGTACCAGGGAGTTGTCAGTGCAAAATTTCTATCATAAAGGGTCGTACAAAAAACGTGAAGGAAAGTCGGAGGCTATAGCGTTCGGCGGAGGCGGCGCAGAGACTTCGTTTTTGGAATATCTATTTTTAAGCGACACTAATTTTTGTCCATGAAATAGCAAAATTTTAAAGTGCAAACTGAGGTCGCTACGACCTTCTGAAGTAGGGGCATTTTTGCCACAAAAACCAGTGTTTTTCAGTTGAAAATGAACGAGAAATTTTGAAGTTTTTCGGTTGAAAATCACCGAGAATTGTCGGAATTTTTTCGGGGTTTTCGATAAGATTAATATTATTATTGAAAATAAAGAAGGAAATTGCGAAAACGCTGCAAGTTTTGCAAAAATTTCATGGTGAACTTTTGGCACCTTTCACTGCCTAATTCAACTATTTCTTCAACTGCCCTATACTCTGTTTTAAAACTTTTCCACTCACCCGAAAAGTCGGCATAACTATTATCCGAGATCCTCGTCCCATTCCTGTATTGACTCGGATCCTCGGCCAACGTCTTGTTTAGCGCCAGGCCATACAGCTGGATCAGATCAAGGAGGAATGGCGCAAACGCCGAGGCGTTCTGATCTTGCTCGCATTCCTCGCAATAAAAGGGCCACGACTTGATTCGCGGGACCACTTGTTGCATGAATTGTTGCGTCATGGCGGCGGAAACGTCGCTTTCGGAGTCAGCGTGAAGCTGCAAACAGAGTGGCGAGGGCGTAGCTTCAACGTACCTGAAGACTCACCTGAAACGACAGTTTCCCGATTCTTTTCGCGTCCTCGTCCCGGCCGTCGGCGGGGGTGTTGCGGTCGTACCAGAAGGGTTTGTAGTTCGCATCTGCTGCTGGTATTTAGTACAAATCAGTAAGGGGTGAGTAGAATAACGTGATTAGAGAAATTTTTATACCAAAACCGAATAGAAAATGTTTATAAAACACCATCTTTTTGACAGAAAAAACTCTTTCATTCAAAATTTTCTATATGGAGATTTCTCAAAAAAGAGAGCTCAGATTTCTCTCAACTTTTACATGCGTGATATGTCTAGGTCGCTCATTATTGGTCGAAAATCCCAGCTCTATCATCTCAGAATAAGCCGAGATATTCAACGATCTTTGATGACCATTGAACACATCGAAATTACAGTGACGGACCTGATCCAGCGGCAAAAAAACGTACCATTTTGCATCCGGGAAGTATCAAAAAATGTAGCAAAATGCTTCCCTCTCCAAGTGAAAAAATTTCGGTTTGAAGGGCTCTCCCTCACAAAAAGATCGGGCGCTTTTGAAATCGGAATTTTTTCACTTGGAGAGGGAGATATTTTGTTACATTTTTTGATACTTCCTGGATGCAAAATGGTATGTTTTTTGCCACTGGATCAGGTCCTCACTGCAATCTAGATATGCTTAGCAGATCGTTGCATATCTCGGCTTCTTCTGAGATGATAGAGCTGGGATTTTCACCAATAATAAGCGACCTAGACACATCACGCATGTAAAAGTTGAGAAAATATTTTTTCGCCGTATCTTTGTCAATTCTGCGCGGCAAAAGATATGTTAAATTGTGATGAAAGTCTAAACTAAATTTTTCCCAAGTTGATGAAGAACTCTTCTCCCAAAAAATGACTTTCTTCAAGCCTTTAATAGAGATGTTTTCTTACCGGCTAAACTCATATCCGTATCCGGCATAATGTACAAATAATCCGGAGTATTCAGGCCGTAGTCATTTAGTCTGAGGGCAAATTCTCGTTTTTGGTCGACATCGTCAAAACAGAGAAGGACAACTGAAATTAATCAAATAAAACTCATCACTACCCTTGAAAAAATGTGATATCCATCGGCTTACTTCTAGCTCTCTGCTGGATATTAGTAATCGTGTAATTGATATCCTCGTCCTTCCAAGTGTCCACTCGATCCTTGAAACTGACAACGCAGTCCGTTCGGCTTGAGGTTACTTGCTAAATAGTGAAAATAACTCGTATTTTAAAAGGATTCAAATCAACTTAAGAACAATTAAAAAATTAATTTTACAAGGAAAGTACTTCTATGTGGCATGGAGTTACAGGTCGAGACATACATCAAACAAATCGCAAAATTTTTCTGATTCAGAATTTGTAAAAGTTAGCTGCCTAATTTTGATTTGTAAGGGTGAAAAAATCCTCACAACTTATCTCGCAACACCACGCAAACGCCTTTTTGACCAAGTTTTTGACAAATCAAAAGCTTTGTTTTGAGCTAAAGTAAACCCTGGTATCTTGACAAGCCTTACAATATCAAACTTGATTAAGACTACACCTTAAAATTGGACCTAGTAGGTCCAATTTAAAAAGGGGGCATTTGCGTGGTGTTCCGAGAAAAGTTCTGAGGGTTTTTTCACCCTTACAGACCAAAACTAGGCAGCTAACATATAAATATTCTGAATCAGAAAAATTTTGCGATTTTTTTATTTATGTCTCGAGCTGTAACTCCATACCCCATAGAAGTACTTTCTTTGTTTTATTTACCTCCAAATCCCGTTGAAACGACTGGCAACCTCCATCGTCATCGCTTTGAATAATAAACGCGAAATGGGTCCATTCGAACTCGCTCATCACATCGCAAACCACTCGGGAAAAACTAAAAATTTTGTATTTTTACCATACTAAACAACCAAATTTTTTTGACCACAAACCGTTCAACTCACTCCGTATAAGTTGGCATTACATTGATAGTGGTCGGAAAAAGCAAAGGATCCGCAAAATCCGAAAGCAAAGTTCCTCCCCACATGAGCACCGGGATATTGTAGAAAGTACAAAGATGGCCCGAAACTGTGGCCCCATCTTGACAGGGCGATGCAATTAGTGCGTCGATGTGGTTTTCGGTTATCATTTGATAAGTGTAGCCAGCGGCAGTCGATTCTGTGCATTCTTCATATCGCCAAATGATTCTGGAAAACAGGGTGGATAGATGTGACAATTTCACCCCAATGCCCCTCATTTTTGATGACTATTTCTCAAAAACGAAGATGGCTTGGGCGGAAAGTCAAATGATATCTAATACTACTCTCTACAAGCTTTAAAATGGGGTATAATACTTGTCAATCTACCCTCATCAACATTGCCAAACTGCAATCTAAACTTATCAGCACTCTACCCCAATACCCCTCCAAAAACCTACGTAAAATTCAAGCTCCTCGGCAGCACACTCTCGTTGTACAACTTCTCAATGGCGAGTGGGATCGCGCCGGCGGTATTGTCGAAGGTGTACGGTAGGGTTGTGTTGCGCGGCATGAGAAAGCCGAGCCTAATCGTTTGCGGTGCATTCGGCACAGCGGGAGTCTGGGCCGCGCAATTTGCGGAGAGCAAAAAGATCAAGTGGAAAAACAGGTGGACAATCGCTTTGGGGCATACTGTAGGCCTCATAAATTGATATCACAAAAAGTGAGTAACAGATTCAACCAAAATTAGAGACGAATTTGGCCAATAGTCAATAGCTTTTGGACCGTAACTTCGAATACAAAAACGCCTACAGAACCTGCACAAAAACTGGATTTTGAATTCGAACTACGGTGCAAAGTTAATGACCATTTCCACACCTTTGCCTCCTATAAATCTCCGGCAGACTACTGATTCGACCAAATAATCCGTTTCCGTCTCATTGGCAAGCAGATTAAAGCAGCTTTCGAATCTATGGCTTCTGTTGCTCTTGGTCGGAAAGGTGTACGGTAGCGTAATCTCATGTCATATGGGCCAATTGGATGGGTATTGTCAAACACTGGGGACATTACTAAATTACACAACCTTCAAAAGTAATAAGAACAAAAATTTTCAACTTTTCATATAAAAATTACTTTTGGCACAGACCACCCAAAACAACATCAAATTGCATAAAAGTGTAAAGCTACATTAAAAAACTTAAACGTGTATCTGAAAGAACATTCTATAAGCTTTCAAAAAAATATACGCAACTCGCAAAACGATCAACTCTGCTTCCATCATCAACCATATCTACTTGATCACCTTCTTCAATAAAAATCTTTTATTTTTTCACCATAAAATCAATGTATATTGTTAAAAACAAGTTCACAAGCCCTGTCAACGCTTCAAATATCCTATTCTTGTTCCTCGGAGACCACCTTCGCTTCTCGAGTCTCTTTGAAGCCAGGCACGATCTTCTCCATGATATCAACAGCTTCGGAGATATGTTCCTGATCCATTGCGTCGACCGGTACCGCGTCACAAAGCAAGTTCAGCCATTCTTTGGCCTTTTCGGTGTTTCCCATCGCATGATAGACCTTGCCAATGTAGAGTTGATTATCCAAATCTCCCGGGGAGATCTCTTCCATCTTGAGGAGGTCTTCCAACGCCATCTCGTAGCTAGCCTCGGGTAAAGACTCATAGAACATCGCAACAAATGCCCGCTCGATCATGCTGAGATTGGCGATCTAAAAAGATATACATTATTTTAGGTAATAATTTTATCCAAATTATCATGGTGAATATAAATTTTGGGCAACAACTGCCGGATTTTCCAAAATTCTGCCGTCAAATGCCGAATAAATAATCCTAAAACCTGAGAAAGTCAATTCGAAAACTACTCACCTGGAAAATGAATCTTCCCCTCATGTGGAGCAGAGTAATTTCATCCGGCAACTTCTCGATGGCCTTGTCCAAATAAGTCTTGAACTCCTTTCCCAGCGACACCTTCTCCTTCAGACTCAAATGCTCGGCCAAAACACCGGTCACGGTCGCCGCCCACTTCCATACCTCACCATTTTCGGGATCGATTTCCACCGCTTTCAAGGCGTGCTCTCGGGCCTCGCGCAGGAGTTCGATCCGCTTTTCGTCCACATCCTCTTGATTGGCGCGAATGTAACAGGCATGGGCAAGACGGTATTGATACTCTGCCTTGTCTGGGGCAGGTTGCTAAAAGGGAATGGATCAAAATTGAGTATTATCAACAGCTAAACTAAAATATATGACAATCGGATGTCCAAAACAATTAAAATAAGGTGAAAAGCCTCTCAAATGCTTGAAAAATTCTATAGAAACCTCTAAAACTCAAAAACTATCCAAAATTCAGAAGGAAACAGGGGTGGTCAGTGGGCAAAATGGAAAATTACAAACGGGCCGGGCCCGTCACCGGCCGGGCCGGGCCGCGGGCCTGGGGTTTTTTCCGGCCCGGCCGGCCCGTCTAAATTACAATGCCAAACCGTTGGCATTCATTGTTTTCGCGCCGGGAAAATTAATTGATGTTGTTATAGTTGCTGTTTCTCAAGTTCTAAAACGTTTACAAGTCTATAGTTCCATTATAAAACCACAAAACTATCACATTGATCCTTTACTAGCTATACCAACGCCTTTTTTGCCTAAGTTTAGATCCCAAGCTTGGGCGCAGTTCGCAGAACCCTCTATAAACGGGCCTGCACAGGCCGGGCCGGGTCAGGCCCGTCACGGGCCGGGCCTGGAAAAAGACTAGACGGGCCGGGCCGGGCCGGTAATTAGACGGGCCGGGCCGCGGGCCGAAAATCGGAAAAATAGGGTCCGCTGACCACCCCTGGAAGGAAAAGCTCGAGAAAAACAATTCCCAAAATTCAGCCAGGGCGCAGCTCGGCCATCATAAAATCCCGTTTTTTCACCTTTTGAAGAGATTTATACGCGGATTCGCCGTCGTATTCGTCCAAGAATTTGTCAACCTCAACAAAATCGTCCATCATGCCGCCGTCAAAGAGAATGCAATGCCACGAAATGAGAAAAACCGGGCCATGGTTCACATATTTGCATAAATTTGACTAAATCTGTTTTTTTTTGAAATTAATGGGGCTAGAAGAGTGCAAAGGATTGGGAGGGAGTTCGGAGTAGGGTTATACGCACGTCAATCCAAAATAGAAGAAGAAATTTCCCGCCCCTTTTTGGTGATTCGTTCAAAACGAAATGTCACTATCCGATAAAACGCATTTTCTTATCTTTCTTCTTCCTTTTCGAGAAAAAACAATTATTTCGGGCGAGAAAAAGTGCCGATAATTTCCCGACATTTCGTCTCTCTTTTAAACCAATGAAAACGACACGAAGTTTCGAAACGGTTCAGGAAATGCGCTGGATTGACGTGTATACGTAATTTTGAATATTAGAATTTACAAAAATAGGAGGAAGAGAGGACCAGGGCGGGTTTTTTGGGGAGGAGGGTGACATTTTTATGGATTTTTGTGTTTTGGTCCTCTCTTACCATACCCTATATCCGAAATTGTCTTTCATCCTAACCATTATACCTCCACGCTTATAAATCCGCCTTTCCCCGTAAATTACTGTTGAAAATTTAAAATTTATTGCACAATCTTGAACCGGATGCCTCTACTACAAGATAATGCGGCAGTCCGAATTCAAATTCCCAGCGGAAGTCGAAATATCGCCTCCGAACCGAAAGGGCGCTGCAGCGGGCGCCGGTGGGTTTCGTTGATGAAAAGGTGGGGATCCCATTAACTCGCCGATACCAAATCCCCTTTCACCGCTTTTTTGTATACGTCTTCTTGTCGAATATCTCTCGTTTCTCCGTTTTTTCGAATATGTAAAGATTTGTGGAGCGAAGGGAGGACCGGCTGGAATATTGGAATTAATGATTCCGGACAGTTGGAGGCGTGTTTTTTGATTAAAAAAATGATTTTGTATTGCAGTAGGTGTTCAATATCTGTTGCGTCTGGTTTTATTTTTAGCACGCAATATTTTTGGATTTTTACAACAGAAAATCGAACTCTATGGTTTAATATTACATCTAAGAATCGTTAATGTTGTTTTTGCGAGCTGTTCATTTCATTACGATAAGGTTTTATCACCAATGTGGCAATAAAAGGGCCGCTTTATGTGAAACTTCGCAGCACATTACTTTTAGGGACCGTTTTTTCGCCTTTCCCTCCGCTGTTCGCCCTTTTTTTGAGAGTAAAAAATCATCAGTAGCATACTGATAACATGACAAATACTCAGAATTTTGTAGCGGATTAGAGGAGTTTAAAAAACGATGACTAAAACAACTAAAAAGGTTGAAAAGTATACCTGATTGTGTTTGTTTTTCCCAGATTAAGAGCTTTTTAACTACTGAACTTTACGGCTTTTACTTTGGAAAGTAAAATCTGCCTTTGCAAAAACAACATATAAGGTTAGCTATTTTTGTTTTTATCCTTAAAAGTTCGGGTGATTTTGTGGACACTTGTGGAAAAAAGAATCTTCAATGTGTTGAACTGATGGTGTATAGAGGTAGATTTAAGGATCTTAGGGTCTCTTTTATTTCTTGAGGCTTTTTTAGCACAGATTTGGCTGTTACAGTAATATTCCTTGCGGTTTTGTCATCTCATCTTCTCCTCTGCAATGTGCAGTTAATCTGCAAAAATCTCCAGGAGCTTCAACAGATTATTTGCCGTGAAAAGCATTGATTAATGCTTACAAACAGTCTAGAACTTCTTTAAGGCCCTGTCGTTGTGTTACAGCTAAATTTCCAGCTTATTCCTCGGTTTTAATTTAGTTTATACCGGGGCAGATACGTGTCCCAAGGTCATGGCGGCTTTTTATTAACATATATCTAATTTTTTCATCCTTCCTTTCCTAATTATTATATTTCAGACAACTGTCAGCCGTTAGTAGTGCATAGACCGCCATTGTTAGCTCTCCTCGGATTCTTGGGGTTATTCCCAGCGATTTACATATCTTTCTTTGGTAGATACTCTGAAAAAAGCTGCAAAAGCTATAATACATTTTTCTCGAGCCATGGTTGTCTCTAGGCCACATAGAACTTAGTCATTGCCTCATTAAAACGTCTGTTGCCCCTTCCAACATTTTTACATCTTGGCAATCCTTTTCTGACCATATTTAGCTTTCTGAAAGTTTCGCAGCTATCCCAGCATCGGCTAAAGGGTGCTACGAACTTTATCCAGCCTTCCCCAGCCATCTCTGCCTCTTTCTCCATCTCCCCTACACCCCCATTTCATCCTCAGCCCCAATAAAACACCTACCTAGCTGATCTCAATCTCGCGCCTTTTGATGTGTCGTCTGCAAAGTAAAAAAAACGCGTTTTAGCCGAAATTTTTTAAAACAAGGGTGATGGAATTTAGCTCATATTTGATCGACGTGAATTATCATTTGAAAAGACGATCGTCCTTCCACTTCTTCCGTTTCCCATCTTATCATTTTTGTTTGAGAATTGTTTATCTGGTAGCCCCAAGAAAAAAAGGCGAAAGGACGTATAATCTTGAGGGGTGGCGGAAGAAAATGGGGATTGCGCAATTATGGTCGGGTCAGATGTGGCTGTGACCTCCTTGAAGGGTCAAGTTGTTCGTACGCAAGTCGTGCTCGAGCGATTTATGCGGGTCCGCTTCGGTTTTGGTCATGTTCGAGCCATTATATTATAAATACATGGGATTTGTTATGTCGGAGATCATTTTTCTCTATTTCATCGTCTTTTTTAAGCGAAATTTTTTGTTCTGAATTACTATATGAGACTTTTTTTGCAGTAAAAAATGCACAGATCACAATGCAGCCCATTGAAATGTGTCCTAGTGGGGAATGCGGCGGTTGGGAAGACCTCTTTGATAGTGGCCTATACGACGAATGGATTTAGAGAGACATACCGCCCAACCGCGTTTGATAATTACTCTGGTAAGTAGCTATCTTAAATCACTTTTTTATATAAAAAAAACTTTTTTGATTATGTCTTTTAAGGGTCTAATTTAACCTATTTTTTCAAAAGACACCCAAAATTTTTACTTTCAACTAAATTTGAGGGTATTTTAGTGACAGTCAACGTTGACAACAAACCCCTTCGTATGGATCTCTGTGACACCGCTGGAAATTCGAGATTCGACACATTGAGGCCTCTGAGTTATTCCGAAGCCGACGTTTTCCTCCTTTGTTTCAAGGTCTCAGAGCCCGAGTCATTGACCGCAGTTACTGAACATTGGCTGCCGGAACTCAAAACAGTGTGCCCAAATGTGCCTGGTAAGACGACAGGGCTATCTTAACTTAAAAAAACCTCTGTAAATCGAGCTCCCATACAGCGAATCCTGTATAAAACCAGCAATTTCAGAGGCCAAAGAGCTACTTTTTGACCAAAATAAATCTCTGTATAACGAAACTCTTTGTATAACAAAAATTCTCTGGTTCTTTGCGATTCATTTTATAGAGGTTTGATTGTATTTTTTGACAATAGATTTTGCCGAATAGTCGAGAAAAAAGTTAAAAAATATGTACATAAATTTGAGACAATAATGATGACTTTATTTTCAGTGATCTTGGTTGGAACCCAAAACGATCAGAGGATGGGATATGAGCGAAGGAAGCTGTTGGTGGACTCAAAACGAGTCAAACGGTTGGCTGATCAACTTGAAGTGAGTTTTTGAATTTACAGAGTTTAAGTTCTGGAGGTCCGAGCACAGATTTTAATATAAAAGGAATACCAGTTTAGCCTCTGTACAACAAACCGCCATGACGATAAAAATTGTTCGTTGTAGAAGGGTTTATTTATACCGCGGTTCATTTTAACGGTAGACTGACTCTTTGGCCTTTAGAATACAGTGGGAGACCTGATCCAGTGGAAAAAAACGTACCACTTTGCATCAGGGAGGTATAAAAAATGTGGCAAAATGCTTCCCTCTCCAAGTGAAAAAACTTCGTTTTGAAGGGCGCGCCCTTTTTTCTTCAAAAAAGAGAGATCTCGATTTTGAAATCTGAGTTTTTTCACTTGGGTAAGGAAGTATTTTGCCACATTTTTTGATGCTTTCTAGATGCAAAATGGTACGTTTTTTGCCACTGGATCAGGTCTCCCACTGTAGTTCATTATAGCAAAGTTTTGTTATACAGCTTCTCTTGAATTCACTTAATTTTTATGTGATAACAAAAAAAAATATTTTTTTCAGCTGGACTACATCGAATGCTCCGCGTTAACTCAGTTGAATCTAAAGGAAGTTTTCGACCTGGCCATTCTCAACGCCATGAAAAACTCAGCCAAAATCCGCAGCAACAAAGTGCCGGAGAAGGCGAGAGAGCGCCAACCAACCTTCAAAAATAGCTTCAGGCGATTAGTTTCGATGACGAAAAAGTTTTTGTAAAATGTATTTTTTGCTGGTTTATGATAACCAAAGGATCTCATAATATTAAAAAAAAAAAATTTTGTTTGGTGAATAAAATTCTACAACTTTATTTGCTTATTAATAAAGACATTTGGGTGACATTTGGGTCCAAACCAAGCTTCGAATTGCGGCAAAACAATATAACCCAGCTCTTGTTTGATGTTTGATGACCTTCAAACACTGTGCGGCGATCCATTATGCGGCGGGAAAAAGCCCTCGGGAGTTTAATAGGTTTTCTCGGATGCGGGCTATTATTACTTTATTACTCATCGGATGCGCCGTTATTCAATGGCGTAATTTTAATGAGAAATCAACAAAAACGAGTCGATAAAACATCTTAATGCTAGCAGGTTCTGAAAGAATTTTTTGAGCATGCTGATTTATTACGGATGAGGAGTGATTGAAAATTTTAACTTAACACTTTGAAATGAAAAATATTACGTGCAACGTGGGGAACAGTCAAAAAGAAAAACACTTTTTTGACCATATCTTGGCCAGTTTTGTGCAGAGAAAAGTTTTTCTGGAAACATTACGGTCTACGATGGAAATTGGCATGAAAGTGTCATGCCAACATTCGAAAGAAAGTACTAAATTTTAGCCAACTTTTGAGTTAAAGACCTGGGTGGTTGCTGCAAAGTAAGAAGAAAAAATCTCGCATAAGTATTACAAAAAGTTTAGTCTAAAGTTTGCCAAGTTTCAGCAGAATCTGAGAGTTGCAACAAGTAATAAAACGAGCCAAAAATAAACATTTGTTAGCAAAGAAGGCCGCTGAAAGCCGTTGATTAATACAGCTGCAGCTGCCATTTTCTGGCTTAAATTTTTAGAGACTGATTTGTGGCAAGCTTGATACCTCTAGACAAACTTTTAGGGACATCTGAAGACCTGGTTTGAGACCCCCGGCTTCAATTAAAAATGGAAAAAAATGGAATTTCAACGATTTTTCAATCTAAAAAAATCGTAGTCATTTCTCTCAAGCTAAAAATCTTGAAAAACTCTTGAAAAAATTTTTCCTTAATCTGTGCCATGTTTTTTCAAGAATTTTTCATCGTACTACATAGAAATTCAAAAAAAAATCAGTTTGAAAATTCAATTTTTTCCCAACCTTCTCATTCAATTTGAACCACTCCGAACATCAATTACAAGCCACGGAGTCTATTAGCCAACCGAACAGATGATAGTAATAACAACCTTCTCGGACAAGGTCAGCGCATTTCGAACGGCAAATCCGGGCTTTGCCCCAGGTTCGGTATGCAAGGGCATCCGACAATGGGAGCGGAGGGCGGTTCCGGTTTAATGAACTTATCCCCCACACAATGCAATCGTTGATTTATTAGCAAATTCGCAGTTCCGATGCGAATAGCGCGTCCGAATGGCGCTTGCAAATTTTACTCGGGTTTTTATGGCGAGGTGATGAGGTCAACATGTTTTGGGGTGATATACAGAGACGATCAGAGGTTACTGTAAGAAAAAAAGTGTGGCAGAGAGAGGTCAAGATTAATATTAAGCTAGTATAACACGAACAAAGAAAGTGTCAGCTGGCTAGGAATTTTATTTGTAAATTTGGGACCATTTGATAGTCTAGGACTCTAACCTTATCCTCAAGAAGCAAGAATTTTTAAAATTTTGGATACTTTTGGATACCAAATTTTGGCTTATTTTGATGGGTTTGGACCCGTTTCTCCACTGAACACTTTGCTGCATTGTTTTCTTGGTAGAAAAAAGGTCATCAGCTTTTTCTTACCATGTCTACGTAATTGTCATCAAGTTTAGTAATTCCATTTTGATTTCCAGGCCTTTCCGGCAAATCTAAGAAGGGAAGGCTTCAAAAACCTTTGAACCCACGTCAGGCATACGCCACATACTAATTCCTGAAAGTTTTAGCTCGCGCTTTTCAGTGGCAGTCGAGAAATTCGACGATTTTTGCCGCCGAGAGAGTTCTTTTCATGCCAAAATTCGCTTACAAATGTCACGTCTTTGGTGACTTTCGATCTAAAAATCTCGGTCGTTTCTGTAAAGCGCGAGCTCAGAGTCTCGCCTATTTCTTATAAAAAATAATCTAAATTTGTGCCAAGTTTGATCAAAATATGAGCATTGCACTTGCAGTACTTCCCCTGTAAATGTAAGCCAATGTCAGCACTTATGATAGGTTATAGCAACCTCACAGTTATGATAAATATAATTTCCTCTATTCATTTACTGTACGACAAATTGCGCGTTTGTCGCAATCCTCTCCCTTTCCCAATAAACCCTTTTCGAGACTCCAGATCCCCCCTTTTATGTTGCCTCAAATGGCTTGAAGTAGTTCGCGCGGGAATTTGGGAAAAAAGTTCACGCAAATGCCAAACACTCGAAATACATTGATCCGAACGAAACCGCGAACTAATACGCGAGGCTCTGTGCAAATTTGGGTGTGTTTAATTTGGAGGAAATTTTGAGAAATTTGTTTTGAAATTTTAAATTTTTTGCTGACAATTTACATTATGTATAAAAATATAATATTTTTGTCATCATTTACATTGCATAATCTTACTGTAGCTCAATTTTTACTCACTCAAATCCCGGGATTATTAGTTTTTTGACCCACAAACGTCTTTTCAACCAAATTCCCATGAGCCAAACGTATTAATAAAATACTTTTTATCCCATTATGCCCTGCCCGAGTTAGTCGTTTTTTGTTTGGGAAATCGCGCATTTTCCCCGAGACACTTTTTTAAATAGTACTGACTAACCTTTTGAGGGAAATCTTGGCTCTCTTGCCTTTAGAAAGGGAACGTATGCAAATAATTAAGCGGATTTGATCTATCACCGAAAGTCATCAAAAGGGAAAGCCGTGTTTTTTCACGCTAGTCTTGTTTTTAGCGGTTATTAAGGGGGAATGAGGTGATCTGGAGGTTATATTAGTTTTTGAGGTGGCATTTTGAGGATAAAAAATATGATTTGGCCTTATTTGGGTCGAAAATTTCGGTTGTTTCTGCAAAACGCGAGCTAAAAATTTTTGATATGTATGAGAAGCATTTAACCTAAATCTTGCCAAAAAAGTATTCATACTCAATTAGCATTAGTCTCATCGTTTTTACGGCCCATATTAACATCATTACTAGCTATTAAACCCAAAAAAGTTTCCGGTTTTCCTCCAGTTTTTGGATGATTAGTTATAACCCAAGGAAAGGTCAAACATGTGGTAGGACCTTTGCAATCTGTCAGCGGGTTTGACTCCAACAAAATTCCAAATCGCCCAACTGGTTTTTCGCTTCGAAACGGGCGCAAGACGCCGCTCTAATTGGCCAAAATTTGCATTTCTCGTGTTTTGCCGCGGGAAAAAACTTCGGGGGTTTACAAGATAAATTCAGGATCTATGGTGAAGTGATGTTGATATTTTTGATGATTGCGGTTTCCATGACGTCATCGTATTGCATGCTGTCGAATAAAAATGTGGAAGAGCCGTTCTGTTCGAGCGAAGCGGTGCTACAGACGGGAATCGAGAATGCGGGAGAGAATTCGACGGACGGCCAAATGTTTTGGACAACGCAGTTGCTGTTGTCGCTGGAGGATACGGCTTGTTTTATGACACAAGTAAGCAAGGTCTTGGAAGTTTATAGAGACTTATTTTGTCAGCTACAGTGAAGCCTCTGAATGACAAATTCCCATACAACAAAACCCTGTCCATAACCAACAAATTCTGTTATCCCAAGAGCTACTTTTAAGCAAAAATTAATCCCCATACAGCAAACTCCCTTTATAACAAAAATTTTTTTATCGTTGCAATTCATTGTAAAGAGATTTTACTTTATATAATTATATAGTATGTATGTAAACTGATTTAAATTCTTCAGGAAGGCCCAGGAAGACAGAACAAACATGTCATCAAATTTTTGAGTGTAAGACATCAGTATGGAATTGTAAGCACATACGAATTTGGCATCCCAATTATTCGGCAATCTTGCTTATGCGACTGCAACGACAGTGAAGAGATCTGCAAAGTCGAGGATTATCAATATCGGTGAGCAAATTTTTTTATTTTTTTGGTAACGCTGTTATTATTTTCTTTGAATTTCAAGCTCGTGTAAAGCGATGTATAACCTCTTAGAGATCAGAGGCCTCTTTGAAGTAGCCTATCATAACATCTCCTCTTCAGAAACTGCACAAGTTCCAACGTCTGTTACCGAACTCTCCGGCCTTACCAATCCAATTCCGGCTGTGTTTCCTCCGGCCCTTCTTCTCTATGCTGTGAAATTCAAATGGAACCTTACGAGGACTGGAGATTCCAAGCAGTCCAGCTGAAACAACCGAACACGGTATACGTCGTCCAGTACAAAGTCTTCTCAAAAAGAGAGCGACAAGTCGACTTGATCTACAACAAGGTTTTCAATTTCACAATGAACACAGGGCTGAGCTCGGCGACAATTAAATTGAGGGATGAGGAGACAATTGGGCTGGAATTGCAATCAAATCGACCGCATCGACAACTCGAGCCGGGCATGTATTTCTGGCAAAAGGGTCAGGAAAAGAGTGAGGTCAGAGGGAATGTGAGGATAAATGAGCCAAGTGAGAATAGCCTGGAGAAGTTGGGATGGTTCAGATATGAAAAGGGATCGTGGAGGGTGAGAAGAGGCCTGGAGAAAGTGACGAAAGCACAGGTAAGAATACGATTTGATTTGAGGGATCTCGAACTGACCACGGTCGCTAGTCTACAGTCAAAGTCAAGCTCATCAATTTTGATAAAACCTGGGGCCTGTTTCACTAACACAAAGTAAAGTAAATAGAATTATGAGTTAGCGAACAAAAGGAAATCCATGCGAAACAGGAGAGACGGCAGAAAAATGAGGACTGGCCCATTTCTTGATCGCAGTGACTTTTTACGTCCAAAATCGCGGGTTGGCGGTATTATTTGGGTCATAACGTTCTTCTATATGGGTTTACAAGCACCGTCCAAGGATCAGAATAATGCTGAGGGTCTGGGCTGTATAAGTATGTGAAATTTGAGGTTCTAACGCCAACGTTGAAATTATGATGAGGCCTGGAATAAATTGTTTCGCTTTTTAAGCCTGTGCGACCTCCCTACTTTCCGATTTGCAAAGACAACTTGTCATTTTGGTACGGTAGAACATACTTCTACAAAAATTATCATTTTTCCACGTGAAATGGGTAGGGCAAAAATGATTTTCTTTTTGCTCGCTCTCCGACTCTACATATTGGCAAACATTGACGAATTGGCTGATCTTTTTTCCTTTTTTTCTGAACGAACGAAAGCTTTTAGGCTATTTTCAAGGCCACATTTTGCAAAGCTAAGGCGAAATTTTCTTCTGACTTTGATTTTTGGGCCAGCACACATTTTGAAAAAAAGTGTAACACTTCTTATATTATACTATACTCGTCTTATAAGACCTACACAATAAAAGACTTATTTTCAGCATGTTCACGTTGAAAATTGCAAGGCTCAACGGTATCTAAGCTCCTTCGACGCTGAGCAATTTGTCCTGCAAGTTGGAGATGACAAGAAGTTGAATTACGATCTTGGCAACAATACAAAAGATGTGGAGCCATGGGTAAAGGACATCAAAATTCACGATCGTCTGCTGGAGGTTGTGCATTCCGAAGGAAATGCGTTGGGGGTAAGCGACGAGAGATTCTGCAGCTATAATAATATATAATCAAATATAAGGAGAGCTTTGCAGATATTCGTCAAAACAACAGTAAAGCCAAGTGTGTTTCGGCACAATTCCCAACTTGGCGACTTCAGCGGGACCATTCATTTGGACAGTTCGTCCAATTGCTATATGAATCTGACGTTTAAGGTGGGTACTTGGCAAGGAAAGTTTTCAGGGATGCTTGATCTCTTTCAGTCCTCTGTTAGCGGAGACTGGAGAGATTTTACGGCCAGAAGAGGCCAATTTTCAGTCTGTCAGGAAAATAGCTAGCGCAATATCGCCGCGCCAAGGCGTCGCTGAATTGAAAAGCTACAGTGAGGGACCTGATCCAATGGCAAAAAAATGTACCATTTTGTATCCGGGAGGTATCAAAAAATGTAGCAAAATGTCTCCCTTTCCAACTAAAAAACTACGTTTTGAAGGGCGCGCCCTTTTTCCTCGCAAAAAGAGCAGGCGCGGTTTTGAAATCTGAGTTTTTTCACTTGGAGAGGGAGGTGGTATTTTGCTGCATTTTTTTATACTTCCCGGATGCAAAATGGTACGTTTTCTGCCACTGGATCAGGCCCGCCGCTGTATATTTTTTCGCGATATGAATCATTTTCTAGGTGGTGAATCGATTTTTGATGCGACAAAGCGCTCAATATTTTCCCGACAGACTGATATTTGACGCCTTTGCAATTCCTAAAAAACCCTTTAAACTTCAATGCGTAGATTTTTTTGCTGATTTACATTGCTTTTATAGTCCTAGGTATAGAATATTACATCTTGGCTACGTCAACATGACGCGCGGTCTAGAAAGTTTAAACAATTTTTTTATCCATTTTGACCGACTTTGCAAAAAAAAAAACAAAGCAAATTTTGATGACAATTCAGCCTTTGCAGCCCGGAAAATATCTTGCACATAAAAATTGTAAAAATTTCATCCTATTTGCACCTCTGCAACATAAAAATATATATATTTTTTTTTCCAACTCCGATCTCAAAAATCCAATCTTAAAATCCTCGAATTTCCAGGACGTCCGAGGCTCTCTCCCCGGTGTAATTTACTCCGCCGAATCCCGCGACTTTGCCGAGTTATTCTTCCACGTTCATGTTGGCGATCAATTCCAAGAGCTGTTCCGTTCGGTCGTTTCCCTGCCGGCTTCGGTCGATTCCCGGCGAGAGGTCTGCATTCATCCCTACGGCGATCCCTTGGGACAGGAGTGCCGTTGGCTGGAGTTCGTCTCGCAGCCGCTGCAACAACCACAAATTCGTTCGCAATGGACGTTGGGGCATTCGGAATGCGAGGGCTGTAATGAGCGGGGATTGGAGGGATTCATGGTGAATTTGAATCCCGTTCGATGGTTTAACGGGTTGAATACGAAGATGGAAGTGACCGCATTTGCATTCGAGACGGGAGTTATGATCGGCGTTGCGCTATTGTTAATAATTTTGTGTCTAAAGTGCATCGTCCCACTCTGTTGTTGTCTGAAGTGGACGTTCAAGCCAGTTACGTATCGGGGAAAGGCCAAGGAAAAGAAAATCGTCTTTGAAAAGTTTTAAGAGCTCATCGTGCTGTAATTACAATTGCTTGATTTCACTGTAAACAGGCTAGAAGTGCATTTAATATCATAATAATTAAGTTGCGGGTCGTATACATGCATTTATTTTATATAATTTTTTACATGGATATTTATCTTCTGAGTGCAATATTTAGTCAAATTCGATGTGATAATACAAAAGCTAAATACCAAATTTATTTATTTTTTCAACTAGTCACAGTTGCCTAATAAATGAACTATTTATAAAAGTGAAATTATGTATTATGTTATACTTGTGTATACTTATATAGTGGTTAAATGAAGAGCTCAGATCTTCTTTAAATTTTGCACATTGAGCCAAGGCCTGACGTCAAATCCTGTGAGTTTTAGCTGGCACTTTGAAGAGAAACCCGAGATATTCAACGACCTTTTCCGACGAGATAGTACGAAAAATGCGGAGAGCGGTCAGAGAAAAGTTCTCTTTGACCGAGTTTCGCAACGGAAACGCTGTTTTTTTGCAAAGGATTTGCTTAAAATTAGCTAAAATTAAGGCTAAAAATTGCCATGCCTAAATTCTCCCTTTTTTTGCAAAGCGCGAGCTAAAAAATTCAAAAATTTTATATTTAAAAAAAATTAGTCTATACTATAATATCGCGCCAAATTTCATCAAAATCAAATCCAAATTCAGTTCTTTATGCATTGTAGCAATAGTCAGATAGAAATCAAATAATAATTTCATGGCAATAGACGATCGTCGGCTTGCGCGAAGAACGTCCGATATATGAAGGCGGCGATGGTGGCGCCGAGGAAAGGGCCGGCCCAGTAGACGTAATGATAGTCCCAGAAGATCATGGTCGGATTCACAGTCGAGAAGATGGTCGCGGCTGCGCACGGACCAAGGGATCTGGCCGGATTCATGCTGGCACCGCTGATTGAGGCGCTGGAAAATAAAAAATCAGAAAAAAACGTTAATATGGTCATGTGTATTATAATGTTCATAACTCGAGATGCTATGTTTAGATTTTCTTCAAATTTGGAACAAATGTTCTACAATGATATATAAATAATCGCTAAAAGTTTTAGCTCGTTATCTGTCTTCATTGTTAAGAAATTCAACAATCTTTGGCAAAGAGAGAGTACACGAAATGAAGAGAGCGGTCAGAGAAAAGCGCTTTTCGGCGTTATTTTTGCGAATTGTGCAGGAAAAAGTCATCTTATTAATACAAAACTGATATTAAAATTAAAAAAAAAATTCTACACTCCATGAAACGGCAAAAAAATAAAATTTTGGTCAATTTTCAACAACAAAAATTCAATTTTTCCTCCAAAATAGCAAATAAAAAAATCGCAAAATTCTTTCAGAAAATCTGAAAAAAGTACATTTCAAATTTTTCCTCCAAAAAAAATAAAGAAAAAATAAACTGACCCTCCAAGGATGTCCAAGCAAACCGTCATTCCAATAGCCAGCGGCGCCAGCACATTCTTGCTGGTGTCCACCGCGCACATCAAGACGGTTTGACACAAAATCATTGTTAAAATGATCTCTGTAATCAAGCTTTGGTACCATAACGCGGCCGTGTTCGGAATGGTCGCTCCGCCCATCACTTTGTCATACTCATCCAGGGTGAACACAGCCTGAAATAGAGGAGTATTTTCGGCGAAAAGTGAAGTTTTATGTAACACTAAGAGGTGCTTGAATAAATTAAAAAAGAAAATTGAAAAAATTGACAAAAAAAAGTTAAAAAAAATAATGAAAATTTTACTAATTTTTTCAATATTTTGGCCATATCTATGCAAATTTTGCATGGAAATAATTGATTTTTTGAGGAATTGCTTTCTAAAACGTGTAAAACAGAATACCATAATTTCATCTTTCTAAGCGCAAAAAAAAATTTTTGAAAAATTTCGATCTGAAAATTTCTGAAAAAAAAATTTAAGAACATAAAGAAAATAAAAAACTAATAAAAATCACAAAGCACAATCACAACACCAAAAGGGTTGAAAAATGTACATTGCTTGGTAAACATACTCGAACCAGCAACGCTCCCACGAATCCGCCCGACAATTGCGCCAACCAATAGGGGATTACCCACAGGGCATGCAGTTTGCCGGCCAATGCAACGGTCAGTGTCACTGCCGGATTGAAGTGGCCACCACTGAAAATAAAATGTTTTTTTTTGGGAAAAAGACTTTAAAAAAATAACTTTTAATTAAAAAAAGGGAAAAATAAAGAAAAAATTTAAAAAAAAATAAAAAAAATCAAAAAAAAATCTAAAAAAAACTTAAATCCAAAAACAAAAAAAATCAAAAAAAAATATAAAAATCAAAAAATTTAATTTTTTTCATCCAAAAAATCGTAAAAATTATTTTTTTTTTTCATTTTTTCCAAATTTTTTCCAAAAATTTTTATTTTTGCCCCTCTTACCTGATATGTCCCAGTGAGCTAACCAACACAAAAATCGCAAGTCCATGAGCTAACGCGATATTAATCAAAGCTCCTTGGGCCAGGTTCACGGAGATGGAGCCAATAAAGATGAAGATCAAATCGCCTATGAACTCCGCGACCAGCTTGCTCCAGAGGCTGTATGGCCGCTCCTCACCATTTCCCATAATCTCGGTGTTCCCTTCTTTCAAATAGATCTGAAATCAGGCGTAATTAAACGCAATAATTTTTGAAAAATCTTTAAAAATAAAAAAATTACAAAAATATATCCAAAATTGTTAAAAACAACTCATACCTTATGTAAAAATCCCATTTTTGAGTTTATTTTTCGCTCAGAAAATTTTTAAAAGTCTTAAAAATAAAATTCACTTCTTCCGGCTCAAAATAAAAACGATCAAAATGGTCAAACATCAAAATAAAAATGCATGACACCTCAACTTTTCGCACTGTGGGATGCTTTTAATTCGATTGAAAATTGAAATTATTTCGGTCAATCACTATTTTTATACTTTTAGAAATAATCTATAACGTCATAGCATTGTTTTAACATTCAAAATTTAAATGCCATATTCGTTTTTTTGATCAAACAAAAAATTTTGAGGACCCATATTATTATAGTGCAGATTTTGGAAAAAATTCAAAATTTGGGATATAGTTGCAAAAGCTTTGCAACTTTTTTGTTTCAGACTATTCCTTAATAAGTGTGAATCAATATACCACTAGATATTAAAAAAATTTTTTGGTGATTTGCAATATTTTCGCAGAAAAATCAAATTTCCCACTTGTCATCATTTCCACCCGACAGATAAAAAATCCCATTTTTCTCGCCCACCCAACAAACCCTCCAGAAACAAAAAACAAATTCCGAAACAACTCTACCACAGCTCTACCCATAACGAAGAATCGAGGCAATTTATCCGGAAACATGCATAAAAATGGCGTTTCTATTCAACCATACCTTAATTCGCTCCCAAGTCTCGGTCATTCTTTCTTTTTTTATCACAACTCCTTAGGGCAATAAAACCGGCGTCCAAAAAGATGAACAATCAAAAGTTGAGCGTAGACTCTACAGTTAGGTGTATAAGTAGACTATATACTTTTTGGGGATCTACTCAATAAAGTGCGAACAATAGAGACCGATTCTACTCCCCAAAAGTGGCACGCTTTTTCGAGCATTTCCGGCCCTTTTACGAAATTCGCCCAAACAAATCGTCTAGAAAAAGTACAGCCGCTATTGCCAAAATAGCAGCAAAGTGTACGTACTAAAATCCACATCGAAGAAAGGGGAAATATTGCCGAAAAGTTTGCGAAACCTGAATCCCTGCAACTTCAAGTTCGCTCCGGTCGCTGTTCTAAGTGCGGAGTAAAAATTCTGTGTTTTTTTACTCCTTAATGTTTACCCAAGTCATCGACAGAACCGGCAAGTGTTACTAGAGCAACGAATGCTTCTCTTCGATTCGAAATTTCGTTAGAGGTACAAGGGAGCTGTGGCAAAGCTGTCGATTAAGGACAATGTGTACACAGATGCCGACCAAAAAACATGCGTATGTAGGGACGTCTTTGAGCCCACAGTTGGAAGCTGAAGTCTGTACTAACAGGGGAAGTGCTCCAAATGCGCCGCTTAGATTTTGATAAAACTTGGCACAAATTTAGATTAATTTATAAAAAAATATATGCGAGACTCCTAGATGGGCGCTTTGCAGAAACCACCGAGATTTTTAGCTCAAAATTTGGCGAAAAAATCAAATTTTTTTGCCGAACGCGAAAAGTTGCATACGTATTTCTACCGTAAAGGGTGATGTTTCCACAAAAAATCAATTTTTTCCGCGAGAAACTAGCAAAGTTATGATCAAAAAGTGTTTTCTCTCTGCGCTCTCCGTTTTTCGCGCACTCTCTCGGCAGAAAAGATTGTGGAATATCTCGGCTGCGCCAGTAAAGTGCGAGCTAAAACTTGCAGCAATTGATGTATAGTCTATACCCGTCATGTGTGCAAAATTTAAAGAAAATCTGAGCGCCGCACTTGGAAGCCTTCCTTTATAAGGGAGAGGGAAATATGGCAATAAAGCTTTGTGAAAAATTGATACCAATGAAAAATTTTGTGGAAAAATCAAGTAGAAAGTAGGTAATAAACAAGTAGGTTCACCTAAAATTAAACCTCGCACAGCAAAACCTGTCTATTACAAACCTTTTCAGGGGTCCGAAAAGTCAGCTTGAGGTCAAAATAAGCGTCCTTACAACAAAATTTTTCTTTAGCAAATACATTTTTTGTTCTTTGCAATTATTTCTACATACTGAAACTTGACTTTAATGACTTCGAAATAAATTTTTCTCCTTATTGTCCTTTTTTATTTGCGTTGAAATTGGCGCCTGTTCGATAGATAACTTTCCAATCAATTAAAGAAATTTTTAGCTTACGTGTTACCATTTTGACCAATAAATTGAACCAATAAAATGGTCGGTGATACGACGCTTATCAGGAAAAGTAAACTTTCGTTTTATTTTTGTCAATTTCGACCAAAAACAACCAGTTTATCACCAAAAAAAAAAATGCTGTTGTTTTGGCAAAATTTGACTCAAAATCTCAATGACTTCTGAAAAACACAAAATCAAAATTTTAAAAAATCCCAAAAATCCCTAGAAATGTTGAAATTGCAATTGTCATCAATTGTCTTCAAAATCTATGCGTTAAAAATTTCACGGAAAAAGTTCCTTATTTTGGCCACAACAAAGGTACTCCGCGAACTGCGCCCAAGCTTGGGCACTAAAGTTAGGAAAAAACGCTTCGACCTAGCTGGCACTGAATTACTATAATAGCTCTATAGTTTTAAGGGTACCTGCGAAGGCTGCGTCGACTCATTTAGTTCCATACGGAGGCAATAAGTTTAGTTCCGGACATGTTTCATCGTATAAAGTGTAAAATCACAGGCTGCAGCCGTTTTTGAAGGGTAAGGTGGTACGTATTAGGTTGATGCAAAAGGAATTGCGGATTTTTTAATTTATTCGTATTTTTTTATAGGATAGCTCAATTCAAAAATGGAAAAAAGTATATAGTAGTAAATTTTAAGAGGATTTTTCTGTATATGTGCTATTCTTATAAAAGTTATCAAACGTTACCATAAGTTACCACGAAAGTACTCTAAACATGTTAGTATATTTTAAACCAATTTTTTTACATATTGTTTTGCGGCTTTATCCATTTTTGAAAATATTTTGATAAAATACGTTATATTCTATCAAAAAACAAAAAAAACCCCCATTTTTGGCAAAGCGTTAAAACGCTATCCCAAAAATTCAAATTTCAGCAAATTTTACAAATCGTGTCATATCTTTTTTAATAAGTCCAAAATAAAAAATTCTTTTTGCTTTCGATTAGTAACAACATTTTTAAGGCTTTCGTGACAAAAAACATCAAAATCAAAAAAATTTATTTTTTTGACATTTTTTGTCAAAAAAATAAAATTCAAGATTTTGATGTCTTTTTTTCACGAAAGCCTTAAAAATGTTGTTACTAATCGAAAGCAAAAAGAATTTTTTATTTTGGACTTATTAAAAAAGATATGACACGATTTGTAAAATTTGCTGAAATTTGAATTTTTGGGATAGCGTTTTAACGCTTTGCCAAAAATGGGGGTTTTTTTTGTTTTTTGATAGAATATAACGTATTTTATCAAAATATTTTCAAAAATGGATAAAGCCGCAAAACAATATGTAAAAAATTGGTTTAAAATATACTAACATGTTTAGGGTACTTTCGTGGTAACTTATGGTAACGTTTGATAACTTTTATAAGAATAGAACATATACAGAAAAATCCTCTTAAAATTTACTACTATATACCTTTTTCCATTTTTGAATTGAGCTATCCTATAAAAAAATACGAATAAATTAAAAAATCCGCAATTCCTTTTGCATCAACCTAATAAAAAAGAAGGTACCTCACTAACTAAATCCACTGTCCGGGCATTGACAACGATGAATTGAGCGTGCACGCTAAATTTGGGCTAATTCCGACCAGTTTCCGCAAAGTTATAAGATGTGGCCAAAATAAGGAATTTTTGCCAATTTCACAATTTTATCCATTAATTGCGATTTTTAATAGTTCAAATCTCCCTATTTGCCCCTATTTTGCCTACCTTAACTTTATTGCCAAATCCTCCTTCGCCCGCCTCCTCCTCTGGCATTGCAGCCACAGCCTTGGACTTGGACATCCCGCAAAAACCCCCGAATCAATTCAGTTTTTAATTTAAAAATTGCGAAACAATTGAGTTTTGAAATTTACTAAACTCTGCCAAGTGATTTTATGCTAATTCTGAGAGTTCTTCTAATTTGAAAGAACCAAAAAAAAATAATTTTTTGAACTTTCGGAAAAAGTTGTTTGATAAAAAAGGCAAAATTATGACCTCTTTAATTAATTCACAGCCCGTAAAAGGGCAATAAAATTCATAAAATAGCTCCAAATTGTTCCGATTCCAAGAAAATTTAAACTACAAGCTGTAAGCGGCTATAATACCGATTAAAAAAATCTATAGTGCCTATAATTCACTCTCATCCGTCATCCACAACTACCACATCTTAACTGAAGTCGGTTTTTTAATTAAAATACGATCGGACTTTATCTACGAAGCATAGAAAAGGCACAGGTAAAGGCAAACCCTAATATTGGCGTAAGGAAAAAGGAACAAGGAGGTTATAAGTGGAAAATTATGAACATATATTGCTTTTAGTCATCAATTTTTGCCGAAAATTGGCAAAAATTTATATTAGGGTTCGACAAAGCGTATACGAAGTTTTCAGCTTGCATTTGACATAAATCATCGATATTCTTTTGTCGAAACTTGGCCAAAATTCGAAGCATAGTTGCAAAAGGAAGGCAAAAAATTACACAAACGTTCCTACAAAAAACCGTTTCTTCTACACCAAAGTTGTAACGATAAGCGACGGTAGTTTTAGGTCAGAAAGTTAAGCTTATTTTGCACAAAATAAAGATCGCTGAATATCTCGGTTGTTTCTGAAAGACGCTAGCTGAAATTTTCAGAAACTGATATACCAGCCTGTCGAGAAAATAATGAACAAATTTTTTGTTACTACGACGGCACAATGTCGTTGAAGTAACCCACAATTATTTTGCTAGCAAAAACTCAAGTCCAATTCAGCCTCTTCTTTGCTTCTTAGCCAACAAAACCCCGTCATTTACGCCCTCTCTTATCAAATTATGTAATTTTTCGATTAATCTGTTTTCAGCAAACTCTTAAGCAGCCACCTTCTTGCTCCTTTTTTATTTCCCAAAAACAAATCATTTCCAAAATTTGAAGCCATAAAAATTTTTCATAATCATCATTATCAAAAATTTAGCTACCAAACTCACTTACATTTCTATCCTGATTTTCGTTGTTTACCGTGAAACTCCCGCTAGTTCTGCCGATGAAATTCTTCGACATGCCTTGCGGACTGTGATGGGAATCATTAAAATGATGATTTAGGCGCTTCATATTTATTATTGCTATCATTTTTATCTTGTTCAAACATACGAGACGCTCGAAGAAATTGGCTTAGACAGACTTTCGGGGGAGTTTACAAGATTATTTTTGCATCAAGTCTGGGGGAAATAGACAAAATTTTATAGATATACATATTATATCTATAAAATACATTGTTTAAATGATATAGAAGGGTGGTAAAAGTTTACTGCGAACCCTGCGAAGGCCGTTGAATGCTCGGCGGACGCTCGCCGAGGGCTCGGCGGAGACTTGTAATACCTCAAAACCGGTGATAAACCATCCTAGGACCTGATCCAGTGGCAAAAAACATACCTTTTGCCTTCCGGAAGTATCAAAAAACGTGGCAAAATACCTCCGTCTCCAACTAAAAAATTCTCCGTTTTTGAAGTCCCTCACAAAAATAGCGGGCGCGCTATTGAAATCGGAGTTTTTTCACATGGAGAGGGAGGTATTTTGCTACGTTTTTTGATTCTTCCCGGATGCAAAATGGTAACTTTTTTTGCCACTGGATCAGGCCCGCCACTGTAAGCATTATTTTTATTAGCTAATGCAAGTCTTCTAAAAGCCTTCCCGCCATGCACACAATGAAAAATTGAGGCACTCCAAAGGTATCGCTGACCCAAACATGACCCGAAAAATCGTTACGACAAAATTAGCAGAGAAGAGCTTGACATGTGAACCCTCAGCTTAGCAAAACTTGGCATAAATTCGGTCAATTTTCTCAAAAATTTAAATAAAAGTCCAGCAACATTTTCCCTGAAAAATTACTTTGTTTTGAGTAAACACACTGTTCAATTTGTAACAAAAAAGTCTCTCGGTGAAATGTCATTATGATTAAATTACGGTTTCCAAATTAACATACTAAAGAAATAAGGAGCCAACAAAATCTTTCATTGCAGTCCAAAATAAAATAAAAAAGTTATTTACATGTCGTATAATTCGCTTGCAAAGTCAAAAAGAAAAAACGAAAAAACATGATGTAGTTCCTTCTTCGCCAACTGATCAAACATGTCGTAATGTCCAGTCCATGTATTTATATGTTCTTTTCCCAAGAGTCGAGCAGAATCCTAGAATAGTGATTAACATTACAATGTGGAGCACACGTTTTACTGCCTGTTTATGCATAATTTCTTTTGCTACAAAGATGGCAACATCGGAAAACATTACTTTAGCTAATCTTCCGGTAACATCAATTGCTTCTTCAAGCAGCACTAGTGTATCGTCCACCATTGGTCTTCTTTCCTCCACCGCTACTCCAGTACCAATCGTCAAGCCTCTGGAAGCAATTACTACTAGGTCTGCCACATTGAAGCCAACATCAGCAGTGAGAGTGACAAGTCTGGCGCCTCAAAATGACACAAAGCCTTTTCTGGTAAGCTTTATTTTACATGACTTACAATTAGTTCGACAACGAGATACCAAATACTAGGCGACACACAAAGAAACGTCTCTATAACAACTTACAAGAGCCCAAAAATTTTTTTTTGTTTTACAAGGGAGGTACCATAAGTGCGACGCTCAGATTTTCCTTGGATTTTGCACACATGTCGGTCATGAACTAATTATATTTATATCAATTCCTAAAAGTTTTAGCTCGCGCTTTGCAGGCTCCGCCGAGATATTGAACTACCTTTTCCGCCGGAGCGCGGTAAGAGAAAAAACACTTTTTGGCCTTAACTTTACTAGTTTCGTGCGGCAAAAATTGATTTTTTGTGGGAACATTACCCTTTTTGATAGAAATGGGCATGAAACTTTTCGTGCCGAAGTTCGGCAAAAAGTCTCAAATTTTCGTCGACTTTCGACCTAAAAATATCGGTTGTTTCTGCAAAGCGCGAGCTAAGATTCTCGCATATATCTTTAAAAAAATTATTTTAAATTTGTGTCAAGTGTCATCAAAATCAGAGCGTCCCATTTGGAGTACTTCCCCTGTTAATCCGATTTGTTAAACAGTAGTTTTACTCTCACTTCCAAGAGTTAACATTAATTTTACAGGACATCAAGGACTTGGTCGGTCCCGAAATCTACCAGAAGCTCTCTCAAGTCTATGCGAACAAGAACCTCCTTGTTGTGGTAAGCCCTTTTATTCCTCCCTCCAGTTAACTTGCTCTCTTTTACAGGACAAATTAAAAGAGCTGGATGACATTTTCATGACCCTAAATGAATCAACCCTGGCCAAGCTGCCCACTCCGAAATCATTTCGAAATTTGGACGAGGAGTTTCAAAAGCGAGTCCGGCAGATCTACTACAACAAGACGATTGGATTCGAAAACAAAGTTCAGGCCTTGCAGAAGGTGTTGGAATCGCTGCCTGCTGACAAGCTGAAGCTGGTCCCATTGCAGGCCGACTTGCCTGGACTCATTGACTTTGATGTTCCGGTTTTGCTGCAGTTCAATGGGCAGATTGTGAGTGGGCCATATGTAGTAAAAGAGGCCTTAGCTACAGACACCAAAAAACTAATTGCCGACAACTTTCTATGTCATACACCTCACTTTCAGGAGACCTACTTACTCCGCGACTATCTCAACAACGACGAGTTTGATGCGTTGCGGAGGATCGTGGAAAGAAAGAACATCTCCGAAGTGGCCAGAGCCAAATTGGTCGGTAGATTGTTGCGCACCGCCTACGAAAGGGATGCCGTCAATTTCCCCACTCCTTTGTCCGATGATCTTCCATATGTCCCAGAGGCGATTCGGAAGCTTGGAATTCATCTAATGTTCTCAAAGAATCCGTTTGACAACATTGAGAGTTTCACAGCAGTGCTGAAGACATTGGAAAAGAAGAATGTGGTAAGTAAGGTGAGGAAAGCTGGCCCTGTCCGATTTAAAGTCACCCAGGATGGTCGTTTGGCTCTTGTAGCGCGATCGCAATGTCTGTAGAATAAAGAAGTTGCAGTATGGGTCTTGAAAACAGCACAGTCCGCATTTAAATTTCTATAGCCCGTCAAGAAGTCATCGGGGTCTGAAGGGGGCGACCGCACCTTCATACCTACAATGGGGGACCTGATTCAGTGGCAAAAAAACGTACCATTTTGCACACAGGAAGTGTCAGAAAATTTTGCAAAATACCTCCTTCTCCAAGTGAAAAAATCCGATTTCAAACGCGCGCCAGCTCTTTTTGAGAGGGCCCTTCAAAACGAAGTTCTTTCACTTGGAAAGGTAGGCATTTTGCTATATTTTTTGCTACTTCCCGGAGGCAAAATGGTACTTTTTTTGCCACTATACCTGTAGAAACTCCACGTTACTATCATATATGTATATTTTCAGACCAAGAAACGAAACGCCATGCTCTCCAACTACAATCAGTTCAAAGACTGGCTCGCCCTCTCGGCCTTTGTTCGACGTTACATGGCATAGCCGTCATCATACGCAACATACACCCCTTTTTCTTTCCATTTCAAGCATCTGCCTGCCCAATTTCATGCCCATTGTACATACCACACGTATATAATCCTTGTCCTTTCCCAGTATATTATTTCTCATAACGCATAAAAATAAAAATTGAATCAGACGGATATGTCATTTCCATTGCTGCTCTTCGAAAATTAAAAGAAATTATTTGTCTTGGCCCTTGAGGGAAGAAGCCTGGAAGTTTTTCCATTTGAATGTATGGACACTCAACTCTTGGTTATTCTAATTTTCGCCTACTTCGTTACTGCCGTCAGAGCTGGGAATCAAATTTACGCAAGGTTGAAGCGTAAGTCACGACTTTTTTTGGAGGTTTAAAATACGTCATCTTCATTTGCCGTCGTGATTTTGCAGACCATGAAATCTTGGTAAATTGGAAGGTAGATTGGGAGAGTCAGGAGATCGAATTTGATTTGGCCGTACGAGGAAAGCCCTTCAAATGGCTGGGCTTTGGATTTTCGGATCATGGAAAGTGGGAAGGAAGCGATCTTTGTGTGTGGAAGAGAGGAGAGAGGTATTTGAAGGTAAAGTCTAAATTTTGATAAAAATTCTGCAAAAACGGCCACGGTTTCTGTAAATTACAGTAGAATCTATATAAAACAAAATATCTTACAACAAAGCCTGTATATAACGTACAATTGTAAAAACCTTGAAGGTGAATTTTGGGTCAAGGGAGCCTCCATGGGTCAAGGGAGCCTCGCGAAGCTTTTCTATCGAGAACAAACCTTGTGGTCCAAGATATGTTGCATAGGGGTTTGTATGTTGCTTACCGCCTCATTGGAAAAAGGGCCTTACAAGGGATCGGCAAATAGTTGTAACCTGCTTTCTTAACGAAACCTATATCATTTGAAAGAGCATTAAAAATAGTTCACAGCGCAAAAAGAATTAGCTGCCTAAATTCACTTTGGACAAAGTTATGGCCAAAATACAGATTTTAGCCTAATTTCCGCCTCGCTTTATAAGCTCTCGGAATGGCAACAGAGTTGTGTCCAGTTGGCCGAGTGGTAGTGAGCCCACTTCCGGCGCAGCGAGTCCTGGTTTCGAATCCGGTCTCTGTAAATATTTTGCGTTTCGTCTCTTATATGCCACAAAACCATGGTATGTTGACATTTTTTAATAATTTTTGTTCCTCCGCAGACAAAATCCATGGTTACGCAATTTTTCTGAGTTTTTGAATTTTTTTGAAACGACCACAAATTTGATGGTGATGAGAGTGGGTATGTCACTATCGTATAATTCCAAGGGTGTTATGCCAGTAGCCTGACCGATTATGATTGCTGGAGGATAATTCAATTTACAAGGGCCTATAAATACTTTTTCTGAAAAAATACGAAGATAAAATTGTAAAATCGGCCAAAGACACTATTGCTGGCACAGTGGACCAACCATTGGTAAGGCTAGGACATAAGAAATTTTCGATTTTGAAATTTTTGTTTGTGAATGACCACGACGATCATATAAATCTATTTCCAAAGCTTTTTGCTCCAATTTTCCCTTTAACCTAGTTTTATTTACAATTTACTGTAACCAGCAGTAATGTCTAATAACATACAACCGAGGATTGGTAAAGCCATAAAACGACCGTGATAGACGCTTTTGGATACCAGAAAATTAATAAAGACAATTTCAAACCGCCAGGATTACTGTAATATAAGGAACCGGCGTTTTGGCCGCATATAACCCCTTTCAAAAAGCGGTCGTATCTATGCCCCAAGGTAATTTAGGCAGCTAATTTTTTTTGCGCTGTGCACTATTTTTAATGCTCTTTCAAATGATACATGTTTCGTAGAGAAAGCAGGGTGCAACTATTTGCCGATCCCTTGTTAGGTGATCTTTCAATTCCTTTGAAACAGAGTAATTTTTATTCGTGTCTTTAAAATCTTAAATTTATTCTTATATTCATATCAAAATGAAACTTTAATTGACCTAGTATAGCTCCGCAAAGCTTCTCAAATTAATTTCCAGGACACCCACATCCGCTCCAACCTCTTTATCCACACCGATGCCCATCAAGATTGCCGTATGGTAAAAGTGAACAAAGCCAAAAATCGAATCAAATTTCTGCGGAAATTTGCGACTTGTGATCCCCGTGACTACGCTATTGAATTTGGAACAACACAATTCCTCCTGGCGATCGCCCCACGTGTTCCAGTCACGCTGAACTCGACCTATGTGGAGAAAGCGATTCATTATTCGAGTATTTTGGAGAAGCCGGTGCCACAAACCGAGCTGGAGGAGGAAATTCGAATCATAAATATCACCGCGATAGATGCGGAAGTTCCATCGGTAGTGACGTCATATTGGTGTGGGCTTTTGGAACTGCCAAAATATCTTCAAAGACAGAAGCATCATGCCGTGAGATTTACCGCGTTGATCACTCCCGGCAATGAAGATATTGTTCATCACATGGAGATTTACAACTGCTACAAGTATGTGCCGAAGGGAACAAAATTTAATGGAAATTGCATGGAAAAGCCGAGGGTTTTGCAGTCATGCAGCAAAGTGGTGGCGGCTTGGGCTTTTGGCGCTGATGTAAGTGTCATTTTGGGAGGTAGCTAGTTGACAGGGGAGGTCTCTCTAAGTACGAAGCTTAGGTTTCGATGGAACCTACCGTAAAGTTGTATCAGTTCGTTGAGAAAATAATTCGGACTTTTTTCAAAATGTCGGAAAATTGGTGCCCTAAATGGTGATTCCAAGGCGCGATGATTTCGAATTATTTTTCCGACAGACTGATAAAAAAAATATTCTGTAATAGGATATTTTTTATCATTAAATTATAGGCGGAATATAGGCAAAAATGAAGCATATAGCTGCCTAAAAAAGGCTTAAAATTCAAAAATTTTTTTTGGTGGGGATATGCAAATTTCGCAAAAAGATGGCTTAAAAACGTATTTTTTCTCTAATCGGCAATTGCCGTATCGCTTCTGGAAAGTATGAGCTTAAATTTTCAATAATTAATTTGTGACTTACTTAGACCCTTTATGCTTATCTCTGAAGATGACTTGACCTTTTTATTATGACCTATTCCTTTATAAAAACGTAATTTATTCTTATTACATCTAAAAATCATTACATCAATCCTCCATTTCAGACCCTCGACTACCCAAAAGAAGCCGGAATGCCGGTTGGCGGAGAAGGCTATGTTCCGTATTTGATGGTGGAAATCCACTACAACAACCCGTTCAAGCACCAAGGGCGGATTGACAACTCCGGCTTCACAATCACATTGACCCCTCAGCTTCGTCCCAACGACGCTGGAATCACCGAATATGGGCTGATTTATTCGGATGCCAACAGTATTCCGCCAGGGCAATCGGCTTTCGCCATAAGCGGATTTTGTGTGCCACAGTGTACAAAGCATCTGCCTAAGGGTGAGTTGTAAAATTTTGTAAATTTGAAGTAAAGACCTCGTATTTTACAATAATTTTTAGATGGAATTCGAGTGTTTGCGACGCAACAGCACGCTCACTTGACCGGTCGAAAAATCCGGACCGTTCATTATCGCAAGGGCGTCAAAATGGGCTACATAAACTTTGATGACCATTACACAGCGCATTGGCAAGTCATCAGGAGGCTGGAAAATCATGTTCATGTGCTTCCCGGCGATGTAATTCAAACAACTTGCAGTTTTGAGACCAGCCATCTGAATCGGTGGACTTGGGTGAGATATTTGAATCATTTCTTATCAATTCTTATCGAGTTTTCAGGGCGGATACGGAATTGATGATGAGATGTGTGTAAATTACATGTTCTACTACCCCGCCTCGGACCTGGAGGTGTGCAAAACAGCAATCTCGAATATCACGTTGGACCACTTTTTCAAAAGACAGTAAGTTTATAATACTACTGTGAGAGATCTTTCCAGTCTTCCAAACGAAAATCTAACGGGCCTTGGGATCCACGAAAAATATGAGAAACTAAACTTGGATGAAGAATTGGTGCAAGAATTGAGTGAATGGTACGATGTGCAGCCGCTGAAAGTGGATTGTTTGGATCACAGTGGGCAACTTTTTCCGGTGAGTAGTTCTTAAAAAATATGCGGAAAGCAATATGTACAGTGGCGGACCTGATCCAGGGGCAAAAAACTTACCATTTAGCATCCGGGAAGCATCAAAAAATGTGGCACAATGCCTCCCTCTCCTACTAAAAAGACTCCGTTTTGGAGCACTTTCCCCCACAAAAAGAGTGGGTGCGCCTTTTCCACTTGCAGAGGGAGGTATTTTGCTACATTTTTTATGCTTCCCGTACGTTTTTTGTCACTGAATCAGGTCCGCCACTGTAGGTAGCGCTTGAATTGCGAAGACTTTATTTAAATTCCGATTGCCGTGTTTGTGTGGGCCATCTTTAAGCCGCTGAGGATTTTAGCTTGTTGTTTGCAGAACTGATTTTTTTGGGGAAATTTAATTGACGCCTTGAGGAAGAGAAGATAATTTTCCTAATTTTCCACAAGCAAAAATGTTCAAATTTGCCAAGTTGGTTAACCGATTTGCTTGTGACTTCAAAATCTCTAAAGTTTCTGAAAAAAGCGAGGCCAAAACCCTACCACATTTACAACTTTCCCTTACAAGGGATCGGCAAAAGCGCGCATCCTGGTTTTTTCTTGAAACATGTACCATTTGAAAGAGCGTAAAAAACTGGTCTAGGATCACATTTTATTAGCTGCTATTTTTGCTCTACGCCTTCGCTAGCGAGTGCTTCGGTGGCCTAGTGGGGTAAGGCGCTGAACGAGGCGAACCTGCGAACCGGGTTCGAAACCTCTTTTGATTTTTTTTGATTTTCTTTATATTGCAAAGCAAATAAGGCCTGGAAATAGTGTTTGAGTGTCGTGTAGACATTTGTGGTATAATCGGAGTAGTTTTTTAAGAAAAAACGGAGATTTTTTAAATTCTTTCAAATTTGTAGTACTTGCCCTTGAAGTGGGTATCTTCTATGGCTGGAACTTTCAACGACTTTCAGATTTTTACGAATTAAGCCCAGTAACGGAAAGTACGTGAAAATTGAGTCTGAAAACGGTTTACATGTTTTCTACCCGCTATGTTGCATTGGGTTACACGACCTAAAAGATCGCGTGATCACACATTGTGAACATGGACTTGGGTATCTCAAGGTCGGAAAAAAGTGTGTATTCTTTGGCATAGGGTGAAGCGTTGGACGTCATAGGTACGTATGGGACATATGAAAAGTAATTATTGAATCTTTTTAGCCGTTCAGAAGCAAAGAGTCGTGAAATCCAACCGGGATTTTTTAAAAAATGATCGCTAGGGCGTAGAGCAAAAATAGCAGCTAGTAAAAGGTGATCCTAGACCAGTTTTTTGCGCTCTTTCAAATGGTATATGTTTCAAGAAAAAACCAGGATGCGCGCTTTTGCCGATCCCTTGTTAGGCGGATGCTTTGACCATAGTGGGAGACAAAATTCCCTTCTAGCTAGAGCAGATTTCCTTGAGGGATACTGTTGGCATATCAGCCCATTTTCGGTGATTCCAGCGTTGTTGGGGCGAATCTGAAGAGTCAATGTTATTGTGAAGCGAGAATTGCCAATCCTCCTTTGTGCGTAAAAAATGACTAATTATTTTTAGGACGAAGACTGGGAACACGTGCCTCGTCCAGAGACCTTTGCCGGCTCCTACGAACGACGTCGAGCGGCGATGGAATGTCCGGCGATCAACAGATAACGCCGTCTCAACTTTACTGCAATTATTTGTCATCTTACCACATATTTTATCAAATTGTGACCATTTTCTGTCATATTACCACTTCTATTTGTCTCCCCGATTTGTCCGCATTCCCATTTACACAGTTAATTAACAAATAAGTTGGGCCACGAGAGAATGGCGCGAGATGAGATTAAATTTCAACCTATTATTAAAATCGCAGCAACATTTGTCCAATGCATATCGGATATTGGGTTTCTCTTCACGACTATTTAATAGTTGTTGTTCGACTTGTAGATATATAATTTTTCGACGTAATTTTGGAGCAATTAAGCCAAACATTAAGTCCGAGCTTTGTTTCCGGTTCGAGGGAAATGCCGCAAAGAAGACGACGCGTCAAGGACAATATTTAAATTTCGGTTCGAATTAAGTTGCAGGGAGCAAATAAAGACGGTTTATTGTTTCCGCAAACTATGGTTCAAAATAAACGGATGAACATTTTGAAGGCGACCTTTGGCTGCTAGCAAGAAAAATGCCCAAAATGCGACGGTCAGACTTTGATGGAACTTGGTCCCGACTTTTTGGGGTCAACAAAAAACCGATCGATACGAGGGCGTAGGGCAGGTGGGCACCCAAAAAAAGTGTTGTAGGAAGCGCGCGAGGCCTGGAAAAACCGTTGAATGCCTGGCGTAGGCTCGGCGGACGCTCGGCGAAGACTCGGCGGAGACTTGTTGAATGGTCGGCGAAGACTCGGCGGAGGTTTGGCAAAGACTTGTAATATGTCCACAGCCTCCCCCATGCATACAACTCAACAGATGCATTTCTCAACAGACATCTATCTGTTGAGAAAAGTTTGTAGGAAGTGCCTACGAGGCCTGGCAAAACCATTGAATGGTCGGCGAAGGCTCGGCGGAGGTTTGGCGAAGACTTGCAAACATGCCCACTTTTTCTAATTTTACAGTTAGCTATTTCTAACGTTAGTTTTCTTGACCCTGAGTAATTGTAACATACAAAAGACCAAAATTTGCGGCAAAAAACGAAGATCCGTAACTTTTATCTAGATATTATTGATGTGAGTACATGTAAAATACCTCAAAATAGATGCTATCCTAGGACCCGATCAATCTTATTATTTCTACTAATCAAACCTTCTCATAGCCTCCCCCAACCCCATGCTTACAACGACCAGCCGACGCGATTTTATCGTATCTTTGACCCGAACTGTCGCAACCCAAAAAGTCGCAGTGTCCTCAGTAAATGTGGCTGAAATATGACTAATAAAAAGAGCACCAAAGAAGTATCTTTTTTGACAAATAAAAATAAAAAACAACCGTTATTTATACTATTTTTCTTTCACAACATTACACAGTATTATTTAGTAGAACTCCGCACAAATTTACCTGAGATTCTTAGCTTGCGCGTTGAAGAAACAACATTGGTTTTTTTGACTGAAAGTTGATCAAAATCTGGCTCGTTTTTGTGAGTGTATGCATAAAAGACCTCTGACTTAAATTCGCTCCGCAAAAACTGAAATTGCGTTGAAAGGACATCAATATTATACCCATTAATTCGGCTGGACAAATTAAGTTAGTTGTTTTTTTAAACGGCTATGTCATCCAGTTTCCAACAGCGAAATTGATCGACTTTCTCCAGTTCGACCGATAATTTAGAGAGGTTTTTGCGCGGCAAATTTTTTTTTATATTTTTGGATTTGTTGACTAATGAATTTATCGACCTCCTTTTCGACGAAATTGGAATATTCTCGAGATTTTGAAACTCGTATACATGAGTTATTTGTGTTAAATTTGAGGCAACTTATGGTGAATTTGGATGACGATTTTACATGGCTGATTTCGGTCATTTTTAAGTGTTAATAACGGCCGAATAAGCAGCTGAAAACCGCCTCTTTTTCTATACGATACCTCCAATATTTCAAAATCAATTCCCCGGAGACCTAGCGGCTGAGAAGCCGGCTCAAGAGCCAGTCGACTTCACTGAACTCGCAACTAATTAGATGCGAATAATTAGCGGCGTCGTCTGACGGAATTCGCGATCAAAACGCCAAGTAGCGGATGCCAAAACAATTGCCGCCCGTCTCGAGATCCACACTCAAGCCGCTCTTATGTTCTCGAATTTCTAATCAAGCGCGGTGATCCTTGTCGGAAGTTTTATAACCTCTTGAGGACCGCGGAGATTGCGACAGTGACCGATTAATTGGCTAAAGTTACTCGAGCCATGGGAAAGTGTTTGAATAAGGAAGGGGAGGTTACGGTATGCGGAAAGATTATAACGCTAGATCCGGGAAGGGGCCATAATATACACAATATTATATCAAATATCAAAGAGGATCTCCGTGGATATTAGGTGCGAGATCTTGCGTAAAAATTGAGGCTAATCTCATGGCCAAATAGTAGTAGAATTACAGTAAAAAAAGATCCAAAAATCCTTAACCAACATCCCGAAAACGCTTGCAGAGCCCTTTCAGACCCTCAATCGATGCCTTGGCCAAGTTTTCAGCCATAAATCATCGGGCACTTGCGGTAATTTGAGTCACCTTGCGTTGCGGATTATGTTGCGCATGGATTTCCCGGATTCGACAAGTGTGACCGGATTAACAAATTTTTGAGCGAAATTTGAGCATGTTTGCGTTCGTCAATTATGCGGACAGCTGATCCAATTGGCCTGCGATTTTCATTGCTAAAGGTGTGTCAACGAAATTTGCTGAAACTTTTTGGGTTTTAGGCGATTTTTTGCTATCTAAATCATCTTGAGATGTCATAAAAATGCAAAAAAATGTCATCGGGCTACAAGAATACTGTAAGAATATGTTCCCGTATAACTCGTCGTATTGAACGGCCCAAATTTGAATAAATCCATGGTGAAGTCAAGTGTATTATTAAGGGGATTAATATGTTCGATTAATCCGCGAATAATTAATCCGAGGACAAGTGGATCAGGTGCGGGAAGTGGAGATATTGGTTTAGAGGGCATTGGAATCGTAGATCGAGATAAATAAGCTAAAAAATGTGACTTTAAAGCGTCGAAAACCAAGGTAAAATACGACCGGAAATCTATTTCTTTCATTTTTTTTTAAATTGAATCCTTTATCTGTCTTCTAATCGCTGCTACTTTGAATTTTTTCATATTAAAAACAGTTGAAAGTCTAGTATTTCCTTGAATTCGACAGCAGATAGTAAACAGCTACTTTGCGCCTCTTTTAATGAGCGATTTAGCGGGTTAATGGCCTTGAAATGTCCCCTCGACCACCCGCAAACTCATTCGTTTTGTCTTGCTTTTTTATGCGGCTTGATCCAAACGACTTTAGGATTAATTACGACCCGTTTCCGCAACATTCTTCCAGGAGGGCCACCCAAGTTGAAGCCCTAAATTGGGCTTTGATTTGGGCCGCAGGAGCAAAGCAACAAGCGACTTCGCGCAGCGGGAGATCGATCAAAATCTAGTGTTTTTTACCGTAATTCAGACGAAAGTTCAAAAAGAGAGGGGTCTCGGCGTCACGCTGAGATTTCGACATTTCCTAGAGGGTATATAAAACCAGTTCCTCCGAGGAGTTTGCGGTCATTTCACTCGTTGCTACCGTACCCAAATTCTCGCCAAGTAAATTCCCCTTTAGCCTATCGAATTTTCCATTTACACTCTTAATTTCGCCACCCTTCCGGCCTGCGTGTGCACTTATTTACAGGAAGCAATTAGAGGCGAACCCGGAGGCCCGAACGTGTCCTAATAAGGTCCGGAATAAGTGCAACTGCAGGTGCAACTTGCCCACCAAGAGCTGCTCATTGTTTGCTCACTCGCATTGTTTTCGGGGCGAAATAGCTCGCGGATTTCGGAGGCGTTTTCGCGCAGCTGAATTGCTCGCTTATTAGGCAAGCAAGTGCGCGAAAAAATTGCGGAAATCCGAGGAGAGGTACGGTACGGGATTCGTGTTTTAGCAATTATGAAATGGCTGTCAAACTAGGCCGTAAATTGAGGCTAATTTAAGCATGAATTGCTTAGATTTTGATAAGATTTTGGAGCAAAATTTAACGAATATCTAAAAAATCATCAAAATCTAAGGCTTTGACTTTAAGAACTTGTTTTTTGGCGAGTTTTTTATTGTCGTCTCCCATTATCTAGCCTAAAATAATATGATAAACGTAATAAATGCCCGTCTCAACCCACTAATCAATCAGCATGACAATACGCGCCTATTTAGGCCCGCGAATCCGATCCATTGACCTTTTGTTAACCTTGTCAATGCAAACTTTTTGCCACCCCGAATTAGCCCGCGACATTTAAGACCTAATAGCACACTAGTTGGACGAGAGAAATACGATCGCAACTCTCGGTTATAACCGTTAATTTTCGGGCTAAATTCTTCCTCAACGACTGCAATTTATTCTGTATTTTTTTACTCTTTTACTACTATTTTTTGTGGTTCTGTTTGCTATATGTTTATGTGTTTCCGAGTCAAAATCCGAGAGTCTTTTGTATATAAATCCATCACCATTTAAATCGCCATAAATTTTTGTATTTCTCGCGAGGAAACACATGTGTTGAGGCCATAAAATTCAGACATGGCTATGGAAGTTTTCGGGCCGAGAAACGGGTTTTGGAGAAGGGATCGAATTTCAGGGTATTGTGGGGAAATTTGGGCGGGAGTTAGGAGCTGGTGGTAACATTTTTGCGCTGAAGTAATAAGAAGCAAAATCGATGCAAAGTGTAGGACGAGCGGGGACCAAAAAAAGGTTGTAGAAGATCCATACGAGGCCTCAGAAAGCCTTGAATTTTTTTTTATCTAACAAGGGAAGTACCCCAAGTACGACGCTCAGATTTTCTTTAAATTTTGCACACACTTCGGGTAGAAACTGAATATAAATTCCCAAAAATTTTAGCTTGCAGGCGCCGCCGAGATATTGAACTATCTTTGCCGCCGAGAGAGTACGCTAAACGTGGAGAGCGGTCAGAGAGAAAACCGCTTTTTGACCATAACTTTGGCAGTTTCGTGCGGAAAAATTTGAGTTTTTGTAGAAACATTATCCTTTACGGTTGAAATAGGCATGAAACTTTTTCGAAATAGGCATGAAACTTTTCGCCGAGCTAAAAATCTCGGCGGTTTCGGCAAAGCGCGAGCTAGGATTCTGGCGCATATTTTAGAAAAAAATATTATAAATTTGTGCCAAGTTTCATCAAAATCTGAGCATTGGGGTACTTCCCCTGTAAATATTATTCTGTAATACATATAAAATACCTCGAAAAAGAACCATCCTAGGACGAGATAAATCTTATTATTTCTCTTAACTGAACTCTCTATTATATGATGGTATAAAAATTTCGATTAGTACTACAAAAAACAGCCTCGAAAATTCATAAGCGCCCCATCAAAGCCCATTCCAAAGCCCCCGTTGCCCTCCGAAATGCCATAATAAACGCATGCCACATAATCCTCAAAACATTAACCCCATTTCAACTATTAAAGAAGACTGTAAAAACATTCTCTCGATTCAGCCAGCCACAATGAACGGCTGTTTGCGGCAAGAAAACGTTAATATTTATAGGATGAGCCAATTCCTTCCGCCCAATCGAAGACGAACTGTTTTTTCGGGGGTTTACAACCGCCGCTGATCGAGTGCGCGGACACGTGTTGTGCCGCCAAAAAGCGGCCGGCATGAATAATTGCGGCTGGAAGCGCAAAGGTAGATTTGAGGATTATCCACAAGGGAACTGGGATTTTAATTGCCAGAGCGGGATTGTAAATTGCAAGGAAATTGGGGAGAAATGAATGTCTTGGGCCTTTTTTGGAGGAAAAAGTTTGCTCTGAGCCGGTGGAGGCGAATTTTTCGGGAGAAATCGTGAATGAAAATATAAGCTAGACAGTCGGAAAAATCAAATTTGAAATTTCAATAGTAGTAGTCAAAATCCCGTTGCGAAAAAATTGGGTTATTTTGAACGCCACTCAAAAAAAGAGTCCTTACATTTTTTGCCCGAAGTGATGACCTTATTATATGCCATCTGTAGAAAAATCGTCCAAAATACGACTGACTAGAGACGGTAGATTCGAAAAAAGGCAACATGAAATGCAATACGACCACAAATTTTCTACAATGGATAAAAATTTAATTTTCTTCCAGTTTTATTATCATCAAAAATCAAGAAAAACTATAATATTTTTATTAAAAATTAAAATTGGAAACGTCGTATTTTACCTTATCCAAACTGTCATTGATACTGAAACTAAATTTTTAATTACTTTCACATCAATTTACAGCAATTTCAAGTGAAAAAATTCCCGAATTTGGCAAATGAGCATCAAATTTTTCACTTATACTTATCTATTTTTGAGTGTTTATAAAAAAATTTTTATCAATCAATACCACACTTAATCCTCAAATTACTACCAATTACACATCAAGGATTATTGTAAGCATCTTAAACTGCTTCTTGAAACCACGCCTTATTGCTTTTGAGCGCGTCAAAATTCCATAAAAAGTCCGGAGAAATCGCTCGCGCCACTTCTTCCCGCCCACTTTTTCGCGCAACCCCCACGACTCGGTCAATCCAGTCACTCTCCGAATAATTCGTATTTGTCGCTCCTCGCGTACGGAATATTATCCCAACTTAATCTCGCTGCCAATTTCTTGAGTTCAAGTTGTAATCTCCAAGTGTAAACCACATTATATCAAGTGTAATACAACTGGTCATCATGGTGGTAAGTTGGGGATATTTTGGATTATTCTTGTTTATATGTAGTAGTACCGTATATATGCTATATTTTGGGGTATTTTCGGATGTAATCAAAGTCAGAAATAACAGTTTTTTGAGGCCAATGCAAAAAATTTATAATTTATATTGTAGTAGAGGCCCAGTACAAATAGTTTATTTTTTGACCGAACCCCTAGCTAGCGACTACTGAAATGAACAATTTTGGAAACTTTCTATCACCTAGTTACCAAAATACAGTACCATTTTTGTCGTTTTTTTCTTGGATTATGATATTTTGTCTAAAAGCTTAATTCAAGTAATCCAAAATTTAAAAAGTAATCGAAATATAAAAGAATCGCTGTGACTAACTTAATTTCCTTTCAGATGTTTGCATTATGGCCCAACTCGCATGCCAATGAAGCCTTGCTGCATTCTTCCTTAAAATCTCTCCACAACGTCAATGTTTTTACCGATCCCTTGGGCTGCGCGTATTCCCAGCCAAGAACAAGTAAAGAAGCCAGTACTCAAACGGAAAACAATGTGGATGGATGTAAGTTAACTTTCTATATTTTTGATAGCATAAACTTCTATTGTGTAGATATACCATAGCGATTACTGTAGGTTAAATTTCCGAAAAATGAAAAACAAAATTTTTGGTAAAAAAGTTCGTAAATATAATTTTTTGGCAGAACTGCTTTTCAAAAAAGTTTATTCAGTCTTTGCAGTTCATCACCCATCTATTTACCACAATTCTAGGCCAAGAAGTGCATCATAATGACCTATTTTTAGACTTTTCTCCCCAAATTTTAAATTTCGCAATCATTTTTCGTAATCAACAAAACAAAACTTTCTTACGATAATATTTCCAGCTCTCCGATCAAAAGAATGGAAGCAAAAGTGCCGTGTGGTATCACTCATTCTCTACCGCTCCATTCCCGATTACGAAATCGCCCTGGATCTGCGAATCTCGCCCTCCTCTTCGCATCATACTGTAACCGGCCGAGTGATCTTTTATTTCCTCAATTTCTTTTGCTCATATTGGAAACCCATTGTATTTAGTGGACTTACAAGTTAGATCGCTGTAATTTCTACTGCATTTTTGTTTCCAAACCGCTGTGATACTCTAGTCAGTTGTTGTTTTACATCTCTATTTATCGATTTTTCTTGAATTATCTCTATAAATAAAATCGATTGCATTAAAATAGTCTTTGAATGGCTTGAGACAGTAGCTTATATTAGCAGACAGTTGATGCGGGCAGTTTTAATGAGTGATTTAAAGGGTAATGGCGCTAAAATGTGGTGGCGACCACCCTGAAAGTCGTTTGTTTTCGGTCATCGTAATGTGGCTTGATCCAAACGACTTTAGGATTAATTACGACCCTTTTCCGCAACATCCTATGGCCTTTTAGGTGACGGCCACACAAGTTGAAGACTCTGTGAGCTTTGATTTTCTTACCGCATGACTTTACAGAGGTTATTTTTAAGATTTCGTGGCTTTGCGACCTCCAAACTGAAAAATGGAGATCTTAGAAGGTGAAAATATAGTGTACATTTTGTTCAGCATCGTTAAAATATCCAATTTTTTAATTTCTTAACTCAAGACTACAGTATTGTCCATTTTACCCCCAAAAATCCCACTTTTCGCCCAGTCAGCCCCAAGTTTTCCCGCATTGTCGCCCTTTGGCGGCGCTCTTATATAACAACAAAACCCCACAGTGAAAGATTATCCCATTTCCCGTGCTTGGACAACAATTACCAGGTCTCTTCTTTTTGTACATAATTGACCCGAACCGGCACTTCCCATTGAAAAAAGATACATTTTTGGCGCAATCGGCCGGGTCTTCCTCGCGGTTCTCACGGGCTTCGCCCCACTCCTTTTTTGGTGCCGCCGATTTGTCAAGACTTGTCGTCAATCGTTTTGTCGGTCATCGTGGTAAATTGAGGGCTGTTGAGGTAAGTTTTTGGGGAAATTTGAGGTTCAGGAGGCAAGGAAAAAATACAGGAAATTTTTGAAAAATCGGAAAAATGCCATTTTTAGATGCTCATTCTTTGAAGCGAAGAACTCATATTCTCTTTAAATTAAGCACGTATTTAGTGTCTTATGCACTAATCAATACCTTAAAATTTCAGCTCAAAAGCTGCAATAATAGCCGAGATATTCAACGATCTTTGCAATACCATCAATTTTGAAATATAAAAAGATATGTTTAAAAAACACCCTGCCTTGTCAAGCCAAATGCCCAAAACTTATAATGCTACAGTACACAGCCTTCTTCTCTCACTGAAACACTTTTAAAAAAACAAGACACTGCCAACAAGCGCGCGCGAGGCCCTGAGGACTAATAATTTCTCGGCCTATCAAATCGTCATCCGTCTTGTTTGAAAGAGCGAACCGAACCCAACCGGGAGTAATATTCTTCCTAAGGACTACCATATCTCAAAATTTTATTGACCCTCACTCCCAATTAACCTTAATTAACACCAGCATGCATCGTTAATCGGGTTTGTAGGAAATTGTCGCGCATAAAAATTTGACACAAATTTTATGGATATCGCTAATCTCAAGCCAGCTCGGTGAAACGCTCACTCTCACTCTCTCTGCGTTTTATTGCGCGCTCGCACACTCGCAACATATGGCGACTGCTGTAATTTGAGCAATTAATTAAGAGGGACAGGGATATTATATGTCTCCGTTTTTTGGGTTGTAAGATGGGGAAATAATATTAGTTTTTGATAGCTGTTATTCTTATAGGGGAGTATTCGAAGTGCGGCGCTTAGACTTTAACGAAACATGGCACAAATTTAGACTAACGTTTTTTAGGTTGTATTCTTTCTACCGCAGCGCTTTTTACATACAAAACAATTGTTTTTCCATGCGAAAGTCGCTGAGACAGCTTACAAAAACGTTTTTTGTTTGACTTCTCTCCGTGTTTCGCAGACTCTCTCGTCGTCAAAGATCGTTGAATATCTTGAGGCCAGCTGCAAATCGGTAGCTGAAATCATCAGGAATTTACATGTGGCTTAAGCCAAATACGTGTACAAGATTTAGAGAAAATACGTCACTCGGAATCTTCCCTTGTGAGCTTTACACTTTGAGCAGGTGCCGCCGGGATATTGAACGGTTTTTCCCGCCGAGAGAATACACTAAACGTGGAGAGCGGTCAGAGAGAAAAACTATTTTTAGCCATAACTTTGCTAGTTTCTCACGGAAAAGATGGATTTTTTATGAAAACATTACCCTTTACGGTAAAAATAGACATGAAACTTTCGTGCCAAAATTCGACAACAAGTGTAAAATTTTCGCCGACTTTCGATCTAAAAATCTCGGTTGTTTCTGCAAAGCGCGAGCTAGGATTCTCGCATATGTCTTAGAAAAAAATATTTTAAATTTGCGCCAATTTTCATCAAAATCTGAGCGTCGAACTTGGGGTACTTCCCCTGTAAGCTTCAGTCTTATCAAAACCTATGAGTCACTGTTTGATCATTTCTTCAAAATTTTACTATTCCTCTCTAACTTTTCGCTTACTTACGGCCATACTCTTCTTCTTTCTTTCCTATCCTTTTACAGCGCAATAACCGAGAGCTTGTAAACTTTGCCGACATAATAAAAGCGGCAAGCTAATAAGCCTTTTATACGCTCTGATGCGTATAATAACAGACCCGCGAAAGTTCATCACCTTTTGTGTTTATAGTCGTATTAGGTAATCGATTGCACAACCTCGGCGTTCCCCAAAAAAGCCAGCTTTTTGTTTCCTTTTTTGCGAATTAACGCAACATTGGAGTTGATCCATCAAAGTGTCATTTGGAGTTCGCTTAATTCACTCACCTTTGTCCGGACTTGGGATGCCGAAATTAATGAACTCCGCGGGTTATTAAGCCGGCTTTCTCTTGCGCCGCCATATTTCCACCTTGCTTTAGCCATTTTTTGGTCTTTCGCAACAAAAAAATTAAATTCGAATTATGCAAATGCGGTGAAGAGGAGGTTTGTCGGCGGAGAAAAAGGGGAAAAGAGTTTATTTATTATAAGGACGTGACGACATTGATTCGCACTTAAGTTGTCAAGTGCCGGGGATATTTATGGCGGCTCAGCACAAGGCGGAGGATGTTGCGACCACAAATAAGAGAGTGGCAATGCCAGAAATGCAAGAGCCAATTGGCAAGGGCATGAGTCGAGGGAATTGGATGACTCTTGAAAGGGATGTGGTAAAAAATATGGTAAAATTTATGTTGAGTTTTGTGGATTAGGCCACATATCAGTTTATAAAAGTCTGCCTTGCAAAAGAAGCCGAAATATTCAACGGTCATTGTTGTGCAGAGAGTAGGCATACAAGTGAATAGTAACCATGTTTGAGATGCTCAGATTTTCTTTAAATTTTGTGCACACGTTTAGCCTAGGTCATGTATCGATTCTGGAAAATTTTGGCTTGATCTTTACAGAGAGAACCGAGATATCAAACGATCTTTGCCTCCGGCAAAAGAAAAAAGCGTTCTTCGTGTTCAAGCCGCTGAAAAAAATCTTACAGTGGCGGACATGATCTAGTGGCAAAAACCGTAACATTTCACATCCGGGTAGTATCAAAAAATGTAGCAAAATATAATACCTCCCTCTGAAATAAAAAATCTCGGATTTCAAAACCGCGCCCGCTCTTTGCGCTATAGGAAAGGCGCGCTCTTCAAAACGGTGTTTTTTAGTTGGAAAGGGATGGATTTTTCTACATTTTTTGATACTTCCGGGATGCAAAATGGTACATTTTTTTCCACTGAATCAGGTCCGTTACTGTAAATAATCTACTCAAAAGAGAATTCAATACGATATAAGTAATACCAACTTTTAAATATTAATCAAAATACAAATTCTTATATCTGAGGGCAAATCGGAAGCCTATGGCAAATCAACTCCGTGGACAAGCCCGCTCTCGCGTACAGCGCGGGTCCAGTCATCACAACGCTGCACAAGATTCCATTGGTAAATTTCGAGCACACCCATCCTAGAAACTAAACACGGACAAGTCTAGAATAGTAGGCTCATTTCTTACCGTTCGAAAAGCCGGGGAATTATTGACCAACCACAAAAACAGCTCCAATATCCAGTTGCAGGGAGCGCACAAAAGGAAATTGATCAAGTCATTAAGCATAGTCAAAACGTCGTCCATATTTTTTACAGGTAAGTAAAAAATCGCAACAAAAATCTTTGTGATGACTGGCGGAACTTGATGATACTTTCCAGGGTAAAATGATGTGCTAAAGCTTTTCAATGTTATCTACAAACATGGCCTCGAAACACAGATTTCTTGGGTTTCTGGATGTGTTTTTCGGAGCAAAAACAAAACGATTATAATAACTTTATTTTATAACTCTTCATAATTAAGCCTCTGTACAATAAATACTTACAATAAGAATAAATGCATAAAAAAATTGTTTTCTATAGAAAGGTTTTGTTGTAAGGAGGTTCGGTTTGGCCTGGAATTAACCCGAATCTCTCAAATTTTTCGTTTTTATGGTGTTGTAATAAAGAAACCTTCGCATTATTCCGTTTACATAGAAGCCTTCGCATTATTCCTTTACAGGGGGCAATTTAAGACAAACGAACAAAATTCTCTCTATAATTAATTTTTTTTTGATAATTGCCATTCGTGGCATAGGAGAAGCTTATATGCACACCATAAGAACGCATGCCATATAAGTTTCCTCAAACTGCCAGCTGGAAAGTCGTGACAACAGCATAATGATCGGATGGCCAATCATTATCCTGCACATAAGGCAACAATTCTCCTTCAAATTTCTTTGGATAGGTATAACTCTCGATTGGCGTTAAATGCCGACCTCTGTAGAAAATGTAATCAATCCGTTCTTGAGGTTCTTGAATTTCCCCATCACTTCCATCAATGAATTTCTCAACCGTGGACCAAGTATTTCCGGGATCGGTAAGAGGGTTTGGATGAAGAAATCGATAAGAGTCAATCAATGCGGTTTGTTGAGAGAGAATGGATGTTATCGGCCATTCATAGACTACGTTGTAGTGGGATTTTCTGAAAAAAGTTGGGTAAAATACGAGCGTCGTAGTTCGGTGATTAGATTTTCTTTAAATTCTGCACACACGTCGGCTATGAACCAGATATCAATTCCTGAAAATTTTAGCTCGCGCTTTACAAGCGCCGCCGAGATATTGAACAATCTTTGCCGCCGACAGAGTACGCTAAACGCGGAGAGAGGCCAGAGAAAAGCACCTTTTGGCCATAACTTTTTGGTTTCTGTGGAAAAAATTGATTTTTTATGGAAACATTACCGTTTATGGTAGAAATACGCATAAAACCTTTGGTGCCGAAATTCAGCAAAAATTGGCAAATTATCGCCGATTTTTGATCTAAAAATCTCGGTTGTTGCTGCAAAGCGCGAGATAGGATTCTCGAATATTATTTTAGAAAAAACATTTTAAATTTGTGCCAAGTTTCATCAAAATTTTCAAAAATCTTAGCGTCGCACTTGGGGTGCCTCCCCTGTTAAATTTGCAAAAATATCTGTGATTTTTTTCAGACAATGCGATGATTTCGGAAGTTCTCATTTTTTTGTAAAATACGCTTCCACTACCTGGTCGCCTCAATCCAATCCAAATGAGAAGGAGTGTGAAAATCGCCAGCAACTATGATTGGCGCCACGTTCACCTTGTGTAAACTCTCTTCTAGAAACTCGTCGGCCAAAAGTTCTTTTAAATTTTGATATCGACCTGAAATTGGCACTCAAATTAAACTTTCTTTTCACTTACTATGAGGTTTCTTCTTGTTCTTCTCAAACAACTCCACCAAGTCTTCATCAAAGCCGTTGGACGCGATTTCTCGTGCCGTAAAAACGGCCTGGTCAAACTGAAGATTGAACACAATGATCGGATTGACTTCGTCGACAAAGATCTTTACACCATGGCCGCAGAAGAGCTTTGTGTGGGACACGTTGTAGATCTAAAGGATAGATTTTAGATTTCAAATGAGGGGTTCAACAAGAGCTGTTAAAATTAACATTGATTTTCTAGTCATTTCCATTAAATTCTTATCTTGAAGACGTTTGAATACCTAGGTCATTATCGCAAAGTCTAAGGAATACTTTACAGGCTTTGTTTGACGGCCTACAGTGACGGACCTGATCCAGTGGCAAAAAACGTACCATTTGGCATCCGGGAAGTATCAAAAATTTAGCAAAATGCTTCACTTTTCAACTGAAAAGACTTCGTTTTGAAGGGCGCGCCCTTTATCTCACACAAAGAGCGGGCGCGCTTTTGAAATCTGAGTTTTTTCACTTGGAGAGGGAGGTATTTTGCCACATTTTTTGATACTTCCTGGATGCAGAACCATACGCTTTTGCCACGGGCTAAGGTCCTCCACTGTAACATGTCCGCAAGATGCAACAATGATCTGGGGTTCGCTCTTTGAACAGCTTCTCAGCTAATTTTTATGGATGGCTGTTCAAGCCGCTACACAGTGGTTTATGGACCTGACATTTCAATCATTGGATATCCAACAAAAGTTCAGCTAACAATAAGGTACTTCCCTACCAACTTACCTCATGTTTAGAGAACGTCACCACCTTTGACGGATAAGGATAGAACATCTTCCATTCTGCTCCCAACGCCCCGTGAATCTCCTTCGCCATCTCTTCTGTAGCAACTTCCTGAAGCAAAAAAACCATCTCCTAAAGACACACAAAAAGTACCTGCATTGTGACGATATCAGCATCATTCAAAATGATATGCTTGGCCATCTTGATTGGCCCATCGTTCACATTCTTCCCGGCTTCCCATGAATTGAACTGCATAACTTTGAGTGTCTTATTTTGAGGAATGGGAGTTCCATTACCAAAAAAGAGTTGAATAAATATTATAATAGTTACTAGAATACATTTTAGAGACATTATTGAGTGTTTTGAAAACCAAAATGAAGAGAGAAGAGGTTACATATGATTTCAGAGTTTTGAAATAACTTGTCTCTCCAGTAATTTCGAGGTAATAGCGACCTTTTTCGAATTTCCATTGTTTTCCCAGCCTATTAATCAATGAAAAGTCATCGATCTTGTAGGCTGCGTAACAAAACATATGAATCATTGACGAAAATAGTTGAAATTTGGCTTGGAGATATTCAGTGGTTTTTTGATGACAAAAGAGTATGTAATGTGGAGGGAAAACGACGGTTCAATTTTTTCTAATATAGTAAGTCTTGCACGAACTTTGGACTTTAAAAATAGCTGTATAGACATATCAAAGCATAAAAATTTTTTAGCCTGTAGAGTAGTTGAAATGATGAGTATTCTTTTCCGATAAAAAAGAACGAAAATAACCCCCACCTTTTGATGGGGTAATTGTGTCAATTAATTACTTACTTTTTGCTCCAAAATTCGAAAAAAATGATGGTCTTTGCAAAGTTTTAGCTACAAATCTCGCATTGTGTTAAAAAACATTTATCAATCTCCATTTGCCATTCTCTTAGGAATTTCAACCAAAATTTTTTGATCGAAAGTTGGCGAAAATTTGACACTTTTTGACGAATTTTGACACGAAAAGTTTCATGCCTATTTCCATCATAAAGTGTAATGTTTCCACAAAAAATCAACTTTTTCCGCACAAAACTAGCAAAGCTATAGCCAAAAAGTGTTTTTCTCTCAAACCGCTCTCCGTGTTTAGCGTACTCTCTCGGCGGCAAAGATCGTTCAATATCTCGGCGGTGCTTGCAAAGCGGGAGCTAAAACTTTCAGGAATGGATACCTAGTTCATGGCCGACGTGTGTGCAAAATTTAAAGAAAATCTGACCGTCGCACTCGGAGTACTTCTTCTGTTGGCATGACAATGCCAAGTTAAAATAAACGCCGCGCATTTAGAAATCGCTAATTTCATCGCCAACATTTTGCCTCATGTTCCAAAGGTTTCGATCACCTTTGTTTTGTCTTACCTTCACCCTTCAGTGTATACCCAATTTTCTTTTCGCGTGAAAAGGCGGCTTTTCTCATCTCTCCCGTTCCCCGCACTTTTTTGATTGGGAAAAGGTCAAGTTTATCGATGGACTTGGCTTTCGTTGCGCTCTTCGTATTTTCCCTGTTCAACGGTTTAGGTAAGGCGTATTGATTTGTTTGGATAACAGAGTAAAAGGCGTGAAAAAATTATGTAATCAAAAATAGCATACTTCAATAAATACAGCGCAGTTTTATGATGTAAACCTTTAGCTAGCGCTTTGTAGAAACAGTCAAAATGTGCAAAAATATAGTGACTGGATAGGTTGGTAAAAATATATCTTTCTCTTAGTCCCATAAAATAAATTTTTATAACAAAAATTGCTTTTCAGATGCCGTTATTGAATACTTTTCCGCGATCCCCATCGCACCTCAAACATTCTTCTTGATATGGAAAATGTCATCAGATGTATACATTCATCATCCCAGCGCCCATTTCAAGGTGAGTGCACCTTTAGCAGCCAAAATGTGCATTTAGATCTGTCGGGGGAAAATTGATAAGCTGATTTTAACTAATTTTTTTCCTGTATGTTTCGTATCTTCTCTCAAAAAGTTTCGAATTCTCACCATTTTTTGCCGTTTTTGGGCTAAAGATATTGCTTGTGTTTTAGAAAATTTCACGATAATTTACCCCCAAGTTCAACAAACCGTGAACAAACATGCACTTTCAGCATTTCCCTTATCAATTTTACGATTTATCTCCCAACACTAACATATATACAATAAATTCCAGATCAAAAGTGAAATCGAGCGAGATGGAGAGTCCACTCGAATCACAGAGACCCGCCCCAATATCCTGGAAGTCTGTAAGGAGCATGTCGGTGAACACGGCGTAACCATCTGCACCTATAACAGCACGTCTCATCGTCCAGGAAAGAAACAAACTTTCAAAGTGAGTAATCATCTTTTTACTTAATTTGGGTTTACTTTTAGTTGGAATACTACGAAAAGCCGGCGAGTATGTTGGGCACGATGGAAGCAAGTGGCACTTCTTGGTTTTTCCCTCCTTCACTGAGGGTTGTGGACAATAATGAGGAGTGTATAAAGTTGTTGCTGCGTACAGAGACCAATGGAAAACCGCCGAAACGCTTCAATATTGAGTTTAAATCGGTAAGAATGCAGTGGAAACTCCGTACAGTGCCTATGACAAACAATATGTTCTGTGAGCCAATTTTAGGCCATAGTGGACCCCTGTGCAATGACACCCTTCTATAATTAATCAAATTTTTCATTCCCACTGCGATATGTTGTATAGAGGTTTGAATAGCGGAATTTGTCATCAAAATTTCTGTCCAATTTTTGAGGAAGTTCGTTCAAAAGAAGAGACTCATATCTTCACAAAATTGACGTAAATTTCGCCATGACTTTTCTAGGCCATATGCAGGGTATTTTTCTCATGGTTCAAGGTACAATCAACCAAGATCTTTATGTCAAAAGTTGGCAGCAATTAGAGACATTTTCACGCGTGAAAAGCATTTTTTACAGTATATAAATTTTCCAATAAATAGTTACATTTAAAGGCGTTTTTTCGGCCCACTCTCTCTCCGCCTTTCGCGTGCTCTCTCATCAACAGTGGCCCTTGAAAATCTCGACCGCCGTAGGAATTTCAGATTAAAGCAATAGCTGAAATTTTCAAAAATTGTTCGACATCCTAGACGCAACACGTGTGAGAAGTTTAACGAGCAACTCATCATCGCACTTCGAGCAACGCCCTTGTGAAAACTTTTCTTTATACCCTCATTATTTTGCATTTTACATCCCAAAATTTTTTTTCAGAACGAGAACAATGCTGAATGGATTGAAGCCCCCGAATCAATCGAGATTTCAAAGCCTCAGAATTTGTATTCCACCGAGTTTTGCATCTCCACCAGTTCGTCGGACTCGGCTTCACAAGCCACGATCAAAGGGACCGCCGATTATTTGTTCCGGTTTAACGCGTTCTGCGAGTCGACGTTTACATTTATGGGGAAGACCTACACAATCGAAGAAGAGTACTCTGGCGATGGGGAGAATCTTTGGAGTCATGTTCAAAGTAAGTTATGGGTTTAAAATCTGACGAAAATTACGTCAAACCTCTGTACAACGTACCACAAAGGACTCAAAAATTTATTTGTTATAAAAAGGATTCGTTTGTATGGAGGTTTATTTTGATGAAAATTTGGCTACAAAAACCTTTTTTTTAGGGAAAAACGAGCCAAAAATTGTGTTTCCAATTGTCACCGTGCACACCAAAAATGGATGGTTCCTCAACTTTTCCTTGCCAAATATTACGAAGAAAGATGATAATGAAGAGCCGTTCAGGATCGATTATAAGTCAGTTTAAAGCGATTATTTTGAATATAACAAAACCTCTTTATTACGAAAGTTTCACCGGTCCCTATCAAAGCCTTTCTATAACGATTTTTTTTCGGTCGTTGATTTTTTTTGGTTCCTTGTCGTTACACAAAGATTTGACGCTATACAAACATAAATCATTTCTTCAGGCTCGACCGTTACTCCCGTCCATTCAACTGGACCGCCGTGCCCAAAAGATATCTGAATGACGTCACTTTTGTTGGCCACAAAGTCAGCATCAACTTGACAGAACTTGTCTTCCGCAAACGTCTGCCTCCAGACGCCGAATTCCGATTGTTTTTCAGAGTCCGAACTGCAAATGGATGGATTTGGTCGCAGCCCTCGTACTCCTACAAATACTCGGACAAGCCGAGTTTGGCCGAGTTCAAAATGCCCGACTTTGCGCATTCCCACATGTTCTTCCATCGATTGGTGGCTGTGGTCATGATCTTCTTGATTGGAGCCTCAGTGGCTTTCGTTCTGAAGTACATGCAGAAGAAGGAAATGCTGGAAATGGCGGGATTCTCGTACCGAAAGTTGGACTCGCAACAGGAAGGGGAATTTGTGTGAATAAACATTGTTATGCAGGAAATATTGAGGTACATTGATTAAAAAAAAACTTTAGAAGAGCAAAGGAAGATTTAATTTCACGGCAAAATCAGCCTCCGTATAACGTAACCTTTCTATAACAAATATTTTTTTGCACCCTTAAAAAAAGTTTTAAAGTGGGGGACCTGATTCAGTGACAAAAAACGTACCATTTTGCATCCGGGAAGCATCAAAAATGTGGCAAAATGCTTGCCTCTCCAAGTGAAAAAACTCCGATTTCAAAAGCGCCCGCTCTTTTTGTGAGGGAGAGCCCTTCAAAACGAAGTTTTTTCACTTGGAGAGGGAAGCATTTTACCACATTTTTGATGCTTCCCGGATGCAAAATGGTACGTTTTTTGCCACTGGATCAGGTCCGTTACTGTACAAAGGTTTGTCTGTAAATTAGGTCACCCAAAAGTTCTTCCCAAAATCATGATTTATTTCCAATTTTTCATTGTCATGATTCGGTGGTGTCTGACAATTCCAATATTGCTACTCGAAATTCAAGCAAATGGTGAAAATGTCACAACGAATGAGAGTAATTCGACCAGCAATTATTCCATATTTTTTTCTACCACGTCAACGCAGACAAAGTCTCCCAGTAGTCTTGGTGCAGCTCCTCTGGATTCGACTATTTATGATGACAGTATTCCACTGGAAGACTTGACCCCTGGACCAAATATAAAACACGAAGAGCCGGAAGAAGATGACAGTGAGAGGCCGTACAGTATGGATGATAACCTTGATGTAAGTAGCGAGATTTTCGAGGTTTTAAAATACGCGAAGCGAAAATAGTGTAAACAAAAAGCTCAAATTTTGATGAAACCTTGATTTTTGGGTCGAAAAGCAGCGAAAAATACAGAACTTTTTCGTACAAACGATGGTGAGAAAATGGCAGTGTATTTCTCACGTGGTAGACACAATTCCCACAAGAAATAACCATGTAAAATTTGCAAGGATTTGGTCGAAAAGCATTTTTCTTTCGGTCCAACCGTTGTATTGATTGTCAAAAACGCCAAAATTCGTTGGATATCTCGGCTCTCCCGGCACTTCGTGAGCTCAGAGTTTACGGAATTAAAATGGGCTAGGCAGAATACATGGGCAAAATTTAGAGAAACCCCGAGCGTCTGGATTTGAGAAATTTACCGAATGACCTGAGACGAGAAAAAATTTTTGGCTTGTCCAACTTTTCCGACCTAAAAATCTTGATGGCTTCCGCGAAATGCGAGGTAAATACATTGAGACAGGCGACCTGATCCAGTGGTAAAATACGTACCATTTTGCATTCAAAAGTATCAAAAATGTGGCAAAATGCTCCAAGCGAAAAAACTCCGATTCCAAAAGCGCGCTCGCTTTTTTTGTGAGAGAAAGGCGCCCTTCAAAACGAAGTTTTTTCACTTGAAGAGGGAAGCATTTTTCCACATTTTTGACGCTTCCCGGATGCAAATAGTACGTTTTTTGCCACTGGATCGGCAAGAATCACTGTCGAAACCTATATGTTGTAGGAAAGAACAATCTAAATCTGTCCCATCTTTCATCAAAATCTGAGCGTCAAATTTCGAGCACTTCCAAAGGGACCCTCTTTCTTACCTCTCAACTTCTGCCGGCTTTGGTTTTATTGCGCAACCTTCTAATTAACCTGCCTTTTAGGACACTACAACCCTTTGCGTCTGCGAACAAGCGATTGTCCTCTACTCTCTCAACTCCTCCACGCAATTCCAGAACGACAAAGTGGAGTACCTGGCAAAAACCTTGACTAGAAAAATTGCTGACAAAGTTTTGAACGAAAGTTTAGTTTTATCGAGGATGGTTGACCTCCCAAAAGATGCGGATCGCTGTGATGCGTTGCGGAATTCGATGGAACAAGCGCCAGGCAATCTGGTCATCAACATTGATCCCGGAACAGATCAGACTTGCCGAATCAGCAAAAGATTGGTCATGCAAACGCCGTTAATTGAGGTGAGAAAGGCACATACTTTCAGAAACGTTCTTTTTCGACAATTGTAAGCAATATTTTCAGTTCAACGCCTTTGCTCCGAACGACTCGGAAAATTGGTTCGTTACTTTCCAAAGCAAAAGCACTTATCTAAAGTATCAGCTGCAAAATATTCATGGCAATGATGACATGGAAATTATCACGTTTTTGATCAAAGCAACTTGTGCTCCAACTTTGGGTCGTAGCAACTTGTCCGAAGAGTATTCGAGATTACAATGGAGTGAAGTTGAAGCCAGATATACTGTAAGTGGATAGAGAAGGCAGTAGAAGGGAGAATACAGGGTATCCAGGGTGTGATAGGCATTCATACTACAGCGGATTACGCCTGTAGGAAATGATCTTACAGGGAAGTACCCCAAGTGCAACGCTCTGATTTTGATAAAACTTGGCACAAATTTAGAATAATTTTTTATAAAATAGATGCGAGAATCCCAGCTCGCGTTTTGCAGAAACAACCGAGATTTTTACATCGAAAGTCGGCGAAAATTTTACTCTCTTTGCCGAATTTTGGCACGAAAAGTTTTACCTATTTCTACCGTAAAGGGTAATGTTTCCACAAAAAATCAATTTTTTCCGCACGAAACTGCCAAAGTTATGGCCAAAAAGTGTTTTTCTCTCTGATCGCTCTCCGCGGTTAGCATGCTCCCTCGGCGGCAAAGATGGTGCAATATCTCGGTGGCGCTTGCAAAGTGCGAGCTAAAACTTTCAGGAATTGGTATTTGGTTTTTTCCCGACGTGTGTGCAAAATTTGAAGAAAATCTGCGCGTCGCACTTGGGGTACGCCAAAAATTTTAAAGTTGAAATCCTTAAAATTTTGGGATGGGTTTCACATTTTTCTATAGAATTCATTCCAAAAACAAAAATTTCTGGACTTTTAAATATTGTTGTACATCTGCACGGCCCTGTTCTACCTTACCAACCTCAATTTTTTATGTATGCAGTGTAATATTGTAAAGTTCTGAGCGCCTTTTTATATTAAAGTACATATTTCTTCCCTGGTTTTTTAATGTTATTGCAAAAACTCTTTGAATTATTGAATTATTGCAAAACCAGCCCCTTAAACCTCGTCTAAATCGAAATTCAGGCCTCACTCCCAGCGTATGGAGTGATAGCGGGCGTTGCAACCTGCATGACAATTACCGGATTCTGGATGTGTGGAGTCTTTATTTACCGAACCATTGAGAATGCGGAGCTGAAAGAACAACGTGCCATCAGATTGTACATTGCAGAATTGGTCAAAAAAGAGCATGAACGAGAAGAACAGGTAAGATGATAGTTGATTTACCGACAGCGTCGCGGTTTTATAAACTGAAATTTCGAATTGTCGTCATTTTGAGATTTTTTGATGACCTTTTTTTAAATTGATATAAAGCGGTGAAAAATGACGTCAGAAAATTCCATTAACTGTTTTAAAATACTCTTTCAGGAAGAGAGAGCACGTCTAGCAGAGATGATAAAGAATTACAAGAAACCCGCGGCTACCCAGACCAATCCATCTAATATTCCATCAAGTACAACATAAATTTTGATAAAAATAAATAAATTTTGTGAAGATTTGACGTTTTACTGTTGATAAAATGCATTTCTAACGGCCTGGGGCTACTTCAAAACAGTTTCTTATTGAATTTTTCGAAACATTGTCTTTGCCCTGAGTCCCACCACGAAAACATTTCGCGCCAAATTCTCGGTTCAAATAAAATAAAATACGAATTTTTCATTTTTTCGGATTTTTCGGGAAATTACAAAGTAAATTTTTTCATCAGGTCCTACAATTACACACTTTTATGTACAAGAATTTCTATTTTTTTAGGCAATGTTAATTTATATTGTTTTAGGCTAATGGCACCGAAAAAAGATGGAACGCCATCGAGGAAGGCCGCGGTTTCTACTCCCAAAAGTGAATCGAGAGTTACGAGAAGCCGTGCTAAAGGTGGGTTTTCTAGTTTTATTACGTTTGTGCGAGGTTTAGGTAATGTAAAATCTTGTTGCAGTGTCAGCTCCCTGTGAACCCACAAGTATCCAAAAGAAGACGGATGAGATCGTCGGACGATTACAGAAAATGCTAGAAACAACCTCTGGCTTGTTAGAGTTATGGTCCGAGCAGCAAGAAAAGGTAGGCAGATTGTTTTTCTCGATATTGTTTTAGTTCCACCAATGCGTCCAAGAGAGAAAGACAAATTTCTGGGGTTTAATTGATACAGTGAATATGAAGAAGAACCTATGGCCTTTTGAAGAATTTTCTCGGCTTCTCACACGCAACCAACTCACCTTGTTTGAAGTAAGCCTCTTTTTTTTATTATTGTTTTACATGTTTAGGAGGTCTACAATTCCTTCATCAGTCAAAGCATGGTGGCGATTGTGGCTATCTGCGCAAACGATAAAGCTAAGCGCGATATGTTCTTGCAAGTTGGCGAACATCTGATGGCAATTTCCATTCTCAATGGTGATGTAGGTAGTATAATATCAATTTTTGATTATAATTTCAATATTTGAAGATCTACCCAGCATTGAGGGTGCTTTCGAGGATGATGAAGTTAGAATTCAACTTCAGAACGGTCTTGGCCACCATGGGAATGTATATTTCGCTTGACATTGGAGATTATTTTGTTTATGACCAACTAAAATCAGTTCCACAAAAGCAAACGACTGAGACCTTGCTACAGTGGCAGAGAAGTATGGAGTTTTGGGCAAAGTCGCTGAGGAGGCCTAACTACGATGTAAGCGTTTTTATGTTTTATTTTTTATATTGCTTTAGGCATCATTGGTGCGAGAGATTCAGAACGAGCTTTTGTTGATCCAGAAAGAAAACAGTTTGACCTTTTACACGAGTTATGCGAAGATTTGCCTTCGGCAAGCTCTTGTCAACGAGTCTAAGAAGCCAAATGCGGATATCTCTAAGACTTCCGACACTTTGATGAACCTCCATCGGATATACGATTCCTGTTATGGATGTGTTAGTGCGGTCTTCCCGGAATCCGTGAATGGCGAGGGATTGATCGGACTCCTCGAGAGGAAGCCAGACGCACGATCTTTTCACTTGTGTACGTTGAAATTTGTCTTTCAAATTTGTTTGATCTATCAAGTATAATATAATATATAATTTTTCAGTGGAGTCCGTCGTCTATGCCCATGCCTTCATGGAAGCTGGATGCGACTTAGTGATGGGTCTGGTGGATGCCGGACTGACGAGAGAAGCCGAGTCCCGAGCCCTGGTTAATCTGGGATTGTCGTTGTCAACTTGTTTTTCATATCGGTAAGATTGATATTTTGGGGAATTTTTGTAGGGGAAAATTTTGTAGGGAAAAGTGTGTTAGACATCTTTTGAAAGCCTGAGAACTGTAGTATGAGATTATAACATCTGTTTTTGACTAGTGTGTACGGTTTTTCTGTAATTTCGATCGCAAATCGGGCTGTCGAATCATGTGTAATATAATTTTTTTGAAAAATTTTTGATGTATGGCTTTATCATATCATCGGTATTATATATCATTTGAAAGCTTGAGAATTGTAGTATGAGATTATAACATCTGTTTTTGACTAGTGTGTACGGTTTTTCTGTAATTTCGATCGCAAATCGGGCTGTCGAATCATGTGTAATATAATTTTTTTGAAAAATTTTTGATGTATGGCTTTATCATATCATCGGTATTATATATCATTTGAAAGCTTGAGAATTGTAGTATGAGATTATAACATCTGTTTTTGACTAGTGTGTACGGCTTTTCTGTAATTTCGATCGCAAATCGGGCTGTCGAATCATGTGTAATATATTTTTTTTGAAAATTTTTTGATATAAGGCTATATCATATCAGTGGTATTATATATCATTTGAAAGCCTGAGAATTGTAGAATTAGATGGTTGACTCACTTCAAACATTTACAGCAATTTTTAACATAATTTTGCAATGAAAATGTTAGGAGGTCACCTTGATATTATTCTTGCTGAAAATCCATAATAATGTTTATTTTTAGTGTATATCGAGCGCTCAACCTGTACTATTGGCCTAAATGGAGGATCACCACGGATCGGCCGCATTTAGAGCCGATGTTGGAATGGTTTCAGCAGCTTCGAATGGTGAGTTACCCATCAAATTTAACTTGTATATTTTTTAGCCTCGATCTTCAAGCAGCCATCAAACCAAAGCCGATCCGGAAGCAGAAGTGATCACCGAGCTGTAAGGAGTTTTTTGTCGATTTTTGGAAAGGATTTAATGTTATTTTTGACCTTATTTTAGGCAGAATATCGACATCAACACCGGATTTGTTTCCTATAAATATCAATACATCCCAAAGCCCACAAAGAGCCCAGAAGCCCACACGATCCGATGTAAATGCACGTTCTGTGTCCTCAGAACGAACCAGTTGAGGTACACCTTAACGGAATTGAGGAGTGAAAGAAGTTCGGCCGACTTTTTATGCTCTGGACTGTCGAAAATGGCGGCGGATACGGTTTTAAAAGCATTTGGGGAAAGGATAAGTAGCCTGACACAAGAAAGAAAGCTTGTTGAAGACGAATGGACGGATTCGGTAAGGAAATTTGAGAAAAATTTTGATTTTGAGCTGAAATTTGTAAAATTTTATGTTGTTTTAGGTAATGAAGCCGTTTGTCCCCTTGAAATTGCTGCGAGTTCCCATGTATTTACTGAATGACTTCATAAAATCAACAAATGCCTCGAATTTGGGACCGTTGGAAAGGAACAATATCATTTCTACTGTTCTTAGGGCAAGTACAATATAAAAATTGTTGACCAAATGGTTTTTCTCAATTTTTTTAGGCTTTTGAAGAATCGCCAAGCAATAAGACAGTCCTGCGATCGATTTTCTTGTTGTTCAGGCATTCCCGACGCCCAAATCCACCTCCATTTGGCTTCAAATGGCTGAAAAATAAAGAATCCAGCAGGATTGACGATAAAGTTTTCGAAATTGACGGCAAAATCTTTGAATCGTACACTGAAATGAAAGAATTTCGACATTTGTTGTACAGAGAGTGGAGGTTTGAAGTCTCGACATACCTCGCGGCCAACTGTGAATGCCTCTTGAAGGCCCTACGGCCAGCTCATGTGGCTTTGTATTTCTCGGAGAGCATGTCGATAGCCTTGAGGGCGTCGATGAGAAGGAAATTACATCGGAAACTGGAATACGAAAATATGAAAGTGGGTTGGAGATGATGATTTGGGTGGATTTATTTCACAAGGAAAGTACTTCTATGGGGTAGGAGTTACAGGTCGAGAAGTATGTCATAAAAATCTCAAAATTTTTCTGATTCAGAATATGTAAAATTAGCTGCCCAATTTTGGTTTGTAAGGGCGAAAAAAACCTCGGAACTTTTCTGGCAGCACCACGCAAATGCTTTTTTGACCAAGTTTTTATCAATTCAAAGGGTTTGTTTTGATCTAAAGTAAACCCTGGTATCTTGGCAAGCCTTAAAATATCAAATTTGAATGATACTACACCTTAATCAGGTTTTTTTTACACCGGATCTACTTTTTTACATTAGGTTTGCTATGTATTAAGGTGTAGTATTAATCAAATTTGATATTGTAGGGTTTGTCAAGACACCAGGGTTTACTTTAGCTCAAAACAAAGCTTTTGAATTGGTAAAAACTTGGTCAAAAAGGCATTTGCGTGTGTTGCGAGACAAGTTCTGAGGATTTTTTCACCCTTACAAAGCTAAATTGGGCAGCTATTTATGCTGAATCAGAAAAATTTTACGATTTTTTTGATATATCTCTCGACCTGTAACTCCATACTCCATAGAAGTAGTTTTTCTTGTGAGAAAACTTCCAAGGCGTTTTGCAGAAGAACCCTGATATTTTAAGGCCAAAAATAGACTTCTCTAGCCAAATTTTTATCAAAAAATATCAGTCTGTCGGAAAAATAACGGCGGATCGTCGCAGCAAAATGTCTCGCATCGCCGCTGTCGCGCACCAAATCCCCAGCCGCGGCTTGCAGTCGCAAAGCGATGATGGGCGATTCCGAGGCGCGACGATCCGCCGTTATTTTCCCGACAGACTTATAACGTTTTTTTTGATGTAAAGCGTCTAAACCGTATGTAATTTCAGCGAGATACCCTCGCCGAATACGACCCATACCCCCTCGGCTTCATCGAAGACTCCAATGACATCATGAACAAACATCGCGCCCTTCCCACCGACACAACAATAATTCAACTCTCATTTGACTCGAATGACATTTTATGGCTGATCAGATATAACCCAGCACAAGAGGAGATATTCTCGATACCTTTGAGGCATGTCCCGTCCGCCGGAAGCTTGGATGTGAATCCGAAAGAGGCGGATAAATACTTATCGAAGCTGAGAGAAGTCCTCACTCAGTCGGATCGAAGTACAAGATTGAATAGTGACCCCAAGAGCTTCTGGGCGAATAGGCACGAGTTGGAGAAGAGTTTTCAGGTGGGAGATTTGAATAAAGATTTTTGGGTTGGGTTGTAAGTGGGACCAATAAAAATTTGTTTTTAAATTTTTCGTTGGTCCCTCGGAGTGGCCTTAAAAATTTTCTGATATTGACTTTCGGGCTGTTTAGAAGAGCCCTGGGAAATTTGGCGAGAATTGAAAAGTTTTTATTATGTTATACTTGGGGCACTTTCCGATTTGAATAAAAAATTGGACTAGAAAATGAAAGTTAAGTTGCTGAAACCGTTGTTACAAAAGAATGGTCTGAACTTCCCCAAGATTTCGGGAAGTGACTAGTACAGGGCACTGCGGGTCGGGTCAAGTTTTTTTCATGGGGTGGTCAAGTCTTTCCCTTAATATTATTTTTTCCCCGATATTCAGACTGTTATATCGGAGGTTAATCAAGGTAAATCTGGTCAGTTCTTGTTGATTATTTCAAGGACAAGTCTTATTCTATTAGGTTGAGTCAAAATTATCCGGCGGTTTTATTGGTGCGTTTTTTGTAAGTTAAAATTTATGTTTTGTTAATGTTTTTTTTTATAAAAATAATCTTCTCTGGTTGGTTAATAAAATGGCAGCCGAAACCCATACTCATATTTGCCACATTATGCTCTACCACTTCGAGAAAAGTTGGAAGTCAGCACGGTCATTCCGCGATCTCAACGAACTTTTCGGCGAAGGAACAAAAAATAGACACGATTTCCCAGTGGATGATTCCGCTTCTGTCCCACCACACATACGACGTAGCCTTCTTACAGTGGACGTCTTTTGGTACTCCTTTGGGCGAAACACCTGCCGATTTTTTTCCTTCGCCGAAAAGTTCGTTGAGATCGCGAAATGACTGTGCCGACTTCCAACTTTTCTCGAAATGGTAGAGCATAATACGGCGGATAAGAGTATGGTTTTCGAAACACATTTTATTAACTAAATAGTAAAGATAATTTTTATTAAAAAAACATAAACAAAACGCAAATTTTAACTTACAAAAAACGCGCCAATAAAACCGCCGGATAATTTTGACTCAACCTAATATTTTTAGAAATCAAATTTGATTGAATTACGGTGTGGGTTTGCCTCAATTTTTAGCATTCTTTGGGGGTAGGTATTCTATACCTAAATGATCAATTGTGAGACAGTTTCAAGTCTGATTTACGATATCGTTTCCATTTCACCTTCGGACGTACGCCACCTGTCCAATAAAGGTAAGTAACTGTGAATCTGGTAGTCCGTTTTTTAGTTATTAAAGATTTTGTATATTATTCTAGGTTATTCAGAAAATTTTGTACGGGATTTGCCTGGTTTTCCCTCAAAATCACGTCCAACATATTAATTTTACTGTCCTAACCACGTTTTCCATCACCAGAGGTCTTCACAGATGTGATCCAGATGTTATACGTTACAGGGATCATGTATAACATCCGCCTGAAAAAAACGCTAGATTGGTCTCAAACACATTTTTGCTTCGCTTGATGATCCTCGAAAGTATTTTCCTTGATTTTTATGAACATTCCGCATAGTTTGGGCGTTGAATTTCATCTCTACCTAAAATCTGCATCAAGTTTGGACACAAAGAAAAAGTCTAAAAGAGAAGGAGAAACCTGTCCACTTACGTTTTTATAGGCACTAGAGACCAATATTACGCCAAATAATCTAATTAAGGCCGAAAACTTGGCAAATCTCAACAAAAATCTTCAAAAGTACCTAGTATAATATACAAAATCTTTAATAACTAAAAAACGGACTACCGGATTCACAGTTACTTACCTTTATTGGACAGGTGGCGTACGTCCGAAGGTGAAATGGAAACGATATCGTAAATCAGACTTGAAACTGTCTCACAATTGATCATTTAGGTATAGAATACCTACCCCCAAAGAATGCTAAAAATTGAGGCAAACCCACACCGTAATTCAATCAAATTTCATTTCTAAAAATAGAATAAGACTTGTTCTTGAAATAATCAACAAGAACTGACCAGATTTACCTTGATTAACCTCCGATATAACAGTCTGAATGTCGGGGAAAAAATAATATTAGGGGAAAGACTTGACCACCCCATGAAAAAAACTTGACCCGACCCGCAGTGCAGGGGGATAGAAATTTTAGAGCAGGTCCGCTTTGCTAAGAAGGATCGTTTTCCAGATGCAAAATAAGCCTGACAGACGAGAAAAATCGACCGAAAGTTCCACAAAAATTTCTTTCACCGATGGAAAACTTCCCCAAGCATTCAGGAAAGTGACCAGTAAAGGTGGATAGAGCAGGTCAACTTTGTTAAAAAAATGCTCTTTTCCAACCGCGAAGGAAATTTTTGTGGAACTTTCGGTCAATTTTTCTCGTCAGTCAGGCTTGTTTTGCAGCTGGAAAACGACTTTTTTTACCAAAGTTGACCTGCTCTACTAGTCATTTTCCCGAAAGTTTGGGGAAGTTCAGACCATTCTGTTTTAACAACGGTTTCAGCGACTTTACTTTTATTTTCTAGCCCAATTTTTAATTCAAATTGGAAAGTGTCTCAAGCATAACATAATAAAATTCTTCAATTCTCGCCAAATTTCCCAGAGCTCTTCTAAACAGTCCAAAGACAATCCCAGAAAAATTTTAAAGGCAATAAACCGATTTTTTGGGGCCATCCTTACCATAACCTTTAACTTTTTGGACTAAGAATGGGAAATTGTTTGAGCTGTTTGATTTTTTTAAATTTACAGATTGCGATGTTCGGCCTCGAAAATGAGTGGATTGACTATTTTGCACCCCTGTTCAAGCCAATCTCGACACGTTCGACGTCCCACCCGCAATTTCGCAGCGCTATGAAAGGTTTTATGCTATGCGGATACTCGCAAACTGTTGCTATGGTAAGAAAATTAGTTTTTTTTTTTGAAAAACATAATTTTATAAACTTTTTATTTGAAATTAATGGATAATATTTTAGCTTCTAACCCTCGGAGTTTTCCATTCAAAGGACGAAGAGAGCTTTCGGACGTTGGCCGAGGTCCTAACGGAACGAATATCACCGTTTACCTCGAAAAAACAGCCGGATTCGACGACCGTTTTACAGTTGTATAAAAAGCATCGACCAAGATTGACGGCAGTCTGCAAAGAACTGTCCGAAGAAGACTCGTTTCTGTTTTTGTCGGTACCTGGGGTAAGGTGAAGATGGAAGAATTGATTTTCGTGGGAAAGAGGGTTGATTCGGCCAAAGTTTTTTTAAATCTGAGCTTTGCACGCTGAGAAATCTCAGTTTTTGACGGGATTTGTCGTACAGTGGTGGACCTGATCCAGTGGCAAAAAACGTACTGTTTTGCATCCGGGAAGTATCAAAAATGCCGCAAAATACCTCCCTCTACAAGTGAAAAAACTCCATTTTTGAAATCGAAACTTTTTCACTTGGAGAAGGCGGTATTTTGCTGCGTTTTTGATACTTACGGGATGCAAAATAGCACCTTTTTTGCCACTGGATCAGGTCCTCCAGTCTGTCCCCTATGAAATATGATTTTTTCGTTTCCAGTCGATCAGTTTCATCCCATGGGAAGCGATGAAAGTCTTTGAAAATGTGCTCGTCTCCAGGATTGCATCCCTCCAAATCTTTGACGTCCTCAAAGCACGCCACAAAAAGTTACCGACCCCCATTGACCTCCGCAACTCGTATTATGTCCTAAATCCAAGTGGAGACCTCGTGAAAACAGAAGAGCGCTTCAAAACAATATTGAACAACTCCAGTTGGACCGGAATGACCGGCGCTCCACCACCGAAGGGCTCGGTGCTAACGACGTTGGAACACAAGGATATTTACATGTATGTAGGACATGGGAATGGCCTAAAATACGCTGGAACTACAAGTGAATTGCAGAAAACGGAATGCAAGGCGTCGTGTATTTTGATGGGATGCTCGAGGTAGGAAGGGAACATCAAAATTGTTTTTTTTTTTATTTTTGAAAAAAAAAATTTTTAATTTTTTGAAATTTTGTATTGTTTTAGTGTGGAGATCCTGGACGAAGGAAGAGGATACGATGGCCGCGCTCTCCTCTATGATCTGGTAGTCGCTCATTGCCCATGTGTGGTAGGATGCCTGTACATGGTGACGGATGGAGAAATTGACGCGGTCTTCATGGAAATGCTTAGATATTTGAATCAAAATCGAGAAGAGGAGAAAACAGAGTGGGTTTAATTTGGCAGATGATAGCTGGGAGTAATTGCGGAGGAAAGGGAGAGGAGAGAAGGGGTTTAATTTAGAGATTTTTGGCTATTGTATTTCGAAAATAAGGGAAATTTTTTGGCAAGTTTGTCAGAAATTCGATTGGTTTTTTTCAATGATGGCGTTATGTTCAAAACGTTTTGTAGAATTGTAGGTCACTGAAAGTTTACAAAAAACTCGATTTTTCATACTCGAAACTTGGCAAAAAAAATTCTCGCAATACTCTCCGCCGGTAAAAACCCGTAGAACGCTAAAATTTGCAGAAATTGGTCTTTGATCTACACTCAAGGTAATTCTTTAGAGAAAAATAAAATTTAACGTTGCCTTTGAGAACGATCCGTTGTAAAATGGCCTCAATCTCGTCTTCGAAGATATTTTTAGAGCTCTCCTTTCTTTTCACTTTCTAATTTAACTTTGAGATTGCTGCGATAAGCACAGTTACATATTGACCATTCTGTTTACAGAAGTGGAAGATACCGCCTTCTTCTTCGAGCCGTCAAACATGCCCGAGGAAGCTGTCGCCTGAAGATGCTCACTGGACATGCCGTTGTTTGTTATGGTCTCCCCACCTCAACAGAGAACCCAGACCCTCAAATAGCATCGAGTATACCAGCGTCCACCCATAACTTTCTCAAAACCAAGGTTGAACGGATTGCAGTGTAGCTAGAACATTGAATTTTTACATTAGTACATATAAAAATAAAGACTTCTATTGACTAACGGAATTTTAAAAAGAGTTCTTTGATGCCTTATATACACTTTTGGAAGCACGAGTTGACTTTGGAAAAAAAGAGAGAAAGTTTAGACAAGCATAGGAAATACTTTGGTAAAATAAATGAGGATGATTTATGGAAAAACGTTTTTTATAGGTGGCGAAGGTTTAGAGGGGGTAAGCCTGGGTGTGGAATTGTTTATTGTGACCCAAGAACTATGATTATCTAGCTAGAGTCTGTTTTAGTCCGTGTTTCCCAACCGAAAATTGGCTTATTCTATGAAGATGTTGGTAGATCAAGTACAATATCAAAATCGATCCGAAACGTCACCCGAGTTTGTCTCCCTGTATTTTTATAAAGACACATTGTAATTTTCAGTATGTCTCACCCTGTCTTGCCCACCTTGCCTGCCATTTCTCACTTTGGCATTCCGTTTTATCTTCAACTCCCCGATTTTCGGCCAAATCTGACCTTCCAAACAGTTTTTTGTTGCTTATTCGTCAAATTTTTCTCTTTCCTTTGGCAAAAACCCCTTCGAAGTGTTCCACTCTCCAAAACAAACGTTGTTCCCGTTCGTTTTTTGCCCGCTTTCCCCACGAAAAGAGCCCGAGAACAGTTGGGGAAGGACTTATTTTCTTTTTCTTGTTTACCATTCCCTCCGATGATGCCGTCAAGTGCACGCAGAAACGTTTTTGTTTTGCGCTAGAACACGTGTGTGAACTTTGCGTATATGATAAGCGGATTCTCTGCAGTTTTAATCGTTCAATTTGGTTTCCAGGGTCAGGTGCAATATTATTTTTTTTTGTCGATTTAGTCGGTTTTTTCAAGATTTCCGTGGGAATTCAGGTGAAATAAGGGATAAAACAGCTTGGAAAGGGGGGATTTAGGTGCTAAACTTGAGCACGAGAAATATTTTTTAGTCAGATGTCAAGTATAATATAATTTTTGTCGATTTTCTTTATTCTTTAGGGAAATAGAGGTTGAAAACGGAAGAGAAAAGCTTGAAAAGCCACTAAGAAGTCCCTATGCCTGAAAACAACCGAGATTTTGACCTGAATCAGCTTGTTTTATCAACTTTTCCCATCAAAATTGTTATCATTTTGTTTTGTAGCGGGTTTTTTCCCTGTGCAGCCCCTCGCGAAGGGAGGGACCATCCCATCGCAAAAGGGTTATTTAGAAAGGGAACGAAGGTCAGAGTTCCCATTTCTCTCGTGTTTACCTGTCCATCCTTTGTTGTGATTTCATAAATTGCTTGCAAATTGAAAATGAAGATAACATCTTCCCTACACGAGGCTGCCAGATGCTCCTTCTCAATGATAGAGCGTTTACATTGCGTCGAGCAGTCATTTCACTTGCGATAATTTTGTTTTGACCATGTTTATAGTTGAGTTGTCCTCTTTTAGATCAAATTTTCGAAATGAGCGCTCCGATCAGAGTTCTTGTCACTGGCGCTGCTGGACAAATCGGCTACTCGCTGGTCCTACAGATCGCCAAAGGAGATGTCTTCGGCAAGGAAACTGTAAGCTGAAAAAATTATCAACTTTCCTCCGGAGTTGGACGATTGGGGAAATCGAAAAGTATTATTTTTCTTCGATGCAAGTGTGAAATTAGGATAATCGAGGGTGCTGATTTTGAAAATGACATTCATTTTGTTATTTTTTTGATCTTTACTTTTTTAAGTAGTACTGTAAAGTCTTTTTTTTCATAAATACTCGATTTAGGGGGTTTTCGATGGTGCTGATTTCAAAAATCTTATTAATTTTTTCTGATTTGAAAGCAGTACCATCGAAACCCCCCAAATCGAGTATTCATGAAAAAAATTCAAAAAATTACAACTTTACAGTACTACTTAAAAAAAGTAAGGATCAAAAAAATGAATGTCATTTTCGAAATCACCACCCTCGATTATCCTAATTTCGACACTTGCATCGAAGAAAAATGATACTTTTCGGTTTCTCCAATCGTCCCAGTTCCATTTCCCTCATGGATAACATAATTTTTGACGTATTTTTTAAAAATTTTAGCCCATCACCCTGGTCTTGTTGGATATTGCCCCAATGCTCGAGGTCCTCAGAGGAGTGGAATTCGAACTCACCGACTGCGCGTTGGACATCCTGAAGGGAGTGGAGATCTGCACCACCGAGGAAGCCGCTTTCAAGGACATTGACTACGCATTCTTGGTTGGAGCCATGCCAAGACGCGAAGGAATGGAGCGCAAGGACTTGTTGGCCGCTAATGTGAAGATCTTCAAGTCGCAGGGAAAGGCGTTGGCCACTTATGCGAAGCCGACCACTAAGGTGAGGATCAGTAAGGAAAACTGAAATAAGTTTGGGAAACGGGGAGTTGGACGGATGATTTTTTGTTGATTTCGGTTGGAGTAGGTGTTATTTTACACTGGCGTTTCTAAATTTTGTTTGTGCTTGGATTATCATGCTATTTTGGACCTTATTTTAGTCACCTCTTGGCATAAGTAATCTACGGTCAAGAGACATAAAATAAAAAGATTTTGATAAAAAATTTTGGATGATTGGGATGACCATGGCTTATTTTACTTTGCATTTTTTAATTTGATTGTTAGAGCCTATATTTTTCGCACATTCGACCTTATTTTAGTGTCCTCTAGGTCTAATGCTAAGATAAGGTGGGAAAGAAGAGGATATGGTGGATTTAGGTAAAATTTGTGTTTCATGTGGAAAGTAACGCCCCCTGCTTACATGAAAACATAAATTTGACCGAATATTTCATTACTTTGGACCTTATTTTATGCTTGAAGCTCTAAAAAGCAAAAGTTTGATATCACTGTTGATTTTTTTTTTCTTTCAGGTCCTTGTTGTCGGAAACCCCGCCAACACCAATGCTCTGATTGCCGCCAAATACGCGGAAGGAAAGATCCCCGCTCGCAACTTCTCCGCCATGACCCGCCTCGACCACAACCGTGCCTTGGCCCAAGTCGCCCTCCGTTCCGGGGTCTCCGCCGCCGCCGTGAAGAATGTGATCATTTGGGGAAATCACTCATCCACTCAGTTCCCCGATGTCAAGCACGCCAAAGTCAACAAGAGTAGGTTGTGGAGGGCCAGTGTAAGGTGTTGATTTAGACGGACAAACCCTTGATGCCTACACTGCCGTTGGAGACGAGGCCTGGCTCAGAGGAGACTTCATTTCAGTGAGTTTTGAGGGGATTTGGGGTGGAGATTTTGCAATGGAGATTAGAAATAGAGTGGCGGACCTGATCCAGTGGCAAAAATGTATCATTTTGCATCCGGGAAGTATCAAAAAATGTGGCAAAATACCTCCCTCTCCAAGGGAAAACTCCGATTTCAAAAGCGCGCCCTTCAAAAAGGAGTTTTTTAGTTGGAGAGGGAGCCATTTTGCCACATTTTTTGATACTTCCCGGATGCAAAATGGTACGTTTTTTGTCACTGGATCAGGTCCGTCACTGTAAGATGAAAAAACGGTGAGAATGTAAAGTGAAATAAGGTTATACAACCAAGTTTTATGCCGTTTGGGTAGGAGTTTTACTGGTTTCTTTGGAAATTTTCTTTTGATCTCCTTCATTTGCTGTTGTACCACCTTTTTAAAACCCAATTTATTGATTTCTTCAGCTCGTCCAAAAGCGCGGAGCCGTCATTATCGAGAAGAGAAAGCTCTCTTCGGCCATGTCCGCCGCCAAGGCCGCCTGCGACCACATCCGCGACTGGCACTTTGGAACCACCGGCGACCAATGGGTCTCCATGGCCGTCCCCTCCGACGGCTCGTACGGCATCCCCGAAGGCCTGATCTTCTCCTTCCCCGTCACCATCCAAAACGGCGAATGGAAGATTGTCCAAGGCCTGGAGCTGGACGCCTTCTCCAAGGAAAAAATCGCCGCCACCACCAAGGAACTTGTCGCCGAACGAGATGACGCCCTGGCCGCCTGTAACGAAGCCTAAGATAGATTGTTTTGTGTTGTAGCACTAAGTCTTATAAACTTACAATAAACCCATGTATACGTAATATTACATAATTTTTGAAGTCATATTTTATCGACAGGTTAGATAGGATTTATTTTCAAAAGTACCCGATTTTCCATACAACGCAGATGATATGATACTCGTTATGGTGTGTCAAAGTTGAGGAATCCCAGCGTATTGCGTTCGTCTTCCTCTTCGCAGACGAAAACCAAGGTGGTCTCGGTGGCGTGCATGTAGAACACATCGGATCGTGGTCCCCGGTTCACTACATTCCTCACAAATTCTCCTGAAATCATTAAATTTTTCGGGTTCCCAAAAAATTTTAAAAAATTTCACTCTTATCCTAAAAATCTCGGCGAATCAAACTTTCTAATAGTTCCCTTTGAAGAAATATTACATTACACTTGCCTGTGTTGATATTCCACAACTTCACCGTTGAGTCATTGCCGACAGTTGCGACCAAATCATGTCCAATAAACTCCATCTTCTCAATTCCGTCCATGTGCATGTCTTTTCCGGCGATTGTGGCCAAGACTTCGCCGCTTTTCCAGTCCCACACACATGCGTCGGTCCCGATCGAGATCAGCTTGTGTTGGCGGATAAAGAGGATCTCCGACGAGCGTTGACAATCAAAGGTTCTGATCAGTTCGCCGGTAGTGTAGTTGCGAAGATATATGATTCCGCTGACCCCACATGAAGCCATCAATTCGTCTGGTAAGTCGACCTAAACCATGGACAATATAAACTAAAGAAAAACTTACATAAAGAGCGTCGACTTCGCAATGGTGGCTTTCATAAGTTCGTTCTTTCTTCCCAGATTTGTCAAACAACTGCACTTGCCCATCACGCAGGCCAAACAAAATCTTCCCACCGACGAAAAACATGGACGAAATCGAAGGATTCATTCGGAAATTTGCCAACACAGACGCTGCGTCAATGTCGAACACGCGAACCATGTCATTATCGTAGTATGCGGCAATGAAATTGTTGTCGTACATCATTTCCACGGATTCTTCGGGGTTTCTGCGGATCGTCGCCAAACGACGACCGCCGCGGGCGTTGTGAACGGTTATATCTCTGTCAGATGAAGCGCTGACAACCCGTTCTCCATCCTCCAGAATGTAGACATCATGGACTTCTTCGGTGTGGGCATGAATCGTTCGCAACTTCTAAAAACCGACTTTATTTTTAGACCGGAGTTGGACGATTGGGGAAACCGAAAAGTATTATTTTTCTTCGATGCAAGTGTCGAAATTAGGATAGTCGAAGATGCCGATTTCGAAAATGACAATCATTTTTTTTTTTTTGATCTTTACTTTTTTTCTTAAGTAGTACTGTAAAGTAGTAATTTTTTGATTTTTTTCCATAAATGCTCGATTTAGGGGGTTTCGATCGTGCTGATTTCAAAAATCTTATTCATTTTTTGATTTGAAAGCAGCACCACCGTAAAACCCCCAAATCGAGCATTCAAGCGTGAAAAAGGGCAAAATTCGAGCAAATTTTGCGCGGAGCTGGACGATTGGGGTAACCGAAATTTTTTTTTTTCAAAGTGTCGAAATTTGGCTAATCGAGAGTGCTGATTTCGAAAACGACATTCTTTTTTATCTTTACTTTTTTCCTTGACTAGTACTGTAAAGTAGTAATTTTTTTAATTTTTTTCACAAATACTCGATTTACGAGTTTTCGGCGGTGCTGATTTCAAAGATCTGATTCATTTTTTCTCATTTGAAACAGCACCATCGAAAACCCCCAAATCGAGTATTCATGAAAAAAATCAAAAAAATTACAACTTTACAGTACTACTTAACAAGGGAATGGTCTGAACTTCCCCCAGCGTTTCGGAAAATGACTGGTACAGGTGGATAGAGCAGCTCAACTTTGGTAAAAAGAACCATTTTCCAGCTGCGGAATAAGCCCGGCCGACGAGAAAAATCGACCGAAAGTTCTACAAAAATTTCCTCTTTCTCTTCCCTCGGAAAAGAAGAGCGGTGCCCAATGGTTCGGTTGGCCGAGTGGACAAAGCGTCCGCTCGGTATTTTTTTGGGGGTTGGTTCGATTCCGGGGCAGCGCGAAGGACCGATAAGACTTTGGTGTGAGCAAGATCAGACTCTTATGAAACAAAAAAATATTTTGGCATTTTTATACGTTTTATAGGGGGCACTATACCAAAAACACAAATAACCGTGAAAAAATGTTTTTTTTTTGGATTTACCAGACCCACAAAGCGTTGAAAAGTCGAAGTCATACCGGGGCAGCGCGAAAGACCGTAATAAGACTTTATAGGTTATACAAAAAATTTTAAGCAATACTAATGGTGGGTACAGTCCGTTTCAAAAAGATAGAGATACCCTTATCTATGACCAAACATGTATGACTTCGACTTTTCAACGCTTTGTAGGTCTGGAAAAATCCAAAAAAAAATCACGGTTATTTGTGTTTTCGGTATAGTGCCCCTCTATAAAACGTATAAAAATGCCAAAATATTTTTTTGTTTTATAAGAGTTTGATCTTGCTCACACCAAAGTCTTATCACGGTCCTTCGCGCTGCCCCGGAATCGAACCAACCCCCAAAAGAATACCGAGCGAACGCTTTATCCACTCGGCCAACCGAACCATTGGACACCGCTCTTCTTTTCCGAGGGAAGAGAAAGAGGAAATTTTTGTGGAACTTTCGGTCGATTTTTCTCGTCGGCCGGGCTTATTCCGCAGCTGGAAAATGGTTCTTTTTACCAAAGTTGAGCTGCTCTATCCACCTGTACCAGTCATTTTCCGAAACGCTGGGGGAAGTTCAGACCATTCCCTCGTAAGAAAAAAAGTAAAGATCAAAAAAAATAAAAATCAATGTCATTTTCGAAATCAGCACGCTCGATTATCCTAATTTCTTCACTTGCATCGAAGAAAAATATTACTTTTCGGTTTCCCTAATCGTCCCAGTCCCATTTTCCTCATGGATAACATAATTTTTGATGTATTGTTTTGAAATTTTAGCCAATCACCTGGTCTTGTTGGATCGTCTGTTCCCCCAATCGTCCCAGCTCCATTTTAGAAGACATTTTACCTTTTGCATAATAGTGCTGAAGACCAACAAATCTCCGCTCTCTGTCCCACAAACCACGAGATCATCCTTGGTGGCGACCGCAGTAACAGCCATCGTTCCGACTCGGACAACAAAGTCTGTCTTTGGGCTGTTTTTGATCCAGTTGCCGCGGATTTGGGCGTGATAAAGGAAGGTTTGAAACCAATCGACGGCTTGGTTCCTTCCTTCCGCTTCGCGACGTCTGGCCGACCTACGGAGTTTCCTCTTCCTCGAAACCGGGCTAAAATTTATATTATACTAGACAAAACAGAGAGCTTTATCCAAAACACTGCATTCCCTTACGCTGTGCTTGTTCCATAACCATATCCGCACTCCTTGCACTTCAACTTCCATATTAGGCTATCGGACGCCAACTTGTTCCACCTTTTGTTCACCAGCATACAATTGAATAAATCCTTTGGCGCCAAGTACATCATTATTTCACGAGCCACGTCCGTTGAAGACTCTCCAACAACATCGCGCAAAAGTTTCAACGAGCACGCTTCGTTGATCTCCAACAACTGTTTTTGAGAGCACTCGCCCAACAGAACCTTGAGTGCCTCTTTTTGACAATCCGCGGGCATCCCCTAAACTATGAATAATATGAAAAGAAAAATTTACCTTGAATTTGGTCAACCAATCGGTAATCTCCGAATTCACATGCTTCGTTCCTTTTGTGATCGTTTTGGTAACTTCCTTTTTTCTGAAAAAAATATTACTTCAGAGATGTGTTACACAATACTTACTTGTTTGCTGAACGAGTTGCTGGCTTTCCCATCCTGTTGAACACTAATCTCCTAAAAGGAATGTGGATTTGAGGAAACAAAAATAATTTTTCTCCCTCATTTCTAAAACTGGGCGCAGTCTGCGAATTGAAATTGGGACCTACCAATTTATACGAAGAAAAATTTCAAAAATTTGAGAACGAGAAAAAAGTTGATTGTTTTACAGTTTTTGAGAGATAACCACTGTTCTGAATTTTTTTTGGGTCTCAAAAAGCTCTCTGTCGACATGTTACATCCGAATTTTACTCGTATTTTCAGTGTCCGCCATTTTTCGACGTCTTTCAACAGCGATAAAAATGATACCTTATAATCTGGTTGATATTGGAGCCAATCTGACTCATCCCTTGTACAAGAAGGATCTCGACGAAGTGTTACAGCGAGCCAAGCAGGCAGGCTTGAGCAAGATCATGATTACGGGCACCTGTTTGACGACTACCGCTGATGCACAAGAGTTGGCCGATAAATACCCCGGATTTCTCTATTTCACCTCGGGTAGGTTACGTCGAATTTGATTATCTAGTTTGTTTAGGTGTTCATCCTCATGATGCGAAAGATTGGAACGACAAGACCGGGGAGAAAATCCGTGAATTTGCGTTGAAAGATAACTGTGTTGCTCTAGGAGAATGTGGCCTTGATTTCAACCGAAACTTTAGCCCACAAGATGTTCAAAAGAAGGTGTTTGAAGAGCAGGTGAGTTTATTTTACCATTTCTTATCTTTCTTTAGGTAAAACTTGCATGTGAATTGAAAAAATCGATGTTTATACATGAACGCGATGCCTTCGGAGACCTAAACTCAATATTGGACAAATACAAGGCCGATCTCCCAGATGTTGTGATCCACTGCTTCACAGGGACAGCAGAACAAGCCCAGCATTACATCGACAAGGGATATCACATTGGATTGACCGGCTATTTGTGGAAGGACCGTTCCGAAGATGGAGTTCGACACGCACTTCAGCATGGAAAGATTCCTCTGGATCGGATACTCCTCGAAACCGATGCTCCGTTCATGTATTGCAAAGTGGATGATAAGAAGATTCCGGCCGATATTCGAGCCAAAATTAGCGATGAAGCCAAGGAAATGCATAAACATTGCCATTTCAAGAGGAATGAGCCTTGTGGACTTGCTGGATCTTGCGATTTGATCGCTGCTTTTGCCAATATCTCGCCCGTGGAGCTGGCGAGGATCACAACGGAGAATGCGGTGAGGGTATACAAGTTGAACTAGGGCTTCGGCGTCGTTTTAAATATGTTTATATTACACTTGTTACCTATTGTTTGTTAATTGTTATACTTTGATGATAAAAACGTAAAATTAATCCAAATTTTCGATAAGAATCTCCTCCTTTATTGCACAATCTACCCCTGGATTATGTTTATAACTAATTTGCGGCTTCCAACTTTTTGATTTTCTTTCCCGATCCCTTCATTATTGCTTGAAGTCGCTGAAGTTGTTCGTCAGTCATTTGAACTTGGAAGATCAAATTCCCGTCTTCATCTGTTTCCGGTTCCTCTGACACAAGTCCTTCGGCATACAAATAAGACGCCAATTGAGAGCCGGGTTTCAATCTGAACCGTCGGATCTTTGATCCAGTTATCCTTTGCACTTCATTATCCACTTTCTCCACCAATGTAGGAAGACCAAGGGATTTGCGACAAGACAGCATCACCATTTTGGGGTCAGCTTCTTTGAGAGCTCGGATATCATTCATCGAAAGACGATCAATCTTGTTGCCGACATTGATCATGTTGTTCAAGAGATGATCCGGTAAATTTAAGCCTCGTAACGTCTCCATAACATTCTTCTGTTGTCCTCTTAAATTCGGATGTGAGACGTCTTGAATGTGGATCAAAATGTCCTACAAAAATCATTCAAATTCCTTGTCAATCCATCTAAAAAAGAAACAAAAATAAAGATGACTTACAGCATTGATGACATGTCTTAAAGTCGCTTCAAACGACGCAATCAGACTCAACGGCAGATCCGAAATAAACCCAATGGTATCAGCCAAGAAAATCCTATGCCTTGAAGGTAAAATTGCAGGATGAACAGTCGTATCCAACGTAGCAAACAGTCGATTTTCTCCGGAGATATGAGCTGCTCCTGTTAAAGTTTTGATCAGCGTCGTCTTTCCGGCATTTGTATACCCAATAACTGCGACTAGTAATGCTTTTCGTGCTGTTTTCTGTTCTCGCAACTTCCTTAATTCCACTTCATTCGTCTTTTCCTCAACTGCGGCTCGGATTTTCTTCCTCAAAGTGTGTTCTCGAAGCCGTAGCACCTCGAATTTGTCCGCTTTCCTACAATTTATCCATTCAGACCACTCCGTAGAACGCATGACTCACGAAGACGTTAACGACAGGTGGGCTGAAGTGATGTTGAGGGCCTGGGTGGCAGCCCCATACTTATCCGCGTAGCTTAGGCGTTGCCTAAATTAATAACAAAATATATAACTAAAACAACTCACCTGATATACGGGATCTCCGCCAAGGCGATCTGTAGGTGAGCTTCTTTCGTTCGAGCAAAGAATTTGAATATTCGTAAGACCATGATGTATCTATCGAAGATTGGAACACCCAGCTCTTCATGTAGAGAAGCTTGCTGCATGGGGGTCAAAATGTCGACATTCAGCATAATAGCGGTGGCATTACACTTCTGCTGCAATGCTTTCAACTGTTCCAAACGGCCATGACCCCATACAGTCCGCTTCTTTGTGTTATAATCCGTTCCTATCATTGTTGATCTAAAACAATATAAATTAATGAAAAATTACCAGAATATCGCAACAAATCCTTTTCAAATTATTCTTACCCGGCCACAGAGAACCCCGGTAAAGTCTGAACAAGTGCACAAGCTTCCTCCAGCTTCAATGCAGCTTCTTCATCTCGAATTGACTCTGCTCCCCAACGAATTTTTGGATGGACGACTAGAACATGCTTAGGATCATTGGACCATTCATGAATCCCGGATTGAATCCGTAACTGTGTAAATTCCTTTTCCTTCTCTTCCACCGACGCCTCATTCTTTGTTGATTGATAATTTCGACATAACTTGACCCGATGTCTCAAGACCCTCTTGGAGAATATAACCCATCCACTCTGGACCTGGGCAAACGAACCAGCCACACGTTGGAACATAATCTAAAAGTTTGAGAGGTTTGACATGTGATTTGTCAAAAAATAAAGCGAGATAACTTCAAAGTATCCATCGTGACCTAGAAACAAATGGAAAAAGTAAAAGAAAACTCACACAATTGCTATTTCTACTCGGATAATGTTAGAATGGCACGGCGGACGGTCGTGGATGAGAGGGGCATGCTTTATGCTGTTTAGCACGTCAAAACGAGGACAAAACGAAAAAATTTTGTTGTAATTTGGGCGCAGCTCGCGGCTTGGGATAAAGTGGATTTTATACTTTCAAAAAATTATAAAAAAAGGATTACTGTATGTTACAGCACGAATTGACGTTCTGTAGCTTGATTTGAGGGTCCAAATACCCTCAAATAACCAAATTCCAGCTATATTTCCAACAAAATTTTGCATCATATCAAGTACGAGATCGGAAAGTTTATTTGGTCTGCTATAAATCAACATTTGGCAGTTCAGCCTCATCGTCGATGGTCTCCACGTCCTCTGTCTCATAGACTTTGCATTCATCGTCCTTTATGGCCACGTGTTTGACGGATTTATTACTGTGAGTTTCGCCTCGAGGACCTTCTTCATGCCGTGACGGCATTTCGAAATTTTCGGGGTAAGTGGCCTCCTCCTGACTGATTTTCAAATCCAAACTTCCGAGGTTCTGAAATCAACCGATTCTTCAAATTCAAGCCGCTCTCGCGGTGATAATTTTCAAAATCAAGTTTTCGTGGCGGGACCCAAACTCGTTACCAATGAAAGAGAAGATAATGCTGAAAAATGGAGAAAACGGTACCTTGAGTTTCGTCACGTCGCAGATAGTCTCTGCTTCTTCATCTTGGCCTTCGGCACCCTTTGCCTTCTGATCTTTTTTCTCACCTTCTGCCTTGTTCTCGATATGACCGACTTTGGGCTCCTTGCTGAAAAAGAAAGTGGGTAAATTTTAATCGAAAAACAATTTACTGGCTCTACAAGTCTCATGGTATCATAATCCAACTTAATATTTTTGAAAATTTAGTTTGAAAATCCAAAAATCCTTAAAATTCGACAAAAATCCCCGGAAAAATTCGTAATTTTCAAAATTTTTCTAAAATTTTAGTCCTTTAGGTCCCATGACATCATAATCCAACCAAATTTCTTTGAAAATTTGGTTTGAAGATTGAAAAATCCCCAAAATTCTCACCCTTTCTTGTCTTTCTCGTCGGGTTTCATGGGATCCTCGACCTTTTCGATTTTTACCTTCGGTGGATCTTTCAATTGCTCCGCACTACTTCTCACAGGTGCCAACGGCTTGGCCGTTTGGACGTTCAAGTGTTCGGAGCTAGCGGGAATCGGTCTTATCTTGTCCTGAACTCAAAAATTATTGGCCATAAAGTCATCAGATTTTTTAATTTGACACTAGGGGCAGATATCTCCGGAGTTGGACGATTGGGGAAACCGAAAAGTATAATATTATTTTTCTTCGATGCAAGTATGAAATTAGGATAATCGAGGGTGCTGATTTCAAAAATGACATCCATTTTTTGATTGTTACTTTTTTCCTTAAGTAGTACTGTAAAGTAGTAATTTTTGAATTTTTTTCTGAAATACTCGCTTTGGGTGGTTTCGACGGTGCTGATTTCGAAAATCTTTTTCATTTTTTCTGATTTGAAAGCAGCACCATCGAAAACCCACAAATCGAGTTTTTGTAAAAAAAATTCAAAAAACTACTACTTTACAGTACTACGTAAGGAAAGAAGTAACCATCAAAAAAATGAATGTCATTTTCGAAATCACCACCCTCGATCATCCTAATTGCTTCACTTGCATCAAAGCAAAATAATTCTTTTCGGTTTCCCCAATCGTCCAGTTTCACATATTTCATCTAATCATCTCACCTTGTTAGCCAAACTCGGCGACGAACGCTCGAGTTTCCCTTCGCTGGTCTTGCCCTTCAACGCCGCGATTTGACTCCGCTCCAGCACCATCGGCCGACTCATCCTCGACTTTGATTTGGACTTGGAATGACCCTTTCCACCACACAAAAAAAGCAGAATCGAGATGAGCAGCCATGCGTGCACCACGGCCACAACACACCACATCTCCGCAATTCTAGGCCAACAATGGAAAAGCAGGGCCAGTCCTAGCACTCGGTGATCACCAAACGTCGTCGCCCTTGACACGTTAATGGGATCGTCGATGAAGAGGAGGCAGGAAACAGTGGCAGCGAGACCAAATCGACCGCCACTTTGATAGGGAGAATTGAGAATGTGAACGGTCCCAATGATCCCCGAATGAGGAAAATTTACGGATTTTATTCAAATTTTGCGCTTAAGTACGTGAGAAGTTTTTCATCCGGGAAGTATCAAAAATGTGGTAGAATGCCTCCCTCTCCAAATGAAAAACTCCTTCTTGAAGGGCTTTTTTTCCTCACAAAAAAGAGCGAGCGCGCTTTTGAAATCGGAGTTTTTTCACTTGGAGAGGGAGGCATTTTGCCATATTTTTTGATGCTTCCTGGACGCAAAATGATACGTTTTTTGCAACTGGATCAGGTCCCCACTGTACTAGGTAATGTTCCAATAAAAATATTTCAAAAAATAAAACTAAATTCCCTCCTACAATCTATTTTCAACTGATAAAAAATTCCAAATATAACATTTCAACCTTTACTTTGAAAAATGGACAATAGCCAACAACAAGGAGGGGGGAGGGGGTGAAAAAAAGTTATTCGACAGAAAAAATATCAAGGATTTAGCGAAAAAGTGGGGTTTTAGAAGAACGGAGGATAATCAAACAATAACTAAAAAAAGGTAAAATATTTTCTTGAGGTGGTTTCTCGAGTTCCCAAGTAAATTTTGAGGGAGGGCAAAAAAGATTCGAAAATTTTTGAATAAAAAAGAGGGGGAATTGGAGAGGAGGGCACCGCTTTTTCTTCCAACTAACTGCAAAAGAAAGAAATAAACTCTGGTTTTGGAAGTGGTGATTGTGCACTAGCACACAACCGTGTATCGAAATGGTGGGTTGCACAGAGACGCGGAACAAGCATGGGGAAGAGAAAAAAGATCGGTGAACAAAGACGACTTCTCAATGCTTCTTTCGCGCCGCTTGGTGTTGTTGTTGGTGTCCAAAGGTAGCCAGTTTATTGACCTTTTAATATTGAGCCTGCTGGTAGCGCTGACCCTGCGGGACGGCGCCGTTTGTGGGCTGACCGCGTTGGGCTGTGTTCCCGTTCTGGGGGTACTCGTAGCCGGAGGCAGCTAAAGGTTGGAATTAGTCTTTTCAAACGCCGTCCTTACTTCCGTAGCCGGGATAGGCCTGGTTCTGACCTTGATAGAAGTTGTTGCTGGAGTACCAATCACCCCAGCCGCCGGTTCCGGTGGCGGCACCTTGAGAGGGAGCGCCGTATGGGACGGCTCCCATCTGGTTCCATCCACCGTTAAACCAGGGGCCGGCGCTGTGAACGGGCAGTCCTTGGGGGCGCATACCACCACCGAAAGCACCGCGAGGACCACCAGCCATTGGGGAACGGAAGTTGTTGAAACGACGGTTCTGGGGAACGGCCTTCTTCACATCACACTGAAAAATGACATCGTTTAGCTAGAATATAATTCAAAGGGAACTCAATGCTGTCCTAACTCCTCAGACCTTTTTATTGGCAAAAGTCTTAAACTGAGACTTCATCTATCTAAACCGACAACAAAAAGAAAACAAACTCACCTCACGTTCGCTGAAACTCTGCTTTGGCACAGCCGCAGCGCGGTCAGCGGCCTCCTCCTCTTCGAAAACAATGAAGGCAAAGTTACGACGGTTCTTGGTCTGCTTGTCAAAAGGCCATTCGATGTCCTCGACCTTTCCGTATTGTTCAAAGTGCTTTCTGAGCTCATCTTCAGGATGATCGGCTGGGAGTCCGCCGACAAAGACCTTCTTGTTTTCGCGAGACTTGGCCGGTTTCACTTCGCATTGTTTCCCCTTGATGTTTTGTTCGCGTTGATGGAGGGCAGCCTTGCAAGCTTCGGCGGTGGCGAATTCCACAAATGCGAAGCCACGAGAGCGTCCGGTGGAGCGGTCGATCTTGACCTGAGCTTGAGTCACTTCTCCGTACTGTTGGAAGTATTGTTGAAGGTCCTCATTGCCAACTTCGGCCGAAATGCCGCCAACAAAGATCTTTCTAAACCACGAAAATCAGACCAAGAATGCAACAGCCTACCTGTCTTCGGCTCCTTTTTGTTTTCCTGGGTCACCACCGTTGCCAACCTCAAGTTGTTCGCTTCCCATAGTTAATTTAACGACGAGAGAGTCAGTTGAGAAAGGTTAAGAAAAAAGTTGAGTAGTAGTTGAGTTGAGAAAAAGAACAGGTCCACACCTTCTCTTACAAAACCGTTACAAAATGGGGGGCGTTTACGAAAACAGTTTAGTATAACGGCCACAAAACAGTTAGACAGAAATACTTATTACCAGGGGGCTTACAACAGAATTACAGAATATTAGGCCAAAGATCTTACAAAAGGGTAATTAGAAAACGTCTATCTAAAAAAACCCTGAAATGCAAAAAATTAGTGAAGAATAACATCGAAAACCGCGAGAGAATCACGTTCAATAACAACGATTGTTGTCAAAAATCGATCACTGCATAACATAATACTCATTAAAAGTTAGCGAGAGGAGAAGGAACGCTCTAATCGGGTTGCAGAGAAAGGCGTCTCATCCGCTCTTCTCTCAGCGGAAGAGAAAAAGAGACACGGGGAGATGGCACTGAGTGGGCAGTCGGGCATTATCTTTAGCGTCCCTTCTCCTCTTTACCTATTCTTCCCGATCGCCATAACACAAATTATATAACGGAAAATGGGCAAAGGTTATCAAATGGCCTAAAGTAATATAAATCTATAATCCGCTCGAAACACACTCAAAATCAGTCGTTTTTGGCGTGCAAGAACGACAAACCAACTGCTCGGAGATCACACACTGCCCAATCGACATATTCGATATCAAATTTATATTATCCTAGGTTTAGCACCTCCAATCGCGCCGAAAATTAAAAATTATTGCACCTACAATTAATTAAAACTCTCCTAAAACTAATAAACATAAATGTACCGAAAATCTGCAGGTAGACCGTCCAAAACAAGCCGTCAAATTGCGCCTCCAACCCCTAAAACTCGACGCTTTCGCGGCCTAAAAACAAGAAAATCGTCTGATCCATAGGTCGGAGCGAAGAAAACATGGGACGTACACCTCGTCAGAGACGCACCACGTCCGTTGCGCTGCAGCAGAATGGGGTCGCACCAGCAGGGGAAAAGGCAGTCGACTTGGCGTTCTTCCATCTCGCTCTCTTTTCCGCCAAAACCATAAAAAAAAGTATTTTGTTTTGTGCCTTTTTCGTGCCGGGACCCGACTCGCTTTGAACAAGCAAGTGCGCGAACTCAAATTCGCGCTGTCATACTCTATAAATAGCAATGTAAGTCCATGGACCACCTTCTATGCCCATTTTCTACCCTCTGAATCATCAAAATCCAAGTTAATTCAACTCCAGACCTCTAATATCAAGTGCAATATAAAAATTTCAATTTTAAAAGTCTTTAATAACAACCATCACCAAAATCAACAATATACTACTCGTTCCGCTTCTTCCCCACAATTAATAAGTTCTCCGGGGAGACCCTTCTGTCCACATATTGAATTAATTCAACGTCGAAACCGGCTGATCGTAAATATTCCACTCGAGCGTACTCCAAGATCCTCTTGGCCCTCACTCCCAGCTCTTCTCTCTCGTCATCACTAAAGACTGAAGGTCACAAATAATGAGGACTTACGTTTTATCCGTGCTTGCGCCTTCTTTGTTTTCGAATCCGCAACAATTCCAAGTGGAGACATGCCGGAGGGCGGAGAATTGGGAATCTGAGGTGATTCCGTGTTCTTTTAGGAATTCATTGCCCACGAACTGAAAGAATAGAGCATTTAGAGTGTTTCAGGATGAAAAACTATTATAATGCGACATCTTAACTTTTCGAAATTCTAAATTTTTCTACCTGACACCTACTACAACATCCTCACCTCTTCCTTGACGCATTTATGATGACAACATGGTGCCAAAGCAAATCCAGTGAGCCTTAGTCCCTCCTTCTCTCCATTCAACAAACATCTTATACCGTAATCCGTCGCTGCTCCACAAAAGTGCTTACAAACTGCGACAACACTATTTGACTCTTGCAGAGACGGAACTTGGCCAAGTTTTAGATGCTCTACAGAACATCTGAGCCTCTCAATTTGCAATGAATCGTCTTCTTTGATGGCTTTTCTATCGAATTTGTTTCTTGCTCCCATTCGATCAACCAGAAGGTACTTGGTTTTCGGGAATTTCTTGCTCATCCAGTAAACAAGTCGAGCTTTTCCGCTTCCCAAGTCAATCAGGCATTCGGAATCTACATTCTCAAGAAGCGAATGCCTTGATAAGCAGCCTGCAACAACTCTACATAATTTTTCCATCTCTTCTACGATCTTTAATCTAAAATCCGACAAAAAATATAAATCCTTACCAATGATGGAATCGATTTGTCGTAAATGCAACTTCTTTTTGTCATTCAAAACATCAGCAGCCTCACGGATGTCCTCGTATTGGAAATCGGGGTCTATAGGCACTTCAAAACATTCTTTGATTTCATTGTAAATTTCATTCACCTTTTTGATAACCTCGCCCACTTCAGCCGCTGTTGGTCTGACAAATTCGGGGGTCAATGACGACTTTATCGACTGGTTAACGAATTCCTCAAGCCAAGGATGTTCTTGAATACGTGAATTACACTTTGTTAGATGTTGATCTAATTCAGATGTTAGAACTGTGTGTTTCGGGTCGTTAGGGCAAGGAATTCGATCCTAAAATAGGAAATCTTGTTGAGATAACCTTCAAAGCATTTGGATTCACTCAGATCGGTGTTATTTTAACCATATTTTCTTTTCAAAGACCCTCATCTTTTTCTAGATATCAAAAAAGTCAAGTATAATATAAAACATACCAAATTATCCGGATCATGAACCATGTGCTCTCCGCAGAATCGTTTCCCCGACTTTCGAAGCATTCGGCATTTCCTCTTCTTCTTTGGCAAGATGTATTCACAACGTTCCATGGGGAATAAATTATTCTTGTTGAGGAATCTTCTCAAGAAAACAAAAAAAATGTTCTAAACTACCTAATCACCAATAAATGGCATCTCCAACATGGCGAATTTTTATCGTCAACTAGAAAAAGAATAAATTGCAGAATGCCACATTTTTTCATCCTATGTTTTCGCGGCGGGACGCGAGAATATCGCAGGAACAATTGCGACAGCTGGCACAGCACATCGTTCTTTCGTAATTGGAAAATGTTTTTTTAACGGGGCGGCGCTATTATTGATTGAAAAAAGAGGGAAGAAGCGCCGAAAATTCTAATTTACCACAACCTAATTTACGCAAAAACCATCGGCACACATACTCATTGAATGATATTTTCTGAAATTTCGATGGACTAAGCTCCTTTAAGAATCAACATGACACCTGTTATCATCTTAGCCTTTCCATATTCATCTAAAACATCATGGGTGTTTCAGTTAAAGATTCGGTCATATCTCGCAGTTCCAACGAAACTTGGGTATACCCGATATGCCAGTTGATGCGGAAGAATCCAGAGAAAATATGTGTTCAGTTTCAGAATTTTCTGTACGCGAATTTTTTTTCAATTCCCGGATTATGTTATACTAAGAGGTGGTATCGCCGAATATCAGATTAATAAGATTATTAGTATTGTTGACGCTCCTTAAATATATATTCATGTATTTTTTGTTAAATATGATGCTATTTATGCTGTTACACATCACTTTATGCATGTGGCCACAACAAAAGGAAAATTATAAAAAATGCACAATGCCACATTTTTTTGGCAAAAAATGTTTTTGTGGTGCAACCGGCAAAAATTTTTAGCTTCGCAAGCCAAAAAAAATTTTAAAGCATTACGCCAAAAGCTTGTTTTTCGTGGCGATACAAACCGTAATTAGCAGAAAAAAACGACGTGCACAGTGCGAAACTCACTCAAACCCGAGCACTGTGCGACAACAACTTCTCTGAATGCACTGTGCACATTTCTCCCCATTTTCGAGGGTTTGGGAAAAAGGTCTCATTTTTCGAAAAAGAGAACGGTGCAAACCTGTCGCGCCAATCGCACAGTGCAGATGATTTTTGTCGCACATTTCGCATTACGAAACCCACAGGAAGGACTCGGATTGGTTCACGCACAGTGCAATTGAGTGCGTTGTTCTTGCGCAGTCGTAATTGTTTTGAAAGTTTGCCTCTCGCTGACCCGGCGGTTGCACGGTGCGGGCAAATTTTGGGTTTTGCACTGTGCTGCGGGAATTTGGATGAGTGCACGGTGCGATGGTGTTTCTTTGTTGTTGTTGGTTTGGGAAAATGAGTTTTATTTGTGGAAAGGGGCAGGGAAAAGTGTGAAATTTGTGGTATACGTAAATCAAGGGTGTGGTAAGAGGGGATCAACAATTTTTTTACGGAATCTAAAAATTTTGAGATTTTTATGGGCAAAAAATGTCGTGAAGACTGTGAAAGTGATTTTTACGTATTTCTTTTGTTTTTTAGTGCTTCCTCATGCATTACAAAAATTACTGAATACTTTATTTTTGCGTATTTAAAATAAAATACGCATTTTTTCCTAATTATTGGTGGACTTGAACATTTCCTTTTCAAAATATGAAATCAGGACTTTTGCTGTTACAGTTCAGCCTCCCTTCCTATACAGCTGAATAAATAAACCTCCACAACGATGTAGAACAAGTGGACTACATGGACGGAAGCAAATTCTGCGATTTATTATTATAAAAATTTTTCTAAATTCTTTATTATAAAATTTTTATCCCCTATTTCAAGCGAATGTTTGAAGTCAAAGCGATAATTTTTTCTCTATTGATAGTGCTCGTCATCTGCATGCATTACGATGCGAAATATGACGTTGTTGGCGGTCTTAGAGATCAATTCCAGTTGGCCATTCTGGAGAATGCACGGGGGTCGGTGATACGGTTCAATAAAAGTGATCATCCAATCTTGAAGGTAATCAATAGACAAGAATAAAAGAGCTTGATGCTTGTATTCCAATGAAATTTTTTGTAAAAAGTTTGTTCACAAAATTTCATCTACAGCATGACTGGAAGTACCCCAAGTGCGATGCTCAGATTTTCTTTAAATTTTGTACACACGTCGGGCATGGACCAAATATATATTCCTGAAAGTTTTAGCTCGCGCTTTACAGGCGCTGCCGAGATATATATATCTTTGCCGCCGAGAGAGTGCACTAAACGTGGAGAGCGGTCAGAGAGAAAAACACTTTTTGGCCATAACTTTTGCTGGTTTCGCGCGGAAAAAATTCTTCTTTTACGGTAGAAATATGTATGAAACTTTTCGTCCGAAATTCGGCAAAAAGTCTCATATTTTCGCCGACTTTCGATTAAAAAATCTCGGTTGTTTCTGCAAAGCGCGAGCCAGGATTCTCGAATATACTTTAGAAAAAAATTATTCTAAATTTGTGCCAAGTTTTATCAAAATGTGAACGTCGCACTTGAGGTACTTCCCCTGTAAGATGACTTTATTTCTAGGCCTCGTTCAAATTCAACCTCGCATTCTGTCTTCCGTCCCATGTCCATTCGGATTTGCTTACCGCCCTCGCATGCTATCTTCATGATAACATCGATTTTGATATAAATAATCGGAAGATAGAGACAGAACGAGATGAAAACAGCTTTTGCCGATTCCGCAACGAGTTCGAGTCGTTGGAGGCGCTCAACAGTGTGTTTCCGAAGAGGAAGCTCAGAGTTGTGACAGTCATTGATGATCCGTTGGATCGATTTGTGGTGTCTTACGTGGACCGATGCTTGAGGTGAGGATTTGGGGTCAGAAATGGGTCATATTGATTACAGTGGGGGACCTGATCCAGTGCCAAAAAACGTACCAGTTTGCATCCAGGAAGCATCAAACACTGTGGCAAAATACCTCCCTCTCCAAGTGAAAAAACCCAGATTTCAAAAGCGCGCCCGCTCTTTTTGTGATGGAAAGGGCGCGCCCTTCAAAGCGAAGTTTTTTTCGCTTGGAGAGGGAAGCATTTTGCCACATTTTTGATACTTGCCGGATGCAAAATGGTACGTTTTTTGCCACTGGATCAGGTCCACTGTATGTGTTCAAACTCTCTATAACGAAGTGCTAGGAGTCAAAACATTAATTTTTTATGTAAGAGCTTCGTTCTAGGCAGGTTCGTTATGCCCTAAAATTGAGTCATCGTCCCATAAATTGTTCGCTGTAGGTCATTTTCGTTGTTCTGGACTTTGTTATACAGGGTTCCGTTATATTTTCAAGAAGTGTAATCATTGATAAAGGTAATGTTTTAGTGAGTTCCCAGATAACGCAACTCGTCGCTGCTTTGGATGCAAAGAAGATCTTGAGTGCTTCTTGACAAGGCTTCATAATAGGACAATCATGCACACTCAGGGGCAGCAATTTCTAAATTACAACTATGTGCGGCAGTTCTTCCCACAGAGCTTGTAAGTGTTATTTGCAAGCAGAGTAAATACGACTTGTTCAACGTGCGGCTCTATCAAATTTTCTTAAGATTTCACATAGTGTATGTTGTGCTCGGAAAAAATTTTTTTGACCAAAATTAAGATCTGAGCGTCACACTATGAGCATATTATATAAATTGCATCCGAATGTATTATGGCTACAGATTATTTTCATCTTTATTTTAGAAACTGTAACTTCAACACCTCCTTAACAAACTATATCTTTATCAACTCCTTTCTGGACCCCTCATCTGACTGGATAACCAATTTAACAACTGAACTTGGACTGATTTTGCAGCTTCAAAATGTTACCGATCCCATTGCAGAAGTTGCCATGAAAAGTGTAAAACTTTCACTTCAAAAAGAGATGGAGCGAAATCAGAACTACACAGATGTGAAATCGTCAATTCTTCGCAGTCCATGGGTTCTGCAGAGGTTTATTCAGATCTATCATCGCGACTATGCAACGTACAATTTACCGTTTCCACAGTTTCGGTTTGACTAGTTTGGGGGTTAGGATATAGTGTAGGGGAAAGCCTGAGACGACATAGAAATTTTGATGAGTTTTAGGGCAAATTGAGGCTATATTTTTCCAGGATATATTGGGGTTTCTTAAGCCTCTACAATGTATAAATTACCGGGGTTCTGTGGTTGAAAGTTGACGAAAATTTAGCCACTTCCTTTTTATTAGAATAGCCAGTTTTCTAATGAACCTTTGTACAATAATTGTCTTTATATTTATGATATTAATTTATTGATAGTCATTCTTTCACATCGAGATCATGATTTTAATTTTGTACAAATTTAAAGCGGTTTTTAAAGCGAGAATACTGTACTTCCCTTTGAGATAAATCACTCAACAAATTTAGATTCCAATCGTATTGATATTCCCTCGTTTTGCTTTCTTATTGATATTTCTCAACTGTCTCCATCCTATGCAAGTCACCGCAATGAAGTAGCTATCCAAAGCGCAGCACAAAAAGATGATGAAGCCGAGGAGGCCATACCAATGGCCATTCATATTGATATAGATCTGAGATCCCAGCCAAGTCACGGCCGAGCCGCCGAGGACCAAAAGAAGACTGATGAACAGCATAAAACTGACTACTGATATCTGAAAAGGAGTTGTTGTAATTGACAGCAACTTTAAGGGTTTTTTTTAAATCGAAGTCGCTTCGTATTTTAAAACTGCTTACCTGGAAAAGCACGTGTGTAACGTAGAGCCAAGGCATTTTTCTCCAATATCCAATGAGCAATAAACAATAAGAGAATAATGTAAACAGAGGCAGCGTGAACATTGGACTACCATAATAAGCGTAATAAATAAAACCCAAAATGCTCAAAATGACGCCGGCCACAGCTATGTACAGGCAACCGATCTGAAAAGGAAATTTTCGATGACATATCGTATGAACTCCTAATTTCATTAAACCCAGGTGGAGTTCCTAGGATTCCCAGTCGAAGGAGCGCTGACTGCACTACCTGGCCCTGGTTTGGTCAGCAAACCTTGCCCACAGGGACCACCTGGCCCACCAGAAAGCCCAGGAGACCCAGGAGAGGCTGGTACCCCAGGACGACCAGGATCCGACGCTTCCCCAGGATCTCCCGGACCCCGAGGACGTCCCGGCCCACCCGGAGAGTCTGAACGAATTGGACCACCGGGAGAGCCCGGAATCCCAGCCCAAGGCAAGCCACTCACCCCCGGAGCCCCAGGAAAACGGACAGCGTGGACTCGCTGAACCCGGAGGAGCTAGAACCGGTGTAAAAAATCTATGTGCCACAGATTCTGTGTCATCAATGGTGGGCTCTTTTTTGAGGGGGAGAACCCGACCAGAATCAATCCTTTTTACGCCCTAAATGGAATAAAGTGACCTTTCCTCTGGCCACATCCCTATTTTATAGAGCAAAATTTTCACTTACCCTCAACGGAGAGAACCCACAACAACAGGTTTTCTCATCTTCTCTGTCGATGACTAGAAACGTTGCCGTCCTCTCTTGTTCTCGCGGATTCTCCGCAATTTCTGTGTATTCCGGAGGCGCCGAGGGATTGTGTGGCGGAGGTGGAGGTGGTACTGGTGGAGCATGCGACGGTTTGAAGCGGCCGAAACCCGGAAAACGGATCTGTCGTTCTTCAAAAGTGATGGACGTAGGGACTTTGATCGTCGGCATTTATCAACTGAAAAAAGGATAAAATTTTTTGAAAAACCAAGTGTTTCAGGTTCGATTTTTAAAAGGTAATCTAAAAGTTTTGTCCAAGACTAACTGTTACTTACATTTCGTATGAAAAATCTTGGCCAAAAATAGAGAGAAGTAGCATAAACTTCTCGTATCTCTCAGCACTCTGTCTGGCTGTCCACAAAGTACGTTCCACTACTTTTAAAGCGAACACTGGCCAATGTGAGGCCCGGTTCTCTTCTCCCCTCTCTCCGTGCCATTCTATTTATTCGGCCGCTTTCTTTTTTATAGTGTTCTTTTTTTGCGAGGCCTTCGAATTTCGTAAAAAGAGTTCTTTTCTGGGCCGATGAGTCATTGCGGGCCACAAAAACAAACAAACAAGTGAAGGAGGAGGTGAAATTGAGACGGTGAGAAGTTAGGGAGGTTGGTAGGTCTTCATTTTTAATAATGCGTTCTGAACAGTAAAATTGCAAGGAACAAAAAATATTTTTTTAGCTAACAGGGGAAGTACCCCAAGTGCGACGGTCGGGTTTTGATGAAATCTGGCACAGATTTAGAACAATTTTTTCTAAGATATATGCGAAAATCCTAGCTCACGCTTTGCAGAAACAACCGAGATTTTTAGGTCGAAAGTAGACGAAAATTTGAGACTTTTTGTCGAATTTCGGTACGAAAAGTTTCATGTCTATTTCTACCGTAAAGGTTAATGTTTATACAAAAAATGAATTTTATCCGCACAAAACTAGAAAAGTTATGGCCAAAAAGTGTCTTTCTGTCTTATCGCTCTCCGCGTTTAGCGTACTCTCTCGGCGGCGAAGATCGTTCAATATCTCGGATGAATTGATATTTATTCTATGCCCGAAGTGTGTGCAAAATGTAAAGAAAATCTGAGCGTCGCACTTGGGGTACTTCCTTTGTAAGTTTTTTGTTGGACTTAGGTCCTTCTTGGCCAAAAATTGGCTCTTGGGACCTCTGAAATTGTCCGTTGTAGGCTGGTTTCGTTGTACGGGAGTTCGTTTTATGCAAGTGCTACCGTGTTTTCCCAGAAGACTATTCAAATCTTCAAATCTTGATGATTGTGCGGCCTAATTGCCGGATATCCAATGTTTTTCAAAATTGGTTCGTAACCCCTTTCAAAATCTCCTGTATAACCTTGCCGATGACGTAATTGCGAAAACGCCAACCTATCCACTTCCTCGAATTCATTGCATACCATTCAAAATACCGAGAGTTGATTTGATAAATGATCGCAAAGCCCTTTTTTCGCCCATTTGAGATGCACTCCAGTCTTCTCGAAGATCGAACTTTCTTCGATCGAAACCGGTTCTCAAACAGCGAAGATAAAAAATATCCGATAAAAACATTTTTATCTTTAATCTCCGCTTCAATGATTTCCATTACAACGGTGTTTGTACAGATATGAAGTTGAAAATGCAAAGGGGGAAGAGCAGCTAAATACGAATACTATAAGATTGCAACGGCCTCACGGGAAGAGGCAGTCTTTGGACTTGCAAAGACCGCCGAAACACAGAAGAAAGAAAGATGTTACAGCGAGCGTTGAATCTTGTAACAAACCGGTTGGCAAACTGTCAAGAAGGCGATAATTAACGTCGGGTTCCATCCTCGAAGAAGACTCCACCGTCGATGGCGCAGTATTTGGGGCAGATACCCTTTTCTCCAGCGGTTCCAGATCCTCCGGGTGGTCCGGCGGGTCCGGGCTGTCCGTCGGCTCCTGGCGCTCCATCTGGTCCTGGCTCTCCGGGTGGTCCGGCTGGGCCTGGTGGACCGTCGGCTCCTGGGGCTCCGGGTGGGCCAGGGGGTCCGGGTGGTCCTTGGTCTCCTGGTTCTCCGGGCTCTCCGGGGGTGAGTGGCTCGCCTTGGGCTGGGATTCCGGGCTCTCCTGGTGGTCCAATGGGTCCAGACTCTCCGGGTGGGCCGGGAGGTCCTCGGGGTCCGGGAGATCCGGGGGAAGCGTCGGATCCTGGTCGTCCTGGGGTACCAGCCTCTCCTGGGTCTCCTGGGCTTCCTGGTGGTCCGGGTGGGCCAGGTGGTCCCTGTGGGCAAGGTTTGCATGGAGGTGGGGTGGTTGGCTCACATGGGGCAGTTGGGGGCTTTCCTGGGGCTCCTGGAGCTCCGGGGGCTCCTGGCTTTCCTGGGCGTCCGGGCTTTCCTGGTGCTCCCTGTGGACCGGGCTGGCCTGGCAAGCAGCAGCCCTCGCAGCTTGGGGCGGGGTTGACATCAGCTCCGTAGCCGGCCTGACGGGCGGTACGGTTGGCCGCTGGGGATGGGGTGTTCTTCATGTGGTTGACTTCCACGTAGATGTCCTTGGCGGAGCCCTTGCAGAAGGAGAGCTCGTGATGCATCTGTCTCTTGACCTGGCTGACGTAGTTGTACACCATGGGGAGGGAGACAACCACCGACAGAACGGCGACAACACTGAACGTGACCGCCGAGTAGGCCACGAACTTGTAGGCCTTCATACGGCCATCGGACTCCATTTTTAATGGTCTGCTAACCTAAAACAACTTGGGTTAAGAGGGTGCAAGGTTGTGATAGCGCGGAACAGATGTCGAAAAAAGTCTTAGAAATACTTTTGAAGGAATGAAAAGTTAAGAAAGGTAGCTAAATCTCCCAAGAGAGAGATTTGTGAGTTTCGCAGAGCGCCTCACGGTTATCTGCTTGATCTGTTGCGCAACCAGCCCCCCTCCAATTCTAATCCAACTGGTCTCGGAAATTAACTTCGGTAGGGTCCACATGAATAATAACGAAGCGATAACTAGATTTGTGTGAAATCCCCGGATGATAGCCCTTTTATTCTCAGCACTTCCTTACGCCGCCGGCGGGTTTCCTTTCGCGAACGATTCGAATTTGGGGGCGGAAAACCACACCCCTCCTCATGTACGAGTTTCAACGAATTATTTGAGGCGCTGCGGTGCAGCTGCAAAATGCGGTTCAACCCGATTGAGGATGTATTACATGCGGTGACAACAACAAAATTCTTGAAAAGAGCAAAAACCAGAAAAAAAATTTAAATTTGGAAAAAGTTTCGGTTATAGGGTACCCTTAGGGTACAATTCTATGATATTTACCTCCTAAATTTTGGAGCAAATTTACAGTAACTTCTTATAAGATCTATGTTAAAATTTTAGCTTACAATTTCCAAAAAAGCCGAGATTTTTAGGCCGGAAGTTCTGGAAAAATTTGAAATTTTTTCGATTTTTTTGATCTGAAAATTTCAGCACCTATTAGGTGTGACATGCAAAATATCTCCACAAAAAAAAAATGTTTTTTAATCGCAGAAGCAAAACAGTAATCGGCGAAAAACATTTTTTTTTGTCTGGCCGACTCTCTTTTTTTTGTGTTCTATCTCGCAAAAAACATTGTTGATGATCTTGGCTCTCACTAAAAAATTCATATCTCATCTTTTGGTACCCCAAAAAAATAAATAATTTTTTTTGTTGTAAAAAATTGCATTTTTGCATCAATCATTCCAAGCTGAAATTTTAATGCGCATTAAAATTATTTTTTGACAATGATGACCGCGCCTTGTTATACCGTTCCAATTAATTTGATAAAATCGCAGGTTTCAAGTCTTTCGTTTTTTTGGAAATCAAGTTTAAGCCCATCGAAATCTCTCGCAGACAGGTTCTTTTTGTTCTGTTTGACTTTTCTCTCGCTCAGGTGTGACATATTTTAGAACAACGTGTAGGGAAGGTGCTAAAGTGAAACCTCATAAATTTATTGCGACAACATTTCGGGTTTCGATGGCCATAAATTTGATGAAATTTGAAATGGATTAGAATTGAAATTTACTATGAAATAGGCGAGATTTTTAGCTGGCGCTTTGTAGAATTAACCGAAATTTTATGGTCGAACGTTGGCCAAAAAATTTTGTTTTTTTGCCATTTTCAAAGTAAAGATTTTGTGTGTTGAATGATGTCGCGAGTGTCGTTATCAAAAGTGTTATTTTTTCACGGGAAATTTGAAACGACATGGTTAATTAAGAGATGTTGATATCTTTGTCCGGTCTCCACATTTCAAGTACTCTCTCGGCGGAAAAGATAGTTGGATATCTGTGTCAAAAACTTTAGAAATCGATGTCTGCCAACATGTATAATATTTAGGCAAAATTTTTTCAAATTCAGTTGACCTTATAAGTAAGAGCCAAATTGATAGTGGAATTTATTTTTATTTTGATTTTTGGGTATTTTAGGCTTCAGTATAGAAAATACAGTCCATTGCTAGCCCTTTCGCAAAGCTGCTGGAGTGATTTTTGACGTTTGCACTGTGCAGAAAAAGTCAGAGTGACAGCCCAAAAGAACCTACTGCACAGTGCAAAAATCAAAAAATTGCACAGTGCAGGGTGGAACTTTACTTTCGCAAAGTGCCGAAATCACTCTAGCAACTTTGCGAACGGACCAGTATTGCTCTTACAGTATGCTAATTTGACTACAATCTCCAAATCGAATGATTTCAATGGTTTTCAGGCAAATTTTCAACGTCGAAATCAGCCCTCAACCTGCAAGTCTCATCAATAAATTTGTTTCCTTGCAAGATACAATGCCTTGAGCAGACAATCAATTTATCTTTGTTAATGTTTATTTCCTTTGTTGCCCAACCCGCTCGATTGACTTCAGGTCGCGGCGATCCGGTTCCCAATACAGGGAACGAAACGGCGATGAACCTGAAACATTACAAGTGATCCCCCTTTCACTTTTTCTTCGCCGGCAAAGGCGAGAGAATTGATATTGTCGGGCGGATCTTGCGCCGAGACCTTTGAAACCAAATTATCAAGGCGCAGAAATCCGATTCCGGGGGGAGGAGGTCTTCAAGATAAGAGACGATTTTGTCAAGTGGAGACGGAAAAGTGTAGTAAAGAAAAATATTGATATTACATCTGTCTGGAGTTAATTCGACGAGCGCATTGATCAGAATTTCAGTTGACATTGAAAAAGGGTGCGAAGAATGTGGAGTAATGTTTATGGGAATCCTCAAACGTCATAAATTGTTGTAAAAAAGAAATGATGACTTAACTATTATACTAATAAAGATAGTGAGGAAAAAATGAATATCTGAGGGCGCTTATCATCATGATGCGGACTTGAAGAAGATTTCCAAGTTTTTTGGCATAATATGTGGTGCAAATACACTTTTCTCTAGAGATTCCGGCTTCTATCGGTGCTCCAAGATTGTCCGTAGGCTCCTGGGACACCATTGGGTCCTGGCGTTTCGGGAAGTTAGGCTGGGGACGGTTATCAGAGCCGTAGACTGCCTGCTGGTTCTCCAAAGATCAGTAGCTTGCCCTAGGAAGCCTTGGGCTGAGATCCCCGGCTCTTATACGCCTAGACTTTCCGACTAGGCCAAACGAAGGGGCTGGTAGCCTAAGCCGATGCCGAATCCCGATCTCTTGAAGTGCCAGCCTCTCCTAGACCTATTAAACTTCCAGGCCTGCTTTGATTTCCATTCCGATCGCATACTTTTGCTTTTTCAATTTTTTTTTGACAAAAAACGGATATTTCGGGAACAATAAGCCTTCAAATTTCCCTCTACCTCTTCCACAGTATCCTGAAATATCTGCCTCAAAAATTCCAGTATTCGAACCTCTTGTTTACCACAATATTAATTCATCAATTAAATACCAGGAACAAACGACGTCATCAGAAGCAAAAAAAAGTCTTTATCTTTGCTGATATCCCTCAACATCAGACTTCCTTCGTCCGAATTAAACCTTCCTCATTTTTTTGACTTTTTGACGCCTTACTTGTCTGACGAAAAACTTCCTGAATTTGAGTTGGGAACGAATCAGAGTTTGGAAAAAGATTGCAACGGCAGAAAAATAATTTTCATGAATGTCTCATAGGTCTACGACAAACTTTTTCTTCGTGCCTCACTAGTCAGGCAGAAAATAAAAAAAAGATCAAAAAATGCTAATTTTGTGGGCAAAGGTAAAGGTTGGACGGAAAAATCCAAAAAAATTGCCGTTATTAAATATTAATTTGCTCAAAAAAGTGGCCAATTTTTCATAGATGCCCTTAGGGTGTCTGGTTTTGATTTTCAAAAATTTATTCATCACTAAGCAGCATAACAATAAAATTTTTTAAAAATACAAAAATTGTGGCCCAGAACGAAAGCATTTCAAAAAATCAGTCATTATGACGTACTTAATTGACGGAATCCGTCGCTAATCCGTTGCAGATGTCTTGATGACGTTTGTTCTCCATTTATCATCTCCTGAATGGCCGAAACAGTCTCCAACAATGATGTTTTTTATCAAAACAAGCTTTTTTTCGCAATTTTTGTCATCCAAATTCCATTGTAGGAATCCCCGTTGTTCCCCTTGTTTTGTGCGGCTAATTTGTTGATTACGAAGGTGTGACATGATCGTCGAAACCCCCCGCATCAACATTTGTTTATCACCGTCGAACTGTAAAAAAATACAAGCGGCGGTTGCGCAACGGACAGTCAATCAAGGCGGATGCGTAAAGGGGGATATTAATCGCCGCCGCCGCCGGCGTCCGAATCAACTTATTGGGAGACGTGCAATCGACGGGTTTCTGTTAAGGATATCTCGCTTCCATCACATATCCGAAACCGCTTCTTCTTGCCCCCCACACAATTCCTCCTCAACCCCTCCGACGAATCAACTTAGCCGCGAAGAAATATCGTGAACAATGCAGATGGGTTCGCAGGAAAAGCCGAAAAACACTTGATGTTTGTTGTGTCTGAGCGCCACTTTGCTACATATCCATGGCAAGGAGTTGTGAACTCGGCGCTATCATCGGCTGGCCGCCTCTCAAACGTCCGCCGCACCTCTTCTTCGCGGGACCGACAGGAGTGGCGGGCGTTGTATTTCGACGACTTCGACGTCTTCCTCAACGTTTGTCGCGCCGCCGCAGTCACTGCGCGCTATCGTTTATCACGTCGGACCCCGCGCACACGCCTCTAGCCCGAAGTTTCGTCTGAACGAAAACCGCTCCCCCTCGCCGCTCCATCCGCGCACCCTATAAAAGCCTGCGGCGTACTGATCACAATCAGTCGTCGAGCGGATATTTTCAATTTTCTCCAGCGCGCGTTTATCTCCTTGCGACGTTTTTGCGCCTCGTCGTCAATGCCATTTGCGATTTCACTTTTTCGATAATTTGTGTTTCCTCCGCCACGAAAGCGTAACGGTCCCGCTTTTTCCAGGCTTGATACACCTCAAGAATGGAGTCCGATGGCCGTATGAAGGCCTACAAGTTCGTGGCCTACTCGGCGGTCACGTTCAGTGTTGTCGCCGTTCTGTCCGTGGTTGTCTCCCTGCCCATGGTGTACAACTACGTCAGCCAGGTCAAGAGACAGATGCATCACGAGCTCTCCTTCTGCAAGGGCTCCGCTAAGGACATCTACGTGGAAGTCAACCACATGAAGAACACCCCATCCCCAGCGGCCAACCGTACCGCCCGTCAGGCCGGCTACGGAGCTGATGTCAACCCCGCCCCAAGCTGCGAGGGCTGCTGCTTGCCAGGCCAGCCCGGTCCACAGGGAGCGCCAGGAAAGCCTGGACGCCCAGGAAAGCCAGGAGCCCCCGGAGCTCCAGGAGCCCCAGGAAAGCCCCCAACTGCCCCATGTGAGCCAACCACCCCACCTCCATGCAAACCTTGCCCACAGGGACCACCTGGCCCACCCGGACCACCAGGAAGCCCAGGAGACCCAGGAGAGGCTGGTACCCCAGGACGACCAGGATCCGACGCTTCCCCCGGATCTCCCGGACCCCGAGGACCTCCCGGCCCACCCGGAGAGTCTGGACCAATTGGACCACCAGGAGAGCCCGGAATCCCAGCCCAAGGCGAGCCACTCACCCCCGGAGAGCCCGGAGAACCAGGAGACCAAGGACCACCCGGACCCCCTGGCCCACCCGGAGCCCCAGGAGCCGACGGTCCACCAGGCCCAGCCGGACCACCCGGAGAGCCAGGACCAGATGGAGCGCCAGGAGCCGACGGACAGCCCGGACCCGCCGGACCACCCGGAGGATCTGGAACCGCTGGAGAAAAGGGTATCTGCCCCAAATACTGCGCCATCGACGGTGGAGTCTTCTTCGAGGATGGAACCCGACGATAAGCGTCTCCAGCATCTCATCCAGTTTCTCATTCTCTTCTTTAATTGGGCAGCCGGTTCCCGGTCTCAATGATGACTGGATTCTCCCTATTTTCTCTCTTCTTGCCTTAGCAACTCGCGTAGACCACCAGCGTAGCGTTAAATCTCCCCTTTAAACCACGGAATTTAGATTCTATTTTCGAAATCGTCGGGAATATTGTTTACATTTCGCAATGTTCGATCTGACTGCGTCTTCGTCTCTCTATACTATCATCTGTAGAAGCATATGTCTCTTTGTCTTTGCCGAGCGGAACCAGAGGATACTTGTATGTGTATATTTGACCAAACTCTGTGTTTTGCTTTGTCTTCGGTTTGTATGTTTTGACTAATTGTGTATTTTGGAGAGTGTGGACGCATTTTTGACTCGGACATAAATTATAATAAGAGACGGGCTTCAATTTGAAATTCAGCGGGGAGAATGGGGAACTGAGATCTCAAGGGTATGAGAAAAGGTGATTTAAAGTTTAATAAAGGTATGATTTATGGATGAAAGATAAAATCCGGTTTACAGGGAGGTTTAGGAAAGACCTACTTGTAAGAAACAAAATTTCTCCGGCCTCCAGGCCCTCCGGGAGAGATAACAATCCCAGCTAAAACCGGGCTACTGTTTCTGGAAGGCCGAAACCAGGAGGGCAATGAAAAACCGATATGACTTAGGAGAAGTTCCCGGAGCTACCGGAAAGCCGGAACGCTAGCAAACCGAACGTACAGCGCTCTAGTTACCCTAAAAGCCGATAAAATTATCAGATATCAGAAAATGGACCTTCTTAAGAAAGTCCCTGGTCTATTTGAACTCATTGAACTTCAAGGCACTAGATCTTTTGGGATAACATTTGAATTTTTCTCTACTCTCTCGGGAAGACCACAAGCCCCTTGTCTGCTGCTAATACAGATGTAATCTCCGTTCACCAATGTTTCACCCATGGGAATCGACACGAATACACGAATCATACTTGTTATCCCGATGTGTGATCAAGGAAGTGTTGAGCGACCTAATAATCCGGACGGACGTCCGGTTCGTTTCCGCGCTAATAATTGATGGATACCTTTTATTACTTGCAGCTTAGAAAAAATAATGAGAAGTACTTGATTTTCGAGAAAAAAACAAGATAAATGGCTGTTTGAGTATGAAATATGTATGTAAAAACATTGACATTTGCTCTGTAGGTATTATACTATGGAAGAAAATGATGACATGATTTTTCAAGAGGCTGTAAAAGCGAGAGCTAAAATTTTTAGAATTTGATATTTTTTCCTCGTGGAATTTATTTGGTAAGGTTTTGATTGTTATGACAAAACGGAAAAAAATCACCACAACAATTATCAAGTCACACGAATGCTCATTGTCCTACACTGACCATTTGAGCAATCAAAAGGACCGTGGGATAAGGGAAGATGCAATTGGAGAACAAGCAATATTCTTACTGTCACCCTGTTGGCTAGCTAAACCTCTAATTCTCTGATTCAGATCCTCAAACGCTCTATTCCTGTCCATTCTCAGCCCAAAATTTTGATATGGGTTATGGCTGAGGAAATCGCAGGCATTTCTAACTGAATATAAAAGGAAAGATGGTCTCCAGGAGTTTAAATAGAAAACGACTGGGTTCTCTAGCGAACACGGCGACGAAAAAAATAGTTTCTTATGCCCCGAGTGCCTTACAGTGGGGGACCTGGTCCAGTGGCAAAAAACGTACCATTTTGCGTCCGGGAAGTATTAAAAATGTGGCAAAATGCCTCCCTCTCCAACTAAAAAAAACTCCGTTTTGAAGGGCCCTCACAAAAAGAGCGGCGGGCTTTTGAAATCTGAGTTTTTCACTTGGAGAGGGAGGCATTTTGCCACATTTTTTGATACTTCCTGGACGCAAAATGATACGTTTTTTGCAACTGGATCAAGTTCCCCACTGTACTTCTCTTTTCTGAAGCCAAACTTCTTCTATTCAACTCCTCAAAAAACCCGGTCCTGGCCATCATCAGCTAGCCATGCGTTCAGCTTGCTAGTCAGCATACGAATCCACTGTAAATTTTTTCTAATCTCGGTCCCAACTTTTTCACTCTTCTGCCAATTTTTTATTATTTTTTGAAGGGCTGACTGAGCTAACTGAACCCATGGCTTGCCGATGATTCAAACAAAGGAGTGGTTGGTGCAAACCCATCACAGTATGGGTTTGGCAGAGCAACAAATTCAGTTTTTCCCCAATCCATCCAAAAAATCGCTACACTTTTTACGAATTTTGAATTTTTCTGTCGTTTTCTTCGTTTGAATGACCATTTCGTGCAATTAGAACTGGGTAAACAGCATGACCGTTCGCCCCTCGCTGCCCCAAAAACCACTTCGCAAAAGTCGTGAGGGGGTATGCAAAAACAGAGAAAAAAACAAGATCCGAAACCAAAAGCGCACACCGCAAAAATTTGGACAAACAGAATTATGAAAGGCGGAGCCGGCCGGGCTCTATTAAAGCGCGGATTCGGTGGGCCTGACTGGATTCTGGATGAACAGAATGAAGCTTGTGTTAGTCACATTTGTGGTTGTTTTGACAGTGGCTCATGTTGTGGGCAAACCACAGCTCCCACCCCCTGGCGATTTCGTAAGTTGGGCAGTAGAGGTTATGATGATGATTTAGCGTAAAAAACGGCAAAATTCGAGCAAGTTTTGCGCGGAGTTGGACGATTGGGGTAACCGAAAAGCATTATTTTTCTATGATGCAAGTGGCGAAATTAGGATAATCGAGAGCGCTGATTTCGAAAATGACATTCATTTTTTTAACGGTTTCTTTTTTCCTTAAGTAGTACTATAAAGTAGCAGTTTTCAAAATTTTTTTCACGAATACTCGATTTAGGGGGTTTCGATGGTGCTGCTTTCAAATCAGCACCATGAATAAGATTTTCGAAAACAGCACCATCGAAAACCCCTAAATCGAGTATTTATAAAAAAAAAAATTAAAAAAATTACAACTTTACAGTACTACTTGAGAAAAAAAGTAACCAGAAAAAAATGAATGTCATTGCCGAAATCAGCACCCTAGATTATCCTAATTTCGACACTTGCATCGAAGAAAAATAATACTTTTCGGTTTCCCCAATCGTCTTTTTCCTCAATCGTCCCAGTTCCAGTTTTGCGCGTAGAAGGCCTGAAAATTTCAACTCTTTTATGAATTTTGCCTAGTTAAATTTTTTATTAACGCTTTGCAAAAAAACAATGACTTTTCAAAAAATTTTTTTTTTTCAATTTTCATTTTTAGGCCCTTCGCAAAGGAGAAGGGTATACAAATATCGTTGAATATCTCAAAGACGGCTGCAAAGCGCAAGCTAAAAATTTTAGTGATTGCAATGTAACCTACACACGATAAGAGAGAAAAATTAAAAGAAAATCCGAACGTCTCATTTTGAAGACTGAACATTTTAATATTTTAGTATAAAAAACTTTTTTATGACCGCTGAAGTCGTTTGCAAGCTTTTTTTCTGATCTTTCAATATAAAACATCCTTGTATTTTTGTTTTAAGACATGTATAACATCATAATCTTCCACATTTCAGCCGCCAATGCCTCCAGAGTTGGAGCGAATCCTCCCCGCGGACGCCGTTTCCAAACTGAAGAGCATCCACACCGACAGATCCCTGGGATTTTTGGAAAAGCAGCAAAAAATCGACGAGGTCATGAGCTCTCTGCCCGCCGAGATCTTGGACAAAATTCCACCTCCCCCCGGCTTCAACAAGCTGCCGGAGAATGTTCAACAACAGCTGAAGAGTATCAACAGAAGCCGCGAACTTTCCTGGCAACAAAAACAGGAGAAACTCCGCGAGTTGATCCACTCTTTGCCGGCTCATTTGCGCTCAATTTTGATGCCTCCAATGCCGGGAGGACGTTAAATTCTCAATGTATCTATCTCATAACTTATCCTCAACTAATAAATGTAGAAATCGATTGAAAATTTTTTTCAGATCTATGTGAAATAACTTCAATATACAATTTCCGATGACTTCAAACGGATTGAAAAAGAAATCCATACAATACCACACATATTTTTCCCCATTTACTCTCCAAAAAAATCTGTTATAATGGATGATAAGCATTGTGAATTTGTGCTGATGCCGACGGGTTTGCCAGGTTCTGCGCGGTAAATTTTGATGTGTCATAGGGCACTGTGGCTGGTGGATTGACTTGTCCGAACTCTCCGTACCATGGGGTCACCGAAAAAGCGGGATTATAAATCGAAAATTCCAACGGGACCAGCTGGCGAATCGTCGTCGAAGATGCATCAAGTGAACCGGAAGCCAACCCAAGAACATTGGCTGTGTTGGCTGAGAGATTGAGATCGTCTTCGTCAAAACTGTTGTAGCCTGATTGGGAAATTCCGTCTCTGAAAGCAAATTTATATTAATTTAGGTAGCAGATCAACGAGAAATCGAAAAAAAAAATAAAAAGGTCTTTATGAATCTCAAAATTTTCATAGTAAATAGTAACAAAATTAAAAAAATAGTTATTTGCTAGAGGAAAATCTTCAATAAAACTCACTTTGAACCAGCCGCTCGATCTCTTTGCCGCCGATTCTTGAACCAATTTGAAACTTGTGTTACAGTAAGATTTGTCTCCAAAGCCAGCTCTTTCTTCTCTTTTGGTGAGGGATAAGGGTTCTTCCTGTAGGAATTCCGCAAGACAACTCGGGATTTTTCCTGAAAGAAAATTTATGATCTATTTTATATTGCACATGGTCCTTGTACAATATTTGTCAGTATTTCCAGTTTTACTGTAAGTTTCAATCTACAATTTTCAGCAAATAAAGTATAACCCATAACAAAGATGTGAAAAAATTTTCATGCAATTCCGAGTCGTTAAAATAGTGATACCAACTATTCCAAAAATTTTTAGGTACCTAGTGTAATATTGGGCAATATCTCGGCTCGTTCTCAAAATACTATGGCAAAACTTTGCTTGGTAAATTTTAGAGCTATAACGCCCTTCCATAAAAAAATTCAAAAAAATCCGACAACAGATATCCGAGCACCATCCAAATCTTGGACATCAATCACTTACCCTAAAACAATAACTCGTTTCCTCCCCATCCCAGATCGTTCTAGGCAACGGATACTTCCTTCGTATTCGATACTTCCCAACAGCACCCAACTCCCGTCCTCGGATCTTTTCAGCTTCGATGTAATGCGCTCTCATCCACAAATTCTGCAGTTCTTCGTGGTGTTCGGGTGAAAAGTGATGCGACTGCAGCAACTGATAGAGCTCTTTGAAATTCTGTCGATGAAAGGCGATTTGTGCTTGAGATTTGAGGATGTGTTCGTTGCATTTGTACTCCGGTTTGTCCGGTATCGACCAGACGAATTGCGCCTAAATTTAGAAGACGTTATATTGATGCCTAAAATTAGAGAAAACAACTGTTTTTTGAAGAAACGCAACTTACTAATTGGTCAATTTCGTTGCCATTCTGTAGGACTTGACATAACACCGAGATCTGCTCATTGTCAAAGACGAATTCAGCGCTGAAATTGAACGAAAAATAAAAAAAATAACAAAATAAAAGAAGAAAGGAACTGAACATTTTTCATCGTATAACATGTCTCAGAGCACGCTTTTTCATTCAAATCTGGCAACGAAGACTCGAGAAAAGACTATTCTGATATAGGATACTCTCCTTACCCTTCATATTCCGCTGGATGAACGTCCAATTCTGTTTTTGGATCGCTTATGAAGTTGGTCTGGTTTATCGAATGACTAAAGCCGGAAGGTCGCACCAACCCGGTATAAAATTGATCATCTTGTGCGGATGTGGAGCTGGACGATGGCGCAAAATATTGAAACATGCACTGAAACGTCGATAACCTTATTGCAACATTTTGCATCAGTATGTATTAGTTGGAACTTCCGCGAGATTAAAACTGAAGGTTAGAATGGATACAGAGACAGATCTAGGCACTCAGCTTGTCTTCAAATTTTATGTAAACCTAATAACCAATCATTACTAAAAGTTCTAGCTTGCGCTTTGCAGTTTTAGCCGAGAGATTATGCAAAATGAGAAGAACGGCCAGAGAAAAAAAATGTTCTTTCGCTAAAGCTTTGTCAATTTTTCGGTGAAAAGGACTGAAGCTTCCAGCGTCGAAACAGTCGATTTTTTCAACCTAAAAAATCTCACGTCCCGACCTTTTGGGTCGACGGCATTTCGGGTCAATAAAAAAATCGATCGATAAGGGACGTAGGTCAGGTGGGCACCTAAAAAAGGTTGTAGTAAGTGCCTACGAGGCCAGGCAAAGCCGTTGGATGGTCGGCGGAGGCTCGGCGGAGACTTGGCGAAGACTTGCAATATGTCCACTTTTTCTAATTCTATCTATAATATTACTAACGTTAGTTTTCTTTACCTCAGCTTATTGTGACATATAACCTGCCAAAATTTGCGGCAAAAAACGAAGATCCGTAGCTTTTATCTAGAATTTATTGATGTTAGTTCATGTAAAATACCTCAAAATAGGTGATAAGCTATCCTAGGACCCGATCAATCTTATTATTTCTACTAACTAAGCCTTCTCCTAGCCTCTCCCATGCATACAACCACGAGCCGACGCAGTATCGTTGACCCGAACTGTCATTGACCCGAAAAGTCGTAGCGCCAGAAATCTCGGCTCCGCAACAGTTCAAGCTCTAAATCCAGTGTCTTTCTTATGATCGGAACTTCCACGAGATCAAAAATGAAGGTTGGAATAGATACAGAGACGGATCTAGGCACTTAGCTTGTATTCAAATTTTTTGTAAATATGATAACTAATCATCACTAAAAATCTTAGCTCATGCTTTGCAATTTTGGCCGAGAGACTATGCGAAATGGGAAGAACGGTCAGAGAAAAATGTTCTATGGCTAAAGCTTTGTCAATTTTAAGGAGAAAAGAACTGAAACTTCCAATATCGCTACTTTCGAATTTTTGTCACCTAAAAAATCTCGATTGTCTTCGCAAAAGTTGAAGCTATAAATCCAGTGTATTTCTTATTGTCAGATCGAGTCTAAATGTGTGGAAAATTATGCCAAAATTTGAGGGTCGAGCTTTGAACACTCCTCTAAGAAAGCTTGAAATTTCAGAGGCACAATATGCCAATTTTGGCCTATAATCTTTTTTTGCCAATTCTTAAGTTCTCTTTTTTGCACCTCTCCTCTGTTGTCAAGAATTATCTCCGAGATCATGACCTTTTCCCGTGCACCTGATGCACTTGCCGTCGACCTTTCCCCCATTCCCTTCTACAAAGCCGGGGTGGGTTCGTATCGAATGAACCGAAAGGTAATCAAATACGCGATGGAAAATATATTCAATCCGAAACAGAAGCAAAGATGTAATATCAGTCGGGTTTACCAATATTTGATACTAAGGGGGTATATATGATACACACACTATTTCTCACCCGATCGAATTCGGTGCGCTGAAGCCGCACAGCGCTCCCGCTGCCCGGAGCACTGCCGGATTTTGTTACCCGGGATCATATAGGCTTTCAAAGGCGAAGGGGTGGAGTCGGGACATGTTTTCACATAGGTGAGGCCTGATACTTCACTATATAAGATGGCCGGATTCTGGGGCAGATTGCGGCGGTTATGAGGGATGGGGGAGTGGGTGGTTGTGGGGGAAATTAGGACTGTGAGAGCACTATATATGGGAGAAATTTATTTTTGAAAGTTACGCGAGAATAGGGAACTTTATAGGTTAGAAATTACTCGGAAATCAAAGCGTTGCTCTTTACAGGGCGAGTTAGAAGAGATAGTTCCTACTTTTGGCAAGGCGATCAAAGAGAAAAGGGCTCTGAATCAGTAATAAATTAGTTTCTGAAGCTCGCATTCCCAGCAGTACCCAGGATATTGGAACCCTATTTTTGTAGCGAGAGAGTACGTAAAATGAGGAGAGTCGGGCGAAAAATTTTCGCCAATAACCTCACGTTTCCTGAAGGGAAAAAAGAGATGTGTACGTCAACGTTTCAGCTATTGATTTGTGGCATATTCATAGTAAGCATTCAAATTTTTAAAACTGATTCCAAACCTCTATAAAGTCACCGATTTTTCAAATTAATCAATTTTTTCAAAAAATAAGCTATGAAAAAAGCATGGCCAAATTTTCCGGCAAAATTAATTTTTTCGACTACCGTCTCCAACACTTTTCATTTAAGGCTGCTATTTACGAAAATTGGGGCGGAAAAACGTTTTTAGTTGGGCGGAAAACCGCCGCAGGCCAGGACGCATACACGAGAAGCCGAAACCCGATCGCATTTAGTGGAAACCGAATACCTTCCCAGTCCGCCCGTGCCTTCCACATTTCTTTGCGGACTTTTCCCCCCGGTCGGCCAGGCTTCTATTTACTCGCTCGGATGCTCTACTTTGACAAGGCGAGCAGAAGTTTTCTCTACGGTAGATGGAGATATTGAAAAAAAATCAAAAAAACACTCAAGTTATTAAAAAAATTTGCAGAAAAATATAAAATCAAGCCAAATTCGATAGGATCAATAATTTATTGGAGCAAAATACAATTACAATTTTAAATTTATCGTCAAAAAATTGACAAAAATTTTAATTTACGGCTTGACTTTCAAGCACGGAGCAGTTTTCTCGTCCACTGAAAATGCCGCAGGGCTTTCGTAGAGCTTCTTTTGGCAATAGGCTTTCAACTCATCATTTTGTGATGAGAATTCCTTTGGATAGAAGTCGGGGTCGTAGTACGGAATAAGCCCACCATAGCTGGCCGGAGTACATTGACAGGCCTGATCGTCTTTCCAGGTGGACGACCAGTCCGGCTGATAGCTGAGGTTTTGCTTCATTGATGCGAATGTTTGAGCCATATCTGAGTATAGTATATCATGTTAAAAATGTCAAAAATAACACGGAAGTCTCCTCAAGTGCGACGCACAGATTTTTTTAAAATTTTGCGCACATGTTGGGCATGAACTAAATATCAATTCCTGAAAGTTTTAGCTCGCGCTTTGCAAGCGCCGCCGAGATATTGAACGATCTTTGCCGCCGAGAGAGTACGCTAAACGCGGAGAGCGGTCAGAGAGAAAAACGTTTTTTCGCCATAACTTTACTAGTTTCGTGCGGAAAAAATTGATTTTTTGTGTAAACATTACCCTTTAGAGTACAAATAGGCATCAAACTTCGCGTGCCAAAATCCGGCAAAAAGTCTCAAATTTTTGCCGACTTTCGATTTTTTTTTAATCTCGGTGGTTTCTGCAAAGTGCGAGCTAGGATTCTCGGATATGTCTTAGAAAAAAATGTTCTAAATTTGTGCCAAGTTTCATCAAAATCTGAGCGTCGCACTTTGGGTACTTCCCTTATGGGTTCTCTTTGTAAAAACCCATGACTTTTCAACCTTTCTTACATTTACAACTCAATGTTTCATTCGCCCCTGTTGGGACATCAAAATACTTGCAGAACCATTTGAACGCCTTGATTCTTCGGCTCTCTCCTGGCCCTCCAGGTGTCGAGCTATCCTCTCCATTACATTCATTATTAATAATCAAACTTGTTGGTCCAAAAATGGCTCCATTATACTTGGCAGCGATATTCGTCTCTCCAGCATTCCAATTCCCAATTACAATGTCATGCATTGCCGGCTTCGGAGGCTGTGGAGTCATATAGAACCACAGTGAAGCCATGATTGCAAGAGGTGGATCCATTTTGGTGATGACCAAGTTTGGCTCTTTTAGGAGGTCTACAACGATTCCTTGAGACTTCAGCCAGTCCTGGAATTGGCCGTAATTGTAATTGTAAGAAATTTGAATAGCTCCGCGGCCAAAGTAGCAGCCTTTGAAGTGTTGACCGGAGGTTCCGTTGTAGCAGGGATAGAAGGCGTTGTATTCGGCGCTGCTCACGCAGTATCTGAAGATGGGTTTTTAGAAGACGTTCTTGAACGACGGTACTTTCAAATTGAGGCTATAAAACGCTGAGGTTAATATAAGAAAGGCTGTATATAACATGATATTTCAGAGATCCTAAAAGTCTAATGCATCTCCGTACAACGACAAACAATAGGTCTTTCTATAGCGTATTATTTTCATAGTTTTTTTACAATTAGTTGCTGTAAAATATTGACTGCAATTTTCTCTGTAACCAGCCATCTTTATCCCCTATATAACCCCCAAAACCTACTGTCCAGCCGAAGCACATAAGTCGCCATCACTTGGCTGCGAACCGGTCTGATTGGCGGGCAAAAACGATGACACTGGTCCGCCTTCAAACCAATTGAAGAAACCTCCTCGATAGAAACATCCGTCCGCTTCTGTCTGATTCTTAATCGACTGATACAAAGAGGCGTCGTTTTCACCAGTTTCTTGAACGGCATGCGAAAAGAAGGCGGCCAAATCACGACGAGCATTCTGTTCGGCCGTGTAATTGGTGCCTTTCTCCGTGCCGAAGTTGGGGAAGTATCTGGCGGCGATGACAAAAGCTTCGTACGAGTAGGGGAAGCATTCGTCGGGACCCCAGCCCAGATTGGCTTTGGGGAAGAGGTCCTGGAAAGAGCGATTTATTATCAGCGATGTTATGCGGTATAATGGGGGACCTGATCCAGTGGCAAAAAACGTACCATTTTGCATCCGGGAATTATCAAAAATGTGGCAAAATGCTTCCCTCTCCAAGTGAAAAACTCCGATTTCAAAAGCGCGCCTCTTTTTGTGAGGGAAAGGACGCGCCCTTCAAAAAGGAGTTTTTTAGTTGGAGAGGGAGGCATTCTGCCACATTTTTGATACTTCCTGGATGCAAAATGATAAGTTTTTTGCCACTTTATCAGATCCCTCACTCTAGGTTTTGCAAAAGAGTGAGTGGAATGTGAGAAAAAAACAAGTTTATCTATGCTCTTCACGACGACAAAAACTCCCCTTCTTAGCACCGCTGAACATGCATCAGCTGGCATCAGATACACTGTATTAAGCAATATATTCGACTTACATTAAATACTTCCTTAGTGAACCATGACTCAATTCCACTGGCCGGCTTTTTCAGTGGATCTGAAGGCTTCGTACAGCCGGACCTTGGCCCAGACGTGTATTTTTGGGCCGCCGGACAAGAACTGGCATGTCCCCAGGAAATACAAACAGCTAAATCATCCCAGTAAAATATCTTTTTGATGATTAAGAATAGTAATTTTTGTTTGTAAATACTCACCAAGAAAAATCGTGGATTTCAACACTTTTGTCATTTGATGACCTAAAATGAATAAGTCGATGTCACAGTAAAATAAAAAAAAATCGATATTGATTACACCCTCGAGCTAGCGTTTTTTCACCGCAAATGACCGCAGGGGTTTATGACGACCACCCCCAGCAATTGACCGCACAAGGCAAACAGAAGCGCATGTCTTGTTTGGAGCGCGGTTTCAATAATATTTTGGGAAGTTAGACCGTCAAACTGGATGAAGGACTAAAGGGTTTTGAACCGAGGGTTGGAAAGAGCAAAATTAAGAGCTACATCTGTCTCCTTTAAAAGTAATAAACGGAGCCTCTGCTTAACGAACTTTCGCACAACGGCAACTGTCTGAAATCGACCACCATAGATGCCTATTTTAGGCTCTATAATAAAATGGACCTCCATGCAGCGAAACCTTTTTATAGCGGATCATTTTTGCAGCTCTCGTAACCTGGAGTTCAACAGTGGCGGACCTGGTCCAGTGGTAAAAAACGTACCATTTTGCATCCGGGAGGTATCAAAAAATATGGCAAAATGCCTCCCTCTAGAAGTGAAAAGACTCCGGAAAGGGCGCGCGTTTCAAAACGGAGTATTTTTAGTTGGAGAGGGAGGCATTTTGCCACATTTTTGATACTTTCCGGATGCAAAAAGGTATATTTCTTGCCACTGGACCAGGTCCGTCACTGTACTGTATTTGACGATGTGTCGAGATGTTAAGGAAACGTATATCGAAATTAAAGAATATCCCTCCTTTTGTGACAAAAAATTATTATAAAAGCTGATACAAGGTATTCAAGGCAACTGTGATGAAAAAATTGTTGATATTGCCCGAAAATTTGGCAATTTATACCATGTCTTCCTCATGCCATGTCCCCAAAATTTTGTATCGCTTTATTTGGACAGGCAGAGCAAAGCAATGGGGGTTATGATAATTTCCCCGTCTTATTTGTCCATCCACCGTTTCAATTGCTATTTTAAGGCAACCTTTCACTTGGCCTTTTGTTGCGTTTATTGTTCGCAACATAGACCACATTTCCGGAAGCATCAGAAATTTATTCAGCCCAAAAATTTTAGCAAAATCAACGTAGTTTTGGATGACAAAGCGTCTGGCAGTCGAGCTTGGAGATCAGACGTCAAAATGAATGTAGGAAAAATTTGAAATTTATGCCCTTCCTCCAAAAAATGGCATTTGATTTTGATAAAATTTGGCACAAAAAGAAAGCAAAAATGTTAAATTTTTAATTCCAGAGAGATTTTTTTTCTGAATTTTTCATTTTTTCAATATTTTTTTACCAAAAAAATCATCAAAAATTAAAAATCTCAGCTTTCGAATTTCCCATGATTTCCTAAAAAAAAAGTAAAAGAAATTTGCATAAAACCAGAAAAAAGTGGTCGATTTCCCACAAATTCTTTGGATCTCGCCATTCTGATCGATTGATTTGGCGGCGTGCGGACGCTCTTTCTGACTCCACTGACTTGAAGGATGAGTGCTACTGGCGGAGGAAGCGGTGGAGTTACGTGCGAGGAGCTCAAGGCCAAGTGCTTCCTCATCCTGCGGACCTGCATCTTTGTGAGTTTTGCGGGAGGAGTTTGCAGCGACGGACCTGATCCATTGACAAAAAAAGTATCATTTTGCATTCGGAGAGTATCAAAAAATGTGGCAAAATGCCTCCCTCTCCAACTAAAAAAACCCCCTTTTTGAAGAGCGCGACGTTTCCCTCACAAAAAGGCCTTTTGAAATCGGGGGTTTTTTTACTAGGAGAAGGAGGCATTTTGCCACATTTTTGATGCTTTCCGGATGCAAAATGGTATGTTTTTTGTCGCTGGATCAGGTCCGCCACTGTGGTAGGTTTTAGTACAGATTCAGTCTAGGTTTTGCGTCAAATTTAGATTTTTTTGGAGAGATTTTTTGGAATTTTTGAAGTTTGAGTTAGAATACAAAAATGACAAAATTTTGGCATGTATATATGGTACAGAAAAACTGTCTCAGCATTTAAAATGGGATCAAAAGCGTTTAAAATTATGCTGAATTTGGTATCAAAATGTATCACAAGGGCCCGGAAAAAACTGTTTATTTCGGTGGAAGTTTAAGGATAACTTTTGACGTCTTTTTCGAACTCAAAATGTCTCCCATGAGGTTTCTAATTTTTTTACAATTTTTTATAAGGTTTTTATAAGCTTTGTAACCTTACTTGGTTCGTTTGGATACTTTTTGATACCAAATTCAAGCTTTGTTTGGTTTCTTTTTGAATCCCTTTGCCTTTTTTGGGAAATTCTATTAGGGTGAACCAAAAAATTTTTCCGATTTTTACATCTTTTTGTCCAACTTTTTTTTTACGAAATAAAGATTTTTATATGAATGTATATATTATAGTATATGTATATTTTTAATACTAAAATAATTACTAAAAAATCGGGAAATTTTTTTGGTTCACTCTGATAGAAATCCGCCATAATTTCGCCCTCTCTTTTCAGTGCTGGATTCTGATCGCGGCGTCGGCGGGCATTGGCACCATCCTCTCCAACATAGTTCTCTCCTGTGGGGGAGGATACGGCTACGTGGGTTACAGCACCTATTACAACTGTAACCCCACCTTCCTCTATTACATTGTGCCGGCGGTGATGATCGCGGCGCTGATCGAGTACAGCATCTACTGCTCCTTCCACTGCATGGGCAAGAACGTGCCGGACAACCACGACCTGGTCTACAACATTGTGGCCGGAGTTTTGTGTCTGGTCTCGTTCATCTTGGGCTTTGCCGCGCACTTTGGCAACTACCACGTAGGTTTTGATAACTTTATTATTTTTAAATTTTTTATTTTTTTTTTGATTTTTTTTTGATTTTTTTTTCAATTTGCTGGCTTGTAGGGTATTTTTGATAACAAAAATTTTATTTTCAGGGCTTCCTCTGTGTGATCGGTGTCATCATCTACGTCATTTGCCACTTTGTGATCAGAAAGAAATGATGATTTTGTTTATTTTTTGCAATAAACTACTGATTTACTCTATTTTTCTTGGATTTTATTCAGCGTTTACTTGATTTATATCACGGACAATAAGCCTTGTACTTCATGGACTTGATACCACTCAAAATTATGATTTTTTTGATATAAAAACCAAGAATAGACAAAAAATGTCATTGTTTGCACAGCCAGCCTAAAGCGATCCCTCGTCGCAGCTCCGAAAGGATATCAATGTTTTGAAAATGATAATGCGACGTGGAAAAATAGCTTCAGCTCTAACTTTTGTATGTTTCTTAGTGTTTCAAAGTCAAGGTTCAGCACACAGTGCACATGAGGGACATGGAGACAAACCGCATACCCGTAAGCGTTGAAATTATTATTACGAGAACTGGAAAATACAAATAACGGGAGGGTTTGAAAGCACGGAGGTCAGATTCTGATCAAACCTGACATAAAGCGTGATTACTAGAAGTTACTGACCTTTTGGTAATATAGAAGTTGCTAAAAATTTGACGTTTTTTAACAAAGGGGTACCCTAAGTGCGACGCTCAGATTTTCTTCAAATTTTTGACACATGTCGGGCATAGACTAGATATCAATTTCTGAAAGTCTTAGCTCGCGCTTTGCAGGCGACTCTGAGATATTACTGATCTTTGCTGCCGAGAGAGTACGCTAAAAGCGGAGAGCGGTCAGAGAGAAAAACACTTTTTTCCATAAGTTCGCTAGTTTCATTCAGAAAAAAATGATTTTTTCTGGAAACATTACCCTTTACGGTAGCAATAGGTATGAAAATTTTCGTGGCGAAATTCGGCAAAAAGTCGAAATTTTTTGCAGACATTCGACCTAAAAATCTCGGTTGTTTCTGCAAAGCGCGAGCTATTAACATACACTGCAATGCGCCAACAAAAAAAAAGATATTTTTTCTACGCGATATTGGCAGATTTATGGCCAAAAAACAGTCTTTTCTCTAACCGCCCTCCACGTTTTGCATACTCTCTTGCCGTTAAAGATCGTTGAGTATCTCGGCTGCTCCTGCCAAGCGAAAGCTAAATTTTACAGAGATTGATATGTAAGCTAGTTGCAACGTATGTGCAAAATTTAACGAGAATCTGAGCGTCGCACTTTCAGCATTACTCTTCCCAAAAAAATCTAAATTTTGCTTAAAATTTCTCTCATACTTTAAATTTCAGACAAATTCGGAAACCTTGAGGACATTGAAGATGAAGAGTAAGTGATTGTAGTTATTTTATCCTCGATTATATCCAATTTCAGCCACATAAAACTGCACTTGAACGATACAATTGACTTGAATATTACAATGGACAAGGAACACAGTCATTTCTACTATTTCAACATGCATAATCTCAATGGGGACTCTTATATTGACGGGCTGGAGATTGCAAAAGTAAGAATGAATCTGTAGAACAGTAATCCATGATTTTTATTGCCTTAGGGTCTAACGCATAGTCACGACGGCGAGCCCTTTACTCCCATGGCGGACGAAGAACTGGAGCTGATGGTCGACGCGATTATGGCTGATTTCGATGCAGATGGAAATGGACTTGTCGATTATTCCGAGTATAGTGCGTCATTGAACAAGGTTAATAATAAATAAATTATTTTTAAGTTTTTAGTCATCATTGGATGATTGGGGAAACCGAAAAGTATAATATTATTTTTCTTCGGTGCAAGTGTCAAAATTAGGCTAATCAAGGGTGCTGATTTAGAAAACGACATTCATTTTTTGATCCTTACTTTTTTTAAGTAGTACTGTAAAGTAGTAATTTTTTGATTTTTCTTCGTGAATACTCGATTTAGGGGTTTTCGATGGTGCTGATTTCGAAAATCATATTCATTTTTTCTGATTTGAAATCAGCACCATCGAAAAACCGCATATTGAGTATTCATGAAAAAATCAAAAAATTACTATTTTACAGTACTACTTAAGAAAAAACTAATAATCAAAAAAATGAATGTCATTTCCGAAATCAACACCCTCGATTATCCTAATTTCGACACTTGCATCGAAAAAAAAATCATAAAATCAAACTTCTTCCGATATTACCTATTAGGTCGTCCAGAAAGTTCGTTCGTTTCTTTCATTGTTTTTTACAAGGATTGTTTGTTGTTTGGCGAAGGGTATACATTTATTTGATACAGCTTTTCCTCCTCTACAAAACTGCGTCTTTGGTTTTCTTTTGAAAATTTATTTTTTTATTATTTTTCGGGCTTAAAAGTGAACCAGGAGGCAAAAATTTGCGTTTACGGCACCTTTTTTCGCTTTTCATTAAAAACGTACTACTTTGCAGTAATACTTAAGGAAAAAAGTAAAAATCAAAAAAATGAATGTCATTTTCGAAATCACCACCCTCGATTATCCTAATTTCGACACTTGCATCGAAGAAAAATAATATTATAATAGGTTGTCCAGAAAGTTCGTCCGTTTTTTTACTTTTCGGTTTCCCCAATCGTCCCAGTTCCCAAAGTTTTATGCAACTGCCAAGAATCCCCTTTATCAATCAAATCCAACTCTCCAATGCTTAGAAATTATTTACTCTCCGTTTACTATTCACCAACAACTCCACGGAGCAAAAGATCGAGCGCTGTTGTCCGAACGCCTCGTTCCACGACCGTTTCTTGCTCGAGTTCGCTGTAATAACAAGATACGAATAAGTCGTTTTTTCCGCAAAAATCATGTCCCTTTCATCTGTTTCGCTCCCCAGCCAACAATTAAAGCGGAATGGGCCCCGAAAGGGACCACACACACAAATCTTCATCAAATGTGCGAAATTATATGACTTTGGGATCAGGCGAACAAATTCCTCCCGTTTTGATCGATTTTACGACCACCACGAGTCCAAACAGCGGACAGCAGGGGATTGGCTGCAGGAGAGTTGCTTTCCGGCCAGGCGTTTTTTCGGTAAAGAAAAGTGTGCCATAAAAAATGAAAAGTTTTGAAAATCAAACTTGGTGCGAAAAATTTGAAAATTGAGTGTTTTAGGGCGAAATGAGACCAAAATGCCTCAAAAAATGGTATCAAAAAGTATCTCAAAAAATTTAAAAAATATTTGTTTAACTTGATGCTGTTTGAGAGAATTTTTGGCACACTTTTTTAGCCGTAGAGGTTATGAAAACCCACGCAAAACTTTTCGATTCTAGACCTCTGTCTTGGAAGGTTCAAAAAGAAATCAAAGACCCCAAATACGGCATCAAAGTGTCACCAGAAACATACCGCTAATGTTGAAAACCAAAGATGAGGTCTTCTCCTATACTCACAAGGGAAGCCTCCCCAAGTGCGACGCTCAGATTTTGATGAAACTTGGCACAAATTTAGAATAGTTGTTTCTAAAATGTATGCGAGAATATTAGCTCGTGCTTTGCAGAAACAACCGAAATTTTTAGCTCAAAAGTTGGCGAAGATTTTAGACTTTTTTGCCGAATTTCGGCACAAAAAGTTTCATGCCTATTTATGCAATAGAGTGTAATGTTTCAACAAAAAATCAATTTTTTTTTGCGCGAAACTAGTCAAGTTATGGCCAAAAAACGTTTTTCTCTCTGACCGCTCTCCGCGTTTAGCGTGCTCTCTCGGCGGCAAAGATCGTTCAATATCACGGCGGCGCTTGCAAAGCGCAAGCTAAAACTTTCAGGAATTAATATTTAGTCTATTCCCGACGTGTGCGCAAAATTTAACGAAAATCTGAGTGTCGCACTTGGGGTACTTTTCTTGTCAATTGGAAAAAGATATCAAAAGTAGTAGTTATCCCTGGTTATTTCAAAAAATGCAGTCTTTTTTTGAGTCTTTTGATGCCAAATCTTGGCTCTGTCCTATTTATAGTACTGTATTTTTCCATACGTTTCTTACCTTCACAAACTGTCCTTTCTTGTGTCTCCTTTGTCTCTGATATGGTCTCATTGGTTTGTTCTTCATTTGTGAAAAGTCTGAGTTGTCGTTCGATCTGATCCAAAGCTCGGCGTTTCAAGTTCAATGCGCACATATTGCAACTGCAAAAATTACGAGTCTAGCAAGTTAAACTGGTAATTTACATCTTCAATGACAATCAAAAATGGAGAAAAATGTTGATGAGAAACTTACGGGCATTCCTTGAACGGGCATTTCTGTTTGTGCCCTTTTTTGGGTTGATTGAATAGGCCATGATTGGCGCAGAGTTGACACATGTACTGTTCTTTTGGCATTATGTAAGCTGAAATCATCAATAAATTAATTTTGGTCAGAAAAAATTTTTTTTGGCAAAAAATAAAAAAAGTTTTCACATATTTTCTTATCTGCAAATATCGTTAAATATCTCAAACTTCCGTGCAAAGCATGAGCTAAAATTTTCCATAATTGATACCTCTCCTTTACAGAGTAAAAGTTAAAAATTTCAAGCCAATCGGTTATAAGGCACTCGAGCAATTTGCATTTTACAAAGGTTAGTCTATTGCCTAATATCATCATAAATTTTGCGCAACCCCATTCGCCAAGTTTTTCCCTCATGAAACCGCATCAAACCAAATATCATCGCCCGCCCCGACCCAATGCCGAGGCCGCGAAAAGAATTGAAAAAAAGAACAGACTCTGTACCAATTAAACTTTATGTGATTGGGGACGCGGCCGAACATAATCCCAATCCCTCAACTTGATTGTATCTTTATTAGATTCGTAAAAATGTTCTTTCCCAGAGATTAACCGAGTTTCATCATATTTTAGGACGGTTTTATTACAAAACTTTATATTTTAAAAGAGCAATTGGAAAGGGTACAGTAGAAAATCATGGAAAATAAAACAAGAGCAGTCTCCACAAGTGCGACGCTCAGATTTTGGTAAAACTTGGGACACATTTTAAACAATTTTTCCTAAAATACATGCGAGAATTCGAGCTCGCGCTTTGCAGAAACAACCGAGGTTTTTAGCTCAAAGATTGGCGAAAATTTGAGACTTTTTTCCGAATGTCGGCATGAAAAGTTTCGTACATATTTCTACCGTAAAGGGTAATGTTTCTACAAAAAATCAATTTTTTCCGCATAAAACTAACAAAGTTATAGCTAAAATGTGTTTTGCTCTCCGCGTTTGGCGTACTCTCTCGGCGGCGAAGATCGTTGAATATCTCGGCGGCGTTTGCAAAACGCGAGCTAAAACTTTCAGGAATTGATACTTAATTCATAACTAATGTGTGTGCAAATTTTAATGAAAATCTGAGCGTCGCATTTCTGGTACTTCCAGTCATGCTGTTAGATGAATTTTTGTGTAAAAACGTTGGTTCAAGAAATTTCATTGGATTATGAGCGCCAATCTCTTGCCTATTTTATTACCTTTAAGATTGGATGATCGCTTTTATTGAACCGTCTGAGCGTTGCACTTGGGGAGACTTCCCATGTAAGTGTCAAATAAATGAATCTGCAAGGTCGGATTGGACTTTTGAAATATTTAAAAAAAAATATTTTTGGCTTATTTAACGCTTAAAATTTCGAAAAAAGTATAGTTTTTCCAATAGTTTTGTCAGCAAGAAAATTACAAAAAAACGCAGCGAAAAAATTATTTTTGCGCCACTTTACTGTGACTTTTCAAGTGTATGTATGGGCTGTTCTGTCAAAGTAAAAGCAAATAATATTTTCTTCAATTGATATTAGACCTACAATGAGGGGCCTGATCCAGTGGCAAAAAACGTATCATTTTGCATCCGGGAAGTATCAAAAATGTGGCAAAATGCCTCCCTCACCAACTAAAAGGACTGCGTTTTGAAAGGTTGCTCACAAAATGAGCTGGCGCGCTTTTGAAATCTTAGTTTTTTCACTTGGAGAGGGAGGCATTTTGCAACATTTTTTATACTTCCCGAATGCAAAGTGGTACGTTTTTGGAAGTGAATCAGGTCCGCCACTGTATACACGAAAAACGTGGGCAAAATTTAAAGGAAATCTGAACGTTGCATTGCAAACATTTCCTCTAAAATTTGTCATCTGCTAACCTTTCTTCAACTCGCTCTACAAAAAATAATTTCCACAAAACCTCAAAAAAAAATCTGCAAATTTCAAAAACAGTAGTTCCAAAGTAATATAAAGCAACCCAACCCCCTTCAGACTGGACTTTCTTTTCGAGCAAATCGCTGCTTGAGAATCCGTTTCGACCGTAAATCACGAAAATTTTATTGGGCCATAGTGGGCGCATAAATTTGAAGCATTTCCTTGTATGAATGCACACTCGGCGATTACCATAAATTTCAATCAAGTTCTACTTTTCGATAAGCTCCTGCGAAGGTTTATGGGTTACAATAAAAACTGGAAAATTGCAGGAGACCTTCAAAATGACAAATTATTATATTTTTGTTAAAAGTGACTTCAGCGGATTTCAACGTTTTTTTGGTTGGTCAAGGAAACTGGACAAAGTTGAAAGCTCTCATTTTGAAACATGGCCAAATTAGCATGAGAATTTTTGGGGCTTCGGTAGTTGAGCCCCCCACGAAAGGTAGTTCAAACCCCCACTGTTTTGCCCGTTTCACACCCCACATAATGAACAAATTAGAATAATACAAAAAATGTAAGTGGGGGTTTGATCTATTACGTTGGGGGTTTGATCTAAAACGTAGGGGGCTTGACCTAAAACGTAGGGGGCTTTATCTAAAACGGAGGGGGCTATCTAAAACGTATGGGGCTTGATCTAAAACGTAGGGGGCTTGTGCTGGACCATACAACTTGGATTAATTCTTTGAAATAAATTTTGGGGTTTAGAATGGACGAGGGGGGGTTGTACTGGGTCATGGGGGGCTAAACTGGACTGGGGGGGCTGTACTACCTTAGCCCCGAATTTTTTTAAGGCAACTGAAGGCAGCTTTTTCACGCGTCTTGCAGAAACAACGGAGATTTTTAAGCCCAAAGTTGATAAAATTTGCCCTATTTTTCCCATAGGAATGTGTAAAATTGGCGTTTCATTTTTCATTAGAAAAATTTAGAATAATTTTTTCTAAATTATATACGAGAATCCTAGCTCGCGCTTTGCAGAAACAACCGAGATTTTTAGATTGAAAGTCGGCGAAAAGTTGACACTTTTTGCCGAATTTTGCCACGAAAATTTTTATGCCTATTTCTACCAAAGAGGGTAATGTTTCCACAAAAAATCAATTTTTTCCGCAGGAAACTAGCAAAGTTATGGCCAAAAAATATTTTTCTCTTTGACCGCTCTCCGCGTTTGGCGTACTCTCTCGGCGGCGAAGATCGTTGAATATCTCGGTGGCGCTTGCAAAGCGCGAGCTAAAACTTGCAGGAATTGATAATTGGTTCATGCCTAACAACAAGGTGTGTGCAAAATGTAAAGAAAATCTGAACGTGGCATTTGGGGTACTTCCCTTGTGAGATTTTTTAGATCAGTGCTGTAAAATCTTGGCCTATTTTTCCCATAGGAATGTGTGGAATTGCTCTTCGATTTCTCATGGAGTAGACAGCATATTTGTACAAACAATCTTTGCAAAGATACATCCGAAGAGCGGTCTTTTCCTCCGCCCATCGTCCATGTTGCTTGTATCCTCTTGTTCACGCCAATTTGCCTACAAGCAGCCTTGCTGGCAAAGATCATCGGATATGCCGGTTGCCTCTACCGCCGTGTTATACTGTAAAAACCTTTGTAAATCATATTTCTGTAATACAAAACCCTTCTATAATAAACACTTTCGAAGGTCCCAAAGGCCAGTTTCAGGCCGAAATAAACCTCTTTACAACAAAGCCCTTCCATAACAAAGAATTTTTCTGTTCACTTCCAGTTAGTTATACAGATATTTGATTGCTATTTCTGCCTTCTTACCTTCTTTTCCAAACATAACAAACCACAAAACTTTTCAACAAAAAATTCTTCCGGTAATAGCCTCTCTCTTTTAACCTCCTATTATTACTCTTCCTTTTCCTCCTTCTTTACACTTTCAACACCTCAAGTTTTTGTCGTTGAACTTGACGACAAAACGGTGTATTAACCTTTGGCGACTAAGCGGATGCCAACGGACGGTAAACACGCCGCTAATGCGGTCGGTTACTTTTACACGTTCCGAAGTAATACCGGTTTCGGAAATCTTCAGAATTTCGGAAAGTGAGTAAAGGGAGGGATGGGCGTGAAGTCCGTAAAAGGAGAGGAATTCAGATGCTCACTAATGTTTTCGCAAACCGAGGATACATAAACCATGTTAATTAGGAGATTCTTCAGATCAGCGTTGAGTTTTTGTGATTAGAGTTTATGTTTTGATGATGACTAGATCTTAAATTTTGATTGTTATTTTGGATTGGACAATATGTTTTCTGACCTTTCCATCCCTTTAAGAAGACTGTTGAATATCGCAGTGGCCCTTGCAAAGCTAGAGCTAAAATCGTCAGGATTTTTTATGTGGCCAGAGGCTCTTTCCTCCTACAGTGACGACCCTGATCAAGCGGCAAAAAACGTACCATTTTGCATTAAAGAAGTATCAAAAAAATGTGGCAAAATGCCTCCATCTGCAACTAAAAAACTCGGTTTTGAAGGGCCCTCACAAAAAGAGCGGGAGTTTTTTCGCTTGGAAAGGGAGGTATTTTGCTACACTTTTTGAAGCTTTCCGGATGCAAAATGGTACGTTTTTTGTCACTGGATACCCCGTCACTTTAGACCGCTCTCCTCGCTTCCAGTGCTCTCTTGTCGACTATTATCGTCGAATATCTCGGCTGCCCCATGTGAAGCGTTAGCTGAAGCTTTTCTTAATTGATTTCGTGTCTTAAACCCAATATGTGTAAAACATTTTTGGAGAATATGGCCATCATACCTCGTGAATTTCCTTTACAACTTTTTAGCGTTTTAATGATCCTTTAAAAATCCATTAAAATCCCATTTTAGACATGGCGTATTCCATTTTCATCCACCTTTTTCTTGCTTCACTATTCCCATTATCTTCCTGTCAATTCCCATTCTACAACGACGAGAAAGAACAGTACTACGAGTCGAAGAATTTTATCAAAAGTTCGGCGTTTGCTGTGGTAGGTTATTATCCTTGTTTTCATTCATTCAAGGGGTAATTGGTCTGACCTTGAGAAGGTATTATTAGGGTGAAAAACGAAAGTAAAGATCAATAATAGAAAGTGTTTTTTCAGACAAGAAAAGGAGATTATCCAGTCAGCCAAGCCTCGCATGTTCCAGACCTGAAGCAATTCTTGTTGAAACGGAGGAAACAAGAAGAGTAAGTGTTATTCGCAAAAGCCAAGCCCCAAAACGGCCTCCGCCGGTAAAAAAAGTCTCCGCGGAGCCTTCGCCAATGTGTGAAACATTCGGAAATACATAATTCCGGAACCAAGACTAGCTGACTACATCGTAACAGATGTAAAAAACCTAATCTCATCGGTAGTTAAGCCGTCTGGACTTTGTAATTTTCAAAAAAGACGTCAAATGTCTCCGCCGAAAAATGATCTCTCCGCCGATGTAGGAAAAAATTCTTTTGCGTATTCTAAAATCGCTCATCGTCGAATTTTAAAATCAATTTAAACTTCTTGAATATCTACAAAGAGCACAAAGATATTCGCAAAAAACTTTCTGCCATATTTCTTCAAGCACCCCGTAAGAAAAAAGATTTTTTTCGGGGTAAAAACCGCAAAATGTGGTAAAGATTTCTACGAGATAATTTACTGAAAATTGATGTAATATTTTTCAGGCTAAAAAAGAAACGTGCCAAGCTTGCTGGGCTGCCCACAGTCGCTCAAAGAATCAACGAAAACAAGCAAACCAAACGATTCAAACAAGCCTCACGTAGCTCCGAAGACAGCGATGAGATTTTCAGAGTAAGCCAATACAGGGTGACAAATAAAAAACGCAGCTTTTTTCCCCATTACCGTAATCTTTCAGACAAATTCTCGCAACCTCCAAAACGTAGAGCCTTTCGCTAAAAACGAAACCTTCTTTGTGACCGTCCCCATCAGCATTGCTCGGCACAAAAATGAAGAGAATGACATTTGTGTGGTCAATGCGATCACTAAGAATTGTTGTAACGCCAGTTTGGAGGCTGCAATTGTTGAAGCGTACGATGAAATCCGAAGCAATCCTCAATTTGTGCAGTGTAATTTACATCGGATAGTTCAAAGTGTGCAAAATGTAAGTTTATAGGGTAAAGTACGAAATATAGGACAGGTTTTTTTTCAATAATATTATGGAACTGGGACGACTGGGGAAACCGAAAAGTATTATTTTTCTTCGATTCAAGTGTCGAAATTAGGATAATCGAGGGTGCTGATTTTGAAAATGACGTTCATTTTTTGATAGTTACTTTTTTCCTTAAGTAGTACTGTAAAGTAGTAATTTTTTGTATTTTTTCACAAATACTCGATTTAGGGGTTTTCGATGGTGCTGATTCCGAAAATCTTTTTCATTTTTTCTGATTTGAAAGCAGCACCATCGAAAACCCCCAAACCGAGTATTCATGAAAAAAAATCGAAAATTTTATACTTTACAGTAAGGAAAAAAGAAACTATCAAAAAAATGAATGTCATTTTCGAAATCAGCACCCTCGATTATCCTAATTTCACACTTGCATCGAAGAAAAATAATATTTTTCGGTTTCCGCAATCGTCCTTTTCCCTCAACCGTCCAACTCCGCTTTCCAGCCGATCAAAAAACGCAAGAATTCAGCTAAAAAAATTTCGTCTAGCCTACTCTCCTCACTTCCCGTGATCTCTCGCAAGTCTTTTAAAAGACGATTTCTGAGTCAGTGCGTCAGCCGTGGACATAGGAAAAAATCGATTTTGAGTTTTTTGCATTAAAATGACTGTTGGAAGGGGCTAAGCAAAAGCGAACAATATTTTTTCCCAAATCCTTCGTTAAGGTATATTTTTTTACAATTAACTGTTTTAGAAGTAATCACCTCTAGCTGTGGTATCTTGCCTTACAGTGCAGTGATTTGACGGCTACTGTAGTTTTTGACCCTTGCGAACACGATGGAGTGATTATTTTTCCCGGTTTCCTACTGTAACATACCGTAATACCATATCGACCGCTAAAAAACGGTCGTAAAATCTTTGTTTCTAAAAACCCCCAGCTGATTTTTTGATATGTTAATCAGCGTAAAATTCTGCTCTAGACCCAATCAAAAAAAGTGCAAAAAGTGGTGCGACAAATTTCGTGGTGTAGTGGTTAGTGGGCGGGACTACCATTCCAGCGTCCCGGGTTCGATCCCGGCTGGGTGCAAATGTCAAAAAAATGCCGCAAATCAATTTTAATGTAAAAATAAGGAATGTCCGAAGAACAAAAAGCAATTTTAAATGATTATGACACCTCTGTTTTCGAGTAAACCCGGTTTAATGTAATCTTAGCGGCTGAAAACGGAAAAAATAAAAGTGCTTCAAATGTGATAAAATTCATAGATATGGTTCTACAGGTTATTATAAGAAACTTTTCCGTTAGTCTTTTTTTGTAGCTTACAGTATAACGGATTACTGTAACATGAAACTATTTATAAAAAATCGATTTTCCCTTCGATGTTCTTGAAAAAAGGTTGGGATTTTTTGTTAGACCGCTCTGCCAGCAAAAAAAGTCGCCTTTCGTTATCCGAAACAAAATTCCAAATTATTTCGAGTATGTTCTGACGTCATCGTTGATCGCTAATACGGTGAACGATTATTCAGGTATTCCAAATCATCCTGCCATAAAAAATATTTTTTCTCACAGATAAGCTTCTTGGTAATAATTCTGCACATTATGACTTTACTTCCAGCTCTCTTTCGCCATGTAGAACGCAAAATACGAAATTCTGCATTATGCTACAGTAATCCGTTATACTGTAAGCTACAAAAAAAGACTAACGGAAAAGTTTCTTATAATAACCTGTAGAACCATATCTATGAATTTTATCACATTTGAAGCACTTTTATTTTTTCCGTTTTCAGCCGCTAAGATTACATTAAACCGGGTTTACTCGAAAACAGAGGTGTCATAATCATTTAAAATTGCTTTTTGTTCTTCGGACATTCCTTATTTTTACATTAAAATTGATTTGCGGCATTTTTTTGACATTTGCACCCAGCCGGGATCGAACCCGGGACGCTGGAATGGTAGTCCCGCCCACTAACCACTACACCACGAAATTTGTCGCACCACTTTTTGCACTGTTTTTGATTGGGTCTAAAGCAGAATTTTACGCTGATTAACATATCAAAAAATCAGCTGGGGGTTTTTAGAAACAAAGATTTTACGACCGTTTTTTAGCGGTCGATATGGTATTACGGTATGTTACAGTAGGAAACCGGGAAAAATAATCACTCCATCGTGTTCGCAAGGGTCAAAAACTACAGTAGCCGTCAAATCACTGCACTGTAAGGCAAGATACCACAGCTAGAGGCGATTACTTCTAAAACAGTTAATTGTAAAAAAATATACCTTATAGAAGGATTTGGGAAAAAATATTGTTCGCTTTTGCTTAGCCCCTTCCAACAGTCATTTTAATGCAAAAAACTCAAAATCGATTTTTTCCTATGTCCACGGCTAACTGGCGGCTGATTCACTGACTCAGAAATCGTCTTTTAATATCATTACTGATGATAAAATTTTTAACGCTCTATTAACGGAACGTGTATTAAAGAACGTTTAAAAAAAATATTTAACCATTTCCAGACAGTTGAACAACGATTTGGACGACAATTTGAGGTTGTTGTATCACCAACTCCATTCGTCTCAAAATCTCATCAAGCCAATAGTATGCATTGTGAATTGAAGTTGGATGGAAAGTATATTGTGGTTTATGAGACTCCCAATCAGGAGGAAGAGGTGGGACATTCTGAAAATTGTTTTTGAGGCCTTTTTAACTGATTTTTTAAAAGAAATCGGAGAAAGTCTGAGATTTTTTAAAATTTTGGCCCGAAAAAGGCAAACTCTCCCATTTTACGGACTAATTTCAGATCGATTTGATTGATGTTCGCCAATTCCTCTCTCCACATGAACCCCCAGACAATTTCGAGCCAATTGCGCAAGAGGAAATGCAGAGAATTCGGAGAAAATTGAACGCAGAAACCCATTCGAAGAAATCAACATATTTAGTATATGGACCTATTGATTAGAGGCTGCAAATCATATTGATGCCCCATAAATTATTTGAAAATAATAAAAAGTTGAATTTTATCAGCTTTGGCAAGAATTTTACCAGTTTTGGGTACTTTCACTTTCACCTTAAAATGGTCCCACCACGAAAACAATTTGTTGGCGTTCCGTTTTAATCCGATAATAATTTATGGATCGTTTGTTATCGCTAAAATCCTTTTGTTTATTCCGCATTCTCTTCACGAGAATCAAGAAAAAACGCCAAAATTAGAATCTGTAATTAGAATCTTCTTTTTGGACATTATTTTAGGTATTCTTACTTAAAAAACGTATTTGGAAAATATTAGTTGAAAGCAAGCGTAAAATTTTTATGCATAGATTGATGAATCCCTTTCACTTGGTTTCAATCTCGTTTGGATATTTGTTTTTCATTTTTACTGTCAAAACTGAACTTTTTATTTTTTTCAGGTATCTAGAACAATGTCTGGTTTTTAATGGACTTTATCGATAATTAGCGGCACGATTTTACCTCGCATGTCTGGCTTCCCTATGTCCCAACTTTTACTCAGCAGATATCTTCCAGCACTCTTGTCGTAGAGCGAAATGGATCGCAGAAAGAGTGGAAGACGCACCGTGACCGCCCGAGCCGAGAAACCAGTGAAGAAAACGATTGTGAGTTGTTTTTTTGCGTTGGTTTTGTATTTAGGAAGACGCGAACTTTCTGACGAACAGTTAGACCGTGGGGATTCGTGGTGAATCCCGGGATTTGGAAGGGATATTTTCTTTGCGGTATCAGCTGATTTGATTATTGGGGGAAAAAATTTAAATGCGTGGCCAAAGCGGGAGAAAATTGATTTCTGAAGACACTAGATAGATTTAGTTTAGTGTTTTACTGTGGGGTTTTGATTTTAAAATATTTGAATTCGATTTATTATGTAAAATACGCGTTGTTCTTTCGGCTTATATATTCACATTTTATTCAAATCGGACTACAGAACTCTCACTACTTGTTGATCAAGATAATCACTTGGCGATAACAAAAACATCATTTAATACTCTTATCGTGCTTTTCAGTTGTAGCAACGGACGGTTTTAGCGTTCCATCTGTCAATATACAAGTTTGATAAGAGGACAAGATCGTTTCCATTTTTTATTTTATTCAGTAAATTTTAGAAGAAAGCACGGATGTTGCCGACAAAAATGGAAGAACCTTCGTCAAGTTCGGGCTCCTCTCCGACTGTCAATGGGGTCAAGAAGGAAGATTGGATCAGTGGATTTGAGGTGAGTGTTTATCTCTTGTTAGTTTCGTCTTTAGATCTGCACCTACAACAATATAAAAATTTTCAGTCAATGGACAAGGACAGTCAAATGGAAGCCCTCACAATGCTGATCCAGGCTTGTCGACCCACCCACCTTCGCCATTTACATCAAATCGTCGAACCGCTGCTTCAGAAGGACATTGTTAGTTTACTGCCAAAGGAAGTGTCTCATTTAATTTTGGGATATCTATCAGCTGAAGATTTATATAAAGCGTCGATGATATGTCGACGATGGAGATTCCTATGCGAGGATAACTTGCTGTGGAGAGAGAAATGCTCGGAAAATGGAGTGGCAACGCCAATTGAACCACCAAAGTAAGTGCTTTGTGTTATTTTTACATTATTTTCTCTGCTTTTAGTCTCTCCCATCGAAGCTCCTGGGAACTTGCCGAAGACAATATTCTCAACAACCAGAATGCCCGATTGAATTTCTGGGAGGCCGGAAGAGTGGTACCGAATCGAGAGAACGAACCAGACACGGACAATGCTTGCTTTCGACGAGCTTATTGGAAGGCCATATATCTAAGGTAATATAAATTTTTTTTTGAAATGTTTCGGTCTTTAGGAACAATCGAATCTACCGGAATTGGATGCAAAACAAACCCACTGCCCAATGTCATCTGGCCGGCCATGATGACCATGTGATCACGGGGATGCAAGTCAAAGGAGATTTAATTGCAACGTCGTCCGATGATGCTACCGTCCGAATATGGTCAATTTCCCAGGCTAAGGTATGAAAATGGAGATGATTGGGGAATTTATGACATTTTAGTGTGTTCATGTACTGCAAGGACATGGTGGCGGAGTGTGGTCGATGCTTTTGACAGATGACGGGAAGAAAGTTATCTCGGGATCGACCGATAGAACGGCAAGAATATGGTCGACGGAAACGGGAGAGCAATTATTCTGCCTTCAGGGACATACGAGCACGGTTAGATGCATGGCAATGCAGGGAAATCGGTAGGTTTAGATTTAATTTGGGTTGGGTTAGTGGGAATGGATAATATACTTCGAATTTTTATAAAACTGGGGTGGAAATGTAATAGCTTGAAGATTTTTTGATATTAAATTTTGTGGAATTTAGGGTGGTATATCTCAAAAATTTTTTGAGAGTTGGTATTTTTAATACTGACCTTATTTTTGACATCAGTTCAGATATAAATCTATTTTTCAGACTAGTCACTGGCTCCCGTGATTGCACCGCCCGCCTTTGGAATCTAGACACCGGTGAGTGTGTCAACGTCTTTGTAGCCCATTATGCGGCCATAAGATGCGTTGAATATGACGGGAAACATATCATAACGGGCTCATATGACCATAAGATTGCGGTTTTTGATGAGGCCACCGGAGAACGCACTCAAATCTTGGTCGGCCATCAAAATCGAGTATATTCTTTGTTGTTGGACAAGGAGAAAGGCCTGTTGTTCTCGGGATCGCTGGACCAAACCATCAGAGTCTGGGATATCAACGATGGGACTTGTATTCACACTTTGGTTGGCCATAACAGCCTGACCTCGGCGATGCAACTCCGAAATGGATATCTGATATCAGGGAACGCGGATCATAGTATTAGGGTCTGGAATATTGAAGATGGAACATGTGTACATATTTTATCGGGTCAAAACTCCCACACCGCCGCCGTAACTGGCCTCCAATTTATTCGAGACGATCTGATTGTGAGCAGCAGCGACGACGGGATTGTAAAGTTGTGGAATATCAAGTCAGGCACATTCATCTGCAACTTGGTTCAACTTCAGCCACTTGGAGGTTGTGTTTGGAGAGTTGAAGCCACTCCAACATGCCTTGTTTGTGCGGTTGGGTCGAGGAATCAAGCCGAAGATACGAAGCTGATCATTGTCGATTTTGATGCCCCATATCCATAGAATTGAGGGGAAAATATTGGGGTTTTATATGATCGGGAAATGTCTGTGAAACAATGGGAAGAAAACAAAATTTTTTGTTGAGAAATTGAAGGTCTACAAAGACTTTTTTTTTCTTTTTGATACCAAATTTTGAGAGAATTTGATCTCTTTTTCGACTTTTTTACCAATTGGAATTCATTGTAGAGAGTGTACTGTATATTTTAGCAGGTTTCACTACAATTTCAAGATCTTAAAACCAATTTTTCTCTCATTTTCACCTGTATTTTGTCTAATTTATCGAACATTTCAAATTATTCCATTATTCAACAACAACTGGTATTAATTTTGTACTTCTTTCATAGCTAAACAATAAATTTATGTGGTCACATTGACTTGTAGTAGTGTAGAGAGATCAATTTATTTGATATTCTGTTCAAATGAATACTTATATTAGTTTAGGTTAATTAAGATATGTGGAAGATATTTAATAGTCAAAAACTTGAGGTTCCGGTAAAAGCTCTTCGTCGTCGCCCTCAATATTGATTGTAAAGACGTTTGGCTGGGATCTGGAAAGGCGGCCGGCTGAACTTGGCGGTCGAATTATGACCAGGGTAGAGGGAATGGTCAGGGCGTTTTGAAAGCGATTTTTCATTAAAATTTCTTGCTTTCTTTGCTCTAATTCTTCCTGAAAATGGAGTTTGAGTATTTGTAAAATTCTGACAATGGGTTTAAACAAAAGTATGTCCGTATTCGGAGTTGGACGATTGGAGAAAAGTATGATTGGGGAAACCGAAAAGTATTATTTTTCTTCGATGCAAGTGTGAAATTAGGATAATCGAGGGTGCTGATTTCGAAAATGACATTCATTTTTTTTATACTTACTTTTTTCCTTATGTAGTACTGTAAAGTAGTAATTTTTTGAATTTTTTTCATAAATACTCGATTTAGGGGTTTTCGATGGTGCTGATTTCGAAAATCTTTTTCATTTTCTCTGATTTGAAAGCGGCACCATCGAAAACCCCCAAATCGAGTATTCATGAAAAAAATTCCCAAAAATTACTACTTTACAGTACTGCTTAAGGAAAAAAGTAACTATCAAAAAAATGAATGTCACTTTCGAAATCAGTACCCTCGGTTATCATAATTTCGGCACTTGCATCGAAGGAAAATAATACTCTTCGGTTTCCCCAATCGTCCCAGTTCCATATTTTCCCATATACAGTAATCAAACCTTCAAAAAGCCGCTCGGTGTGTAGATTGGCGGAAACCAGCAGGGAAAGAAGTAGTCCCGCAAAACCCACATGTTGAAGGCGAACCAAGAGCCCAAACACACCACGCCGAACACGTAGTAGAGCTCGTCACGGTATTCTTCCACAATTCGGAACAAAATTTTGAGCTGGAATGTGGACGAATCTCTCGTTTCGGGAATAACAAAAATAAATTTTTGGGGAGAGCGACAAATTTAAAAGTGATCAAAATCAGACCAAGCCTGTAAATGACATTTTTTGGGGGCGAGAAAATAAATTAAAGCTGTCTTCTCATGTTGTTCTACATGTTTTTGCCCGACCCTCCGAGTTTTTCTATTATTTCCTGTCACTTTCTTCCACTAGACACAAATAGACGAGGGTTTGGAAGGCTGGAGAGGCCGGCAGAGGAAACGGAATAAGAAATTGGGATCCGGGTTTTAGAAAAATAGGAAAAATGAAGGAAATGATGAGAAATGGAAGTCCTCAAAGTTCAGATTTTGGTGAAACATGGCGAATACTTAATCTGAAACAGAACGGAAGTTTCCTGCAAAAAAAATTTTTGGCAAAAAAATATATCCACGTCCCGACTTTTCGAGTCGACGACAGTTCGGGTCAATACAAAATCAATGGATACGGGGTGTAGGGCAGATGGATGTCCAAAAAAAGGTTGTAGGAAGTGCCTACGAGGCCTGACAAAGCCGTTGGATGGTCGGCGGAGACTTGGCGAAGGCTCGGCGGAGACCTGCAATATATCCACTTTTTCTAATTTTAGCCATTACTAACGTTAGTTTTCTTTACTCTGAGTGATTGCAACATATAAAGGACCAAAATTTGGGGCAAAAAACGAAGATCCTTAATTTTTGTCCAGGTATTGTTGATGTGATGTAAAAAAAACTCAAAATATGTGATAAGCTATCCTAGGACCCGATCAATCTTTTTATTTCTACTAGCTGGGCCTTCTCCTATCCTCCCCCATGCATGCAATGAGGAACCGATCCATAGTAGTCTCGGCAAAAATTCCTTGGAATTTTGCACCGTGCATGAACTCGAAAAAAACACTGCACCGTGCATCCGGCCCAAAAAGTGATTTTGCACAGTGCAATTTTGTTGTTTTTGTTTTTTTGTCGCGCGCGATTCCCATTTTTCGCAGCGACAAATCAGTTTTTCGGAGTGCGACGGAATTTGAAGGCCGCGAAAAATTCCAAAGACTTTTTGCCGCGACTACCGTTGAGCCGGAACTGTCGCTGACCCGAAAATCTCGGATGTTTCTGTAAACCGCGGTTTGAAAGTCATGTATATCTTAGGACCTACCAATCGAAATTTGCCCTCAATTTCATCAAAATCTATCAGTCTGTCGGGAAAATAACGGCGGATCGTCGCGCCTCCGAATCGCCCATCATCGCTTTGCGACTGCAAGCCGCGGCTTGGGATTTGGGGCGCGATAGCGGTGAGGCGAGACATTTCGCTGCGACGATCCGCCGTTATTTTCCCGACAGACTGATATCAGTCAAATGTCGAGGATTTCTCCTCTCAAAAGCTCTATAAAAATCCCATCCACACGAAAAATTTTGTTGTACAGAGACTGTAATGAAAATCAAAATAGACCCCAAATGAACGTCCACAGCAAAGTTTCAATACATTTTTTCTCATGACTTTTCGTCCCGTCTTGTCACAACCGAAACGAACGACATCGCAATAATGCCTTTTTATGGTAAAATCTCGGCAAATCATAAACTGCGGGCTTTTTGAAGAGCGCCAAAAAGAAGATTTATGGGATGCGCGGAGTGGGCCAAGTTTGTCAATTCGAATTTTCAGACAAAAAATGTTCCAAAAATGATTGATGTAGCGGGTAAAAGGAAGTTTTATTAATCAAAAAATTGAGTTGGGAAAATACCGTCCAAAGTCGCGATTATGTCAGAAGTCGTTGCACATGACCTCTGGGGGATTTGTAGACGAAGAAAACAAGAATTTATCTGTTTTGTTTATCTTCGAGATACTGAAGAGAGTCGAAGAGTCTACCAGAACATAAAGAAGGGCGAAATTGCGAAACTCTTTTGGGAAGAATTCTCGGAAAATCCGGCACAATGACATAACTTTAGGGTCGGATAGATAGATCGAGTGGCACAAATTCGACATTTTATGAATGAAAAGTTTGCACACTTGACTCTCAAAGCGATACTACAGAAAAATCAGCGGTCTGTTTCACTAACAAAAAATAAATAAAATAGAAGTATGGGGTTTTTTACGTCCAAAACCGCGGTTGGCGGCAGTATTTTGGCCATAACTTTTTTCTCAATTGGTATAGGAACACCCTTCAAAGCTTAAAATGAAGCTGACAGTTTCAGTTATCACCAAAACTATTTTCAATGCTGTGGTGCAAAAAACCCGACCTTAAAAAACCGTAAAATACGAGCGCTTTAAAAGACGATTTCTGAGTCAGTGCATCAGCCGTCTGTTAGGCGTGGACATAGGAAAAAATCGAATTTGAGTTTTTTTGCATGAAAATGACGGCTGGTAGGTGCTAAGCAAAAGCGAACAATATTTTTTCCCAAAACCTTCATCAAGGTATATTTTTTTACAATTTACTGTTTTAGAAGTAACCGCCTCCAGCTGTCGTATCTTACCTTACTGTGCGATGATTTGATGGTTACTGACGTTTTTGACCCTTGCGATGACGACGAAATTATTATTTTTTCGGTTTTCCTACTGTAACATACCGTAATACCGTATCGGCCGTAAAAAAACGGCCGTAAAATCTTTGTTTCTGAAAACCCACAGCTGATTTTTTGATATGTTAATCAGCGTAAAATTCTGCTCTAGACGCAATCAAAAAAAGTTCAAAAAAGTGAATGACAAATTTCGTGGTATAGTGGTTAGTGGTCGGGACTACCAATCCAGCCTCCCAGGTTCGATTCCGGGTGGGTGCAAATCTCGAAAAACTACTGGAAATCGACTTTAATGGAACATTCAAAGCTATTTGATTGATAATAAGTAATTTTAGACAATAACGGCACCTGTATGGGAGCCAAAAACGGATTTTAAAAATTTTTTGAGGCTTAATACGTGAAAAATAAAACGGCTTCAAACCGGCTGAAATTGATAGCACTTACTCTAGGGCTAATTATAAGACACTTTCCCGTTAACTTTTTTTCGGATCTTACTGTATCGTGGATTACTGTAACATAAAACTTATTCTCCTAAACCGCGGTTTACTTCAGAATTCTCGCACAAAATTTTTAGTTTTTTTAGTTAGATATTTTAATGAGAAAACAAAGATCCACTCTTGATGTACAAATTAAAATTTTCCCCCGTCTCCAATGTGTGTTGACGTTATCAACAATTGGTGAAACTGCGTGAAATTACTCAGGTGTTTCAAGTCGTACCGCCATATAAAAAATATTTCTATGCAAACCAAGCCTTTCTTAATCATTTTAAGCGTAATGGTGGGGATACGAGCTCTCTGTGCTATGTGGTATACAAAAAACGGAATCGTGTTTCACGTTACAGTAATCCACGATACAGTAAGATCCTAAAAAAAATTAACGGGAATGTGTCTTATAATTAGCCCTAGAGTAAGTGCTATCAATTTCAACCGGTTTGAAGCCGTTTTATTTTTCACGTTCTAAGCCTCAAAAATTTTTAAAAATCCGTCTTAGGCTCCCATATAGGTGCCGTTATTGTCTAAAATTACTTATTATCAATCAAATAGCTTTGAATGTTCCATTAAAGTCGATTTCCAGTAGTTTTTCGAGATTTGCACCCACCCGGAATCGAACCTGGGAGGCTGGATTGGTAGTCCCGACCACTAACCACTATACCACGAAATTTGTCATTCACTTTTTTGAACTTTTTTTGATTGCGTCTAGAGCAGAATTTTACGCTGATTAACATATCAAAAAATCAGCTGTGGGTTTTCAGAAACAAAGATTTTACGGCCGTTTTTTTACGGCCGATATGGTATTACGGTATGTTACAGTAGGAAAACCGAAAAAAGAATGATTTCATCGTCATCGCAAGGGTCAAAAACTTCAGTAACCATCAAATCATCGCACAGTAAGGTAAGATACGACAGCTGGAGGCGGTTACTTCTAAAACAGTAAATTGTAAAAAAATATACCTTGATGAAGGTTTTGGGAAAAAATATTGTTCGCTTTTGCTTAACACCTTCTAACAGTCATTTTAATGCAAAAAACTCAAAATCGATTTTTTCCTATGTCCACGGCTGACACACTGAGTCAGAAATCGTCTTTTAATTTTTGAGAAAATTTTCGAAACAACAATATTTTGGCTTCACAATTGCATGGAAACACCCTTCAAAAAACAAAGCTGACGGTTGAGACTACAACATATCGTATACAACATATCGATATTTCGTTTTTATTTTCAAGATTAGACGATGAGCCTTCACGCGAGGCTTAGAATGAAGCTGACAGGAAATCTGGCCCAATGACATAACTTTAGGGTGGGACAGATAGATCCAGTGGCACAAATTCGACAGCGTTAGACAATGACATACAACATCGATCCAAAAACTAAAAAAAGCAAGATCAAATCAACCCCCAAAAAAAATCCAACAAGATAAGAACAAAAAACATCTTTATCGAAGGAGTAGAACTCAGTTTCACAGGGGGCAAAAAGAACACAACTTAAGGGTTGTACTCAATGGGCAAGTTCTTCCTGCGGACCATACCGTCACCTTGGAACCATTCGCGGCGGAACTGCTTGGCGGCTCCGTCGGGGGTGTTGGTCCATTCGATGGTGATACGGTCGTTGTTGGTGTCTTCCTGGCCGTAGTTGAAGGCGTCGCAGGAGACGGCAACCAAGACGGACTCCTTGGGGTCGAGGACACCGCATGGAGGGTCAACACCGAGGCGCTTCATGTTGGTGGTCTTGAAGGCCCATCCGATACGACGACCACCGGCATTGATGACCTGCAAAGGAGAGGGTTAGAGTGGTTGAATAACGATAATTTTAAGTTCATTATTCTACAGAATCCTACAGTATCTTTACCTCAAAAATGCCCTATTTCAAAAATCCAGTATCTCAGAAATCACTATATTTTCTACAGTGTCTTAAAATCGCATCTTTGAAGCTACAATATAACGGACCCTGTAGTACCCAGAGGCTATCCCAAAGTCCCTAAATCTACTAGTCTCCCCACTCTGCTCACCTTGATGTGGTAGGTGTGCTTGTCGTCGTAGGGGGCGTTGAAGACGACCTTGGCGTTGGGCTGGGTGGTGATATCTCCTGGGGGAACGGATTGAGCCATCACGAACGAGGAAACAAGAGACCGAGAAGAGACGGAAACTGATGCCAACTCCCGCAACTCCCCTCGCTTTTATACCTGTCCGCAACGTGCGAATATTTGCATAAATCGCCGTAAATCACGTCAAAATTTCCCAAGAAAATTGGGAAAAGTTCGCAGTCCAAAAGGCGGCCAAATTTGAATGGTTCCCTCATTTGGTGGTTGGAACCGGTGGTGAACGGCTGCGCACAAACTCGAATGGCTCTCAACGTTGAACCCCCCACTGGAAGCTTCCCCGCCGCCGGCGGCAAGGCCACGCACGAGCTCTCCAACAACACCGACAGTCGTCTGGCCTTCAAGGTGAGTTCGAGACTTTGTTTTTTGAGATTTTTTGGGTAAAAACTTGATCTTTATGATGATTTTCCAATTTAATATGGTATTTAAAGGTGTCATACGAAGTTCTGGTCATTTTTAGCTAACTTGAAGACATTTTTCGTTCAGATATTACACTAGACATCAATTTTGGGGTATTAGAATAGACACTTGATTTTGATGATTTTACAGTAGTCAAAGATGGAATTTTCAGATGTCAAAAGAATCAGAATTTTTTGGAATAGGTCACCATGACGAAATTTTTTATTGAAATTGCCAGAAATGTGTCTTAAATGACACTTGTCGGCGAAATGTCACTTTTTTATAGAGTTTGATTTTTTTGATGACTAAAACATCTAGAATGGTCTTTAGAATTTAGCAAGGTCATTGTTTAGAATAGTATCGAAATTCCAATTTTTATTTTACTGACCCTTGACCTTGTAATTTTCACTTATTTCCCTCCGATTTCAGGTCAAGTCGTCGAACAACGACCACTACCGCGTGAAGCCGGTCTACGGATTCATCCCACCCAAGGAGAAGGCCGCCATCGAAGTGATTCGCCTGAACGGCCCGCCCAAGGAGGACAAGTTGGTCATCCAATGGGCCGAGGTCCCCGCCGAGGAAGATGACCCACAAGCCCCGTTCAAGGCGGGCGCTCAAGCTGGTGAAGTCATCTTGCTCATCAAGGCTGAATAGAGTTCTGGAGTTGAGATACCAATAAACATTTATCTGTCTGAGATTTTTTGGGATTTATCAGGCGATTGTGGGCGCTGTAGAAGGGATTATTATGATTTACTGTAAGATTTTTGATGGAATTTTAGGGTACTGTAAAAATTTTTTGATTCTGAAAATGGTATACTGTAATTTTTTTGGGAGGATTTATGGTTACTGTACAGCATACCATACGATTTTTTGATAAAATTGCAAGTTACTGTAGCTTTTTCTTTAAACTTATGGGATACTGTAACATTTTTTTTTGATACTGCAATTTTTTTGGAAGATTTGAGGTTGCTGTATGGGGTATCCAACAATTTTTTCTGTGAAATTACAAGTTACTATCACTTTTTTGCAAACTTATGGGATACTGTAACATTTTTTTTGATACTGAGAATGGGTTACTGCCATTTTTTGGATGATTTTTTGGTTACTGTATGGGATACCATATGATTTTTTTCTGGGGAATTACAAGTTACTACATATTACTTTTTTTTAAACTTATGGCATACTGTAAAATTTTTGAGTATACAATGGAATAATAAATCCGCATTTTTGATAATAGGATTGGTTTATATACAAAAAAAAATTAAAGCTGTCTTGTACACCATTTTGTATGGCACTCAATATTACGGTTGATATCGAACTGATATTTTGATTGGTTGACTCAGGTATTATGTATTTTGGAGGTTTGCGACGGAAAGTCTTCTTATTCTGGAGGTAGATGGGCCTTGGTTAGAAGGTCGGGTCGTCGCAGGTCTTACACAACTTCGGATAAGTTGGATAAGGAGCGGGGCGAACATTGGGCTGGGTTGGATACTGAAAAAAATCAATTTTTAAGGAATTGTATCGTTAGGGGAGAGCTTTTTCGCGTCCCGTTTTTTCGAGTCGACAACAGTTCGGGTCAACACAAAATCGATCGATACGAGACCTAGGACAGGTGGATGCCCAAAACAGGCTGCAAGAAGTGCCTATGAGGCCTGAAAAAGCCGTTGGATGGTCGGCGAACGTTCGGCGAAGGCTCGGCGGAGACTTGGCGAAGGCTTGCAATATGTCCACTTTTCCTAATTTTAGCTATTACTAAGGTTAGTTTTCTTTACCCTGAGTTATTGTAACATATAAAAGACAAAAATTTGTGGCAAAAAATGAAGATCCGTAACTTTTATCTAGGTATTATTGATGTTAGTACATGTAAAATACCTCAAAATAGGTGATAAGCTATCCTAGGACCCGATAAATCTTATTAATTCTAGTAACTAAGCCTTCTCCTAGCCTCCCCAACGCATACAACGATGAGCCGACATGATCTATTGTATCGTTGACCCGAAAAGTCGCTGACTCAAAAAGTCGTAGCGCCAGCTTTTTTTTATACTTGAAACGTCTTAATTTGACTTACAATAAATCTATAATAGGCTGCCAGATCATCCATATACGCTTTCAAGGCCGCTTCGTGTTCTTCCGTTATTGGAGTGAAGGTTCCGTCGCATTCATGAATGACGTCATCCTGAAAATTCGGTAAAATTATGACGTCATAGATTGAAAATTTCCGAGGTCTTATGTCATAGTTCTATGTCAAAAAATACAAAAAATCCTACTGTAATCAATTTTAGGTCTCGAAGTTTCTATTTTCAACTCTTCCGCTGTAATTATTCGCTAAACGATTTTTAAAGCAACGGAATTCGCCAAACTTTCAACAAGAAAACGAAAGAAAAGTTGACGATTACTCACTCTGACGATGCATCCTTTGATATTGTAGATTTTCGAGTCAGCAATGGCAATCATCACGGCTGTGATGAACAGGAAAATCTGTATCGACGACATGGAAGTGATTCTTTCTGAAATTTGTCCAATATTTTGAGGTTCTCAAATGGAAAGTTAAAAATTTTGAGCGAAAATTTTGTTTACGAAATTTCACAGTGTGAAATAAAGCAAAGGAAATGGAAAATATTATGGTAAACTGTAATAATTCGATCATGATAAACTGTAAACATCATGCAGGAGCATGAAGAAATTCTTCTTTTACAGTCACAGAATCAAGATCTGATTTGAAAAAAACGAAAAATAAAGATTTTGAAGATAATGTTTCATTGGGAAGGGGTGAAAAAATGTTGTTATGACTGACATAATAATCGAAATATTTTAAAGAAAAGCTAATTTTTTACAGCCTCCATGATTTTCGGTAGAATTTTCGAGATTCTGAGGTCTCTCTCTCTCTCTGTAGAGACAACAGAGATTGTTTAGGTTGAAAGTTGACAAAAATTCGATAGATTTTTTGCAAACAGGAGAGTGATATCAGTTTGTCGGGAAAATAATAAGCACAATTTCTAATCCCAAAATTGCATCGCTGAAGTGAAAAGCAATTTGATTTTGCCACAAAAACAATTCAATTTCTCGGCGGCGATGTAATTTTGGATGTTCATTATTTTCCCGACGGACTGACAATTTGCCATTCAATTTCTTATACGGAAAAAAATTTCTGCCAAAATACTTATTTTTTCACACAAAGTTCGCAGCGACATTGCGATTCGGCGGAGGCATAAAATATAGGCAAAATTTAACAAGGAAAGTACTTTTATGGGGGCTCTACTTTTTAATGGGACATATCTCAAAAAAGCAGAAAAAATGTGCTGATCAAAGATATATAAATCTTAGCTGCCCATTTTAGGTTTTTAGGGGTGAAAACTGAATCGGAAGTTGACTTAAAGTCCTATATGAACCCCTTTTCGCTTAATTTTTTCACAGGTTTAAAATTTTTATTTTGGCTTAAAATGATGTTTATTGAGTTTCTAAGACGTAATAAATCAGTCTTGGCCCAAAATTTTATTTTTCCGGCCTTCAACTTCAAAAAAAGTTGATTCAGCCCAAAAGGGAAATCGAACCCATGCGGCGTCCTCCCTCTTGGTTCCCAGACTGGGCACTAACCACTCGGCCACACCGCACGTCAAACTGAGGAGTCCGGTGACCGGAATAGACTCTTCGCTATCGGTTTTTTACACTTCGTCTTGATTTCGCAGAGAAAGAGAGAAAAAAGACACGTAAAAACGTACTCTCTCGCCCCAAAAATTCCCCATTTCTCCCCCGACAAAACGCTTTTTCGCGTCTTTCCTTGGCAAATTGCCAATCCGTTCACCGGAATGTTTTAGCTTGTCTCAATTTGACGTGCACCGCTCTCTTCCGAAGGAAGAGACCGACTGCGATTTTTATCGTTTCGAATGCCTGCGCCTTTTGTAGGAAATTTAAGCCAGTTTTTTGGCATTTTCACCCCTAAAAACCTAAAATGGGCAGCTAAGTTTTATATATCCTTGATCAGCACATTTTTTCTGATTTTTTGAGATATCTCCCGTCAAAAAGTAGGAGCTCCCATAAAAGTACTTTCCTTGCAAAGAAAATCTGTGGCTCGAACATCGAGCCGTTCCCTTGTTATATTAGTCCGTTCGTAAAGTCGATGGGGATGATTTTAAAAGGTAACAAAAGTTCGCTTTTCCCCGTGCAATTTTCAGCTTTTTGGGCTGTCGCTCGCACCCGGACATTTTTGTTCTTTTTTGCACAGTGCAAACGCCAAAAATCACTCCAGCGACTTTACGAACGGCCTGGTATTTAAAAAAAAAATGATGCAAAATACAAGGAAATGTGGTATGTAGAGGTAGAAACCTTTAGGCAAGAAATGAAAATTATCAAAAGTGATGACAAGAAGGTATATAATTTCGCCATGCAATAAGAGTTACCTAACAATGTCAAATGGCTTATTTATGATGACGTTAACGTTTTGTTTAGGCAATATTTTCATAGAACAAACTCTGTAAAATAGCAAAGACTTTATGCAGGTATGTTATAACTTATTACATAACAAATCAATTTAAAAATTAAACAATTATACTACCTTTAGCCCACCCCTTACCCCTTGAAACCCCTTCCTTATATCAACAACTTCTCCTCCCAGCAAACGTGGTAAAATACATATAAAATCGCCAAGGGTTTTCGTGAACAAATTCCGCCCATTTCTCAGCGCACTTCTTCTCATCGGCGTCCATATTCGCTCAAGACGAAAGCACGTGAAGATGACGTGACTCGCCCAATGCAAACCAAATCCCGCAATGACGCGAAGGGGATCAATGCTGTTTTCGTGAATTGAAACCCGTTATGTACATAGCAAGGATTTGTAATCATCGCTCATTTTCAACAAAAAATGAAAGGGGAATTTCATGTGAAAGGAGGTAAAGAGATGACTAAAATCTCAGAGGAAAATTCTATGTTCGGAATTTCCTCAAAGTTTGCACATGTTTAGAGTTGAACTTGCATGTCAACTTCCAGAAATTTTAGTTCGCACTATGCAGAAACATCAGAGATATCAAACAATTTTATAGCTGACGAATTGGGAGAAAGGCTGGCAAAAAGTAAGCTTGTCAATATTTTTTTTATTTCACGTGGTAAAAGTTGATTTTCTACATAGATCTCTTCTGTTAGTTGGAGCTAGCGTTAAGGGGTACCTAGGCAAACTCGTTATTTTTTGACCGTCTAGACGGAGTTTTTAAAGACGCATCTTTAAAAACTCCGCACTGAAAATCAATCTCCACAATAGCGGACCTGATCCGTTGGCCAAAAACGTACAATTTTTCAATCGGGAAGTATCAAAAATGCAGCAAAATACCTCCCTCTCCAAGTTGAAAAAACTCCGATTTCAAAAGCGCGCCCGTTCTTTTTGTGAGGGAAATGGCGCGCTCTTTAAAACGGAATTTTTTTTTAATTGGAGAGGGAGGCATTTTGCCACATTTTTAAACTTCCCGGATGCAAAATGATAGTTTTTTGCGATTGGATCAGGTCTCTCACAGTAACATGAATAAAAATATACCTCTCACACAGTCTAGCCCCAATAATAAGCCATAAATATCATCACCTTTCTATTTTGAACATCAAAAAGTCATCCTAAATAACAAACAACCCTATTTCAACTTGACTTTAGTCAGCCTCCTTGTCCCCGCCCCAAAAAATGGAACCCTCTTCTGGCCACAATAGCTCACACCAAATTTTCCGACCCTTTGATGACTAATCAGTCATCTTTCGATTTGCAATTCAATCCTATTTCTTTTAAACCACCCTCAAGCGATCTCTGGCCCCTCCCATTGGTCATCAGCTGCCAGATCAATAACCAAAATATATTCGTCCCTTATTTTCGTCCCATTTCGAAGATTATAAACACCAAACCACGTTGTTTCAGCACCCCTTCAACAAACATCTCGCTGTTTGTTTATAGCGCAGGACGTGATGCAAAGGTCATTTGCTGTAAAAATCTTCGCAATGTTTTGCAGTAAATTTTGATCTGCAGAAGCAGAGTTGTCGAGGGCTTCTGGAGAATTCGGAAGAAGGATTTTTTGAGAAGCGATTGATTGGAGCGAGCTTGCAGAAGGCTGCTTGGAATGTTTTTCGATTTCAACAGATTTTTAAAATTTTTTGCCAAAATTCATGTTTTTAACAACTGTTTTTTGTTGTCTCATAAAGTCCTGAGGATATGAGGTCAATTAGCTCACCATAGAACGGAACATATTGCGAAAGGAAGCATGAAATTGCATCAAACTCAAAGCATCTTATACATGAGGTATAGGTCGTATTCTCTTGGCTATTTCGCGAATAAGAAAGGCATTTGTCCTAAGCTAAAGATAGTGTCTAATACTAGATATAATAGGCTTTCAAACGATATATAAAACTTATAGTTTACTAAAAGCTGCGCGGTGCTATGGCCATATTACACTTGACCCTCCCACATCAACCAAAACAAATTCAAACCTAAAAATTCCGACTTTATCTTCATCAATGATGCTAACCACTCGGTTCAGGTGAAATTCACTTCCCAATCAATCATCTAGCCTATAAACTTCCACTCAACACCATTGCTCACAACCTTTGCGTACATAGCCGCAGTTTAATGTTCGTAAGACCGTTTAAACTCCTTCCTGTGCAAAATATTGCACTCTGTCATCTTACCATCATTTCAATGAAACCTAAGGACATTGAATTATACCCGGAAGGAACGATGTGCAACCGGCCGTTCAAAGCACGGCCTGGCTCTTTAAAAATCAAAAGACTGGTGTTCTCTTGGCAAAAATATTTTTTTGAAATAATACACTCGTTGAAATGGATGTAAAATTGGATTGAAAAGGTGGAGAAATGTCCTTTCTTTGCAAACCATGTGCTTCTTTACACAAATTGCCTTGATCTAGCGAACACGACCTTGTTGACAACCTTCATCTCAACTAGCTATACTTTAAAATATTTTTTGCGGAAAAAACCTAATAACGTTGTTGATTAGAGAATTTTCGGTTACAGTAACTATTCCTACTGCTTATGAGACGCAAGACAGCCTACAGTAAACATCTACATCGAAAGAAAAAAAGAAAAAAGGAAAGAGAGCCTAGAACAACATAAATTTATGCAAAACCTCTCATATAGATTTAATTTGCTTTGTCCTCGTTTTAGGTTGTTGCAAATTAGCTACATAAGCTGTTGATAACGCTTAGCCATCAATTTGTCCGCAAAAACAAAATCCAGTAAAATTATGCGTCATGTGTCGCTCTTTTTCTCAGATGTGTCAAGTCTTTCTCTTGTTTTTTCTCTCGATTTTGGGAAGTTGGTTTATCAATCTATTCTGGAAAATTTGATCCATTCTATTTCCACTGTTTTATGGTAAACACCGGCAACCTAACTCCGTGGGCCATCTTCAAGAAGCGTGCAAGTTTGTGGATTGTTCCCGGAATTTGCGGAACTTTGATTTTCTTGGATTTCTTCCACACCTATCAGTGGAAGAAAGGTCAGAAACAAACCTTTGTCAATCAGTTGCTTGAACCAGCGGACAAGAAGCTTCAGCAATAAGGTAATTGTTTATTTTGATTTTTTTTTATATTTAGAGGTGGTCTAAAATAACATCCGGAAATTTTGATTGTAAATGTCTTTCGATACTCACGATCTTTTCACATTAACTTTATCACATTATTCATGAGCTATTTTTTCCAGAAATGGGAACTTTCACCGTCAGCTACTTGGTTAAAACCGTCTTCAACCAGCACAAGTATAAGATCCCCTTTGTTATTCTCACTGGCTATGTTGGTAAGTTATTTGTTCTTTATTACCTCTTATTCTTTAGGCTATTGCTACGAGAAATCCGGAGAGTACAAGGCTTCAATGATGAAGGGTCAAAGTCGTATGTACGCTCATCTACGTGAAGGCTTGCCGAAGGACGCGGACATTTGGCGTTATTAGGTCATGATAATCCCTTTGCAGGTGTTAAATTTTTCGAATAAATTAGTAGACAAGTTTATTGGTGCTTATGAATGTTGTGATTTTTATTAGCAATCAAATATTTGAGTATTTTTTAGTGTTTATCTTACTTTACCTTATCAAATAGTTCAAGATGTCCGATTGGACAGAAATAACTGAAGGCTTGGCCAAAATTAGGTTTGAAGGAAATGCCGAAGCATTTTACAACCCGGCACAGGAATTCAATCGAGATTTAACGTAAGAATTTACGCTTACGTAGAGAGTTTCTTTTAGGGTATCAGTATTAAGAAGACTCGGGAACGAGCTGAAGGAGAAGGCAAGACCGCAAGATAATGCTAATGGAGATGAACCAACGGCAAAGAAACGAAAAATGGGACCAGTGAGTTCTTAAGATTACTTTGTTATTGGTTTAGACTGGGTTCCGAGTACTTGATGCCCTTTCTGCTTCGGGATTGAGGGCTCTTCGATTCTCAAAAGAAGTTGAAGGGATTACTGAGGTCTGGGCCAACGATTTCAGCGAAAATGCCGTCGAATACATCAAGAAGAATGCAGAATTGAATGGAGTTCAAGATCTTATTCATGTTTCTTATGCCGACGCAACGTAAGTGTTTCTTTTTATTGTTGAACTTTTAGGCAATTGATGTCTGAGTGTAGACAAGTTGATAAACGCTTTCATGCCGTTGATCTGGACCCATACGGCTCGGCTACGCCTTTTCTAAACACAGCTGTTCAAGCTGTTGTTGATGATGGAATCTTGATGGTAACTTGCACAGACATGGCAACTTTATGTGGGAATACACCAGAAGCCGCGCTGAGCAAGTATGGATCAACTCCGTTGAAGCACAAATGCTGTCATGAAGCGGTAAGGAAATTTTTATATTTTAGTAGGGGCTTGTGGGAAATTTTTTGAAGTTTCTTAATGGATAAAGCAAGATTGTAATAAAAAAAATATATTATTTTAGGCAATAAGAATGCTCCTTCGCTGTATTCAACAACACGCCGCCGCCTACGATCGCTACATTGAACCGCTAGTTTGCGTTTCCGTCGATTTTTATATCAGATGTTTCGTCCGAGTGAAAACAGGCGCAAGAATGGTGAAAGAAGGCGCCACAAAGCTCTCAAATGTCCTCCATTGCACTGGCTGTCATTCTCTTGCGCTGCAGCCGTTAGTAAAGAAGGTTGTTAACGGAAATTCCATCAAATTTTTGCTTCCAAAACCGAATAATTCGAATATAATGGATGCGGAAGGCAATTGTGTCCATTGCAAGCACTCAGTTCAACTTACTGGCCCTTTTTACACCGCTCCGTACTTTAACCGACAGTTTGTTGAGGGGTTGTTGAAGGAGTAAGTCTGTTTTATATTGTTTGTTATGGCTTTAGGATATCCGAAACCCCACTGGAAAAGAGGCTAGGAACTCACAATCGATTGATTGGAGTACTAACTGTAATGCTCGAGGAACTGGACGATGTGCCGTTTTATTATGAAGTGGATCAGCTGGTCAATATCTGCAAAGTTCGAGTCCCAAAATCGATCACTTTCCGGTCAGTAATTATCAACGCTGGATACCGAATATCCGGATCGCATTGTAACCCCAAAGCCGTCAAGACAGACGCCCCATTATTGGTTATTTGGGATACTGTCAGATCTTTTGTAAGATTTTTAAAAGGGATTTTTTCGATGTTATCTATGAGATGGTGGTTGAATAATATAAAAATTTGTATAATTTTCTTTCAGTTCGCTCAAGAAGGCCGGGATACCAAGAATTTTTCGGAAGATGCTCCAGGACGGCAGATCTTAGCTATTAAACCAGTGTGAGTTGAGTTTATGTCAAGTTTTATATTAATTTAGGACCCCATTCAACACCCAATATAATCCGGCGGCCAGAGAGAACAGTAAAGTCTCTGGATTACTGAGGTTTCAAGATAACCACGGCAAGAATCATGGGCCCAAATCCAAGGCCAAGGGATCGGTAAATTCGGCCAAAGCCGCCGGGTTTGTCCCGAAAGAAGTTGAGACCCAAGAATAAGATTATTTTTGTTTTTTTTTGTTGTTAATTGTTAAAAAAATGTTGAGTTTATGTTGTTAAGATGTTATTCATACAGTAAAATACATTTTGGATCTAATAGCAAGCAATTTGTCAAAAAGATTTTGGGTTCAGAGCCGATTTGAACTTCTTTACCTTCCGTTTCAGCCATGGATCGTTCTTTTTCGGGATCAAATCTTCACTGGAAACCAACCCGAATGGTTTTCCAGGTATCAAAGGAGTTAGAGAGTACTTATACGCTTTTTTGGCGATATCTGGGCGGATCCCGGGGCGTCGAGGGCATGGGCAATATCTGGAATTACATTGTAGTAGGTATTAATGTCGGAAATGGTTATGCATTTTCATAAGATTTCTGAGGCCATAAGGAGTCCTAGAGTACTATTTGAACGAGAGGATTTTATGAAAATTTTTTTGAAAAAGTGATTTTTTTAGATTTTTTTATTAGATGTGTAAGAGGTCCTACTGTAATGTAAAAAGATTTTTATATAGTTCCAATATCTTCTAGAGGTCACTTACGTTCCATCCGATCCGGGTATCCCAACAGTTCCTTCTTTTCCCACCTCTCCCCGCTCTCCATCCTGTCCGGGCGGACCTCTCGGACCCCGTTTCCCCGGAGGGCCTGGTTTTGATTTTGCAGGTCTTCCGGGCTCTCCAACGCTTCCTCGCGGCCCAATGAACCCTTCTTCTCCGGGAGGACCGGGTTTTCCAATTCCGGTGAGCGCATCCTCTCCAGGACGGCCTGGCGGTCCAACAGGCCCGTTTTCACCTGGGTCGCCGACTTCGCCGTCCAAACCAACGCAAATCGAGTCTTCGCCGTCCGGTCCGACAAAGCCTGGAGGGCCAGGAAACCCTCCGCGACCCTGAAATTTTTGTTTTAAAGATGAGTTTTTGATTTTTAATACTTTTTCCTAATCATAATACACTCCGTTACGAAAGTATACCTACCCCATGGAAAATTCCAGTATCTAAGGTTTGGTAAGAGATATAGAAAAACTGCTAATGCCCTTTGAAAGAGCATGTCGTATAACCTATTACCGCGTGGAATCGGCCGATGAAAAAAAATTGATCGGTTTGGCAACTATTTTAATATTTTTGGCCGATATGACGAGAAAAATTCAATATTTTTGGCCGATATGACCATGAAAACTTTGAGTAAGCTGTTTTATTTACTCATAATGTGCTATGTGTGTGTCACGTCACAGGTAATATAGTCTAGCCGTCAAGGAAGCAGTCTAGTCAAGAAATTTTTTGAATTTAAGATTAACCTCAAGTACAAGGTCAGAGATGGCTCGCAAAAGTACTACGTGGATAAAGTGCAATTGAAATTAATTTAATACACTTCCTAATACCATAGGGTACACGATGGAATGAAATCGGGGTGTGTTAATTCAAAATCCGGGCTGCATTAGCCAAAAAAACTGTTGGTATACTTTTGAAAGGTCAAAAAATAAAAAAATAGTTGCCAAGCCGATCAAAAGTCTTTTCACCGGCTGATTCCACGCGTTAATAGGTTACTCAACATGCTCTTTCGAATAACATTAGCAGGTTTTTCGATATCTCTTACCCAGCCTTAGATACTGCAGTTTTCCATGGGGTAGGTATACTTTCGTAACGGAGTGTATGATATTATTACTCACTGGATCGCCCTGCTCTCCCTCCTCTCCCACAAAGCCCGGAGGGCCAGTTGGACAGACTTGGCATCCATCCTCGTCCTCCATGTACTCTATTGTAGCATTGGCTCCGGGTGCTCCATCGGGTCCGGGGATTCCATCGAATCCGTCTTCTCCGGGATCCCCCGGAATTCCGATTGGCCCTCGGCATTCTTCGGATTCCTCTTCACTTCCAGAAGACGCGTTCTCAATACTGGATGCGGTCTCAGAACCGGATGGAGTGAAGGGAGGGCCTCCTGGATGAATAATTTCCTCGACTTCATGAGGAAAAACATGACGGTTATGGGCATTCATTGTGTTGATGCGGATTATACGCTGAAAATTGATGATTTATTATATAAGGGGAAAAATGGCCTCTATCTTGACGTAAATAATTCCCTTGCAAATTCTGCAGACTTACCTCCAATGCTGTCTCGGCCGTTTTGGCATCAAAAATGTCTTCATTTAGGCCATCAATGGAGCTGTTGTCCTCCAAAATATCTTCACCATTCTTCTTCGATTTTGGTTTCTCATCTTGCTGAACAAGCAGAGGGATGAGATCGCCAAGAAAATTGAATTTTTGAAAAGGAAAGGGAATGTAGCCAATCGGCAGAGGAATGCTGGCCAAGGCGCCTGGAGGCGGGGCTCTTCGAAGGGGTTCTGAATTGAATTGAAATTAAGTTTTTCGTCTTTTACACTTCTTATTGTTAGACTTGTATTAAAGCAATTTTACTGGCCTATGAGAGCATTTGCAATGTAAAATTTAGATGGTGATTTGAAATAGAAAAAAGTTTTGATTAGGATTTTCTAAAACATTTTCAAGATTTTCAGCTTGTGCTTTGCAGGAATCACTGAGATTATTACAGTGGCGGACCTGATTCAGTGGCAAAAAACGTACCATTTAGCATGCGGGAAGTATCAAAAAATGTGGCAAAATACCTCCCTCTCCAAGTTAAAAAACTACGATTTTATGAAAGCGCGCTCGCTCTTTTTGTGAGGGAAAAGGGCGCGTCCTTCAAAACGACGTTTTTTTAGTTGGAGAGGGAGGCATTTTGCCACATTTTTTATACTTCCTGGATGCATGAATGATACTTTTTTTGCCACTGGATCCGGAATTTCATCCCTGACAAAAAAATTTACCTTCCCGTTGCACGGACTCCTCCGTTGTCGTCTTCAGTGGCCTTTTTTCCGCTGCAATCCTCTTCTTTTTCTCTGACAAATCATTATACGCCACTGTAGTTCTTCTCAATTCATTTGCCTCATAATTCTGCACTCCATGAACTCTTGGAGCCGTCGAAGTTCCGGCCGATCCAGTATTAATCCCACTCCTCCAATTTTCCAAGTTTTTAATATTTTTTTCCTCAAACCCCGGCGGCAATAGTGGCGCCGAAGCTCGCGGAGGGACCTCCATTTTTGCCTTCGGCCCTCCACTTCCGGCGGCTGATTTTTGTCGCGTTTTGGGGAAGGCGATTCGCTTGTGATTTCGACGGATTTCGGCCCAACTCAGCGCTCTTTTGCTTCGAGTTCGAGTAAACTCTTGTAGCTCCTCCCAAACCTTGTTGGTTTCTTCGCGAAAGTGCAGTGAGACTTGAGAGATTGCGTGCTTCGTTGAATGGAGTTGCTGAACTGCGGCGGGAAGAAGGAGGAAAGTGGAGAAGAGAGTGGAGAGCATGATGATTAGAGTGAGGAAGGCCATGATTTCAACGGCTGTTACGTCTGAAATAATTGGAGAGCATTAACGACGAAAACGCTAAAAGGTGGACGTCTAGATATTGATGAAACTTGGCACAAAATAAGATTACATATTTTCTACGAAATATGCCAAATTTTTGAGCTTGGTCTTTTCAGGAAAAATTGATATTTTTAAGCCGACAGTTCGCAAAAACTTTAAAGCAGGTTTTGCGAGAGACTCGAGTTAGCTGTGCACAAAAAACAAGATGATACAGTAGAGACTTGAAATATCTACCGTAGTTAGCTAGTTACTAGTGTATTAAAATGGGCAGGTCTAATTTTAAATTTTTGGCTTACTGTAGGTATACTGTAACATTCTCAGATTTTTCGTTTCTCCTCGACTAGTTGCCCGATTGACTCCGGACCTTTTCACGGTTATAGAATGATTGATTTTAAGCAACTTTCATATTGACACCTTTTTGCTAGGACTTCTGGAAGTGTGCAAAAAATTTGCATATTTAGCAAAAAAATTTAAATTCTTGCTCTTCTAATTGCAAGCCCGTTGCTTCTCTTGGCGAAGCCTTTTTTTGTTAATTTTCTATGACACTAAATTGCGGACGTATGATAAAAAATGTATCCACGAAAAATTACTTTCTTCTGCCAAGATTTGCCAGTTTTCACGCAAAAAGTTCTCTTTGGGTTTTTGTCAAATTTCGCGTTCTCTCTCGTTGGTAAACATTGTTACCTCAGCTGCTGCAGAGTAAAATTTTTCAAGAATGTCCTATGCACAAAAATCCCCCTACCTCTTATTTCCAGCAGCTTCCAATTCAGGGATGTAAACAGGAGTCCATAAGGTTGTTGTGAAGCCTTGTCGATCGTTCTCTGACCATCATAAAATTTGCCTCTTCCTTCTTTCGGCAGTCTCCGTAGGTTGCGATAATATTTTGACATGTAGCGGTCATAAATGTCCATGATTTCAAAGCTTCGGAATGAATCCTTATTTGGAATGAGCGAAATTAATTTTGGAAGCTGTTGCAACTAAAGCTGTTGACCTTTTTTTATAAACAGACGTAAGGCGGAAGTGAAAGTCAACGAGTTTCTCGCGAGTTCTCAAGAGTTTTGCGCTTTGGTATGTAGCGTTGCAACGGAGATCAATGAGGAAAAGAATGGCAATCCCAAAAATGGAGGCACTCTCAGACCCATCAAGAGAGCGTTTGTAGGTAAATGAATATGATATCAGCTTGAAGCTAATGTAATACTAAGACATACGACGATGAATTTGTGGTACTGTAGTGCTGGTTTAGCACGTACTGGGACAGTAAAAGGTGCGCCAAAAAGTGGACAAACTTTTTTGGGCAATATCTGGCTCTAGGGTAAAATATAAGCGGAGACGTTTTGGCCCAATAAATGGCAACGTTCAAGCAATATATTCACGATAACAATAGGCGTACATCTTTACTGCAACTTTTTTTCTGGAAGTTTCAAGTTGGCCATGATCGCAATTTTCAAAAGTGTGTCCTTTGGAAAGTGAAGCATAAATATTTTTTGAGGCGTTACCAAAACTTTAAATAAAAGTCCTATGATTCTTTAGGACCAGTACTAGCACATATAGGAATAGTAATAATAGTTTTCCATTTCAAAAGTTCAAATCAAAAGTTGTTTCCCACCAAAATTTCCATTTAATTATGAGTCAAAATTATTTTTCATTATGATTTATCTTCTATTTTTGATCCAACCGGTCATGGAAGATTATACGACAACAAAAGCTCCTTTGAGTCCCGTTCAGGATGAGCCTAGTGCTTCTCATACCGCTATGGTCGGAGTTCTGGTATGTTATTTACGGCAAGAATGTCTTACTAATAGAGAATTTTGTTTTTGACTTAATCTTTATACGTAATTTTGCCACTTTTTTTTATCGTATATCGCCTCGAAACTTCAGAACGCTTTATGCTCTCTTCTGGCCTACCTTTGCCCGACCGGAAGCTGTGTTGTGAATGGGAAGGTCTACTTCAACATGTGTCATGTCTACAGTCTGATTGGCATCTTCATTGCTCTTGTGTTCCTTGGCGCCCTTGCACTGTTCGTTGTGATTATCAGAGATCAGGTACGTTATTAAAAACAGATAATTTCCTCATTTTGTTTAATGAGTAACTCAGAATAATCATCATTTTTCAGATGCTGCTCGAAATTATCCGCGATGTTCACGCGTAAGTCGGGGGAGATTATTGCTTTTTGGCTTGTTAAAGTGCTTTTTTCAAATTGAAAATTCATTTTCATTTTTTCAGGGTAGTTTTTAGCTCCAAGCGCCCTTCCAAGCAAGTCTTCGAACTGGAGCAAATCGAAAGTCCGTCTTTCGAGAACTTCCAACGCCCAAAATTTCAATCCACCAGAAGACGAAAAGTCATGCCCGGAGGCGATTTTGCTGCTTATGAATTTCTTTAAGAGTCCTTGGAGAGGTTGAGAAGTTGTGAATAAATGTAAATAATATACATGATATTTTACAGTGTCAAAATATGCCAATGACAGGCGCTGTTAGCAAGGGAAGTACTCCAAGTGCGACGTTCAGATTTTCTTTTAATTTTGCACACACTTCGGGCATAGACTAAATATCAATTCCTGAAAATTTTAGCTCATGCCTTGCAGGGAGAGCCGAGATCTTCAACGATCTTTGAAGCCAAGAGAGTACGCGAAACGTGGAGAGCGGTCAGAAAAAACCCCTTTTTGACCATATAAGAGTGAAGAAATAAGATCGCACCGGTTGTTTCGAATCAAAAACGTTAAAAACGCTTTCCTCACTTTTTGTTTGAAAAAATAGAATGGCAAAATTGAGGCCAACATGAGAAAAAAAGTTCGAGAAAGCAAATTTAGCGTCTTTTTCAAAGTCTGAAAATCGGTCTTATTTCTTCACTCTTATATCTCTGCCTGTTTCGTGCGGAAAAAATTGATTTTTGGTAAAAGTTCCTTATAGCCACAACTTATAACTTTGCGGAAACTGGTCGGAATTAGCCCAAATTTAGCGTGAAAGCTCAATTCATCGTTGTCAATGCCCGGACAGTGGATTTAGTTAGCGAGGTATCTTCTTTTTTACGTACCACCTTACCCTTCAAAAACGGCTGCAGCCTGTGATTTTACACTTTATACGATGAAATATGTCCGGAACTAAACTTATTGCCTCCGTATGGAACTAAATGAGTCGTCATAGCCTTCGTAGGCGCCCTTAAAACTATGGAGCTATTATAGTAATTCAGTTCCAGCTAGGTCGAAGCGTTTTTCCTAACTTTAGTGCCGAAGCTTGGGCGCAGTTCGCTGAGTACATTTGTTGTGGCCAAAATAAGGAACTTTTTCCTGATTTTTTGTGGAAACATTACCCTCAATGGTAGAAAAAAGTAGGTAACTTTTCATGCCAAAATTCGCAAAAAATTTCATGTTTTTGCCGATTTTTGAGCTAAAAATCTCGGGTGTTTTTGCAAAGCGCGAGCTAGGATTCTCGCATAAATTTTAGAAAAAATTATTCTATATTTGAGCCAAATGTCATCAAAATCTTAGTCTCGAACTTGCAGTAATTCCCATGTAAGAGCTGAACGTAACATTTTGAGCACTTTTTTCTGTTCATTTATCACATATTCGACAACTTCAACGGGTTTATTATTAAATAAAGAGTATCATTTTACAAGTCGCGAGAAATCATCACTTAAATTTCCAATTGAGATTACACTTTTCTAAAGAGATCTATAAACGAAAACTGTAACATTACAGCCATTATGAGCAAGAGGGAATAGTGGAAAAACGATGAGATTTTTATGAGTTCTGTTCGGGAGGATAGGAGCCTAGGCCGTTTCCATTCGCACTCGACATCCGGAACTTGGCGTACAGATCGTCGGCGGCGTCTCCGAAGCTGGGTATCTGCGAGCTAGAAGCTGCGAATATTAATTACAATCAGGGCTTTGGGTAGTAAAATAGAAAAAATCATGATTTTGAGAAAAAAATTGGGAATTTTTGGGGTATTTACTGTGACGAATTACCCAACATATCACGGTCAGATTTTCTTTAAATTTCTGATACAAAGTTTGTCTAGATCATAGATCAATTTCTGAAAATTTTAGCCCGCCAATTGTAGGGAGAGCCGAGATTTTCAACAATCATCATCGACTAGAGACTGCGCAAAATTCAGAGGGCGGTCAGAGAAAAAATTTTTTTTGCCGTTTCTTTGTCAGTTTTGAACTAAAAAATATGACTTTCTGTGTGTAAATTATCTTTTACAGTAAGAGCAGGCATGAAAATTGAGATTCCAAAAATTTGCATAAACACGACGACTTTGCCAAACTTCAAACCAAAAAATCTCGGCCGTTTCTGCACAACGCAAGCTATAAATCTTGCAAATGTTTATGCTTTGATAGCTCTCCGGATTTTGTGTACTCTCTCGTCGGCAAAGATTGTAGAATATCTCAACAACCCCTTCAAAATCCGACTTAAAATTATCCACAATTGATACATGGCCTAGGCAAAACTCGTGCACAAAATTTAAAGAAAATCTCAGCATCTCCCCTTGAACCCTCTTCCCTTCACCTCCAACTCACCCAGACATGACACTCCCAAAGTTTTGCGGCGTTGTCATCCCGTAGGGCATCGTGGTGTTGGGATAATTCATCTGCCTGGGCATCTGATACGGTTGATACCAACAGGATTCGATTCCAGTCCGGGTTGAGCCACCAGTACCAGTTGCCGACGGGTACATGGGACGCATCATTTGTCCGGCGGCCGATTGGGCGGCAGCGGCGGCTGCAGCAGCTGCGGCGTTGTTGTTGCCGGAGAAGTTGTTCAGGGCGAGTTTTTGGATCTGTTTCTCCTGTTTGCGGTATTTGGCGCGGCGATTTTGGAACCAGACCTGGAATTTTGGGAGAAATATTGTGATAGGTGAGTAAGAAAAGTTTCAAAAATATTATGGGCTGTTTTTGATGACATTTGACACAAATTTAAAGTCAAATTTACTGAAGAAATATTGACAATTCTTAACTCGCGCTTTGCAGAAATCACCAATATTTTAAAGTCTTTTTCCTTTTTTCTCTTTAATCCTTTTGCTGGCCATAGTTTCAACTTTTATTTACAAACTGTTCTTTTCCTTTCCCCTTCCTTTTCTCCCTACCGTAATCCAATTAAACCCCTCCCCGAGAACAAAATGATATGTTTTGGGGGCAAGTTTTAATTGCCCGAACAAATGCACTCATCTGGCTCTCTATTCTCGCGACTTTGGCCACTCAGCGGGAGGACAAGTAACTTCGCCACCCACAATTAGCGGATTAGGATTTGGCGCATTCGAAAATTAAACTGGATTAGGTTCCAGCGAAATGGAGGTGTCAATTACGCAAGGGCCGTGTTAAGGGGCTTTGATCGGGCAGCGAAATGGAAGGGTCAGGCGGGGTGTTTCAGAGAGAAATTTGGCTATTTAAAACCAATCGATCCCGTTGAAAATTTGCATGTTTTAACTATACAGTTCAATAATTATTTTCTGAAAATTTTAGATTTTTCGTTACAGTTTTAGTCGAGATATTCAACAATATTTTTTTCCGACAAAAACGAAAAATTATAAAAATCGGCCAGACAAAAAACGATTTTTTAACAATTTTGCTGACTAAAATTTCATACTGTAGATCTCCTACCAAAATCTACCTTCCAATCGCTTCATCAAAACACTTGCACTTGACTCTCACTGCCCTTCCTTCTTGCGCAATAAAACAAAAGAACAATAATAATGCGTCGAGTGGTAATTGAGAGGCGCATTAAAGAAGGGTCAATGAAAGAGGGCAGAGATGTAAAAGGATACCGAAATTGGCCTCATCCTGAGAGTTGATGACACATCTGAGGAAATGGGTATTGTTTTAGACTGGGAATAGCGAGAAGTCAGGGTTTGGGAGAGTTCAGAAAGATTGGTATTGAAGAAACGTTGAAATTACAATCAGTTGGATTAACAGGAGAATTATCCCAAGTGCGACGCTCAGACTTTGATGAAACTTGGCACAAATTCAGAATAATTTTTTCTAAAATATATGCGAGAATCCAAGCTCGTGCTTTGCAAAAACAACCGAGATTTCTAGCTCGAAAATAGTCAAAAATGTGAAAAATTTTTTTGCTGAATTTCGGCACGAAAAGTTTCCTACCTATTTCTACCGTAAAGTGTAATGTTTCCACAAAAAATCAAAATTTTCCGCATGAAACTGCCAAAGTTATGGCCAAAAAGTGTTTTTGTCTCTGACCGCTCTCCGCGTTTAGCATACTCTCTCGGCGTCAAAAATCTTTCAATATCTCGGTGGCGCTTGCATAGCGCGAGCTAAAACTTTCAGGAATCGATATTTAGTATATGCCCGACATGTGTGCAAAATTTAGAGAAAATCTGAGCGTCGCACTTGGGATACAATTCCTTTGTAAATTGCAACTTTTCAAACATAAACGTCAAGATTTTTTAATCAAAATTTGAATTTTTTTTGCGATTTTCGGGATGAAAATTTCAATATTAATTCGTAGTGAGGCAATATGAATTCTACAAGAAATAAATTTTTTCCATCAAAGGACTAAAAAGTTATAGAAAAAAAACTCTTTTTTGTCTGATCAACTCTCTCGTTTTGCGCGCTCTCTCGTAAAAAATGCCAGTGAATATTCCAGTCTCCTTACAAATTATCGCCTTATATTTTTCAGAACTTGATTTTTGGCTCATTCTAAATATTTACATATACAAAATTCGAAGTAAATTTCGTGACAAAATTGCCTCCAAAAGACCTCCCCTGCGATATTTCTTACAATTTCTTGGCGCATCTAATTAATATTCAATTTAGGCGCCAATGTTTTCAACAATGATCTGCACTTGTTTTCCGTGCCTCCTAATCCCGGGCTGCATTAGGATTCGGAAATGCCAACTGTCATGTTTTCGCACTTGGGTTTACCTCATTATGCGCCGCGACTTCTCCACTTAATTCCCGATTCAATTGGGCGTCGGATAATTAGGGGACAAAGGGGTGTAAAAAACGTCGAAATGTTGGGCCAGCGACAATTATACAAAATGGGAGAAAGTTGATCGTTTTGAGTGTTTTTTTTTGAGTTTTAAGCTGGCGAAAATGCCCTGAGGCAATGGTCGGTTTTTCCTGAAATTTTGCACATGCATTTTGTCTAGGATGAAGATAAATTACTGCAAATTTTAGGGTTTTCTTTACAATGAAGACGGAAATATTCATTGCCGATGAGAGAGTAGGCAAAATGTGGAGAGAGGCCAGAGAAAAGCCCTTTTTTGTGATATATACGCTCGGTTTTATGGCAAAAATGGAGCCAAACTTTTCCAAAACATACAAAAAATATCAAATTTTCTCAAAGCCTTAAGATAGCGTCTGCAAAGCGCGCTAGAACTCAATTCATGATTTTGATGACCCACCTGAATCCGGGCCTCGTTCAGCTTCGTTATCCTCGCCAACTCCTCGCGCGCGTAGATGTCCGGGTAGTGGGAGGTCTGGAAGGCCTTGTCCAGCTCGGCCAGCTGCTCCTGCGTGAAGGTGGTGCGGTGGCGGCGGCGCGCGGGCGCATTCTGATGACTCAACGCCGACGGGAACACTGAATTGGAGGAAGTTCGAGAGCTTGAACTACTTTCGGATTTAATTTTCTTAAACCCAGAATCGGATATACATTCTGGAAACAGGGAGACGCGTCTTAAAACCGGCTTCGCGAACGAACGAATTGCGTGAAAAGGGCTTACCGGAGAGGGCGTTGAGGCCGGCGTGCGTGCCTTCGACGATTGGCCGCAGGCTGAGCGCGGCCGTGTCCGCCAGCGACGGATACGCGTACGAGAAATCGCCTAACGAAGCGTGTTGGAATTGGAACTGAAAGATCGCATTTAAATTTCGATTTTAACGAACATTTGTCGCTTTAAGAAGCTCTGTATTACCTGTGCGGGCAAAGATTCGCTGACCACCGAATCCTGGAGAACGGCTTGAAGAACAGCGGCTTGACTCGTTGAAACGAGCTCATTCAAATTTTCGTTAATTCCATTTTGATCTTGAGACTCGGAGACATTCTCATTTAAGGTACCATCATCACCGGACATTTTGAAAAACTGAAAAAATTCATTTTTGACACAAAATCTTGAACTTTGCAAAAAATCTTTGTAAAATCGTTGAATTAAGAAATGCTGATTTCTACGACTTGTAGCTATTCAAAATCATTCAAATTCCGTTAAAATAGGTCCTGCTAAATTGGGTTTCTCCCCCCATTCCGCTTCATTGATTCCATTTATGAAACACGGTTATGGCCTGATTTCATTTACTCTCCCCCCGCTTTCGCCCGCGAATCACATCTGGCCAATTGAATCAGTTGGGCCATGATTTTATTCCATTCCTTATCTAATTTCTGGGTCGGCGCGGGCCGGCTTTTTAAGGGGCAGGAGAGGCGTTGGATGGAAGGCATTCTCATCGCCCCGAGCCCAACTTATTTCTTACTTGGGGATTCGCGCGATATCAGCGAATGGAGTGATGGGTATCTATTGTAATTGGGTATTATTAATAGGCTGATAAAAGGTAAAGGTGGGAAAATAGAAAAGCTTGCATAGGCGGTGTTTATGTTAAGGCTAACTGCTAAAAATTTATCGGTCGGAAAAAGTGGGATCAGTAAAAATTGGAGGTCGATAAAAGCTGAGGCTACAGCAATGTTGTCTGCCAATAAGGAGCCCGGGGTTAGGGCCATAATATTCTTAAAGAACCTTTATCTGAAAGGATTTTCAAAGCCTCAGCGATAGCGCCTTCTGTTTTCCTATAGAAAAAGTTGTTTAAATATGTTCTGGCATCTTTTTCAAGCCTGTATAGGATCAGAAGGCCCCAATAACCAACCAAAAATCCCTATTTTCAACCAGTAAGGTATCTTTCTATCATAAAACTACTTTTTAATACAATTTTTATCCCGGAAACCTCTTTTTTAACCCTTTTTCTCAACTAAATTCGACGTTTGCGTTTTCAAATCTTAATTATTTCTCGCTATGGCAGCCTTTTCCCGTTTATTGCTACAGTCAAGGTAAAATCTGAGTATCCCCGTTTTCTGCGTCATTATGTTGCCGGCCTGAAAGACCAGCAATCCGGACTGAACTATGATGTAAAGCAGACTTAAAAATGTCTAGTAACCCGCTTCATTTTCTTGATTTACTATAGTTTTGTTGTAAAAAAATTATTGATTTACTATAGTCGTAACATTCCGCCCTTTCCACATCAACTCCTAGTTCATGCTTGAAGCTATTGTACCCTAAATTACTCATACTTGTACTAAACACTGTGCTTTCAATCTCTCCTAAAATTTCCTGCTTCTCTTTGTCTTCTGGCCCGTTGTATCACTCCAACTCTCGAACTCATTACAATAACCGAATTTTCCTGCTAATCTCATCTCACTGCTCTCCACGGCCGAGGCTATTAATACGGACGCGCCAATTGAATATCCGCCTAATTAAATCAGAAAAGAGAAAAGAAGTTAATAAAGTTTCTCCTCCTCCTTCTCCCATCACTCGGTTATGATAATATGGTTTGGTAGAGAAAATCAAATATATGTACGGGGAGCGAGAAAACTTTGCCTGGGCTGAAAGTAGATTTCAGCTCCAACTAAGTTACTCCTCTAGCATCGGCCGACGGACGGCCCTTCCATTTCGGGGCCGCAGGGGAAATGCACGAGGGTCCTTGTTAAGCGGGGATTCGAGGAGGCAGGGAGGGGACGTGGGTGGCACAGGGTCTTTAAAAGGCACCGTAAGGTCTTTTCGAGTATAAAGTCCGTTTCCTTGCGCGTACTGTAGCCCGAGAATAGACGGAGGATTGCGTCGGTTAGTTAGATGCTGACGAGGTCAATTGTCTTGAAGAGATCAAAAATGAAGTGAAAATCGATGTATTCTGTTAGTAAGAGCCCAATTCTGTTGAAAAAGTTGTTACAGCCCTTTGATATTGCTTGACGTTTGCCGCATTGCCATTATGAGGTCTTCAGACAATCTAGCTAGGCTTGAGCAAGCAATGAAGATATGGAGATACCAAAAGAGTTATAGTCAAAAAAATGCCAAAGATATATCCTTTTGCAACAAACCCCATGTCTAAACCTCCTATAACTAATTTTATCCACTTCCCATTACTGTACAAACAACTTCACCCCCTCCAAAATACAGTAATTCCCATTTCCCCTTCTCTCTTCTACCAAAACCCCCACAGGTAACAGACAGCCTAAGGGCTTTCTTCTGCTAATTTGGCCATAAGGGAAACGGTAGAGCCCCTCTCTCCCAGGAATGGACACAAATTTGATTAGCCACTCCATATTTCTTGTGCCCTCCGAAAAAATTAGTCGCGGCAGAGAACAGAGAGGGCGACATGAAAGTTGGAGCCGGGCAGCTGCGCCTTAAGCGCTTTAACTTACAGGTGGTTTTTCAGCGCCGCCGGTTCGCGATGAAGAAATTGTAAGATCGGGAAATTGGCGAGGGCACTACTGTAAATTTTGAGGGAAATGGAAAGAAAATACTTGGTTGAGGTTGAAGATCCATGTGCCAAAAATCAGAGACTGAATTGGATCAACAGAAAAGTGAAAAATGGAATCGATTTTACACCGAAATTTGATGACTAAAAGTGTCAAAAAGACACCAAAAAATCGCTATAAAGACCAGAAGATCACAAAGAAAATTTGCTTTCTTTGGCACTAACTTCACAATAAATTTTGAGAAGCTATGGTCCCAAGGAATAGTTTAAACTGATTTTTCTTCAAAGCCAAAGACCTCTGTGTGCCTCAACGATACTTTTTGATACTAAAATCTGACATTTTTGATCATTTTTTAAGCTTTTCTTGTAGATTTAGCCGCCTTGGCACAGCATCAAAGCAACATTATTATCTGGCGTATTTTTACACAAGGATTTCCTTATAATTTTGGTGCTTCTACAAGGCTTACCTACCCATTACCACAGATCTTAGACGTCATCAATCCAATTTCAATAATACTAGTCATAGCCAAAATTGAACTAAATATATAATTTTCACAGCCAAATAATTGCTGTAAAAATTTCAACAAGGAACTCATTCTCTAATAAACATTTTCTAGTAGTCAGAAATAGTATTTTGGCCATTAGAACGACCACTTTCACCGCGCTCGCAGCGCGGGCTCTTCCCTCGAATTGCGGCATTCAAAATCTTGATTCGATTATTTGGGGGTGCTCAATTACCAAACCGCATTACAATAATTTACAATTATACAAATTAGATTGAAATCATGATTCTATTATCCTCTTCCTTTTCGGCCAAGGGATTCCACTCCGCGGAATAACTCAATCAACTCTCGGCCCTCGCAGATCCGCGCGCTCTCTGCGCCCCACCCCGGCCCCGCCGCAACTTGAATAACTCGACGAGAAAACAAAATAAACGCGGAGAAAACAAAATTACATTTACTTCGATTCAATGCCCCACGGTTCTGACGACGTCGGCCGATTCCATGGGCCATGCAGAATGGGGGCGGAGTCGGGGAATTAGGCCCCGATAACTCGGTTATCCCGCCGCGAGGATTTGGGGCGCCCCTCAGTTTGAGAGGCCTTCTTGGCCACACACCACCGTTTCCCCGCCGCGCGCTTCGGGCCACTTGCGGCCCTCTTCGCGCACGCTGATTGGCCGCTCAAGGCCATCCGTTTGTGGAACAAGGAGTTGCAGGTAAAGGCGGTCAATGGGAGCGAAAAGTTGAGCGGTTGAGGGGTTAATTCAATTTGTCTCAATACCTTAAAGCAGCTTTGGTTGTGATGGTAGTCTGTAGTTATAAGTTAGATATGACCATGGCAAGACTCATGGCAATGAAGAAATTACATGTTTGGAAAGAATTATGTTGTTATTTCGGACTAGCAGGCCTTGATGGCTCTTCTGTTCCGTTAAAACCCTTTTCTCTGATTGTGAGATTCTCTTTCCACCCTGTACTAAATTTTGGCTTATTTCAAGTGATCTTTTTGACTTTTTAGACTGGTATAAATCCGACACTGAATGAGGACCATCATAAAATCGAACGTCTTATTTTTAATGACCTAGGAAGCCGCCAGAGGCAATTTTCTTGAAATAGCATTATGAATCCTAAAAATATGGCGAATTTTTTGTTTTTTTTTCATATTCCTTCGTCGCTCAAGTATCCAAATTTTCATACTTTACAAAGCCTTTTCTCCCACCTTTCCACCATTCTAACACATTTATTCACAAACAAAGATATCTCTAATATCCTCACACTCTTTTCCAAGGCTATTCTAATCCCTTTTCTCAACGTCCTCTTCGTTTCACCGTGTTCCGACTGATTCTCCGGCGACTTTCCGGTCTCAATCTGCATTGGCTTTCATTCACCAACTCGTACTCGGGATAACAGAAGTAGGCGTCTTCGAATTCGAGGACTGGCGACGGCTTTCCCAGCAGTTTCATCGCATTCGTGTATTGGAAAATGCCGCCGCGCAGCCCGATTTGAATCACGCCGTAGACGGTTGAAGTGGCTTCAACTTTCGTGTTCTTGATGGGGTCGCTGAAATTCGAAGTGGTTTTGAGATTTTCTATTTGTTTTCAAACTTCTCTGTAGCCGTTTCCGACAGCCCCTAGTGGCTTTCTTTTTGCTCACCGGTTAGCAATGAAAGTGGCGTTGATTCGGTAGTGGTTGTTTTCCACAATCTCCCCGGTCACTTGCAACTTCCCGCAATCGTTTTGGGCTCTGAAATGTGAGGGTTAGCTTCAACGCAACATAAGAAAATTTTGAGAATTTTTTGGATGACATTTGAAAGAGAATTTTTCAAATTTTTGGTCTTAGATTCTGATGAACCTTGGTGTAAATCTCGATTATTTTTTTTTGACTTTTAACTCTGCCTTTGAAGAAAGAACCGAGATTTTCAGACCTAGGATGGGCAAAATTTAATGAATTTTTATGTGTGAAAAATTGTCGTTCCTTTTTTTTCATGTGGTAAACAAAAAGTTTTCGAAAAATCAATTCTTTTCGTGCTGGTTGAAACTATTTTGTCTCTAATCTCTCTCCCAATTTTGCGTAATCTTTCGCTCGCAATGAACGTTCAATATCTCAGCTGCACCTGCAACGATTACGCTAAAATTTTTTGGAACCTACGTATAGTCTATACATAGCAAGTAGGCAAAGGCTGAAGCAATAATTCTAATCGCCGAATTTTAAGCATCACACTTGTCGCTAAGATTGCAAGGGTTTCAAAAAGGCAGTACATTTTTGGCAAAATTTAACGGAGTTTCAGCCGAAACCAAGTTTTTCTGACTCTCTGTCTCTCCTGATTTTCAATAGTCTCTCGAAATGAAGGTTCAAATAAACTATTACTTCTTCTATGACAAGTCTAATACATACAGTAAAATCTCTGTGCAATAAATCGCAAGGGCCTCAAAAATTATTTGTTATAGAGGGGTTTCGTTGTATGAAGACCTAAACTTTGATCTAAAAATGACTCTAGAGACATTTTAAATTGTTTGTTATGTATAGGTTTCGTTGTACACAGGTTATAATAAAATTTGGCCTCAAAAAACCATAAAACTCACCCCACAACCTTGTCCAACTTTTCCGCCTCCCCGCAAACCTCCCAATGTTTGTTGACGAATTTTAATGAAGCCAGCACACTCTTGCGCAGAATCGTGGCCCAATTCGAATACTTGGAGAGTTGAGACAAGTCCGCGTTGGGGTAGTCGACACGGAATCGGACAACACGAACCGCTTGCTCCAATTCGGCGGAAACAACGATGGATAATATGCCAATCAATATTGCTGATTTGAGAAATGACGTCATTTCTGGGATAACTGAAAGATTGTAGGTATAAAAGAAGAAAGGGGAATCTCTTTTGAAAGCTATGGCAGTTATAAAAAACGGCAAAAAAACCAAAAAAAAAACAATGCAAAGTCATCAAGAAAATACCATGATATCAGAACACACATCAACAAAAAAATGAAAACACACATCTACAAAAAAATATTTTTTTCCGCGCAAGATCGGCAGAGATACAACCAAAAACAAGTTCTTTTCTTTGGACGGTCTTCACATTTTGCATACTCTCTCTTCGACACAGTTAAAGTACGTTGAATACCTTGGCTGTTCATTCGAAGCGTGCGCTAAAGTTTTTAGGACAATTTATGGCCTAGTTATGACAGATATGCTAAATTGAAAAGCAATATATTACATATTTTTCATTGTGAGGTACACTTTTTTCAACGTTCCATAACTTTTTTTGCCCTTTATCCAGCGATATTTTGATTGCATGGTGCTGTCAAACGACCCTCACAGAAAAGTCTACGTACTATATGTAGATAGAAAAGCGCAGTAAAAACAGCTATATACATGGCACAGACCCTATCAGAAACTAGGTATTATAAAGTCCCTTCCATTAATTTGCCAGCTACCTGCCTTGTAAATTCATCTCAAACAATCCTTTCCGATTACATAAACTCGCTGCATAAACGGATTCCCACTTTACCTTCGCCGCGTAACCCCCTCGAAAACGGTCGACGGAGTCCAGCGGTGACAAAAAACGAAAGTACCCAAAAGTTTGTTGCGCAACCCAGCCTTCCATTGTAAGCCAATTTACAAGCACCGACTTCCGTCGTCGCTGAAGATGGTCATTCAGTCGAAGAAAAAGAAGGGTCGCAAACACGACAAGGAGTTGAGGGAGAGCGAAAACCGGAAAGATGCGAATAACGGGAAATACAAGAAAGAATACAGAAGACTCTGCCTTCGTCGTCGCAAAGCCGCTTAATATCTGGATCCTCGGATTGCGGGGTGGAGGAAACGACGAAAGAAAAGACCGTTGTTTTCATCTCCAACAGGGTCATCAACTGTGATTTTGTGATCCCGTTTCGTATATATTTACAAATAGAAAAATGACGGAGAACGGGTCAGTAAATTGCGGAAAGATCAGGGCAAAAATCAGCAAAAAAATATGGCAGGAGGGGAACATCGGAAATTTTGTCATAAATATTAACAACTGTATATAAATACGACATTTCAACATAGAATAAAACTTTCCAATACGAAAAAGATACGGTCGAAAACGTGCTTTTGCCAAGACCGCCTTCGGCATTTCGCGCACTCTCTCGGTGGCAAAGATCGCTGAATTTCTCAGCTGCCCATGCGAGGTGTGAGCTAAAACTTTTAGGAAATGTTATCTGGACTAACAGGGGAAGTACCCCAAGTGCGACGCTCAGATTTTTATGAAACTTGGCACAAATTTAAAATATTTTTTTCTAAGATATATGCGAGAATCCTAGCTCGCGCTTTGCAGAAACAACCGAGATTTTTAGATCGAAAGAATTTTCCACACGAAACTGCCAAAGTTATGGCCAAAAAACGGGTTTCTCTCTGACCACTCTCCACGTTTACCGTGCTCTCTCGGCGGCAAAAATCGTTCGATATCTCGGCGGCGCCCGCAAAGCGCGAGCTAAAACTTTCAGGAATTGATATTTAGTCCATTCCCGACGTGTGTGCAAAATTTAAAGAAAATCTGAGCGTCGGTGGAGGTCTCCAGAAAAACGTGAAAGAGACTTCCCTCGTTATCCCAACGATAATGATAGTTTTATAAAGACAGCTCGAGATCTCCAATTTTTTAAAAATTTTTGTTCACAGTCTCGACGAAGCGTATACATCCTGAAAAGCTTAGCTTACGATTTATAGAGCAAGCCAACATATTCAACAATCTTTTCCGACCAGAGAGTACGCTAAATGTGGAGAGCAGACAAAGGAAAAAAACGATTTTGGTCATAGCTTCTCGAATTTTGCGCGGAAATTTTTTTTTTGTAAAAGTAATATAGATGACAAGTCAAACACCAAATTTTAGCCCTTGAGCGCGCCAAAATTTCTTGATTCCTTGTCATCTTTTTTTTTTAAAATCTCGTTTTTTTCTGTAAAACGCAAGCTAAAGATCTGGCCTATGCGTTAAAAAATATTAATCAAAACCTTTGCCAAATGTCATCAAAATCTCCGAGATTCCCTGCAAAATCAAACTCAAATTTTTGCCTCCCCAACTACCATCTTATTCAAGCCCCACATCCCACAGTCATCAACCAGCTAGCTAGCTATGTATTCCAAAAACAATATGCGAATTCAGGAGTCTCGCTCGATCCGAAGCCGGTTGCTGCTCGAATGTCGGATGTCTATCCAAACAGAGATTGGTAGGAGAGCGGGGCTGAGAGAGAAACCTCGGGAGGCGGTTGCTCCAGATTTCTCTTTCGATCCGAACCTCTTCAAGAGGTTCATGTAACGCGTAATAATAATTATGTAGTCACGGCGACCCCGGCGCGGAACAAAGACGAGATCAGGAAGTCAATAAAACAAAATCGAAGAACATTTTGCACATCAAACAGAAAAAACAGAAAAATCCAATTTTTTTATAATAACCATCTACTACAATATAAAAAATTATGTTTTTTTGTTCCTCAAACGCCTAGAAATACCTCATCTGACCCAACTCCAAAAAAACAACATTCAAAAATCAGTTTATTCCATCTAAAACTTGGACCAATCATTCGGATAGATCAAGATCTGATGAGCGCCCTGCAACTTGTCGACGTTGGTGTATTCGGGGATGGCGGTGCGCACAGTGATAGCGGCATGCCTCTTGTAGATGTTGTAGTCGGCGCCGAACATTGAGCGGAGCGAATTGCAGTCGCCCTTCATCGAGAAAATGGCGTCCACCGCCAGGTTGATGGTGTCCATTCCCTTGTCGGGGACGAGTCCGGTGGCCTTCAACTCGTCCAGGAACACGTTGATCTGCTCATCGCGACAGTCCGGCTTCGATGAGTACTTGGCTTTGCAGTAGCGGACCTAAACGCGAAGAAATTGAAAAAAAAATCTGTATTACACTTGATCAAGCCAAGCAAAGCTCACCTCCAACGGAGACTCGCAGAACTGACTTCGAATGTAGACCTTGAACTCGCCGGGATTGGCGTCTTTGTGGACGTAGTTCTTCTTCCTAAACGCATAAATAAAAATGGGAAATGGACCTACTCGATTCTCCAATGCGGAGCCTTGGCTGCTCGGGGATTGGTGATGGCGGTGGACTTGCCTTGACCCGAGTTGGACGAGTCTTCTTTGAGCGAGCGAACCATAATCGAGAAGAAGGTTGATAATTGCCTCACTGATTACGGAGGAGACAACCGGTCAGAATGATCGGAAAAGTCAAATTCGTTTCATCTTCAACTTCAAAGGTATGCAAATTTTCGGTAATAAATTAGAAAGAAGTGGTCTAAAACAAGGTAAACCTTATATATTAGACCATCCATACGATGAACAGACCCAAAAACAGCTTAATTTACCAATAGAAACAACAAAATCTAGCCAAATTGACATTACTTTTAGAAAACAACCTAAAACAAGGTAAATTTGTTCTAAAATTAGTCCCAAAGACAGACAATAACATCTAGACTGCAAGACACATTATTCATTTAGGCAATACGACCAACATACAAAGATCTAACCAAGTTTTACACTCTCTACTTGCAAAAATTCCAACTCCAACTTCAATGCGTCCACTTCATTCAAAGCTTTGGCTCTATCATCAAACAAGGTCCGTTTCTTCTCCTGCGAATGATCGTACGACTCTCTGAGGCCAATCAGCTTCTCATTCAACACTGAACGTTGCTTTACCAGCGGCTCCAACGTGCCGCGGAAGCTGGACTCAATATCCGTCAGATTCTAAAAATAAAACAAAAATTTTATAACCTCTTACCTCCAAAGCATTCTTCTCAGTCCCAGAGGTCACCATTAAAGTCTCGAACAGCTCGCTTGTTACCGGCGCGCTCTTCTTCAGGTATTCTCCGGTCATTTTCACCTCCGGATTCTCCTTCTCCATCATCTCATTGAACATGCTGTGCAAAAAGTGGTCTTTCTGAGCCCCTTGCCGCGCCTCATTTGACAATTGAGACAACAATTGATCCAGTAGTCCGGATCTACAAAACAAGACGTTTTATTGCGCCACACTAAAAATAATAACACATGAACTTGTTATATAACTTACGCCTCGGTCAGCTCTTCGTACTCAGCGGAAAAATGGATCTCCTCGTTCCGCAGTTTATTGTACTCACTCAACTGTCGCTGGATCTTCTCCTTGTAATAATGGACCAACCTTTCGGCGCGTTGTTCTTCCAAACCATGAGTTTCTGAAAAAACCAAGTATGAATAATATAAAAAATAGTAAAAACTGATGTTCTACTGCATAGACAACTGAAACTGAGCATTGTACACCTTGATCTTCATGGATCTATATGACTCAAAGAAGAAAGGATAAAACGAAATTTTTTCGCGAAAAAAAGAAAATTTAGGATTTTCCGAGCTGCGTCCGAGCTGTAAGCAAAAAGATACCGTAATCCTACCGCATTAGAAATTGGCGAGTGTAGATAAATTCCGTAAGTCCGAGTTTGCATTTTTTATTTGAATTTTCATACTTTTTTCAAATTTTACGACTATCTCCCACCTTGATTTAGATATCACTTATGTAACTTACCAGTTTCATTGCGAGAAGTCACACTATAATCAAAAGTCCCTGTTTCAACAGCCACTCTGTTTCTGACAGGGTCTTTCTTAACTTGTTTCATTGTCAACTACAGCCGATTTTTGAAATGAAAATGAAAAATTATATCAATTTCAGTTCAAAATTTACAATTTTTTATTTTTTATGTACTTTATATTACAAACACGAGTTCTAGCTATACGAGGAAGTTGTTGTCGTGGTGCTTGCTGTCCGATATTCATCGGAGTAGGCGCTGGTGGTGTATTGGTAAACTAATGGCGGCGGAGAGGGCATAGTCGGCTGTTCCGCTTTGTAGGTGGTCCGTTGTAGATCACTCTGTACTGGCGGTAGAAGATTCTCAGTTGGCTTTGGTGTCGGGTACCGCGATGAATCTGAATTGGGATTCAATTTGACGCTAAATAAGCCATATATTTTTTCCCGTTAGCAGAAATGTATATGCATACTAACAAGGTAAGTACCCCAAGTGCGACGCTCAGATTTTCTTGAAATTTTGCACACACGTCGGGCATAGACTAAGTGTCAATTCCTGAAAGTTTTAGCTCGCGCTTTGCAAGCGCCGCCGAGATATTGAACGCCAAGAGAGTACACTAAACGCGAAGAGCGGTCAGAGAGAGAGAGAAACACTTTTTGGCCATAAATTTGCTAGTTTCGTGCGGAAAAAAATGATTTTTTATGGAACTATTACGGTAGAAATAGGTACGAAACTTTTCGTGCCGAAATTTGGCAAAAGCCTCAAATTTTTGCCGACTTTCAATCTAAAAACCTCGTTTGTTTCTGCAAAGCGCGAGCTAGGATTCGAGATTTTTTCTATTAGGTTGGGACGAAAGTTTTCCCCTTTTTCTTGTTTTTTTCCAAACAAATTTATTTTGACAGTTGTAACGGGAAACCAAACATAACATCCACCGTCGGTATCCACTACGTATTGCCAACGTTCCGACAAGGATTCAATTGGCGAGCTTAAAAACTGGGGTATTTATAATAAAAAATGTCAGAAAGACCTGTTTTGAGATCCCCCAAACAATCGAACCGCACATCTCCCAAACGGTAGCTTAGCGATCTGATCAAATGGTAATCAGAAGGTGCCAAGGCTGGGGTGTAGTGTGGGTAGGGCAGCAAAGTCCATGCATTCTCCCTGAATTTTTTGCGCGCGATTTTTGCAATGTGGTAGCAGGCGTTGTCGTGAAGGAGGAACATTTGTTCAAATTTTCTCTAGCATTTTCGGCGACGCGGTCCAACTGGCAATAATAATGTTATCTAGTGACAGTTTTACCATCAGGGAGCCATTCCTAATAAATACCTCCCATACAAGTCCACCAATCGCAGAACATGACCTTTTTTGGGTGAATTTTGGTTTTGGGGTTGGTTCACCGTGATGGTCGGCTTCAAGCTACTGAAGCTTGCGGGTATGGTTTATATACATCACCCATTTTTGGTGTAATGATATTGGTCAGCCAATTCAGCGTGCGGCGGTACGACAAAAATTAGGAGCAACAGTACAGCCGTGACTCCGAAAGTTCGTGCGGAACAAATTAACCACACTTCCACACTTTTCCCAACCGATGTAGTCCATAATGGTAGTATGGGAGAACCCAAAGAGCTCTCCAAGTTCACGTAATGGCAATTTGGGATAGCTCACGATTAAGCCTTTTAGGGCGTCATCATCTATCTCAGATGGCCGCCAGAACTTGGTCGTCTAACTCCTTTTTTCAACCTCTGGAACCAATACTTGGCCACACCATAAAAGAGGACGTCCTTGCCTATAACATCCTAGACTTCGGTTATATCTTCCATGGGTTTTGGTATTCTGCGATAGTTTTAAAATTTGACGCATCGAAACAGCAACTTTGGGACGGAAATTTTTCCACGTTTGGAGAGCGCTATGGAGACAAGTTACATATCAGTCTATATGCTATCAAGTCACCCTTACATAGTCACATGATAGAACTTTCCAGGAAGTTCCACGACTTCCATAACTTTTCCCGAAAATTAAGGGGAAAACTTTCGTCCCAACCTAATATATTTTAGAAAAAATTATTCTAAATTTGTGCCAAGTTTCGTCAAAATCTGAGCGTCGCCACTTCGGGTACTTCCTCTGTAAATATATATCCCTTGGTGTACCCCATCAAAAATCTTTTCAATCCTACCTCTCTCACGACTATCCAACATGCTTGGCGGCTTATGAAATGGCTCTTCCGACTGATGTGGGGTCACGTACTTGCTGTCTGGACGGTGTTCCTTGACTTCTCTGCTCTCTGCTCCTCTCTCTTTCTCCTCGGAGCTACTGAATCCTCTAACATATCCCATCTTTCTTTCCGTCGGCTGAGGAATTCCAGGAGGTCTTGGTTCTCGAGTTGGAGGTCGTTCCACTCGTTCTCTGTAGCTATCGGGAAGTTGCGAGCGATCGCTTAGGCTGAGGGATGGCTGAGGAGGAGGTTTGTATTCGGACCTGTCAGGCTTGGGGGGTCTGGGTTCGGATGGCCTAGGTTCTGCTGGTCTGGGCTCTGGACGTCTGGATTCTGATGACTTTGGCTCGGTTGGCCTTGTTTCTGCCGGCCTCGAATCAATTGGTTTGGATTCTTCTGGCCTTCGCACGTAACTGGGCTTTGAATCTGGGCCCTCCTTATTCTCTGCTGAGCTTTGTCGCTCTTCTGATTTTGGGACCACCCTTGCCGCTTCAGGTCGAGCATACTTTGACTTTGCCTCTGCAGACTCTTTATACTCCCTTGATTTTGGCCGCTGTTCTCTGGAGCTCACTTTGGCTTCAACATAACGCTCCTTGGCTTCTCTCGAGTTTTCTTTGGCCTCGTTATATCTTCCTTTTACTTCTCTAGAGTCCTCTCTGCTGTTGGGCCTTCTTTGAGCATACCCTGACTTTCCCTTGAACTCGGTGGACTTGCCTTCGAACCTCGGCCTTTGAGGCCTCCTTTCAGCTGATTCCGCCGAGCTCGGCCTTGTTTTGTATTCCGCCGATCGTTCCTGACTGTTTGGCCTGTAATTTGGCCGTCTTGGCGATTCAACTCGTTGCTCATGGGATCCGGAATGCTCCAATTCTCTGGAATGCGGTCGTTCTCTCGACTTATGCTCCCAACTGCTCGGCCGACGTTTCTGCTCGAATCTTCCGGGGTTACGTTCAAAATTTTCTCCACTTCCTTCCCTCGAATGGCTTTCAAACTTCCGCGCTGGCGTCGCGTAATCCTGCCGGTCCTTTCCCGGGACAATCCATCCGTGTTTTTCGTTGACGGACTGACCATTGTTGTCGTGGGATGGGAAGAGTTTTGGATTGTTCCCAGTATAGCCAGAGCCATAATTTTGGGGATGATTTGGCCATTGGGGAGGCTGAAAGAGAAATTTTGTAGTTATACACAATTATCCCAGAATTTAAATTAATTCGATGAAGTTTTAGAATGCCAATCCTTCAATTCTCTTCATTTTTCATCATAATTCAAGTCTCTTACTTTGAGGGCTCTCATGCATTCGCCTAAGGGCAGTAAAACCTACTTTATGAAACAACTTCTCCGGGTATCCACTCATATGTCCAAAGTCATGCGGATCACTTCGACTGGCATCTCTGATCTCCCCGAACGGCCTCTCCCGACTTTTCCCGTCAAACTTGCTCCCGTATCGAGGGAAGTCCTCCTTATTCGACCTGGGGAATCCATCATGCAGCCATTCCGGCAACTGTGATTTGGCCCAACATTCAAAAAACAAAAACGAAAACTCTAGTAATAGTAACCTCATAACGAGTAAAACGGGCAACAATACGAAGGGATTTTTTGTCGATGCCCGCTTTTATATTCACAAAACGAGTTTCGCGGGGATTTTATGAGAAATTTCATTATGCGATTCTTACTTCATGTATTGGGTAATTAATGACACAACACGACGAGTGCGTTGACAGCCGTACGAAGACTGGGTAACGTTGAGAACGAAGTGTCTGTGGGGGAAAGTAAAATCTGTCAAAAATTTTTAGAACGGATTCAAATAAGGCAAAAACATTGTCATAAAAATTTTTGATAGTGCGACGCTCGTTTTGGTCACATATTAAAATAACATCTAGGCCTCTAGTGCTTCCTATTTTCACGCTTAGTAGGCGTACACATCTAATTTTCCAAAGTATATTCCCATTTTAACATCAGCAAGCAAAAATTTTAAATGTTTTTTAATGTCTACTACAATATTGGGGTAGTGCGGGTAGTAGGTAAATGTTTTGCAGCCACGTCATATACGATTTAAAAGAGCGATCTCTGAGCTTCAAAACCGTATGTTCAGAATATCTCGTAATGCGTTTCTAAGCTCACAGGAATTCGCAAAAATCGACGACCCAAAAATACACAAGACTTATGGGACATCCTAATAAATTTCAATAAATTTCAAGATTCTCCACTAATCACATTGCTATTTTTATAGCCTACAGACGTTATGATATCACCTTAAAAACATGTACGTCATTCCAATGAAGCATTTTAGGTCATAGCCAACGTTATCAGCACACCTGAAGCGGCTTAACGGTTGAGCCGAAGAAGGAGTGACAAATTTGGAAGGACCCAAAAATATAGTTTCCCTCGATTGAATCTCAAATGTTTTCAGGATTGTGTTTATTTTGATCTAAAAATGGTGAATTTACTGCACCTTGTTTTATCATTACTTTGGCTACGTAGTTGCGAAGGATTTCGCTTTTCTTACAAACGAGGTATGTCCGAAATTATAGGGAAGTTGCGGCGCTCATATCTGCTTGAAATTTTCTCACAGTCTAGACCAATCATCAATTCTTAAAAATAGATGTGCAACGATCTTTTGGGATAGTTTGGAAAATGATGACAACGGTCAGAGAAAACAACTCTTTTTTTGCCATATTTTGGCCAATTCCGCTTTGAGCCGTTATAGAAATAATGTCCTTTACAGTAAAAAAGCCAGAATAAAAGTTCTCGTGCAAAAACTTGCAAAAAAGTTTCGTATTTTTACCATCTTCCGGTCTGAAAATTACGGTTATTTCTGGAACATGCGGTCTAGAAATCATGCAAATTTCTGAGGACTATGTTGCCTTAATTTTTGAAAATTGTCATCAAGATTTGAACCTTACACTTTTAGCTCTGTTCCTTTTAAAAATCACATATCTATTCTTTTTCACATCATCAACTTTTGTTCAAAATCACAGTGCCTTTTAGACTTCCCGGCGATCCCAATAACACTCACCGGTTACAATGGAAAAGCCGCCTCCTACGATCTGGAATTGGATCTCGAAAGTCCGTTAACTCTTGTCTTCGGCGAGGAGTGTCAAGAAGCCGGTTTCTGCACGCAACGCGCAGTAAAACCGTTCCATCCGACCATGAAGACTTATGAATACGACCTCTTCGACACTTCGCTGAATCGCGCGTCCCAATTCCGCGGGCGAATGCATCGAGAGAAAGTCGAGGTAATAGAGACCGAACTTCTTGTAGTCCATGATAAAGATCGTAAAAATTACAGGCCCAGTTAACAGGGGAAGTACTCAAAGTGAGAGGTTTAGATTTTGATGAAACTTGGCATTAGTTTGGAGTATTTTTTTTGTGAGATACAATGCAAGATTTCTCGGCAGAAACTGCCGAGATCTTTAGCTCAAAATTTTGCCAAAATAAGACACTTTTTGGTAAGCTTCGACAGTAAAAAGTTTCATACATATTTCTACTGTAGAGAGTAATATTTCCACAAAAAATCAGTTTTTTCCATACGAAGCTGACAAAGATATGGCCAAAAATTGTTTTTATCCCGCTATGTTACCACTGACCCCTTCTTCAAAAAATATGGCCGTCTATCTCTAGGCATCTTTTCGGTAAATGATTACCATTCATTTCAGATCGGAGCCATCTCCAAAAACCTTAGTATTGGCGTCGCCCTGTCCCTTCAAAACATGAACAACCCGGCCGAACTTAATGCCGATGGCAGTCTTGGTCTGGGTTTCCTAAACCGTCGAGTCGCGATAATCGATCATTTATTTGAACATGCTGGAAAACCGGAGGAAAGGAAAAGTCTGATCATCAAACAGAGCAGATATTCACCAGTCTGGAGTACCGTAAGCAACAATTTGATTTTTTTTTAAAAAAAATAAAAAAAAATTTTGTTCAGAAAGAAAAAGAGCATTTTTACCCCGAACAAGAAGGTCAAATATTTCTTGCCGCAGGCGAGAATGTTGCTGGATGCGATGACTTTGATTGGTTCGACACCATGAGCAACAATGGGACTCCTTCTTGGTATCTTAATGGAAGGTATGTTATAATATTCTCACTCGGCTACCTTGTTTTTTGATAGAGAAAAATTTTACAAGATTTCTACATCTACATATAGGGGTGGTGCGATTTAAAATTTTTCGTCTTGACTGGCAAAAACCCCCGATTTCTTGGCTGTAGGGCCTCCAGCCAAGAATTTGGTATTCTTGGCTGAAATTCAGGCAGAAATTTTTGCCCAAAATTTGGTCAAGAAATCCCTTTTTTTGACTAAATTTTAGTCGATTTTTTTTTGGCTGGACCAAAAAATTTTGGCTGAAATTCAGCCAGAAATCTCAGAGTTCTTGGCTGAACTTTCAGCCAAGCCTTTTTTGGCTCAGCCAAACAAATTTGGCTGAAATTCAGCCCGAATTTGTTTGTCTGAATCTCAGCCAGGCTTTTTTGGCTGCGCAAAAATATTTTGACTCAAATTCAGCCAGAAATCTTCGATTTCTTGGCTGGATTTTGGATAAAACTTCTGAACTTCAAACAAAACAAGATGCCCTAAAAATGAGATTCGTATGTATTCCGGAAAAAATTACAACTGTCGTTAGTGTGGCTTCATACCCGTTCATCCAAATGTTGATGCGCCGGTTGTCAGTTGTAGACAGCAAGCTGGACTATTTTTCTTGCGGTCGGGTCGTTGGATTTTGAAGGGACGGGTCCAATCAGAAGTTGTTTGCAGCGCACATCTCAGAAGGGAGCTGTATTACATCAGGTTCGTAGATTACGTGCTGTAATTTAGGCATAAACAATGTTTCCCGGCGACAGGTAAGCTATTTTCACTTCTCTTTGCCCTTTTTTAGGTAAAATTCGACAGAAAATAAAAGGCTCGAGAGAAATCGACTGAGTACCTCTAGTTTACGATCTAAAAAATAGCTAACATAAAGATGTTCCAACTTTTGCCCGTTTTTTCTCTTGTCCCTAGCGAAAAAAGACAAAAACCATCATTTTTGCCCTTGGATAACATACTTTTACCTAAAAGAAAAGGAAAGCATAATCAACTTACAAATTGAACGCGGGTAACGTGGACAGGTCGGCCAAAAAATGACTGGTCGAATAACAACAGGTTCAAAACATTTCCTGTCAAAAACGTAGAAATCTCACGAAACGCGAGAACTCGAAACATGCAAAAAAACGAAAACTTCTGGCCGAAAATGGGAATTTTTTCGCGCTGGGATCAAACACAATCAGGAACGAAAATGCACGATGTCGTGCTCCTTTCTTGTTTTTATTGTTTGGACACTTGAATTTCCACGCGTTTTCAGCTAATTTTTTTAGTTTTTTTTTTTATTTCTCTGTGTTTTAGATGTTTCCTGCCAAATAACTCGGGTATCGGCAGGTAAAGCTCAAAAATACCTTTGGAGACCTGTGGAACAACAAAATGGAACTTGCCTTGTCCCGTTCACCATTGGAACTCCAGTTTCTCACCCAGAAAGGTCACGTCCAAGAAGAAAACAAATTGTGAGTACTATTTATTTGATTTTTGAGGTTTTAGCTAAACTGCCCGTTCGAGGAGACGAGTTTCGTGCTGCATGAGCTTTCTGGTCAATTCCTGATGTCAAAAGGGAGCGTATTAGGTAACTTTGACGTTTCAAAATGTTTTACTTGCCATGTGCAATATAACTTTTGGTCGAAAAAACTTCTTCAAGTCCACATTTCCGTTGAAAACAACAAGGAATCAAGCCCCAAGTACATACACGTATAGTTTCCTCACGATTTTTGGCAAATGGCGCTTGACTATACCTTGTTTTAGGCTGTTTCGGCTAAAACAAGATCTATATCGTTTGCCAAGCTTTTAGGCTATAATCAATTTTTTATTATTATGTGATAAATCTTGATCTTTCGCTATTTTATTAAATACCATCAAATTTACTGCGCTTTTCAACGCCAATAAATACAAAAAAAAAATTCCCAGTCAAATAGTTTGACTGAATGTCAGTCAGTTTTTTTTTTGGCTGAGCCAAGAAATTTTGGCTGAACTACAGCCAAGAAGTCTTCGATTTCTTGGCTGAGTTGCCAGCCAATTTCTTTTTGACTGAACAGAAACATTTTGTCTACTGTTCAGACAGAAATCTTTGATTTCTTGTCTGAGTTTCAGGCAAGAATTTGCTGTCTGAAATTCAGCCAACAATTTTTGATTTCTTGGCTGGTTTACAGTCAAAAATAAGCAAGCAGTCAAGAAACGAAATATTGCTGTCTGAATTTCAGTCAAGAATATCAAATTCTTGGCTGGAGGCCCTACAGCCAAGAAATCGGGGGTTTTTGCCAGTCAAGACGAAAAATTTTAAATCGCACCACCCCTATATTTCAGTATCACCGTTCTAAATCGCACCGAATACACGAAAATTTCGTTCATTCCAAGTGCATTTACCAAGTCCAAGAAGCTGAAAAGTATGATTCCCATGGACATCGAAGAGGACACCGCTTTCCCGAACATTACCATACGAATTGAGGACTCCGAATACGTCATGACACATGAGGATTATGTCACACTTCCGATGAAAGGCGCCGAGCATTTGCATCGCTCGGTGTTTGCGGATTCCCGAAACGAAAACATCACTCTGTTCGGGATGGATATGTTGCATCGTTATTGTGTTGCGCTGTCCAAAGCGTCTGATGGGACGTATCAACTTGGGTTGGCAGTGAATAACGGAAGCGGGACGCTTAGTTGCGGCATTTTCACGGGTTTTCTTGCATTTATTTTGGTTTACTGTAATTACAGTGGTTTTGGATCGTAGTAAAAATATTTTTAGAACCTTGTATCTATTTTTTATTTCTTATCCACAAAAATCATCCAGGATAAACTGGATTTTGACTGGAATCAAAGCCGAGAGCGAAACTTGGCACTGAGCCAAGTCCCCCTCTCGGTATATTTTTTACTCGCTTTTTAAAAAGTAGTTATTTTACACATTCCTGATATCGTGGCCGATATCAGGAATGTAAACAGTACAACAACCGGCCTCATCTCGTAGCTGAGTGTTGAAATTCGTTTCGGTCGGGAGAATGGGCAGTCTCTTGTCGACAAAGGTTGCTTTATTTCAGACAAGAGACACATGTTTTGTATGTCGAATGAGTCGTATCAAAGGCAGAATGTTTTTACAAAAAAAAGTAATTAAAAAACTGAATAGTCCTTTTCTTTTTGAATACTGTAAGCAATGTATTGGACTAAAATTTAATTAGTTTTCGATTGCTTCTCAAAAGCTATCTGTCCATCTTGAATTTACAATAAAATTATGAAACCCTGTGATACCCTACAGCCAAAGTTCACACATATAAATTCTTCGGAATTCAAGAAATTTCAACACTTAGTTGCGACATGTGGCCGGTCTCTGTACTCTTCACATTCCTCATATCTGCCATGGCCGTTCCTGTTCCAGCGGTCGACAGTCAGGTTTCCCACAACGCTGTCGCGAAAAACGTTGTTCGACTCGGCAATTTCTGCTCTGGAGTGCTGCTTTCAGAGCGCATAGTGCTGACGGCCGCTCATTGTTTTGACCCCCCGCGAAAGTACGAGTACGTGATTGGACGACATTACAAAGAGTCGAACTTTTTCGGCATGTGAGCGTCGTACGCGAGAAGCTTCTACTCTTAGTATAAAAAGTGCATTTTCAGAGGGACCAACTTTACGGTGACTCTTGGAGACCACCAAAGCGGTGTTGCGAAGATCCACATAAACTCCAGATACTTATTTGTTGTAAGTTATGTATACCATTCCCTAAGATTTTTTATGAAATTCGGCACATACTTTTATTAATTTTTTCTTAAAAAAATACGAGACGCCTAGCTCGCGCTTTGAAGCAACGACCGAGTACGGGAAAATTTTAAAGAAAATCTGAAGCAGTGCCGTTGCAAAAAGTAACAATTTGGACTATAGATTTGTTTACTAAACTTAACTCACTGGTCGGCTGGGACTAAAGTATGCAGCATACCATAAGGTTTTATGTATTAAACTCCATTTTGAGTGCCTACGACCAGAAGGGAGAAATCCTGGATTTCTGGGGGTTGGTATGCTGTTGAAAGAATGACAATTTCAAAGTTAAGTTGAACTCTTAAACTAAACCCTAGAAATATGTAAAAACTTTAGCCCGGCTGTCATGACACTGCGATTGTTCTTCTGAAAGATCCCATACACGTGCCACAACAGATACCTCTTGCCTGTGGGATCGAATGGGCTTCCAATTGCAGTGGGTACGGCTACGGTGTCACAGAGAGTAAGCGGTTTAGCATATGTAGGTTAGAAACATGCACTTTCTTTGCAGATTCAAACGATAAAATGGTCCGTGAAGTGCGCGAGGTTGGTTTCAAAGACGTGGTAGGAGGGGCAGATGCTTGTTACAACACAACATACGTGTCCAAGGCAAAACTTTGCAACGTAAGAACATTGCAGGCCTTGGTTTCCTTGGTCAATAGTGTAAATATTAGAAAATATTTATTATAAGTAAATATTAGGTCGTCCAGAAAGTTCGTTCGTTTTTTTAATTGCTTTGTTTTACAAGGATTGTTTGTTCTTTGGCAAATGGAATATGTATATTTATTTGATACAGCATTTTCTCCTCTACAAGACTGGCTGTATCAAATAAATATATACCTTTTGCCAAACAACAAACAATCCTCGTAAAGCAAAGCAATGAAATAAACGAACGAACTTTCTGGACAACCTAATACCACTAAATTCCAGGGAGATTCCGGAGGTCCGGCCATCTGCAATGTCGGCGGACAATCCGCGATTATTGGAGTTGATACAACCTTGTTAAATTCCTTTGGACCGGGCAAAGTGCCAAAATGCAGAAGCGCAACAGGGTTTGAGATGACCAATTCCCTTGGAGTGCTTGAGTTGATCGATCAGATCCCCGATGATGACCAAAAGTACATTTTGAACAACATTAAGACTGTCGGCTGCTATAATTAGCATAAATTAACCAATCTGTTGAAGCTACATAATAAGGGTTACAATAAAATATGCAATAATGGCGGTGAATAACGGAAGCGGGACGTTTAGTTGCGGCATTTTCACGGGTTTTCTTGCCTTTATTTTATTATAATATACTGTAACTACAGTGGTCTTGGATCATAATAAAAATATTTTTAGAACCCTTGTGTCTATTTTTTATTTCTTATCCACAAGAATCATCCAGAACGAACTGGATTTTGAATGAAATCAAAGTTAAGAGCGAAACTTGACCCGAGACAAGTCTTCCTCTCGGTAAATTTTTTACTCGCTTTTCAAAAAGTCGTTATTTTACACATATCCTACAAACTTTCAGATCAAACAATTCCAAAAAAAAATTTTTTTCCCCAATTTTCAGTTAAAATTTTCAATTTCCACAATTTACTCGCTAAAACAACATCCAGCGACAATCAAATAACAGGGATCAAAACTCTTGAGCTTCGTTTTTTACCGACTGATTTTACGGTCGATAAAACGATTCGTTGTTTTTCAGCAGCTCACATCTGAATTTGCCCTTCTCATCGAGGCCGCGGATAATGTTGAAGCCGTAATCTCGGACAATCGAGCTCCAAAATTCAAATTCCTTGGCATAAAGTCCGGTCTTCTTGGTGACCGTAGTGCTGATTTTGGAGTAAACATCCGGATTTTCTTTAGTAATTTTCTCAAAATTCGGGGATTTGTCGGATTTCGGAGAGCTGAAATTAAAATTTATAATTTTTTTTTTTTTTTTTTTTTTTGAGATTTTGAAAAAACTTTTCCACAACACCCACCCAGTTTTGATAAAATTGACAAAGCATCCAATCAAATTATCGCTGAATTTTCGATCGCCCTCCGTGAAAATATGCGGACCCCATGGTCCCACACCGAACAAATATTCAATCTCATAAGAGTGGGTGGTCTGTTTCACTTCCACCCGCTGCAATTTGTCTCCAACAAACTCGTTGTAGACATTTTTCAGCTGATAAATTGGCCAGTTCTTCTCCAATTTTTCACGCATCTCCAGCAATTGGGGGATTGCGATGAGAAGGTCTCCGAAGATCTGAAAAAATTGCTTATGTGAATTTTTTTTTGAAAAATTTTTTGATGACAAAAAAATCATTACAATTTTTTTAGGTTTGTCATGCCAATTTAACAAAATATCAAACAAAATAAGATTTTTAAAAAAATTTTCAATTTTTTTTCGAAACTTGGCAAAATTTAGAACAAAATTTTTCAAAAAAATCAAGATTTTTAGGTCGATGGCAAAAAAATTTTTTTTTTGATTTTCAATTTGAAATTTTTTACCGAGATTGAAATTTTCAAAATCTGAGTGCCATGTTCCAACAAAAAAATAATTTTTTTTCCTTGCAGAATTCGCAAATATCTCGCTTACAAGGCCCTTTTCTCTAACTGCTCTCCTAATTTTCCGTGGTCTCCCGCAAAAACTTTATTTTTTCCTCCAGATCTTGGATAATTTTGTGTAAAACATTTATTTTTTGTCAAAAACTTTACTCAGAACTACTAATCGACCAAAAATTTTTAAATTGAAACTCAAAAAAATCATCAAATTTTTCACTCCAAAAATCTAGATTGTTTCTGCAAAACGCAAGGAAAATCTCAAATGCGTCTTAGAAATCTCTACTCTAAATTTTCCCACGGTTTCAGGATCTCAGGCCCTTAAAAAACCAATCTTTCTTACTCTCCCATGCAGTTCCAACAACAAATTTTTGCTAATCTCGACTCCCGGCTTCAACGACAAATAGAAATTGAGGACTTTCTCTCTGATCTCATTCGATTTCTCTTTGAAAATCTCTTCCGGGACAATAATCGAAGCAATGAATCGTTTCAGATCCTCCAAACTGTAATTCTTTCGTTCCGCCGGCGATAAAGCATGTGGATGGAGGATTTTAGGGAAGTATAGGGCTGAAAATTGGTTTCATTCTGACGAATATTAAATCTTACTGAACAGCAACCCCTCATTTTCCACCAGACTGGCCAAGGTTGGTTTGGGAGGGGATTCCTTGATAAGGTCGGGGATATCGGATGGAATAAATTGTCTGTCTTGTCGGATCAAGAAGTCCAAATAAGCAGGTTCCCCTTGATAGAGCCAGACTCTCTGAAAAAATACTCTAGTTCTTTCGTAAAGTTGCTGAACTGATTTTCGCGGCATGCACTGTGAGAAAAAAATGTTAACTTTGCACTGTGCAATTTTTTGCTTTTTGCACCGTGCAGTAGGCCTTTTCGGGCTGCCGTTTCTCAACTGAATCGTCGCAAATTTTGGGCGCGCGAAAAGAAATTGCACGGTGCAAAATTATTTCGAAAAGTGTCGCGTCGCGCAAAATGCACTGTGCGCAGCAAAAACAGGCCAAAACAAGTCTACGCACTTTACATTAGAAAACGCGTAATAGGAGCTGGACTTGATTTTTTTTGTTTTGACAAAAACGGTCTAAATGTGGCCGAAAAATTTTTTAAAACATGAAAATTAAAAATTTTCTTTTTTTTTGCCAGACTTTCGTGGTTTTATTTTTATGACCTACCGATTGATCCGCGGCATTTTGAATGTCCCTCGCCGACAATTTTTTCAGCTCTTCTTTGACTTTCTTCGGGTCATCGGGGGATATTCCAAGAGTCTTGAGTACACGCAAAGTCGCTCGTTTTGCGTTGGGGTTAAAATTCTGGAAAAACAGACTTACAGGGGAAGTACTCCAAGTGCGACGCTCAGATTTTCTTTAAATTTTGCACACACGTCGGGTATGGACTAGATATCAATTCCTGAAAGTTTTAGCTCGCGCTTTGCGGGCGCCGCCGAGAGAGCACGCAAAACGTGGAGAGCGGTCAGAGAGAAAAGCGCTTTTTGGACATAACTTTGGCAGTTTCCTGCGGAAAAAATAGGTTTTTTGTAGAAACATTATCCTTTTCGGTTGAAATAGGCATGAAACAGAAACTTTTCGTGCCGAAATTCGGCAAAAAGTCCTAAATTTTAGCCGACTTTTGATCTAAAAATCTCGGTTGTTTCTGCAAAGCACGAGCTAGGATTCTGGCATATATCTTAGAAAAAAATATTCTAATATTTGTGCCAAGTTTCATCAAAATCTGAGCGTCGCACTTGGAGTACTTCCCCTGTTAGATTACAAATAACGTTAAGGACAAGCGACATGCACCGTACAAAAACAAAGAATAAAACATTGTACCGTGCAATAGGGCTTTTGGGCTGTCGCTCGCACCCTGCCGTTTTTTCGCACTTAGCAAACAGCAAAGGTCGGTCAGTCTGCCGCACCGTGCGAAAAGCAAAAGTTTCGCTTTGCACTTGCAATTTTTTGCTTTTTTCACCGTGCAATAGGGCTTTTGGGCTGTCGCTCGCACCCACTTTTTTGCATAGTGCAAAAGCAAAAAATTACTCCAGCGACTTTACGGACCGACTCGTAAATTGGGCACAAGTTGCGAATAAAAAATGGCGATAATTCTTTTAAAAAACGAGCTAAAAATCTCAGATCTGTTATAAAAAAATACTGGTTATAATTTCTAATATACAAGTTTCCTTCTTTTTCGACCAAAACAGATCCATAAAGCTTCGAAAATTTTTTTATACATCCTTTAGTGACCCCAAAAACTTTTATTTCCCGCTTACCAAGTCCATAAACGAACTTCCACTCAGTTGAATGCATTGTTGGAACAAATCCCGGCTCACCGGGCTCACCGACATCACCGACACCAACCCAGCGCCACTGCTGATTCCACACAACGTTATTCTATTCACATCCACCGAGAATCCATCCGCGTTTTGGCGGACAAACCGCAGGGCTTCGGTCGCATCCCAGAGGCCCAGATTCCCCGGGTAATCGGGATGATCCAGCGAGGAGAAGCCGAGGAAACTGACGCGGTACTGAGGCGTTATGAGGACGATTCCTTTAGCCGCAAAATGCTCCGCCGCATACTTGGTGAAACTTTCGGCACCGGAGCCGGTCTGAAGAGAGCCGCCGTGAAGCCAGACGAAGGCTGGGAAGGGACCCTAAAAATATTATTAGTATTAAATTTTTTTCATAGAAAATTTTGGCACAAAAGTTACGGATCTCCGTCTTTTGCTGGAAATTTTGGTCTTTTATATGCTACAGTAACTCAGGATAGTAATAGATAAAATTTGAAAGGTGGACATGAGTAGGACCCCTGCAAGTCTTCGCCAAGTCTCCGCCGAGCCTTCGCCGATCATCCAACGGGTTTGCCAGGCCTCGTAGGCACTTACAACAACCTTTTTTCAAGAATCCACCTGCCATACGCCCCGTATCTATTATATTAATTTTGCGTTGACCCAAAAAGTCGTAGCGCCATTGATTTTTTATACCAACTCACCTCTCCTTTCGGTCGATAGCAATTTAAATACAAACTGTCTTCGCTGTTGTCCTTGTGCAAAGAAAAGGCTGGCTGAATACAGGTCTTCTTAAAGGCCAAGGCTTCAAAAACTTGGTTACTTTTCTCCAATGGGACTGGCTTCTAAAAAATCTTACAATAAAAAACTTATCTTTAAAAAAAATTACAGTACCCCAGAAATAAAGAAACTCAAAAAATCACAGCAAACAAAAGAAATCAAAAAATTCCAGTACTCATAAAGGCATTCGCCTCAAACTCACTTCCAATCTGAGCTCTCCGACCGGAGGTTTGGCAAATGGAACCCCATAAAAGGCATCGACTTCCTCACCATTACCCAATCTCACCGATTCCCCGCGAAATTGTCCGGCATGAGTCTTCAAGATCGGCGGAGACATGGTCCTGAACGTGAGCTGAATTAGTGACCTCAACATTTTTTGATGTAGGAATAAAAGACAGCTCAGAGAAAAATGGAAGAGCAAAGAGCCATAATTAACATTTTTATGGCCATTTGGCCAAAAATACCAACAAAAATCATTGTTTTCGAACATTTCTGGGAGAAAAAAAGTGAAACGCACTTACTTATGCAGTTGTAAATTTCCCAAAAAAATCAGTTTTCCATGCAGCAGCAAGAAAGTTTGGCAAAAATAGTTAGTTGTTTGTCAGTCTGTCTGGTGGCTGCCGCTGGAAAATGAGAGCCAAAACTTTTATGAACCGGTTTGTGAGTAGTTAGATTTTTGAAAAAAAATAAAAAAGAGAAAATAATTTTCTACCGTAACTTACCTAAATTGAAGACGACAATTCATTACGAAAGCATTCAACAATTTTTTACTTGCATAGTGCCAGGCTTGGCCACATGAAAAAAGTCAAATTCGTTGGTAATCCACAAGTGTATCAAAAAGATTTACCATTTTTTTGTCCAAGGTGGTGGTAGCCCCGGTCCGATCGAACTTTTAAACAAAGCAATATCAGTCTGTCGGGAAAAAAACGGCGCGCCGCGGCGGATCGTCGCGCCTCGGAGTCGCCCATCATCGCTTTGCGACTGCAAGCCGCGGCTGGGGATTTGGTGCGCGGTAGCGGCGAGACATTTTGCTGCGACGATCCACCGTTATTTTTCCGACAGACTGATATCCGTTCACAAGCCATTTGGGAAAAAAATCTCCTATTATTACACACTCTCTCGTCTCGGAAATTAATTTTTAGTGTTATACATTCTCTCTAATTCAAATTTAAACATGAAAAACATTAATAAACAACCCTTCCTTATAAGAATATAACTTTATTTAGCCATAGAAATAAGAGAACTTGACAATGAACACAGGAATACACGGAGTCGAACATAGATCAGCAAAACAGATTTGAAATCCAACAATCACCGTACTTGTCAGATTTCCATACATCTTAATAAAATTAACGGACTTGGATAATCCCGGCTTCCCGCAATTTCATAATTTTCTGGAAGACTTCGGGATTTTTCAAATGCTCTTGTGCTGCTCCTGGATCCGTGGACATTTGCTCGAGAATCATACGCATCGAGGGGTCTTTCAGGATCTCCTGGACTTCGGGATCTTGCAAAGCCGCGGCTCTGGCCTTTTCAGGGGTTTCATCGCTGTTCCGGGCACAGTTAATCAATCCCTCGCGAGCCTCGGCATTGCTCGGATCAATCGTTAGAGCGACTTCGTAGGTCTTTTGAGCACGACTGAATTCACGGAGACCAACAAGGGCAGCGGCTTTTCGGAGATATCCTTTGACTAAAACAATATTGTTCAATTAATGTCTAAAGCAGTATAGCAAACAGATACAACCACTTTGTCGAAAACTTACTGAATTTAGGATCAAGTTTTAGACAGTGCTCACAATCCTCGACGGCTCGGTGGAACTCCATCAACTTTGAGTAACAGGCGGCGCGATTTGAGTAGAGCACCGGGTTATCCGGATTTCTCTTGATAGCCTCATTGTAGTGCTTGATGGCAGTTGGATAGTCACCTTAAAAGATGGTATTCATCATTATCAAGCTTCAGCAATCGGGCTTCCTCGATCTAAACTCCGAAAAAAACAAAAAATTATCTTACCCTTCTTGAAAGCTTCATTTCCCTTGGTCTTTTCTTCCTCACTGATCTCTGGGTTAATATATCCTTTCCTTTCTTCCTCTTTGATTTCCGCCTCGAGGTTCTTGTGCTTCTTGACCAAGTCGGGATCTCTGTGCTCGGACAAGGACTTTCCGAAATAGAAGAGAGCTTGTTTTTTGTCGCCGAGCTTGAGATACGCGTTTCCAATTCGAGCAAAGCCTTTAGCAATAGTTGCAAAGTCGGCACGATGTTCTCTACCAACTTCTACGCCCTTCTCACAGGTCTTGATGCATTCTTCAAACTTCCCTTCCTCGAAATAGGCAGCTAAAATAATATCAAAATAGATCTTGACAAAATTTAATTTCTCGGTGAAAAACATTACAAAACGTGAGAAAAGCAATCTTTCATCTAATACGACTAGTTCCAGGTACAAATAAGTGCCTTGCGATTATCATAAAGCCACAAAGGCAAACCGAGTCTAATAAACCTAAAACAAGGTAAAAACTCACCGGCTTTGTTGTTGTAAAACGTCATATTCTCCGGGTCGAGCTCGATAGCCTTGTCATAGTGCTGGTGAGCTCCGGCGAAATCCTTCTTCTTATAACATTCATTTCCAAGATTCTTCTCAGCAACTGCCTAAAGTAAGAACATAAATTTAACAAGAGAAAACTTACTTGTTCGGACATTGTTTTATTTATGCAAGTGAAACTTGGTTGAAAACTCAGAAACGTCTACTTTTATTCCAGAGAAATATTTTTATTCTGGAATTTTCGAGCCTTTTCTTCATTTCATCTTGACGCGAAGACAAGTTTTTGGCATTCTGTTCAATTGTGAAATTTGAAGAAATTTTTGAAAATCAAAGATGCGTACACGGCTTGCCCAAATGGAGAAAAAAACGTACAAAGAAAAATTAGCGACATTTTATACGATGAAACGTTTCTAATCTTATTTTATGTCAGAATGAAAGCAGAACTGTCGATATTGACAGGAATTGTTACAAAACCCATTTTACATCAACGCACACATATTATTACCACAAAAATATTATTCTTGGACATTAAATTTAATGAATTTTGGTAAACATGGATACTACATGTATGTTGCATTCACATCGTGGTTCAAAACGGACTTTGTTTGATAATAATAATGCACAAACTCGAATCGTCAATACCGGCCATTCTGACCTACATGCGCGCGAATACTATACTTGCCACGCGCCTAGGGGCAAATGTCATGAGTTCGCCTGCGAAATCTCACAAAATCTGTCAAGAAGCTTTAAAATTGTAACGATTGTATGCATCATTATTAGTACCCTGCGTAATCTTCTATTTCAAAGCAAACCGAGCCTTGTCCCCCGTCAATTGATTTCGGTTTTGATGTGTACGTCAACTGCATCAATTATCGGGGGTACCTCAATATTTTTGAGTGATGCAATGTTGAAATTTGTCTTCAATTGACAAGGATTGTTAAAAAATGCTATAGACACTCAGCAATACCTTACACTAAAGCTTATTTTAATGAAATTGCGAAATTTGTAATTTCCAGATATTGAACTTGCCTAGTGGAAAACGTTGAAAATGGTCAAAACGTGGGTTTAAATAGCTGAAATTTGGACTATGTGGGCTTTAGACTTCTTCTGTGGGATTGTAGATAGGTTTTTCTAAATCCAGACATCAGCGCTTTTTTGGCAAGTTGCGTTACACCTACATATAGTCATCAATATTCATTATATACAATTTTGAACTAAAACGAGGCCAGTAAGCATCCACGAGCATGCTTTGATGTTTTTAGAACTGGGAAATTGGTAATCGATCTTCTTCCCCACATAGGGGATCGCTAAACGATGAAATTCAAATGTACAAAATTTCACCTTAAATCAATGGGAAACGTTGAAGTGTATCAAAAAATTCTCTCAACATTCTGAAAATTTGAGTATATGCCCTTTAGTAGGTTTGTTGTGGAACTATAAGGAAACATTTGGAAAATTGTATCATTTGCGTGTGTTGTGGCATATTGTACTTGGGGACTTATTTGTCACCTTTTTACAAATTTTGGCAGAACTTTTTTTTCGTCATTTTTTAAGCTGTAAAAAGTATAGGGCCTAATAGTAGAACGTCAAGGGTGTCAATTAATACAAAGAAGCTATGAAACGAATAATTTTTCACAGAGGAATAGGCGTTCAAAGGTGTGCAACTCAGCTATTTGCAGTGGGAAACGTTCAAGTGTATCAAAAAATGACCCGATTAAGATGAAACTTTTTCTGGAGCATCTTCTATAACGTTTGCATGGAACTGATAGAAAGAATCTCGTTTATCAAATGTGTTCGATCGTACACATGTTGTACACACTCTTCCAGGTCTGGAAGAGTGTTTTGAACAAAGAATTGCAAAAATAACACCTAGAGAAGACTGAATTTTAACAAAAAAATTAATTTTGTTCAAATGTCAAGTGCAATATAATTTTTTGACCTCCAAGAGGTCGTTTTACCTGGATCAAGTTGTAAAATTCTCAGTGTGATGTCTGCCTTATCATCTGAATTACTTTTTTCTAATCTAATCTCCTTGCCGACGATGATGTTTATTTGCCTTTGAGCTCGTCGGGCGAACAGCAATAGAAAACTTTGATTTTTGCTAAAATAAAGTGAAACCCCTGTTCCCTTTAAAATTTGATGTGCGGGAGCACTGATGGGTTGCCTCCATCACAATTTAGCAAAATTTGTAAGGCGTTTTGTTCGAAATTAATATCTTATCAGCAAGGGCCACCTCAAATTTTAAAGGCCTTTGCCCGAGGGCCTTTTTTGAAATTTAAACCTTATGACAAGTGTTAAGGCGTTTTTAACGATATCATTTATTGAAACTCAAATTTGATTATGATCTGGCGGTTTTTTGAGAATATTTGGACATTTTTATGCGTTATATGGAGCAAAATGTTTGGGAAAGCAGACAAGAAGGAGTTTGCGAACTCGATTACTCAAAAAGAAAGAGAAGTTGACAAATTTCATCCTAATGTAAGTCCCGAGAGAAGTGAATATAACATCAATAGGCAAAAAAATATCTTTGTTTTGCCAAGGCGGAGCAGTTCAAATTGGCAAGTGCAGTGCTCGAAGGACGATAAAAATTTGCGCTTAGGCCGTTTATAAACTGCTAAAAATTTTAGGTCCCACTTTCCAGGGACATGGAATATCTCCAATGATCTTTGCTGACGAGAGAGTACGCGAAATTCGGGGAGCGCACAGAGAAAAAAAACAAAATGTTAGTGTCCTATCCTTGACGATCGGTTTTTGCCAACTTTAAAGCTAAGAATCTTGGCCGTTTAGATACAGTGGTGGACCTGATCCAGTGGCAAAAAAACGTACCATTTTACATCCGGAAACTATCAAAAATGTAGCAAAATATTATACCTCAATCTCCAACTAAGAAACTCCGTTTTGAAGGGCGCGCTCTTTCCCTCACAAAAAGAGAGGTCGAACTTTTTGAAATCGGAGTTTTTCACTTGGAGAAGGAGGTATTTTGCTATATTTTTGATATTTTCCGGGTGCAAAATGATTGCTTTTTTGCCACTGAATCAGGTCCGCAAACTATACTAGCGCTTTCCTTTGCAGGACCGGCTTTGTCAGCAAAAGTTTAGCGGAATCATAAAAGTGGCTGAATGCATTAGCTCTAAATTAAAGTTGTGTAAAAAATTACACCAATCCTTCCAGGACTTACTGATTCTTCATGGTTCTTTCAACGATAACTCTATTTTAATTTCCTTGTCAATTCAAGAGAACTATGTTCAAGTCAACTTGATACTACAACTAAATGGAGCTTTTTACAAGCACACCGGGATCTCAGCCTATAATCCAGCAGCTTCATCTACCGAAATAACAATTGATGGATTCAGAATTGAGCTCAGAGAAGCCTTCAGAAGGCTGAGGATTACATTTCGAGGGTGTTTAGCGTAAGAGCGTCTGACTTATGAGGTTAGAAGTTTGAAATTAAAATTGCAGTCCTGAAGGCTCTAATGATCCGCATTTTGTTCATCTACAATCAAATTGGGCGCCAGTTAGCGATGGAATTTTCGTTTTCCATGATATGCCGAGTAAAGTGAAAGCTCAATTAATGGCGGAGAAAGTTTGGAGCAAAAAAGTGTGAGTGTAAAGTACAACACATTAGTATGGCTTCTTCCCATACTGATGTGTCTCCAGTAATAGGAAAATACTCTTTAAATGGAAAGATATGCCTTAAATCGTCTATAGAGACTCTATGACTCTCCTTTTGACCTTTTAACCATGATATTTTCATGCTTCAGTGAGATGAATCCAAGTTTTTATCAATTTGGCGCTCTTCGATTGCGTTGGAAAATTGACGATGACCCTTGGCATGAAGGCGATTTTAGAGGTTGTAGGATAAAGTTTTCGGATATTCATCATGATTACTATCTCGTGAAGAGCCTTACATCTTCTTTTACATTCGTAAGGTCGCTGTTTTTAATCAGAAGATGTTTTTTGTGTTGAAAATAATGGTCATTACGAGTTTAAAATCAAAATTTTCAGAATGGAGAGCGCTCTATGTTTTTTGAAATTCATACTAATGGCCTCAATGTTGGATACGGCAAAGTCTTAAATTCCGATCACACCGAAAAAGATATTTTTCTGAATCCACGAGAACTCGTTGGTACTGTGCCAGTACCTCTCAAATTTAATTCTGGAGTTAATTTGAATGCTGAAATTGGAAAATTGCGTGACATCAACGGGAATGGAATCAAAATTTCTTTTGAGAATAGCAAAAAGATTACATTTTCTCCGAGGAAAAAGTTAGGTAAGGTAAAATACGAGGTCTACAAATCCTTATTATGTATTTGATAATTCTAGAATATACAGCGTCTGCAGTTGAAAACAGTCTAAATGTCGTTTCATTCTTCAATTTTTGTTGTTTGGACTCTAATGTTTCTGGTGGAAAAGCTTCGAATTTGGCCAGGTTATGTGGGATACAAAAGGATTTCAAAGTGCCGAAAGGAGTGGCGGTTACTGTGGCTGCTTATGGAAGTCATCTCAACAAAAATGAGGAGATATTGGAGTTTGTAAATGGCTTGACAAGTAGTAGTTTGAAGACTGAAGAAATTGAGGAAAGGTAAGAAAAAATGAAAAACAGCACATAAAAAGTCATAAAATTTCAGGGCAAACCAGTTATTTTTGTCATCAAAAATATCTGTTGATACTAATGCTTCGCTAAAATCATCTTTGGAACATGTATTCGGCAACAATCTCTCTGATCTCAAATTTGCTGTAAGATCGTCAGCAGTTGGAGAAGATGGCGCAGAAATGTCGTCGGCCGGCCAATTGGAATCCTATCTCAATTTAAGAATAGATGAAGTCAGCGAAGCCGTGTTAAAATGTTGGGCATCTAATTTTAGGAAAGAGGTTGTGGCTTATCGACGGTAAGGGGTTTGTATTTAGTGCTGTTTTTTTCTATAGTTGAATATCTCGGCCTCGCTTGTAAAGATATAGCAAATTTTTCTCGAATTGATATGCGATTTATGCACACACATGTGCCAAATATCAAGAAAATCCGTCCGGTTGATTCTACCGCAAAATTTTAAGCCCTTCCTTTCCAAGACTTGCCCACATCTTTCATGACAGCTTTTTCTACCAAAATTCACATCTTTTTCAGAGAGCATGGCCTTGACTTGAACGTCCCAGTCGCTGTCGTTGTCCAAGAAATGGTGACTGATGGAATTTCCGGCGTTATGTTTACCGTTGATCCCGTTTCACTGAATCCGAATCAAATTGTGATCAATATGATTGAAGGCTGTGGAGAGGACTTAGTTAGTGGCCATAAAACACCGACGCAGATCATGGTTAGCAAATCAACTGGGGAAATTGTGAAGCAGGTACCGTAAATCATAAATCCGGATTTATTTTTTCAATTCACCACATTTCAGATTGGCCATGTAATTTTGACATCAGAAATCATCAAAAACTTGGCAGATGTCAGTAAATACTTGGAAACTCATTTCGATCACCCTCAAGACATTGAATTTGTAATCAAAAATGCAGTGATTTACATTGTCCAAAGCCGAAATATCACAAATCTTCATAATGAGTCCGATTGGGAGTTGCTTCATGAATTTGACAGTGCTCTTTTGACTGACTACCAAATTGGATGTACCGCCAACGTAGGGGAAGTTATGACTTTGCCTTTTTCACCGATGGATTCGTCAACAATCATGTTCTCGTATACTTATTCGATCACAGTAAGTAATCACAACACGTAAGCGCAAGAAAGTAATTTAGAGTATGATCCACCATTTGAACGCGATTGGTCGGACAGTTCCAAAACACCCGCATAGTGTCATGTTTCTGTATAAAAACAAGGTCTTTCTGGATGCAATGGAAGTAAGATAATAACACAATTTTTCCCCACAAAAAAAATTAAGAGAGTGTAATATTGATTATAGTGCTATCTTCGTGACTGGGACAACGTCTCCAAGGACGCAGTATCTCAAATTAATCTGGCTGGGACACGGTTTATAACGGAGGAAATGGTTGAGCTGGCAAAAACACGGTTCCCGGAGAAACCGGGGATCGAGAGGCTCAAGGCGTTGTATCGTATTTATAAGGTAATGCGTGATAAGACAAGCGTTTTTTACTTACAGTACAGCTAACCATACTTATCCATACGTATTATAAAAGCTTATATGGAAGTTTTAGATGATCACCAAGGAATCCAAAGAATTTCTGGAGAAAATGAGGGATACATTGGCTGAAATGAAGTTATCCGTTCATGGGAACGACCTCAGCTCTTGGGTGGAAACGTTGAACGTGCTAGCAGACTATCTGACAAAGGTACTATTTTTTGAGCATCTACTATACAGTATTTATTTCAGCTCATTCATTTTCACGCCTTCGAATCCGCATTTTCGAATGTGGCCTATGTTTTTGTGGCTATGTTACTCAGAGGGACCTCTGGTAAGTAATTTGTAAAAATGATGGATCAATTCCTTTTAATCTTGACATCTCCAGAGTTTACAATGACTCTGTAGAACAATTTTGCATACAACAAAACCTGTCTATAACAAACAATTTCAAAGGTCACAAGAGCCAATTTTATGCGAGACTTTTCTACAGGGTCTTACAAAAAACGGGAAAGAAAGTCCCTTTTTTTTGTAAGACCCTGTAGAAAAGTTAGAGGCTATAACTTTCGGCGGAGGAGGAGCAGGGACCTTGTTTTTGGAACATGTATTTCTAAGCGACATTAATTTTTGCCTATGAAACAACAAGATTTTAAAATCCAAACTGAAGCCGCTGCGACGTTTTGAAGTAGGACCATTGTTACATAGAAAAACCAGTGTGGATGACGTCAAAATTAAAAAAAGAAACTAAAATTACAGATGGAGATCTTCCTTCCGAAATTCTCACTGCAATTGCTTCGGTCTACAGCAACAACCCTTATTCGATAATCAGTGGTGACATTCCGATCTCACTAAAGGTAGCCGCAAATCGGTCAATTATATATTAAAAATCATTGTTTCAGAGCATCGCATTAACTTTGAAGAGTGATAACGACGCTCTGAAAATTCTAAATAGCGATTTGTCAGGCGATGAAAAGGTGGAAAAACTAAAGAAACTGAAGTCAGAGGTTGGAATAAAAGTTAGAGAATTCTTTCAAAAACACGGGCATCGTGGGCATCATGAACTGCTACTGTTAGGAGTGACCTATAACGAGGATGCGGATGGCTTTATTCAGACATTAAAAGTAGGAAATAAAGGTTCTGTAATACGATTTAGACATTACTTTCTGATCCAAAACTCTCTCCTAGTCCAACAAAGCCCATTATCACTGATATCGGTGAACTAATCGACTCTTTGAACTTAAATATTACTGGTATTCGTCGCCAATTCCTCAAATATCTGATTCCAAATGCATTCCGAGCAGTTTTTTATCGAGAAGAAGCGAAGAATTGGCTGGTTGATGGGACAAATGTTCTTCGAATGGCACTAAAAAATGTTGGGAAATTGCTGGTCAAACAAGTAAGAATTTGAAAAAAAAATTAAAATTGAATTCAATAAAATTGTTACAGTAAAAAATTGTTTAGAGATACATTCCCGACGAAAAATTGGTATTCTTTTTGACACTAACGGAGATTCGACAACTAGTAGATGGAAAAGATCACATATCCAGCACGTTAAGTTTACGAGCAAGGAGAAGATTACGGGTCTATAATCAGCTGGATGACTTGCAGTATCCACTGGTCTTTATCGGAACTCCAAACCCGAAGGTGAGAAATTTTTTTATTATCTACAGTGACGGACCTGATCCACTGGCAAAAAACGTACCAATTTGCATCCGGGAAGTATCAAAAAATGTGGCAAAATGCCTCCCTTTCCAAGTGAAGAAGCTCCGTTTTGAAGGGCGCGCCCTTTCCCTCACAAATCTCTTTTTTGAAGTCGGAGTTTTTGCACTTGGAGAGGGAGGTATTTTGCTACATTTTTGATACTTCCCGGATGCAAACTAGCACGGTTTTGCCACTGGATCAGGTCCGCCACTGTGGTGGGTCGCATATTTTTAGGAGACCTTCATTCCCCACGACAATCAACAACTTGTTCTCCGAGGAACCGCGGTTTGCGAAGGCAAGGTGAAAGGACGGGCGAGAGTGGCCAAGACCTTCGCTGAAGCCCAGAACATTTCCTCCGATGAGATTTTAATCACCGTCTGCACTGATATCGCATGGTCCCCATTGTTTCCAGTAATCAAGGGGCTTGTTACAGAGATTGGAGGGCTTTTGTCTCATGGTAAGGGTAAAATACGAAATATAGATTTGTCATATTATAGGTGCCGTAGTCGCTCGAGAATACGGGCTGCCCTGTGTTATCGCCGTTGAAGGAGCTACGGACAACTTTAAAACTGGTAAGTAATCTTTTGGGCCGACAAGGGAATTTCTCGAATTCTCACAGTGAAGCGCCCAGATGTTTTGTAAACTCATACATTATACCATTATATCTCGACCACCTACCAAAGTCTATGAATTTAGCTCATGGTTTGCAAAGGCGGTCTTTGAAATGAAAGTTTTTGGCGACGAGAAAATATGACCAAAGTAGGGCGGTTAGAAAAAAAATATGTCGTGTTTTGATTTTTTGACCGTCTATATTTGTCATTTTCACATGAAAATTTGACCTTTTGTCGATGTATTAGTCGTCTCGATTACCAAGGTTTCAAGACGAAATAATCAATTTTTTAATTTCAAAGTTCAAATTTTTTTTCTATTATAGAAGGAGATTTGTCCGTATTTTACAAACTTTTAACACACTCAAAATGGGGCCTTGCCACAAAAGGAAAATCTGAGGCTCACATTTCGAGCATCTCCCTTTTTAATCTACCTATATACCATCAATTTTTATCCCCAATTTTCAGGCGATCACGTGCTGCTTGACGCCTTCGCCGGCACCATCCAACGGGTTCCGGGCACTTCAAACGGATTGACCCCGCCGTAAAGAATGGCTCGGTTACTTTATGAGGCCGCACTAATTGCGCTTTCTCCTCATTATTTGCCGATTTTGTGTCCGTCTTGCGTAATGAGGAATAAATGAGGGGAACAGGGGATGTTTCCAACCGTTTCGCGGAAATTTCCCAGTATTTAAAGGTATCACTTTGTCGTTGTTTCTAATAAAAGAGTAAGAGTTCTGAGGTAAAATTTGGTGGGTTCAAAAGTTTTCGGTTGGAATTTTAATGAAATTTGGCACAAATTAGGACAAGAAAATTACATAAATATGTCTTTTACCTTGCGCTTTGCAGAAAAAATCGAGATTTTTGGGTCGAGATTGCCCGAAATTTGGCTTTTTTGAGGTTTTTTGGCCTAAAAGTTGGCATTTCACTTGAAAATTTGTGACGTTTTGGCTAGAAAAAATCTTTGAAAATATTATACACATATCATCTTCAACTTTTTTAATCAGACTTTTAAAATTTTGCAATCCAAATTTTTCCAATTTCCCAGCCAAAATTAGAGGCAACTTGAGGCTCAAAAATTTCTTCAAGCCCCCTCTTTTTCAAGAGATCTTGGCCTAATTCCGCACTGTTTACAGTCATGGGCGCGGCGTGAAGAAGTTTTCGAACGAACGAGACCCTCGAAACCCGCTGTAAATGATCGTTTTCTGTTGCCTTTGGCTAATTATTCCATCACTTCATTATTTTCTTCCGTTTTTCTAATTATACAAGTGTTTTCGCTGCATGGTAAATTACGGTAGGACATTTTGGGATGACTCTGACATTCGTAAAAATTCCATAAAAACTTTTTTTTTCGAATTGTTTCTCGCAACCCCAGAATATTATTGTCATCCAGGGACAGTGCATAAATCATTTTCGAAGACGGATTTGTCCGGCCATTGCCCTTTGTGACCTTCATGCCGCGTTATAACGACAACTCAAGAGTTTCGAAAAGAAAATTTAGCCGAGATTGGCCATATGGGAGGGCATTTACTGCGTTTACTATGTTGCGTTAGATTTTTGCAAGTCCAGGGCTCGAATGTTGAGTTTTAAATTTTGATGAAATTTTGTGCACTTATTGTGACTAGGACACGCATAAATTTTTGAAAGTTTTAGGTCAAACTTTTTGGCAGGAGCCCAGATATTCGACGGTATTTTCCAACGAGAGAGTATGCGAATGATGAGGGCTGACAAAGAGAAAAGCGCTTTTTGCCTATGGTTCTGCCAATTTTAAAAAGAAGAACTTATTTTATTGTGAGCATGTATCTTTTGGCAGTAATGCAAAGCTTAGCATTGCCGAATTTTTCGCCAAATTTCGAGCAAAAGTCACCAAAAATTTGAATTTTGCAGCTTTTAGCATATTTTCTAGAACAAAGATAAACGTTTCCACAACAAATGAAATTTTGCTACGCGATATTGGCAAAGATATGGCCAGAAAGCGTTTTTCTGTCTGGCATGTCTCCTCTTCTTGCGAGCTCTTTCGCCGGAAAAAGAGGACTGAATATCTTGGCTTCCCAAACTGCGGGCTAAAACTCTCAGGGACTAGTATGCGGCCTAGGCTTGCATAAAACTCAAAAGAAATCTCAGCGAAGTTAATTTTTGCTTTCCAAACAACAACGTATTTTACATTTCTTATTATTTATAATATTTTTCATTCCAAACACGAATAAAGAGTGTTTGTGGGGCGAACACGGATCTTTGGCCTTTTGACGTCCGAAGGGCCAAAAGTTTCTTCGACATTAAACATGACCCAATAATAATAACTGGGACGTGAAAAATTTCTCTTTTTTATGACTTTTTATAGTCATGCATATTTTTAAAAATACCCTTGGGGGAACTTGTGGTGGCCAAAATTTTTGCGGAAGTTTTGTTAACAACTTTACTGGGGGTTTGGGCAGGAAGGCATACGATATTTGGTCAATAGTATATGTATATTATCCTAATGTATATTTCATTTTTAGCCCAAATAAAGCCGCATAAAATAATAATAGAGAATAATCTTTAGACCTGTCATTGCAAGAATTCTCCCAAGACGTTCCGAAGATGGAAATTCGATATTGTTTTAGAGGTACTTTAGCCGGTCATCTAAGCCCCCTCTCCCTTCGGCTTCCGATGGTCAGTGCGCGAATTTTGCAGAGAAATTGCGTCTTTATTTGGACTGGATAAACAATATGGCCAAATTGAAGAACAATTTGGCCATATAAGAGGGAAATCACGACCTATCTAGTGTGGGGTTTGAAAGGGAAAATTTTGTGAAATTTTTGATTTTTTTGTACAGGGTGGGTCATCTTTGTGGCCCGATTTGAATTGGCTATAACTTCTTTAGTTCTTGGCCAAATTTTAAAATTCTTTTTTTCCCTGGATCCTCAGACAACCCCATTTTGTTTGATACCAGCGCCAACGACTCACCCCCATCTAAAAAACCACAATAGTTTTTGAAAATTGTCACCAAAAGTTTTGCCAAATTTCATGTTGTTTAGCCCTTACATTTGACCTTTTTCAACAATCAAAATTGCTCTCCCTACAAGCGACAATCTTTGAATTTCCGTCTGTTTTGTCGCGTGTGTCTAAATATTTACACTTCCGTTTTCCCGCAGTACAAAGCCCATCTAAATACGCTCCATTTTGATTAAACAAAATTGCCGTTGGGGATTCGGGAACGACTATTAAAGTGAGGTTTTTTCGGAATCGTAACGTCTATGAAATAAGAAGGAGAAGATTGGAGCCAATTATCAGCCCAAAAAAACGCTTCGCAATCTGTTTTGGGCTGTTCGGAGGGGAACGTTTTACGGGGAGATTGTTATCTGAAGTGGGAATGGGGGATTTCTTAAAATACGGTAGTGATAGCTGAAAGGGGTGATAAAAGGCGGGAAGAAATGGAATCAACAGGGGAAAGACTAGGTTGGAAATTGGTGAAACTTGGTATAAACTGATCTTAGAGCTTTCCAAGGTATATTTGAGATCTTGCATTTTGCAGAAATTACTGCGATTTTTAGGTCGGTAATTACAAAAACGTGGGATTTTTTGGATAGTAAAAAAACTTTACGAGCTCTTCAAATTAATAAAGAATAAGTCTTCCGGTAAAATGCGAAAAGATATGGGCCAAACAACCTTTCATTCCCACCGTCCTCCTCGCTTTACCTACTCTCTCGTCAGTATAAATCGTTAAAATCTCGATGGCATCCGCAAAGCGGACCTAATATTGTTCCCAAAATTTTTGCTGATCAAAAAGGTTACTATGTAATTCGTCGAACATGATGAGTAATTCCATTTCCTCACCAGAGACCCTTTACTTTTTTAAAATGTCAAATCTTCGCTGGTTTATTTGATTTAGCAAGGGATTTCTTTGTTTCAACAAAAACAATGTTATCCTCGAAATAGCTATGGCGGAAGTAGGAAGAAATTTCCTTATAGGGGGCTATATCATCAAATTTTTATCTCTTGGATATTTTTCTCTGTCTGTCTCTCCTCATTTTCCATACTTTCTCACCCTCAAATCTCACTGAACGTCTGATCTACCGTCAAAAATTAATTTTCATATCCGAATCCCCAATTTTCCCGCACTTCCTTTCCCCCCGCCTTATTGCCATCAACAGGTCGGTGTAATTGCCGCTCAACGCCTCTCTTTACAGCCCTCACTTGCCGCCCAAGATGTCACTATTCAAAATTTTGTCCAACAATCATCCACGCCTCCCTCATTAACTCCATCCCTTTCTTCCTTTAATTACTCGCCGCCGGATTAACATGTTGTCCATACGGTTCGCGGGAATGGGAGAGAAAAGGACTGTTCGATCAAAAGGGGCCTTGTTTCTCCATGGGCAAGATGTCGTCTTAGTTTTGGGAGGGTGGGAAGCGATACATGTAGCTTCAGTATTAAAAAAAAGAACTAATAGTTGATGCTCTATACTGCGGGACTAAAGTTTGGAACAGGCTATATTTTCTTTTTCAATTATACTGTGCGGATAAGGTTCCTATGCGAATATCTGAGTGTCTTTGTACGGTTATACGACCATATCAAATATTTTAGAATGCTTACACACCGATAACATAGAGAACCCAACCCAAAAAATAATTTTTTTTCGCAAGTTTGACCGTCATTGTTGGCTCAATAAGAATTTTTTTCATTTTGAGTTCATCGATGAAAATCAGTATGTCGTTGAGATCCTGACTCCTCGCAGCATCTAAAAATACCAAAGCCTAGGAGTTTTTGACTATACTGCGAAATTTATGATCGCATTCCTAACCCTGTTCCAAACTTTTGTCCCGCCTATTTTTAAAAATTTTGTTTTTTGCTCATATGAGCTTTCTGATTTCTACGGCTATGCATCCATTATGGGGTTTTAATATATTCCGATTCTTATAGAAAAGAAATGAAACTCCGATCTCAAGCCGCAAAGAAAATATAGCCTGTTCCAAACTTTAGTCCCGCAGTATATGGAGCATAATTTTTTGATAGAAAAAAATATGTTTTATATCTCCAAATTTCAGGCGGAAAGAGCTGATTTACAGTATAGCGGACAACTTTTATTATACCAAACATTCGAAAAATGATGACCATTTTTTTACCATACTACCCCAAAAATACCAAAAATTTTGCCAACTTTTGACCTAAAAATCTTCATTTTCCTGTAAAGCGCGGCCTAGAAATTTATCGTATACGTCAGAAAATTGTGATCGAGATTGTTACTATCATAAAATGACATTTTTATTCTTCTAAATTTCTTGATTTTTTACTTTTTCAAAGGACAAAATTTTACTACCTAAATCAACTGTTCGCCATCCCCAATCTTTTTCCAAATTACTTTCAGCGGCTTGATTTCTTCCCCTCGAAATTATGAGCTGTCTCTTTTGTTTTACCAATCTTCTCGGATCCGACCGCAAAAAAGTGGGCGGAGCTTGTGAGATGCTTACAACGAATGCATGAATGCGTTCGTTTTGTACGCGTTTATGGGTTCGTGTTTATTTCTTATGCAGTTTTATGAGAGTTTGGTCGTTATAGCCTCAGGGAAACGGGATATTTAGTACGTTTTTTTCTGGAAGTTTTCTTTGAGAACTTTTTTTTATTAGTAATTTTTCTTGTGTGTGCATAGTAGGTTTATAGATATTGTAAGTTATGATCAGTATGGCGATTTTTTACTGTGAAAATCACAAAAATACAGCAATTTTGACATTGCTTGTTCTTAAAAATTCGGTGGCAAAATGTGGTAGGCTTGCATATCTTGTAAACATAATGCTCTAAATTAATTTTAAGCCCCTTAAAACCCTTATTTCTCCTCTACATTATATCTGTTTTACACCCCAAGTACCGTAATCCCCTTTTAGCAACAATACAGAACAATAATCTCTACCGTTCTCTCCCCCCCGTTTGTCGCTTGCTTATTATTTCTATTGTAATGTAAAAGTCAACTTTTCTCTCGCGGCGCCTCCCGAAATTCGCGCTCAAAATGTTTTGCAACCCCCTATTATTCTATTTAAATTGGGTTGGGGAGTCAATTTTGTAGTCGGGAAAAAAGTCAGATTCAATTTGGATCCGTGCGCAGCGATTTGATCGACCCAACGCATTATGCAAATGAACAATTCAGGAGAAAAATTGAGTTGAAAAAAGTTGGAATTTTGTGAAAATTGGACAAAGGAAGAGAGTGATTTTTAAGGGATATGAGAAATTTTTAGACTACGATTTCAAGGAAATATTGAGATTTTTGGTCAAAAAAAGTTCAAAGTACAGTATTTTTTATGAGTTTTTGGATACTTGGCAGGGGTTTTCTTCGTTATTTAGGGTGTAAAAATCCTATTGAAAATGAAAAATTCTTCAATTTTCATCCTAAAAAATCCAAAATTTCTTTAATTTTCTATCATTTTCATTCTAAAAATTTGTTTTTTATACTAATCTCAAGCTCAAATTCTCTCATTTTCCTTGAAAAATTGTTGTCTCAATTTCTGCCAATTTTATTTAATAAAAATCCAACCCAAAAAATTTAGTCATCAAAACATCCTCCTCCAGCTTTCCAATTCCTCTTTATTCATTCCGCCAACATGGGCAGCGAGAAAAAGTTGGGGTATCCGGAAGAGGGGGGTTTGATTCAATTTTTGCGCAAAGTTTTATTCAAATTCCCCACAGGTCAGTCCTTGAAGCCGTCTCTAACGGTTGCGCAATTTCGCACTTGACGAAAAGAAAAGGGGAAATTAAGAAGATATGTTGGGGATCTCGGCGTGGAAGGGAGACGTTGTGCGTTCGGGGATTTGGGCATTGAAGAAGGGGTTCAGAAACGGCGAGGATTTCAAACAAAATACCGGCGGGCTTTTATGGGCAATAAAGATGGGAGATCAGAGAGTGTTTTGGTAGGTGAAACTGGACCTGTAGGTGCTTGTTTCAAGGGCTGGCCCTGTGATTTTTGTAATGATTATGTATTTACAAAATTTGATACAAAATGCCCGAGATTTCACGCTGAAATTTTCAAGAAATTTAGGTCATATTTCAACTGCAAAAATTTTAGCTCGCGTTTTGCAGAAACAACAGATTTTTTTGATCTAAAATTTGCGAGGATTTTCATTTTGAGGTGCATGTTATTTCGATAGAAAATTAATTTTTTCTACGCAAAATTTGCAAAGCCACAGCCAAAAAACTTTTACATCTGCCCGGCCTCCTCATTTGCCTACCCTCTCATCCGCTAAAATCGTTGAATTTCCCGGCCTCCTTTGCATATTGCGAGCTAAAATTTTCAGGAGTTGATGTGTGGCCCAGTCATAATATTTGTGTAAAATTCAAAGAAAATCTGAGCGTTTCACTTTGAGCACTTTCATTTGGAAAGCATACGCAAATTTTTATGAAATTTTTCTCTAATTCATTTTGTGCAAGTCCCCAACTTTCTAATTTCCGAAACCCTTCCTTGTCCAATTTCTTCACGCCTTCCGAATGTTTATAAATACGCAAGTGGACTTGAAGGGGGTGAAAAAAAAACGTGTTCCGTGTCCATTTCGAGAGGCCGGTTTTAAATAAAGTGCGAAGAAGATGGACACTCGCTTATTTATTTTGCGGACCGCTAATTTGAATATTCCGGGAAACTCTAATTTTTCGGAACTTCCAAATTTGGTGAAAAAAAATTCTAGCAAAATTTATTGTCTGGGAATTATTTTTTTTCTCAAGGTCATGCTATTTATTTTGGCAGACATGGCCAAAACAAAAGCTTTTCTTGGCGTTTGTTTTCACATCATTTTGGATTTTTTTTTGTCTGGCGTCGGCATAAGATGTATGAAACATTCCTAGCTCGCGCTTTGCAGAAACAACCGTGATTTTTTTGGCCGAAAACAAAGCTTCTGCTAAAAATAATTTTTTCTTCGCAAATTCGGCAAAGAAACATCCAAAAAATTTCTTCTCTCTGGCCGCTCTCCGCTTTTTGCATACTCTCTCTCGGCAAATATAGACTTCCCTTGTCGCCTCACATTTTTAACCTCAAAAAATAACATATTCAGAGGTCATCTTCGAGTCCAAAGAAGGCAAAAAAATTCTTCTTTGGAGGCCCGGAGGTCACTCATTTTTTCGGGCCAAACGCATTTTTCTTCTTTTGGACGTAAACTTTTTGGAAGTGATTTGCTTTGTTTCCGCTTGTCGTCAGGTGTTTTCACACGTTGGGCCACAAATTTTTTTGGCCAAAACCGCACGAAAAATGAGGCCGTTAATAATCTGTCATTTTTGATTTTTTGTGGGCTTTGAGGTGGGAGGATGAACTTGAAAAATGATTCGAAATGATGTGATAGGGTTTGCGGACATGCACATATTTCTTGTTTAGGAAGTAACTATGGCTCGTTTGAATTCAACGAAAAAAATTTTCTGGGTAGACGTTCATTTTTACCCACAAAATTCTTTGTGAAATTTGGCACAATTTTAGATCAGAATTTTCCACGACACAATGAAGATTTTTAGTTTGCACTTTGCAGAAATCATTGGGATTTTAAGTTCTGTAGATTTTCTTTTTTTTTTTTGATGATCTTTACAACTATAACAAAATAAGAGAAATAAAAATTTTGGTACAGCATCTTTATTCTACCATCGAAAAAATCGGTTTTTTGTTCCAAAAAGTCTCCAGGAAGACATTCAATAACATTTTTGTTCTAAAAATCTTTTTTTATGCTTCTGCAAAGCGCTGAAAAAAATCTCGCAAACGTCTTGGAGGATTTTAATTTAAATTTGTGCCCAATTTTCATAAAAATTTTTCTTCCGGTCAAAAAATTTTTTTTTGTAAAATACGCCCCATAGGAAAAAATCGCAAAATTTTCCCCTTTCTATATTTTTAATTATGCTCACAATATTTGATTTTTTTTTGTAAAATACGCCCCAGAGAAAAAAGTCACAAAATTTTCCCATTTCTATATATATTTTTACTTAATTATGCTCACAATTTTTTATTTTTTTTTGTATTTTTTAATCCTATCCACATTTTGTAAAATACGGACTGAATTCGACAAATTTTTTCCTTTTTATTTTTTATGATTCATTTTTTATTTTTCCATTTTTCTACCGTATTCGCGCCACCCTTTTGTTACGAGCATTTTGTTTGGAAAAACGGGCAATTAAATCTTTTGACTGTTTCCAGGCGCACTTACAAAAACTACCTCTTGAAATCGAAAACTTGTAACTACTTTGAAAATAACCTGCAGATTTTATCTCCAATGTTTTCAACGTCCGCTGCAGCGATAAATCGGCCGATTTGGAGATGAGAACATCAAAGGGTTGCGCAATCGTGGCCGCCCCACTCCAAGTGCTTTTCCTTTTCGTCTACGCCACTCGAGCAGGTGAGGGGTTAATAAAAATCGAATCGTAATTTAATGAGCTGTTTTGCCAAGGTTAATCCGGGATCAAAAACCAAGATTTTTTTCCTCATTTATGATAGTAAAAAAAAAAACAAAAATCAAAAAAATACTTGTGGTAGTCATGCTATCGACTATGCCTGAATACTCTTCAGTGGACTAAAATTTATGAGCATCCTGAAGTCGCTGAAATTTCCTTTCGCAATCAATTAATTCTCAAGTGCCGAACTACAAAAGGAAAAGTCAAGTTAGGCCTTTTCCTGAATGGCTTGGTCATTAATTGCGCGAAATTTGATGCTTTTTGGCATTTAGGGAGTTGTTGTGAGCCGAGATTGCAACGAGCCCCTCGGGGAATAATTATTAAAGAACTGGGGACATAAAAAATCGAGATAAAACTAAAAAATCAAGAATAATGAAGTTAAAAAATAAAAAATTTTTGAGTGCTACCCTTGGATTTTCTTTAAATTTTTTACACGCATTGTGACTAGTCTACATGTCAATTCCTAAAAATTTTACGTCGCTCTTTTGAAAGGTCAATCAAGACATTGAAAATTTTTGTCGGCGAGAGAGTAGAGAAAAAGCGGAGAGCGGCCAGAGCAAAAAGTATTTTTCGGCGGTATCTTTGACAATTTCGCTTGGAAAATAATAATTTTTTGTGGAAATATTTAACACGGCAGCAGAAATAGAATGTCATTTTTCTAACCTTCAATAAGCCAAAAATTTATCCAATTTTTGCCAACATCCGATCAAAAAATCTCGGTTATTTCTGCAAAACGCACGCCAAAAATTTTATAAAGATTTAAAAATAAATTAAATCTAAATTTTCCACAATTTTTTTTTTATCAAAATGCCAAAAAATTATTCTCCAATTTCCAGAAGACACATATCACATCACAAACAGTCGTTTGCCGCATGGGATTCCCTTCGATTCGTGGATAAATCAGACTCAAATCACTGCCGAGGCGAATTGCACGCAATGCAGTCCGCCGATTTTTTTGAACCACACGAGTTATGCGGAGGGAGAGGTGATGTTGTTCAAGAATAAGAGGAGTCGGCACAGAGCCATCCCGATCATGGGACCGCTGAGTAAGGGGAATTCCAAATTCAACGACGCCCTCACTTTCAAGGAGTGGCTGAAACGGGTATATTCGGAGGAGAAGGGTGAGTTTTTTTTTGTCAAGATTACTATTGCATATACTTTTTCAAAAAATTTTTTTTTTAAAAATACGACGAATTAAGTCATCATGTTGTCAAATATGCCATAGAAGGCCCCGGTAACTATATTTTTTATAGTGTTCCGGCCCTATTTTACCTCAATATGACCTTGTAAAAATCCAAATCCGAAAATATCCAGGGGATTTTGCGGAAGATCCGTTAATTTCGCCGGGATCAAAGGTTACCGCTCGAAATTAATATTCATAGAGGTGTAAACAAACCTTCGAAATAGCAAAGCGATTTTTGAATGGATGTAGAATTAAAACATAGTCTTATGAAATCAAAAAAAAAATACAAATGTAATATCCAATGAAATTTTCAGCGGTCAAAGTGAGCGTTCGAACGACGGATGTGGTTCGCCCGGTGATGTTGCACTTGCATGCCTCTAGAGATCGATTCCGAGCTCCGATAATCATCCATGCTGACGTTTTTGATAGCCCTAATAGTGCTGAGGTAAGCCAAGCCGTCTTTTTTTATATTGGACTACTCAAAAACTCGGCACAACGAATCACAAAAAAATCAAAAAAAAACTTTTGTTATAACAAGTTTTTGTTGTATGAAGGTTTATTTTGACTTGAAAAGACTCCTGTGACCATTGAACTTGTTCGTTATAGAAGGGTTTTGTTGTACAGAGGCTTTTCTGCAATTTTATTACCATCAAAAAAATTTTTTTTTAGAAAGCCGTCGACGCCAGTGTATTTATCGACAGTGCGCGAAAATTATTGCCCGAGGCGATAATCTCCATTGGCTGGACACCAACCGGAGATTATAGTGCAATCAATAAATTGGATTGGAGACAAGTCTTCCGGCTCGTGGAGCTGGTCTACAATTTGGAGCAACCGCTGATTTTGAATATGAAACTTAATGATGTAAGTGGATTTACGCATACAGTTGTAAAAAACGTACATCCGGGAGGTATCAAAACTGTGGCAAAATACCTCCCTCTCCAAGTGAAAAAACTCCGATTTCAAAAGCGCGCCCTTCAAATCGGAGTTTTTTCACTTGGAGAGGGAAGCATTTTGCCATATTTTTGATACTTCCCGGATGTAAAATGTTACGTTTTTTGCCATTGGATCAGGTCCGCCACTGTATATCCTTCCCTAAAAGACATAACCCTGTATTTTTAGAGCCCTTTTAAACATATTTTACTCCAACTTTTTCCAGGCAATCCACTCCGCAAAACAATTGGAATGGCTCCTCGGCGCGAGCCGCCCTCAAATCTACCTCGTGATCAAAGGAGAAGTCACTGATTTTGTCGACAAATGGGAGCCTCTCGAACACCTGACCGCCCTCGCGTCGGGCCGGAAACTTCTTTTCGACGTGGACGACACTTGGCGCACACGACTTGGGCATGTTCTGCCGAATCGGAAAGAAAAACGCGACTTGGACTCGGATCAGTGGAATAATTTGGTGTTCCCCTCGCCGTTCTCGATGCTCTCCACTTCCATTGTATCAAATAATGGAGTCGCATTCCTGGGATGGCCAAATAGTCTGGCCATATCGAACAAAAGGATCCATCAATCGCCTTTCAGGCAGAGTGTTAGTGGAAAGGTAAGGGGAAGATAAAATAATGCTCATTTTATCAAGAGCGACATTCCATTTTGCTTTTTTGTTCTAAAATTGGCATAAATTTAGATTAGAACTCGCTGCAACATATTCCGAATTCTTAGCTCGCGCTTTGCAGGAACCACCGAGATTTTTAGATCAAAAATTGTCAAAAATAAACTCTTTATTACATTACAGTGAGGGACCTGATCCAGTGGTAAAAAGCGTACCATTTTGCACCCGGGAAGTATAAAAAACGTGGCAAAATGCCTCCCTCCCCAAGTGAAAAAAACTCCGTTTTGAAGAGCGCGCCCTTTGCCTTAAAAAAAGAGCTTTTGAAATCGGAGTTTTTTTCACTTGGAGATGGTATTTTGCTACATTTTTTTGATACTTCCAGGATGCAAAATGGTAAGTTTCTTGCCACTGGATCAGGTCCGCCACTGTAATGTAATAAAGAGTTAATTTTTGACAATTTTTGGTCTAAAAATCTCGGCGATTCCAGCAAAGCGCGACATTGTAGTATTAGCGACTATAAAACTGAAAACCGCGATCTTTCTCTGCAAAGCCCGTGCTAGAAATCACTCTCTAGCATCTCCTTAGAATGCTCTAATAACCTCTCTACTTCCAGGTCCTTTTCCTCGAAAAACGACAAACCCGCGCCATTTCTCCCGCCCGGAAGTCCGGGATGACTCTGGACTTCTTTGAGACCGAGCCACATCGTCTTCTCGGTCCGGAAATCCCCCGTTCCATTCGAGTATTCATCGGGTACGACGGCAAGGTCTCCATCGAGAACCGTGAGATCAAACGGAGGAAACGAGTGCTGCATGGGTACCGGGAGAGTGCCGTGAGCCGGCTGCCGAAGAGCCCGTGTTACGGGTTCAAAGCGCTGGATCGGAATTTCCGCGTCGAGTTGGAAGTCTTTACGATCGACTGCCGAGAGGACGTGGAGGAGGGCGAGGACTTTGAGAACAGGGTGTTCAAGGAGTATCGGACATTTATTTCGTTGGAAGCGCCACCGTTACGATCTCGAAGAGCTCGTTACGTGGCTGTGGGGAAAAGTGGCGACGGAGCTATCGACTTTTTGGTGCAAGAGCTTCGTCACAGCAGCTCGTCGATATTGCAAACGCCCATGGCTTGGATTACATTGTTATTTGTGTATTTATCGGTTCGGTTATTGGCTTGAATTTTGGATAGAATTGTAATATAATAAATGCTAGCTGACTCAAAAAAAAAAAAAATAAAAATATTTTTTTTTAAAGTTTATCAACAAAAAACAAGTGAAAATCAACAAAAAACTCATCCAAAATCTTACAAACTCATTCCATATCCTCGCTTTGAACTCTTCCTTCCTTTTGTACTGTTTCGAGAATCCCAAGGACCTTCTTTGTGTTCTCCATCGCCTTTTCGTACACTGATTTTCGCAAATCTTTGGTCAAATCGGATGTAATTCCAGCTTGCCAAAGGAAAATGTTGCCGGTTTCGGAGAGGATAACATCGAACCTGGGCTCAATCAGGTCGATACAATGAGATGGAGGATCCACGAGGAGAATTGGCTAAAATAAAAAATATTTTGAAACTTATTGGATAAGCTGCATGAATAATATAAAATAATATCGGAATTCTTATCTCGCATCATATTTAACTTCATTTTTAAGTAAACACATCCTAGTTTAGCTCATTTATTATAGAAATAATCCAAAAATTGAACAAATTTTCATGAATTTTAAAGTCTAATTTTTGGTCATGTACAATATAAAAATTGTGCGCTAGATCAAAAGAGCCTGGTCAATGAGATCTCAAACTTTCACAGATCACTCAAAATGCTTCTAGCTATCAGCTTTATCCCCGTTAGACTCATACGCATCCTCCTTTAATTCTAATAAATACTTTTTTCCTCCCCGATCATTAACAACTTTTACCCCGCTTCCGAAAAAACCCCAACTTCACCTCATCATCATCCTGATCCTTGAACATCGATAGTCCCGTATAAACCAGCCGATTCCTTAATTGCACTTGAATTAGGTTCTCAGTATCAAAAACAAATCGTGACCGCTCCTTGACAACTGCTCCTTGCTTAAATTTCGCCTCCAAGTCCTCAATATCCGTCGAATCCACCGAAGTTTTCGGGATTTTTGTGTTGTTGATAGCTGCTTGAACTGCTAGAAAGACCGGCCCGAGAAGAAATCCATCGCATGTGTTGATTGTGATGGTCAAGATCAACTGAATCTGATACTCCGCATCGAAAGTAAGAGATTTCGGATCAACAAAAATGTGCTTCCTCGCAAATTCGGTGAGGATCGCGCGGCAAAAGTCGAATTCTTTCTGAAAAGGAAGACTTGACATCAATTCGAAAAAACGAATTTCTTGGACCATGTATAATATAAAAACTTCAATTTTTAGTCAAAAACAACTAAATATATAAGTCCTCCATTCATAGCTTCTTCCTTATACTTCCTCACACCTAAACCAAGAAAAAAATCGAGAAATTGACTTACTTTTGGCACCGCATTACTCTTTTCGAATCTGAATCGTATACACTGCAATGGATCATAATACCCGGCCTTCGGTATCACCGTGCAAGACAATGTGCAGCCATTATGTTGAACGTACGACGATCCCGCGGCATTTTGATCAAGCCCGACTCTGACCAGGTATGGCCGTTCCGCATCCGTTTCTCGTCCATCTTCATAGATTCCGGCGACAAAAAACTCCTTGTAGAAGTCCAAGCCTTCAATTTCTTTGAGCAGGGCGCTATTTAGCGTTGTCATTGGGGCTAAATAGAGATCTATGACTCAATTTATGAGCTGTGAGATCAAAAAATAAATTTATTTCCTCGAATTCCAAAAAATTTCTACTTGCAACAGAATGCCAAGAAAAGTTGGCATTCGTCGTTTTCGTGGTGGGACGCAGACTGTACAGTACAAGTACCGAAAAAATCATTACCAAAGCCTAGGCCTTTGAAATCTCAGTAAAATACAGTAATACCGAGCCAAAAATTTCTACATTACACCTGAAATTTGCTCTTGAAAACATGATCTTAACTAAAAATGCCGTTTCGATCGCAAAAAAATCATTTGTTTTACGGTAAATCCCTTACACATTGACTTTTCAAGTGAAAAAGTTAAAAATACAGTGCACCCTAAACAACCTTTGATTTATCGCCCAATCTCGTTGATCTTCCTGATTCCAAATAAACACTTGAAACTTTTTTGGCCGTTCCGTAAATATTTACAATGTTTATATCGCCTAATATACACTGACATGATATATAATCAGAAAGAATCTCTGCGAAAATCGTATTTTTTGTCCTTTTTGAAGCTGCGTGTAAGTAACAATTTTGATCATCGAAAATTTTATTTTCAAAATTTTTGAAAAAGCCCATTAAATGGGGCCAATTTGAATTTTTTAGCTATTGAAAAGCGAATTTAAAGGTGCGATGATAAGCAAAAATTCATCAAAGATTCGGGAGGCAAAGTTCAGTATTCGTATTTTTATCAAATTTTGTTTGTTATTGTGAGTTCTGAGGTTATTTTTTGGGCATTTTTTTGTTAATTTTCGGATATTTTCACGCTAAAAATGTAGCATAACTTTTTGGAAAATTCTAGGCTTAATTCGCCCCAAATTTTTATCAAATTTCATTTATCCTATTTCTTTCTAATCCCAATTTTTAACACCTTTTTTCAGTTAATTATGAAGACCGTCTTCACTGTCCTCCTTCTCGTCGCTCTCTCCGCCGCCGCTTTGGCCGAGCTGATGTGCGAAGAGAATGGGAAAAAGTTCCGGAATGGGCAAGAATGGACAGCCAATAAGAACTTCCTGAAGACCTGCGTTGTGCATGATATGGGCTGGGAAACGAAAATCATCGCCTGTCTGAACCCCTCGACCAAGCAGAGGATCCCGGTGGGCTCCAGTGTTGTCAATGGCAAATACAGAATCCGTTGTGAGCGAAGCGAGGATGGAGGAGTTTCTATTCGATCCGGACCGGCCTAAATTTCATTAAACAGAGGAATGTAATAAAATAATTGATAAATTGAGTAAAATTTAAGTAAAAATGTTTTTTCAATTGACAACTGGAAGTACCCCAAGTGCAACGCTCAGATTTTCTTTAAATTTGGCACACATGTTGCACATAGACTAACTATCAATTCCTGAAAGTTTTAGCTCACTCTTTGCAAGCGCCACCGAGATATTGAACTATCTTTGCCGCCGAGAGAGTACGCTAAATTCGGAGAGCGGTCACAGAGAAAAGCACTTTTTGGCCATAACTTTGCTTGATTCGCTCGGAAAAAATTGATTTTTTGTGGAAACATTACCCTTATCAGTAGAAATTGGTATAAAACTTTACGTGCCGAAATTCGCCAAAAAGTCTCAAATTTTTGCCGACTTTCTATTGAAAAATCTCGGTTGTTTCTGCAAAGCGCGAACTAATATTCTCGCATATATTTTGGTAGAGATTATGCTTAACTTGTGCCAAGTTTTATCAAAATCTAAGCGTCACAATTGGGGTATTTACCATGTGAATTTTGAATATTTTTTTTCGTTCCATTGGTAACGGGAACTGATTATACATAATACAGTCAAATTTCTGTAAAACGATCTCATCGGACCAAAAAAAATTTCTCATTTCTTTTGTCCAATCGACAGAGACGTGTGGGTGCTGCAAATGTTAAACAGAAGTCATCTAATTACATTCAAAAAACTGATTAAGATTCGAACATAGGGCATCAATTGGTATTCGAATTGGTGTTAATGTCTTTTTCGATTAGAGATTTTATAATAAAATCTTTTATTTTACATTATATCACATTTTGTGTTCAGTCGGAGCCATTGTTACCGGGGATTCAATTGTTTTAGTATAGAAAAATCTCTATACAATTGATGGTTGCAGTATGTAGTATAAAAATATACTATATAAATATACAGTGGCTAACCTGATCCAGTAGCAAGAAACGTGCCATTTTGCATCCGGGAAGTATCAAAAAATGCGGCAAAATACCTCCCTCTCCAAGTGAAAAAACTCCGATTTCAAAAGCCCGCCCGAGTTTTATAGTTTGAGAGGGGAGGCATTTTGCCACATTTTTTGATACTTCCCGGATGCAAAATGATACGTTTTTTTCCACTGGATCAGGTCCGCCACTATACAACGAAACCCTTGGATAACGTATAAAAGTTTTTAGACCTTTTAGAAGGATAAAGTTATGTCTTATTTTACTACGTAAAATGGCAAATTTTTGTAGCTTCTTCAAAAGGAACGACTTTTTTTGACCAAAGAAAAATGTATCAGGATGCATTTTACATGTATTTTAGAACGCATTGAGATGATTTTCTTTGCCTCATGACCTGGTCCGTGAACAACAATGAGAAGAGGTTCCACTGTATATTTAATTTTGCTATGTAATCCAATGTTTCATTAAACAAATTACATTTTTTCCAGCTTTGTTAACCTCCAAAATTTTCAGTAAGAAATGTCGCATCTTCAAACCTTCTCCCTTTTGGCCTGCATTTTCGTTCTAGCCAGCGCCGGCATTGAAGAATACGAGGAAATGTCGGGTAGTCTTGATGGCTCCGCCGAGGCAATTGAAGAAGCCCTGAGCCCCGAAAAACTCAAGCCCTTGGAAGGCTGTACAGTGAACGGGAAGGTCTACAAGGACGGCGAAACCTTTCTGTCCAATGGGAATTTCATCAAGAGATGTAGAGTTGTGGACTTGGGCTTCCGCACCGAGATCGTCGCCTGTGTTTTGCGCAAGATGAAGAAGAGACTGGGTGTGGGCAGATCGGCCACATACGGAGGATTCAAATATAGCTGCAAAAAGAGTGGCGACGGCATCGTAACATTGGAGGCGGTGTATCAGGGAAGTGGAAGAGGGCCGCAAAACGAATACGATTAAAAATGCAAGAATGTGATTACACAATTGTGATGAAAATGATTTTTTTGATAAAGGTTTTTTACAAGGGAAGCGTTCAAAGAAGGACAATCAAATGTTATTGAAATTTGGCACACACACAATGTGCCACATAGCATACTATGTAGTGACGGGCCTAATTCAGTGGCAAAAAAGTATCATTTTGCATCCGGGAAGTATCAAAAAATGTGGCAAAATGCCTCCCTCTCCAAGCAAAAAAGCTCCGTTTTGAAGAGCGCGCCATTTCCCTCACACAAAGAGCTTCTGAATTTCTGAAATCGGAGTTTTTTCACTTGGAGAGGGAGGTATTCTGCCACATTTGTGATGCTTCCGGATGCAAAATGGCACGTTTTTTTGCCACTGGATCAGATCCGCCACTGTATCAGTTTCTCTCAAAAATTGTGGCACCGTTATGTAATATGCAGCCGATCAACGAAATTTGCCGGAAAAAGCAGAGCGTGCGTAGACAATATTCCAGCAAAAAAGTCAACGTATAGCCAGCCGACTCTCCTTACTTACATTTTATTATTTACTACTCCGTTCGTAAAGTCGCTGGGGTGATTTTTGGCGTTGTGCAGAAAAACTCAGCGTGCCAGCGACAGCCCAAAAAAAAGCCTATTGCACGGTGCAAAAAGCAACAAATTGCACAGTGCATAGTGATATTTGTTTTCCCACAATACCGCCGAAATCACAGCGACTTTGCGAACGGACTAGGATACGTATTTAACCCTTTCCGGACGAGTCGGCACGTACTGGTAAAAATGAAAGAGGGTACCCTACTGAGTAGCGGCATAATAGTGGTTCAGCCCATCGAAGCGTTATTTGGGACTTATGACAAAAAATGTCCTAAAAAGTACCCCCATTTGACATATCACTTTTAAAATTTTTGCGACAAGCTGTAGATCGGAAACTACCCCTAAATTAAAGTCGAGGAGTCCTAGTATCGTTACATCCAAGAACTGTCCAAATCGGAGCACTATGGGATTTGTTATCGATTTTTGGAAATTGAATTTTTAATTTTGGTCAATTTTGGACCTAAAATCAAGTATATCTTCCGCCGGTATCAACCATTTCGATCAAAATGTGGTTTTTCCGAATCTATTGTGATGCTAGCTTCTTCCTAGAATATTTCCAGAAAAACCCTACGAGGCGTATTTCTGTAAAACGCGGAAACGTTGAAAGTTTAAAGGTTTGATCGTATAAAATGTCGCCGCGAGCCGCGAAGGGGCGGGCGCAGCTTGAAACGAGAAAATAATAATTTTTTCTTCGAGAAATATTATTTTAGTGTCGAAAAGCTGATTTCAACACGAAATACAGGCAGAAATAGCACGCAAACATTACATAAATGTCATTTTTATATTTTTACTCTGTTTTCAGGCAATTTCAATCGATTTTAATTTGGTTTCACGCTAAAATCAAACTTCCCGAAAAATTTAAAAATATTTTCTGGTTTCGAGCTGCGCCCGTCCCTTCTCGGCTCGCGGCGACATTTTATACGATCAAACCTTTACACTTTCAACATTTCCGCATTTTACAGAAATATGCCTCGTAGGTTTTTTCTGGAAATATTCTAGTAAGAAGCTAGCATCACAATAGATTCGGAAAACCCACATTTGGAACGAAATGGTTGATACCGGCGGAAGATATACTTGATTTTAGGTCCAAAATTGACCAAAATTAAAAATTCAATTTCCAAAAATCGATAACAAATCCCATAGTGCTTCGATTTGGACAGTTCTTGGATGTAACAATACTATGACTCCTCGACCTTAATTTAGGGGTAGTTTCCGATCTATAGCTTGTCGCAAAAATTTTAAAAGTGATATGTCAAATGGGGGTACTTTTTAGGACATTTTTTGTCATAAGTCCCAAATAACGCTTCGATGGGCTGAACCACTATTATGCCGCTACTCAGTAGGGTACCCTCTTTCATTTTTACCAGTACGTGCCGACTCGTCCGGAAAGGGTTAACAGCCCCAAGTTTTTTCTCCACACAAGGGTTCTCTTCCCATTGCTGACGTGATTACAGTAGGCCACAACAAAAAGTTTGTTGGGTTTATAATTAGACCCTTTGAAACATTGGCTGGTGTTTGGGTTGAAGGCCGAAAGTCAAGCAGTTGACGTAGCCAACTGGGAGAAAAAAAGTCCTTTTGGTCGTGTCAAATCGATCTCACCCATTAATTTGTCTTTTCCAACGGCTTCCTGGTCTCAATGACATCGGCTACGTCACAGGCTGAAAGGCTAAAATTGATGGATAAAGCAAATATGTATATTCTGCTTGCAAGAGAAAGAAATACTCAAAGATCGGCCCTCAGAAATTGAAGAAATTTAGCAAAAATTTAGAATAATTTTTTTGGAGACGTACAGTGGGGACCTGATCCAGTGGCAAAAAAGGTACCATTTTTCATCCGGGAAGTGTCAAAAAATGTGGCAAAATGCTTCCCTCTCCAACTAAAAAACTCCGTTTTGAGGGGCGCGCCCTTTTTCCTCACAAAAAGAGCTTTTAAAATCTGAGTTTTTTCACTTGGAGAGTATTTTGCCACATTTTTTGGTACTTCCTGGCAAAATGGTACGTTTTTTGCCACTGTATTAGGTCCCCCATTATAAATTTATTGAAGAAGTATGAGGAATTCAAGATCGAATTTTGCAATGTGTGCGAGAGAGCACGCGCAATGAAGAGAGTCGGCCGGACAGAAAACAGGTCTGCTTTTCGCTTGTCTTTTGTAAAAAGTTGATTTTATGTCGAAATATTTCACGACGCACTGGTAATTGAGTCAGAAATTTTCAAACCAAAAATCACAAAAAAGTGCCAATTTTTTGCTTTTTCGATTAAAAAATCTCATTGACTTCTACAGCGTTAACTATGGATCTAATACGTTTTTGAAAGCTACTAATTTCAGCCAAGTTTCAGCTGAATGTGATTCTTCAACTTAGAGAGGTTGACAGTCTAGTCAGCAGCTCTCAAAATTGCTATAATAAAAGTTGGCTTCCGCAAGAGCCTTTTATCCATGTTCTAGGTTAAAGAGCCCTGTACCAAAATCTTCAACCAAATTCTCGACCCAATGCCCTCTTATCGGCATCCAATTACTGCGAATTTATGTTGACAAATGTCTTGCAAGCTTCTTGGCGATGTGTCAAAACACACACCGAAATACGGCCGTAGGGGGACCGGACCCGCTGTTCGGATCAAAAAGTCCCGTTTGAGGGGCTGGGAAATTTATATTTTTTCGGATCCATCCCCTCGAACAAGATTGATGGTGGCCCAAAACGTGAACAAAAACTCCTGATTGAGGACCATTTGGCAACGAAAATTGGGAGGGAAGACTTGATGAAAGGTCGGAGGTCAGTGAGATGCCTCCGGCGCTGGAGAAAAGGGAAGAGGAGACTTGTTGTTTGGGATTTACTCTTCCGAAGAGTCAAGTTCAAAGATGGGAGTTTTTCGGAAGGGGAAGATCAGGGCTTTTATTAAAGATTTGGTTCCTCATTGGCCATAATTTTGAGGCTGCAAAAAACTTTACTTTTAAGAGAAAGATGACTTTGATTTTGATGAAATTTTGTATAATTTGCAGGTGGAAAAGTCATGGTGCACCATCGCGATTGTCTTGAAGTTTTGCGTGGAGAGCCTGGCTTGGCCAGAGATAGATTCCTTAAAGTTTTAGCACGCGATTTCCAGCGGCAGCAGGGGTTTCTTTGCGAATAAGGAAGTAGGGCAGAAGTCGTTTTTTGTCCACAATTTTCCGCGGCTCCGATCAATAAATCCGATTTTTTGTAGAAAAATTGTAAGCAGTATTACTAATTGAGCCTAAAATCTGGAAAAACCAAAATTGCTAGGTCGGAAATTGCAAAAAAAAATCCAGCATTTTTTATTAAATTTTTTTTTGGCAACTACTGCAAAGTGCCTAGCTAAGAATCTTTCAGGTGTCTTAGAAGCCCTTAATTTTAATTTTTTCCAAATTTGCCCAAGATCTGACCGCTTAACTTTGAGAATTTTCCTTTAACTTTCCGCTTACTTTTGATGACTATAAATTTAAATTTCGTTCTCCTCTTACCCCATCAATATTTTCAGAATTCAAAAATGGGTTTTACCCAACCTATATTGCTTCTTTTCACATTATTCGCTTCAACGATAGCTGAGCGCGAATGTGTTGACGAGCACGGCCGAAAATTCGAACATGACCGCGAATGGCGCTCGATGGATGGGAATTTCGTCAAGAAATGCGAAGTTTTCGCCCATGGCTGGCAAATCAAAGTCGTTAGCTGCGCCTCCAAGTCGAATCATCGAATTGAAATCGGCGGGAAACGAGTGGAAGGCCCAATGATTTGGTATTGCGACAAATCATCCAATGGCGGAGTTTCGCTGAGATCGGAGCCGAATCCCGACGCCGAATGTAATGGTGGGCATTTGCCCGGCTCTCGATGGGTTGACGGGGCTTTTGAGCGGGAATGCCAAGCCGGCGCTCACGCCAAGATTGTGGGATGTGTGTCGCCGGGAGGGACGAGGATCACGCTGGGGGATTCGATCGAAGAAAAGGGGGATATTGTGATCTGCGAGAAGCGGCCGGATGGAAGTATCAGCATGAGAAATGAGCGTAATCCCAATGCTTTTTGTGGAGACCATCCGGCAGGTAAGGGATGGGAGGAGTTTTGAATTTTTAGGGAGATTTATGAAGGTCAAATTTTTAAGTATCCTCAAGATTAAGGCTCTATTTTAAAGGCTCCATTATCATCCAAAATTTTTTAAAAAATTCCAAGCTTACTGAAAGCCTAATTCATTTAAAATTCCAGGCTCCGAATGGGTCGAAGAGTCATTTGTAATGAAGTGCGAAGCCGGCGGTCGCTCCGAAATCGTCGGCTGTCAATTGCCCTCGGGCGAACGAATCGGCTTGAACGACAAAATCCACTACAAAGGCTACATCATTTACTGTCAGCAGTTCGAGAACGGGACCCATCGCATCTTCTCGGAGCCCGATCCGACCGCCGAATGCGACGGCGGGCATCCAGCTGGCTCCAAGTGGATCGAAAACACCTTCGAAAAGGAGTGTCTGCCCGGCGCGTTGACCAAAACAACCGGCTGCGCGCTGGACGATGGGCAGCGGATCCCGTTGGGCGGGCGGACCGAGTTCGGAAAATTCTTGGCATTCTGCAACAACAACAACAATGGAACCGTGTCGTTGACGCTGGATGTGAATCCAAATGCCCCGTGCGGAGAGCATTTGCCGGGTAAGGAGGGAAATTTCTGGCCAAGTATGAGCAAAATTTGGGCGTCAATTTTTGAGATTTTTTATTTTTGGACAAAAAAATTTAAAGTAAAATTATGAAAAACTTGGCTTACGGTAGGACTTAAATTATGATTGATTTTACAGAGGCTTTATATACTTACATTTTTTATTAAACTTTTTATACCAAGAACTATTCTGTTTTTTACAAAATTCATTTTTTTTCAGGAGCCCGTTGGGTTGAGCGCTCCTTCGAAAAGGAGTGCAAAATCGGCGGCAACACCGAGATTGTAAGCTGTGTTACTTCCACCCGTCAAAGAGTCCCCTTAAACGGTCATATCGTCCTTGACGGCCAGAAAGTGCACTGTGAAAAGCTTCAAGATGGTACCGTCTGGTTCCACGGCGAGCCCGATCCGAACGCCTCTTGCCAGGGCGGGCATGAAGCCGGAACTCGGTGGATCGACAAAGGATTTGAGCTGGAATGCGCCGCCGGCGGTCGCACAAAAGTCGCTGGGTGTATTAGCCCTCAGGGCAACTACATTGCGGTGGGATCGGAGGAGAGATACAATCAGTTTGTGTATGCGTGCGAAGAGCAACCCGATGGGAGTGTGCGGTTCCGTTCGAAGCCAATTGTTCCGTTCGCTGGCCCAAGGAAACGGGCTTGAATTCGGAGAGAAAATATTCCAAATTTCAATTACAAAGTAGCCCGAATATTCCGAAATGTTTTTTTTTTTGTACCATTAGGTCAGATTTCTTTAAATCTTTTTTATTTTGCAGTTATGATCAAAATATTCTAGTTCCATATTCCGCCAACATTCTAGGCGCCTTTGCCATTCTTAGTTCGCAATTCGACTTAACTATTTTTTTAGCAATACCTGCCAGATTATATTCATTTTCATATATTTAAACCCGGTAATAAAAATGAAGTTTATCTTGATGATTTATTAAATTTTATTGATCTGTAAAACAAGCCTCCAGCTGGGCTAAACAAGACTCTTCAACTGTTTGATATACCCTAGAAAGATTGTATTACATAATGAGAAACAATTTGGCACCTTTTTTAAAGTTCAAAGAATCGAATTCGGCCCAAGTGGCATCTTTGGTGTCAACAATGCCGAGGTAATCTCTTCTGGCCATGATTCGCAGCTTGCAGAACTCATGGTAGAGCTGCAAATAAAATACAATGTATATACAAAAATATATGAGAAAATTTTACCTTCAAATACCTTTTGACCACACGTTTGTTCGTTTGTAATTCTTCGGGAATGCCTTGTTCTAGGGCAAATTTTAGGCGCCTCAAGGTGTTATGGTACCCAATTTCTAAAAATTACGAGTCATTTTGATATTGAATAGGCCTTGGTAGCCTTTGCTTTGGGTAATTTACAGCGAGAGACCAAAAAAATTCAAAAAAAGTTGTACTGTAAGATTGGTGGACTTGAGTAAAATAAAAACATAAAATTCTAGGCTCAAATCGCTCGGATGTTCTTCAAATTTGGTACATATCTTTCTTCTATACCACGGATCAGCTGCAGAAAATTTTGGCCCTCTTCTTTAACTGGCAGCCGAGATATTCAACGAGAGAATATGCAAAATATGGAGAGCGGTCAGAAAGAAAACCTTTTTTTCGCTATACCTTTGCTCCTTCCGGGCAAAAAATTGATTTTTTGTGAACACGACTCTCTACAGTACAAATAACCATTAAGATTTGACTGTCACATTTTGAACACTCTCTCTATAAACTACACCGCTGATAACACCCCAACCTACTATAGCAAGGAAAGATGAATGGATAAATCAAATGACTGTAGACTTGATAGGAGATTAAAGCCACCATTGTTGTAATTATCACCTTCCCAAGGTACTCTAGAATGGTTGTGACGACAAAGTTGACAATCACTTCGAGGGCAATGTCATAGCTAAAATCATCGTTGAAAGGATCGCTGTTGAATGGTGTTGTAGATGGCGGAGAAGATGCGGTAGAAGATTCAGTAGTTGTTGGGGAAAATGTCGTGGAATTCGACATCTCGACCGGTAAGAAAAAAGGTTTGAAATGAAAGTGAAAATACGAAATTTTATTTTTCAAAAAAAATTATTTTGAAAAAAAATAAAGTTAAAAAATTGAATTTTTTTGAACTTTTTGCCTCTTCAGTCCGAGCAAAATGGCGGAATGCACAGTTGAATGGAAGGTCCAGGCAAACAGGCCTAAAATGAAACTTTTATATGTACTATAACAGCTAAATTGGTGTATCAAAACAACTTCAGTCCAAACACCCTTGAACAAGCCATTTTAGAACACAATGAGTTGAAATTTAAAAAAAAAACTTACACTAGCTACAGTAAGCACAATCATCACCACTAAAATCGACAAAAAATCAGCCAATTTCATGGTTAAAATCTCCGTCTTTGATGTAAAAAATCTTACATTTTCCACTCAAAATCATTCATTTTATATTCAATCATAGCTTTATAATAAGAAAACTTTTATTTTATTATTACTCACTCTTCAAAAGGTTTTCAAATTCACGGCTATTTCAATGAAAATTACTCAAAAAAAGAGGTCAAAACTACAACAAAAGAAGCAACAAAAAAATCAAATCCAAAAATTCAATAGCCAAAATGTTTATTAGATGTTTGTATTACAATCTGTACCCATTTAAATTAAGTGATATCAATAGGAAATGCAAAAAATACAATAATTAAACTATCTACCCGTAAAAAGTTAAAAAGAAAGTTAAAAAAATTTAAATAATCCTCAAGATATTCCAAAAATCTTCGTTTTGTATATTATTCGTGGCTTGAAATTGCTCTCTATTGCTTATGGAAGGTCCCTTGCGTACTTGGAGTTCCAATCGCGGTCAAAAACGGCGTTGAATTGTTGAACCAAGGTGTCGGATTTCTCCTTTTTGATGATGATTCCCACTCCGGCCGTGTTGATGAAGTAATCGCCGGCCCAATTCGAGGTTCCCACATAAGCCGAATTGTCCGTCACCATGTATTTGTTGTGGTTCACACGGGCAAAGGGCAACTGTTTTTGGTACGGTTCGTCTCTGGGGACAGTGAACAGCTTCTGAAGAAAATTTTACATAAAAAGTTCAAGAAAAAAAAATTTTTTTTATACTGTCCGGCACGTCAAATTGGGACAGGGACCATTGGGGAAACCAAAAAGTATTATTTTTCTTGGACGCAAGTGTGAAGTTAGGATAATCGAGGGTGCTGATTTCGAAAATTACATTCATTTTTTTTGACAGTAACTTTTTTCTTTAAGCAGTACTTTAAAGTAGTATTTTTTTCATGAATACTCGATTTGGGGGTTTTCGATGGTGCTGCTTTCAAATCAGAAAAAATGAATAAGATTTTCGACATCAACGTCAAAATCCATATTTTCACCTAGTACAACATAGTATCAGACAGTACTATATAGTACTAGTGGAAAAGTAGACATGATTTTCGACATCAACATCCTCGAAGCCCCCAAATCGAGTATTCATGGAACAAAATTCAAAAAATTTCTACTTTAAAGTAGTGCTTAAAGAAAAAAGTTACTGTCAAAAAAAAAATGAATGTCATTTTCGAAATCAGCACCCTCGATTATCCTAATTTCGACACTTGCATCGAAGAAAAATAATAGGTTTCCCCAATCGTCCAGCTCTCATCAACTTCATCTCTCCCCTACTCACCACATTAATCTTTCCTTGTTTTCCCCTTCTCTTCGGCAGGACCGCATTGATGTCTCTCATTGACCTCAAATAACCCAACATTTCAGGACGACTATGATCCCATTGGCTGACCAACAAGTTCACAGTGACTCCTCGATACGCAGCAGCTCTGATTGCACTATCCAGAAAAGGCCAGTAGCTGAAATTTGGATATTATAGTAGACTAGGTAGATATCTAACAAATAAACTGAAAAATCAAATATTAATGACAAACTCACTAGTCCATGTCCTTGCCCATGTAAAGAGTGGTGGGGATTAAGTCCATAACGGCCACTTTGACATACTCTTCAGCGGATTCCATAACCGAAACGATGGCATCCAGATCATGTTCACGTCCTTTTGGGTTGAACTCAATTGGAGAGCTCTGAAATAAAAAAAAATGGGTGAAATACCTTCCAATCCCATTAATAGAACCTAAAGATCGAAATAATAAAAATAAAAAATCACACTCACCGAGATAAAGGTCTTCTGCCAATGTCCATTCATATTGATCTCAAGTGGATGATGATGATTAAACTGAGTCCTCAAATTCAACGGCCATCTGCCAGGAATTTTGCTACCGCCCTCCGCGATCCGCCAATAAATTGTGAAGATCTTCTGGAGGTCATTCGCAATGCAGGAACAATTTCGGATCAAAACTCCCAACTCTTTGACCTCCGTCAATGATTTCCAATCCATATTGGCCGAACCGATGTAAACATTGGTCTCATCCACAATCCAAAACTTGGTATGAAGGACACCATGTCCAAAAAGATGAGTGAAATTGAGAGATTTGACTTCGGCAAGGCCAAGTTTCTCCAAATCTTCGGAATCGCTTTGGGGAAACTGAGGAGAAGGGGAATTTTGGACAATCTGAATCTTCACACCTCGTTTGGCGGTCTCTATCAGACCCTTGTAGACATTCTCACCCTGAAAAAGTAATTTTCAGAGAGAACTATACGAGAATGCGCCGGTCACATTCATATTCGACATGGCACCTTATGTCATTTTGAACATAAGGTGCCAAGGCAATAACACTTCGTGGGAAGGCCCCTAAATACGAAGAAAAAACAACAATACCTTACCTGAATAGAAGTCGGCCATTTTTGGACATCATCTCGAAGATTCCAATACAAAGCAGCAATCTGAACAGTTTTTTCGGCATCCTTCAGAAGATCAAGAAAAGCGGAATGAGTCGGGTAGTTTGTGGGTCCATGAGGAAAAGTGAGGTTCGTCGGCATTGATTCAACAATCTCCACGCTGAAAAAAAAGAATTAAAGGCATCTCATAGCATTTCTTATATTACACTTCATCGGATCTCAAAAATAAGGTGAATTCTCGATCTAAAATTCGAAAAACCCAATTCAAAATAATTACTTACGCGCAAAAATCAGTGCAAATTCCAGTCTTCTCAAATTTCTTGGTGTTTTCCGCATCCTCATTGAACAGTGGCATGAAAAAGGTGATCAAGAGTAAGATGGCGAGAATCGTGATGGGTAGACAGGCTGGCTTGATGATTGAGTTCTTGCAACACTCCTCAGACTCCTCCTTTTCCATTGGGAAGTTGTTCACCCTTGTATCCAGCAGGTCCATCTCAAAATTGGTCATGTCCGCCCGACCATCGTGGGTCTAAAATAATATCGTGAATCTCACAAAATTGAAAGATATTTTAGACCTCATTTTTCTGACAGATCCCTGGACTACCTTACAACTTCACTTTCAATCGCATTATACCTCAACTAAGACCTCCAACATTGTTTTAGCAAAATCCACTGCTAGACTAACTAAAATAAGGTTGAACCCTTGAAAATTCGACGCTAACAGCGTTTATATACCCATCTATACACTTAACATCACGTCATATTCCTATACCACCCTACGCTTTTCAACTTTCCCATGAGAAACTCTGTAAAACAGACATAAAAATAGTCGTATCCTTGACGTTGGCCCACAAAGTTGGACCAATTCGAAAACCAGCCCGATGAGACACGCTGGTTATTTTTGGACTTATCCCCACCCAATGCGAAGATCTTCATCCTCCTGTGATCAGCTTTTGGAGCCTGTGAGACCTTATTTTGGCTCGTATTCTCAGTTTCTGCGAGCTGTGGCAGAATGCCAAGAATTGCCAAAATTGAGAAAACCTTGAGTTTCAAATACGGGAAATGGTGAGAAATGAGAATAAGTTTGTTTTTAACTCTAGAAAAGCGTTTAGAACAGTACTTGATACTAACAAGACATTTTGGATATTATTTTAGACATCTACCTACTATAATCATAGAAAAAAATTAAAAAAAATGTCGTTACTATAACTTCCAGTAGTCACCTACAAGACTAGCGCCTAACGAGCGCTCCGTGGCGAGCTCCTCGAGTTCGATCGACGGTCCAAGCGGCATATTCTCCATTGTGAAGACTAATTTCGAGAGACCGACACTAGAACGTTCAAGGCTAATATATTATGACGCGATTCGTGTGCCGTCATAAGATGGACACCCCGCCCTGAGGCTGCCCTCATTACGTTGATGTACAGCCCGGAAAGATTTAGTGTAAACCCTATTGCGTAATGCGAAATCCCAAAAAAAAAAACCCGTTTTCGTTTTCCCCGAGAATTTCAAAATTTATGAGTGAGAGCCCGTTTTGCAGAGGCTCAAATTCAATAATAAAAAATTATTTGTTTTTCATGCCCTGCATGGCCTCGTATTCACCTGGGGCGTGAAAAATGGCTTCTGGAAATGAGGAGAAACGAGCCTTAAATTTTAAAGAAAGCTGGCGAAGAACAAGGTGAAAAAATATTTAAAGTACTACTTTTTATTTGATAAAATGGTTTGTAATTACTATCTGTGATACCAATAAATGCAACGGTCAAAAAAATCCCACTTGTAATATCAGTTATTGCTATTGACAACAAAAAAGTGCAGTTCCCACAAAATGAAGAGGCATAAAAGGAAGTATCGCATTAGTGAATGGCTCTTGCCAAATGAGATGTGACCTATGTAGAATATATTGTCCGAAAATACTCGAAAGCTAGGATAAGAATGTACTTTCAGTTTAAAAAAACTAGTCTAGTTTACGGCGCATTATTTAGTGGCAGCGAGTTCAGTCAGATCCTAGTTCGAGTTCCAGAAAGCATTGTTTTTACACTATGGATTACTAAGGAAGTTCTCGAAGAGCGGCTCTCATATTTTCACAATGTCTGGCATCAATTTTGGCAAGTGTTTTATAATAGTCGTTCGAGAAAGTGCGTAGATTTTTTCGGCCTTTTTTGCACCGCACCGTGCAAGTTTCCTGTTCCCCGCGCGACGCGATCGTTTTCGAAACATTTTGCATTGTGCAATTTCGTTTTGTACGCCCAAAATTCGCGCCGACTCCGTTGAGAAAAGCTGGTGTCGCAGCGATATCGGGCTTGCACGGTGCAAAAGATCAAATGCACGCCACAAAAAAGTTTTTTGTGCGCGGTGCGGCGTACGACAAAAAATCTACGCACTTTCTGGAACGACTAATAAGGCACTTCCGAGATTTCTAATTCGCGCTTTGCGGAAGCGATCAAGAACCTTTGGCCGAAAGTTGACGAAACATTGTCGCTTTACCCTATTTTTTCTTGAAAAGCAGCAGCCCTATTTCTACTGTAGAAAGCAATATTCCGACGAAAAATTAATTTTTTCCTTACGGAATTTCCAACGTTATGGCCAAAAACGTTTTCCTCCATAACCGCTCTTTTTTTGCATGCTGTCCCAGCTGGAAAGATCGTTTCGAATCTCGGCTTCTTTTAGAAAATAAGAATAGAAAAGGTTATAAAATGATCGAGAAGTCATCCAACTTTGATCCCTTTTTTGCGCCTTCTTGTCGACGTCCCAATTACCCATCCAGTTACAACTCCTTTCCAATCAAATAAGCCTTCTCCTTACCTCACCGATGGGGATCATTTTTCCGTCGCTCAAATGGGTGTGCTGGCGTACGCAAGTGTGCTACAGGTAAGAAATTCAGTTAAGCCCGAGGCAAGGCTTCCAATAAGCAACGGAAAATGAAGTTAATTCGAGGGAAATAATCGGGGGCTGTGTTAAGTCATGTGGCGAATAATTAACTGGGATATATTGCTTCCTCTCGGCATTGAAGGCCTTCGGAAACAAATGCATGAAAGATTAGGGTGAAATCGTAGGAAATATTTGGTGAAAGCAACGGGAAAAAGTGAGTAATTTTTTTGGCTTTGCAAGTTACAAACGGGAGTGAAAAAATGTAGTTAGAATATTCGATGAAGCTTGTTTGAGAAGCAATTAAAAACCATAAATATTTCTTACTCATCCTCGCTAAAAATTCGATAAAAAGTAGCCTTAAAAAGACCCCGAAAAAATGAAATGCAAGTCTCAAGGTTTTAATTAAAAAGCTAACTACAAATCCCCTCTCTAGAACCTTCTCCATCTCTCGTCTTAACTCTGTAAAACGGGCTCATGAAGCATTACATTTTTTATCTCCCCTTTCTCAAATAATCCTTAATCCCCGACGAAAAAATCTACATAAAAAAATTTCAATTTAACGCCGAGAAAGCGGGTGAAACCGGACCACTTTTGTGCCCGGAGGGGCCACGTTTCGGCTTCACTTCATTTGCGGCAGAAGAGAGCGGGGAATTCTCCTCTCTTTTTTTCATTGGCCAGTAAATTTTTGGGGCATGAGGAGAAAGTTATTATTCGGTCGTAAACATAACGCGAGAGAAGGTACGCCGCAGGGCATGAAAGGTAAACACGCCAACATGCGATTTCGTGACGGTTTTGTGCAGGCGGGGGTGCGTGACTGTCTTGGGTTATGGAAAGTGCACTCTCGGCACAGGACTTACAGGAAAAACAGTACGAACAGTACAATGCTTGAAGAGCGAGGACAAGGTCTTGCGTAAATTAAGATGAAATTTCCCGGTAAAGACTGGAAGACATCAAAGTATTTTAATTTTATTGAGGAATTTATTCATACGACGGCTTATTTTACACTAGAAATTTCAATATGAGCGGGTTACAGATCCCTCAAAAACTGAGAACAAATTAAGCTTAGGATGTCCAAAAACGCATGCAATATCGTCACGCTCGCCTTAAAGTAATCATCAAGATTTTATGGTTGAAAATTTTCAACAATTCTCATATTTTTTGTCATTTTGAGCTTGAAAATTTCAGCCTTTGTTAGAACTAACGACATTAGTTTATCTACAAAAGTACAGTCGTTTTCGAGTAGACATAGAAAAATTACTTCAAAAAAGCGGGTTCCGTCTGTTCGACCTCCTCATTTTACGTATTCTCTCGCACAAATGCCTTGCTGGCACTGCAAAACATAAGCTGAAATTTTCAAGTTTCACAACACCTGTAAAGCTCCAAGAAAGTCGATATACTTAGACTAATAAAAAAGCTGTAACTGTAGGGTTGTTCTAGCAATGTGGTCGTCGTCTGATCACTAACGTTATACTGCCAACAGAAGTTCATTTAAAGACAGAATAAATACTCTACTAACTGAATGATTAAAGGCATTCTGCTCATGGCAAAAGTAGCTTTTTTAGAAAACTTTATATTTGTTATTCCAAAATTCTTTATTAGTTGAAATTTCAATTAAGGTAGTGTGTATTCTTCAGATCGGAATGTAATATTTGAAGTTTAAAAAAGTGGAACGGGAGCCTTTTACACTAATAAGGTAATATATAAATGGTTGTAAAATTTAACAGCTTTGTAAGGCTCAAGATCTACTTTCGGGTTATCAGCAAGTTTGTTAAAATAGGTTGTTAAGATTTTGTAGAAACTTGAGACGAATTGAGCTTAAATTTTTTTTGTCCATATCTGCGAGATTCTTAGGATTCTTAGCTTGCGCTTTGTAGATTTTGATGAAAATTTGAAACTTTCCCTGCGATCTTATCTACACAAAATTTCTGCGTTATTTCTACCGGTCATCATGCCAATGTTTTCACAAAATAAATCAATTGTTTCTACAGGAGATTGGCAAAGATATAGCCAAGAAAATTTTCGCGTTGATTGCTTTCCGCGGTTCGCGTACACTCCGACGGAAAAAATCTTTGAATGTATTGGTCCTTACAAATCGCGAGCTAAGATTTTCTGGAACTAATAACGCATTTAGACTAGTGTGAAAAAGCAAAAAAAAAAAACTCTGGACATTAAACTTTGAACACTTCCGTGTAATTTGCGCATATAATAACTCACCTCCCAGCCGCTGGCCATCTTGTCCAACCACTTGCCGCCTTTTTGATGACCACCGGATCTCAATCCCAATCTGAAATTCGCCGAAATTAAATTAAGATGGCAAGAATTAGGTCTACAAACGCGGAATCCCACCGAAAACAATCAGAAAAATAACGCGGCAAGCGTGAGAGTTAGAGATTAATCGAAAACATAAACCGAATGCACGAAGAAATTTTTTTCAGGTAAACCGCATCACACCTACACTTTAAATATTACTTCGCACACACCATCATGAACCCCTTGGGAACGTGCGAACACGTAATGGCCGACGTCGGAGGAGATCGCTTCCGGATTAGATAACAAGCTAAAATTCTTGGAGATAACGCAATTAAAATGTAGGGAAAATTGTGTAATAGTATTGGCAAAGGATCGGAGAGTATCTACAGAGGATTTATCGAAGTGCTACGCTGACAGGGGAAGTACTCCAAGTGCGACGCTCAGATTTTCATTAAATTTTGCACACACGTCTGGTATGGACTAAATATTAATTCCTAAAAGTTTTAACTCTCGCTTTGCGGGCGCCGCCGAGATATCTTTTTTTTTGCCGTCGAGAGAGCACGCTAAACGTGGAGAGCGGTCAGAGAGAAAAACGCTTTTTGGCCATAACTTTGGCAGTTTCGCGCGGAAAAATTTGATTTTTTGTGGAAACATTATCCTTTACGGTAGAAACAGGCATAAAACGTTTCGCGCCGAAATTCGGCAAAAAGTCCTAAATTTTCGCCGACTTTCGATCTAAAAGTCTCGGTTTTTTCTGCAAAGCGCGAGCTAGGATTGTCGCATATAACTTAGAAAAAAATATTCTAAATTTGTGCCAAATTTCATTTAAATCTGAGAGTCGCACTTGGAGTACTTTCCTTGTAAGTTTTGGACCAATTTTGGTGCAAATTTACAGAAAATTTTCTTGAGGAATATGTCATGCTTTTACCCCGCGTTTTACAGAAGACAACTCTCATAAAGTGAGGTGTAATTCAACCATACTTTAAAAATCTCTCAAGCTTTATTAGACCGTCGCACAACAACAATTCCCACTTCTGTTAAACAAAAAATCCGGGGTCTTATTTAGACATCAGCATCTATATTCCCAATTAACTATTTATTCTAACCAAGTCTGCCGTTTTCTATAATATTCCATATGTGGCACAGCAAACGAACTGTACGCCGGAGTACATAAAAGCCCGTTTAAATTCCCGAAGAGCCCGACATCCAGGTTTGGACGTGCTGAGGCGGAAACAAAGGGAGTTCCTGAAACATGGTCTCTAAGTGACTGAGCACAGGTTTACTCTCCCATAAACGGCTCAGCTTTCTCATTGTCACGGGGATTGGAAACGGAAGGAGAATATTGCTTTTTGAAATCGATTTTGATTAAAAAAAAGTTGAGAGTTTGATAAAAATTTATGCAAATTTTCAAGTACAAAAATGCTCGGGGATTTAAAATTTGAGGAGATGTTATGCCTCGGTTTCATATAAATTTCGAAAAAATTTGTTTTTTCCTTGCAAGATACCCGAAATATCCAACTAAATTTGGCATTGAGAGAGCACGCGAAATGAGGAGAGCGATAGAAAAATGTGTATTAGTCATATCTCTGCAAATTTCGTATGGAAAAAATGGTTTTTTATAGTTTGAATACTACATACACATCAAATTTTTTGCCAATATTCGACCAATAATCCCGATTGTATCCGTAAACCGCAAACTAAAAATTTTAGCACCACAGGAGAAGCGTTCGAAGTGTGAGGCTTAGATTTTAATTAAGCTTAACGCCGCTAATTTCCTTAAAGAACTCTCTTACTAACTGTTGCTTGTATTCAAAGGGCATTCTGATGCTGGAGTGTTTTTACCGAATTTCTGCAAAAAATTTAGCCTTTTTTCGATCATTGCCAGCCAAAAATATCCGTCCCCGTAACTGAATTTTTTGCCAAAATATCCGAATAGAATTCGTATTCGTATCTGTATCCAAATTGATGATTTTTGGCGGTAATCGATAAAGAATAGAATAAGTGATTCACTAGTGACGTAGATTGATTTTTGGTGATGCAAAAACAATCAAAATTGGGGAAGTTTTTTGTTGGATTACCATGAGAAATTTTAATAACTTTTTGCATCGAAAAAAGCAGAGTTTTTACAAAAAAATTGTTGTTTCGCGTGCTCGCTACCCGACAAAGATTGTTGGATATCTCGGACGTCAAAGTCAGCAAAACTTTTTACTGATCTATGGCCAAGGATCGAAATAAGTTCAGAATTTCAAGAGAATTTGGCCGCTCACTTTCGATTGAGCCCGAACTCTTCCCCTTTCCTGAACTCTACCCCAATCTGAACTCTCCCCAAAAATTGTGGAACTCCCCCTTTTTTGAACACTCCCCCATTTTGAAAATTGAAAAAACGAGGTGTGACATGTTATACGCTGGAATTTTTTTCAAATTGAAAAAAATGAGGCGTGACATTTCCATCGATTGAGAAAAATTAGGTGTCACATCTTATAAGATGTGACACCTAATTTTTCTCAATTTGAAAAAAGTTTCTATCGTATAAGATGTCACACCTCATTTTTTCAATTTTCAAAATGAGGGGGAGTATTCAAAAAAAAAAGGGGGGGGGGGTTCATTTAAAGGGGAGTGTTCAAAAAGGGGGAGAGTTCTGCCGCAACGCTCACTTTCTGCACTTCCTTTCTAAAAACCTTCAAATCGTATGCAATAAATTTCAAGTTTGATCTGAATCAGTGACTTGTATTATATTTTCTAGCCCTATGCTTCCCAACCATCACAAAAAAGAGTCCCAAAAAGAATGACCAAAACATGACGACGAGCCGACAATTACGTTTGCAAATAAATCAAACACCCCGAAAAGACGTATGCATGTTTTTCGCGGCCGACATTGTGAAATGTTGATGTCCTCGGAAATTAAAATATGCCGTCAAAAACGATGCAAGTACGCGCCGCGAAAGCCGATAACAAAACGAAAAAAGAAGCACTCATTTCTTACACTGCCATTGTAATTTATTGCTTCTTTTACATATAATATTTGGATTACATAAAATTTCTGGCTTATGGTAATCTTATATAGCTATATTACTACAACAATATATATTATAATATATGTGCATGGTATATGCATGCAATTTTTGTACTACGCTGAACTTGGTATGTACTGTGATGGAAGTTGGTGGATTTCGAAATAAACTGTTTTTCCGTGAACGCCGCAGGGGTTTTGTTTAGACTCGCAAAGGCTGTGCAAATTTTAAACCCCAACGAATTTCCAGTTTTCCTCTTATTTTCCATATTATTTTCGTTACGTGTAGACGGATATTGGAGTGTATTATTGGATATTGGAGACTGAGGACAGAGTTAACAGGTAAGCTCTTATATGCATTAAAATCTATGTAGATATAATGCGCAAAGAAGCATGAAATTATTTGGGCATAAAGCTCGCTCTTTACAGGGATATAATACCTCATTGTCAACATAGGAGTCACAGACAGGCTTTTTCCAAATTATGAGTCCGTGATACGAAAAAGGTCACAATTCATTTTGCAAAAATGTTATCTTGTGCCTTACAGAAGTGATGTTCAGAAATCCTTTGCTACAGCCGGGTACCCAAAATTGGCCAAGGAGAATTTTTTTTTTCGTTATTCCTTTGCAAGTACTGCATGAAAAAATATAAAAATTTACTGTACAAATTTTACTCTCTTCTAGGCGCAAAAATCTATAGACCTTTCGCCAGCTTTAGCCAATTTTTTACGATAGATCCATCTCTTTCTATGTATAATTTTTAGACCCAATCATGGCATTCGACGCGATGGACAAGACAAACTTTGTGGTTTGCGGTAAATTGCATCTGAAACCCGCAGCCCGAATCGTTTCTCTCTGCTTATTATGTTTCGTATTCGTCGATATTGTCTTCTCCTTTGGTCGTAATACCGCAGCCATGTTCTACTCCTGGATGACTGCCTGCTTTTCCATCGGAATTTACGGAGCGCTTGTTTATGCAGTGTTTAAGGAGAAGAGAATGTTTATGTTGCCTTATTTGATCTTCCAGGTAAAGCTTGGCATTTAAAAGAGTTAATGCAAATTTTAGACAGTATTCATTGGATTCCTGACACTTTTATTGCTCGTATTTACTATTGGAGCAATGTTTTCGAATGAGCTGATGAGGAAGTTGAGCCGGGATATAGGAGCAATCGATGAAGCGGCAGGCCAAGAGGAACAGGCAAAAGGTGAGAAAAATATATAGTAAATTAACTGTGAAGGTCACCTAATTTATAGTCGTGTTCGATTAGCGGGTCTGCTCTACACAAGGCATGTATCCGTACTTTAAAAATATTGCTTTTGCTTTGTAAGTGCGGTCAAGATTAACGGCTTTTTTAGAGGCCAAAATAGAGGCCATAGGAAAACTTTTTGCCCATATCATTGCTGATTTTTGATATCAAGCTTCTTCGTTGCAAAAAAATTGCCTTTTCATCAAAAACTACGTTCTAATTTAAAAAAAATACACCCCAAAAAAGATGCTGTTCCACCTAGCTTTGCCAAGTTTTGAGCAAAACACATTTGGCCCATTTTACTTTTAATTTACCCAGTATCTGAGCCCCTAACCTTAATCTTTCAGAATACCGAGCATTTGTCATCTTCTTTTTTGTTTTCCTCACCTTATTCCTGTCATGCCAAGCCTACTTCCTCAGCATCATTTATCGGTTCTTCATCTTCCTCCGAGAGCGGGAAACGAGCTTCAACTTCAACGTGGATAATGACTTCCAGCTTTCGGAGTGATTTTGACTAATCCATGTGTATCATAGTACATTACTTTTATAAATATAATATATTATTTATAATAAATAAATTTAAATTTTGGCTAGAGTATATAAATTTTTACTACTACAAGTTTATATACAAGTACGGAAATAAATCAGAATGAGATATGAGTGGAGGTATTGGACGATCAATTATTTAGAGAAATGAAGAAATCGTTTGGTTCGATTGAGAATTTCGGCGACGGCGGTTTCTGCGAATTTTACCAAAGTTGCGGTAAAGTCGTCTCGGATCGGCTGCTGTGTGGAGGACTGCTGAATTTGAAAATTTTAGAGCGCTGTAACTACCATTCATAGCCTTGAGTCTCAAGTTCTTACCAATGAGGCCTACAGTTAAACCTTTGTACAGCGATACCTGTTCATAATGAACCGTTTCGGAAGTCCTTTTTTTACTACCTGACAATTCGCTGTACAGAGGCTTCACTGTATTTAAAATACATTTCCTTCTTACCCACGTCTTCGGAGCGAACGCCTTGGTCGGACGGATTCTTCTCGCACTCAAAGTCACCTTTTTGGTCTCAACTTTTTCTTCAGGTAGTGATGGCTTTGTATAAGTCTCTTCATCAAACAGCGGAGCTTCTAGTGTGTCCGTAAAGACTTGACGACCAGTTCCGGAAAGCCTTTGCGGACCCAGTAGCTAAAATGATAATGGGTTTAGTATCAACCTAAATCCAAAACGATGTGTTGTTGACTTGGGCCAAAATTTGGTAAAAAACAGGCTGTATGGGCCACATTTCGATGCTTAAAAAATTTTTTTTGTTTTACAGGAACCGAAATGATATTTAACAATGCTTTCCGTAGAGAGAGGACGCCAAATGCAGACAAGTTAAAACACGATTTCTGACTCGGTGAATTAGCCGTGGACATAGGAAATTTTCGATTTTGAGATTTACAGCTGAATATGACCGCACCCATCATATAATTATGTCCCTGAAGCCTTTTGCCCTAATTCCCCCGTTAACCTAGTTTTATTTACAATTTAAGCAATTTACAGTAACGTCAAATAACTCAAAATTGAGAAGACACAGAGGCGTAAAACTGTTGTCATATATGTTTTTGGGTACTGGGAATCCAACGGAGGCGGTTTTGGGTCGAAAAGATTACTGTAACATAGCAAACTTGCGATTTGGCCGCACAAAATCGGCCGTAAAAAAGTTGTTTCTGAAAACCCACAGCTGGATTTTTGATATGTTGATCAGCATAAAATTCTGCCCTAGAAACATTTAAAAAAAGTCCAAAAATGCGGGGGGCTATTTTCGTGGTATAGTGGATTTTGACAAAATCTACCAATCTGACGTCCCGAGTTCGAGCCCGGGTGGACGCAAATCGCTTAGAATTGGTCGGGAATGACTTTAATGGCGGGGATATGGAAGATTGAATTTATTTCAGGTGATTTTGATAACATTCTGGCAATTTTCAGATTTTTTGGTCGAAAAAAGGCGAAAATACAACTTTTTGACAAATCGTATTTTACACGGCTCTTTTGCGTTCATGACAGAATAAGAACTTATATTTAATCGTTTGAAGGGTTTTTCGGCAATTAAACCCGTCAAAAAAATTTTTTTTTAATGTTGTACTTGACATCTGATAAGCAAGCAGTGCATGGACCTTCCAGCTTGTAATTTCTTTCGCTCTGACTTGACAAATTGTCTGCAAAGGTCATAACTAGCATCAAATTTAAATTATTTCACGGCTAACAACAAGAAATCTAGTTTGAAAATGAATTTTTCTCCGCATTTCATCGATTGTTCTATAGAGGGAAATCACTTCGATGATGAACCGTTTTCTGAAAAAAATGTGAAATATGGTCATAAAACAGTGAATTACGTTGTCATTAGCCAAATTTCGTTACTACAGATGCCTGCAAGAGGCAAAATTAACAGATACCTAGTATAACATCTAAATACTCAGAAAATGGTTTCTACTTGTTGGAGACACCTTAAAAACACTACATATAAGTTCTTATTCTGTCATGAACGCAAAAGAGCCGTGTAAAATACGATTTGTCAAAAAGTTGTATTTTCGCCATTTTTCGACCAAAAAAGCTGAAAATTGCCAGAATGTTATCAAAATCACCTGAAATAAATTCAATCTTCCATATCCCCGCCATTAAAGTCATTCCCGACCAATTCTCCGATTTTGTGCGGCCAAAGCGCAAGTTTGCTATGTTACAGTAATCCTTTCGACCCAAAGCCGCCTGCGTTGGATTCCCAGTACCCAAAAACATACATGACAACAGTTTTACGCCTCTGTGTCTTCTCAATTTTGAGTTATTTGACGTTAATGTAAATTGGTTAAATTGTAAATAAAACTAGGTTAACGGGAGAATTAGGCCAAAAGGCTTCAGGGACACACTTATATGATGAATGCGGTCATATCCAGCTGTAAATCTCAAAATCGAAAATTTCCTATGTCCCGGCCTTGCACACGGCTGATTCAGTGAGTCGGAAATCGTGTTTTAATCTTTTGTGAGTTTCAAATGGTAACAGCAATAAAGTATCATATACTAGCCTACAAAGACTTGCAGAATTTTTGGTATACGACGAGAGAATGTCGTATGTTTTTGTAAACCACAAGTTAAAAACTTCTCGTATGCCTTCGGAAAACTCATATTAGGTCGTCCAGAAAGTTTGTTCGTTTTTTGCTGCTTTGTTTTACAAGCATTGTTTGTTCTTTGGAAAATGCAATATTTGATACAGCTTTTTCTCCTCTACAAAACTGGCTGTATCAAATAGATATACATGCCATGTGTACCCTGTGCCAAGCAACAAACAATCCTCGTAAAACAAAGCAATGATAAAAAAACGAACGAACTTTCTGGGCGACCTAATACTAATGCTCCATCTTACATAAAGATTCAAGTCTTGAACTTTCAGTTTCATAGGGCAATAATATGTAATACCGTATTTTAGAATCCATTTCAAAACTTACAGGCATTGCCACACATCCTTGTAATAGACATAGCGCTACAATACAGTACAAGTAATAACCGTCCATTGATTCCAAACTTTTAGCCCACTTCACTTGCAATGAACAAGTCTATGTACTCAAAGGCAGTAAGAGTGACCCGAAGGTTTCGGTCTCTAATATGCGTTGCGCAAACAATGACCAAAACCGGAAAAATGTCTCAAGAAAAGTGCGTTGGAGTCGGTCGCGGTTAGGAAGTCGCGACTAGTTTTCCGAAACACTGTCGCGCATTTTACGGAGCTTCCTTTTTTGGGTTGTTGCAAGCCGTAGCATGGTCGGATAAAGTGTTTAGTGCTAGAAGGTAAGCCTTCAACTTTTTGGGGATGCTTGTAAATGTAGTCTAAGTATGTACACTTGATACTATATTTGTATCGTATCACGTGTACTATTAATTTTTTCGTCCATATATCAGGGTTCGTTGTATGAGGTTTATTTACAATGGACGCCGAAAATCAAAATCGTTTTAGTGAGGGTAGAAAATTCAATTTTTATACTTTTAATTTACAGTGGAAGCTGCACAAAATACCCTGCTTGAAATTGGCAAAACTTACCATGAATTAAACATATGTAGAAACTCTTCAATTTACGCTATGTAGAAACAACCGAGACCTTTCAGACGCATATCTAATATATGCTAGAAAGCCGACCATATTTCTCCCTCTGCGCCTAGAATTTTGAGAATTTGGCACTCTGTTTCTATCAAGGTTGAAGGCGATGCCACTAGAAATCAACTGTTTTGATGTGTAATTTGCAGAGCTATAGCAAAAATATCTTTATTCTCGAACCTCTTTCCGCATTTTCGTACCTTCTAAACGGTCGCTGAGTAGCACAACTTTCCCTATAAACTGCGAGCTGAAATTTTAAGAAGTGATAGAATTTTTGGTAGTGTCTAAACGTAGCAGACAAAATGTGTCGTCTTTGAACATCTTCCATCCATGTCAAAGCTGTCCTGACACGACGCACGACCGAGAAATTTTAAGCTTTGTTCTTGACCGGCCTCAACATTTACAACATTACTTTCCTTCATAATTCCAGAGTCCACACTAAACGCGCTTTCATCATAACCGCCAACCAACACCACCACCCGACCACAACGCGCCGCCATCACGTTGCGTGGGCGAGGCGTGTGGTCGCGGAGACCATATGCCGACGGCGCTTTATAATCGCCCGTTTGTGATTTCAATTCACTTACTTTTCTTCGCCTTCCACTTCACTATGGGACAACTCAGGTGGTGTGATTACATGGCGGCAATTGGACAGAGGACCGAGGAGTGTGAGCCGGATTCGAAAAGTTTGGAAATTCAGCGACAAGTGGAGATGAGTAGGTGATACTAATCTCAATTTTGAAGCCGAATAATGAATATTTCAATAAGCTACTGTCATCGTTTTTTTCAGAGATACCGTATCCCGACTACAATCTATGTACTGGCCACTATGGTTATTGCTACGCTTCAGAGGAGTGTGAAAGCGGGACGGTGTGTAAACAAACTTTTACGGAGAGGAAGTGCTGCACCTCGCCTTACAGTCAATGTCCGAGCGTCGATGAGCTTGGATATACATGTCTCAAACATCATCCCACGAATTGGTAAGCACTCAAAGAGAAAAATCATTCTTTTTTACGCGAAATTCGAAGAGACATGGCCGGTAACGACTGTTGATTACTGTGCTTGTCACGGCAAAGAGAAGCTAAAATTCTTAGGGAATAATGTTTGGTATAGTAACTAATTTTGTGCGAGATTTAAGAAAATTTTAAGCCTTGCCCTTCGAGCACTCGCTCTTTGAATATTACTCATTTCCACAATTTCAGGTGCCTCCGCGACGACGACTGTGACCCGGCCCGCACCAACCGCTACCTCTGCTGTCCGACCGGCTGCAATTACAACGTGTGTGTGCGGTCGCGCGGCTATCGGCCCAACCAGCTCGCCCAGCAGATCAGCATCATGCAGGCCGCCAACAACGGACTGGGTAGGTTGGACGAGCCGGGCTTCCTGGTCTATCCGATCCTGAAAAGGAAGGACCCGCTCATAATACCGCACAAACCGCCCACCTGGCAACAGAACAGCATTGTGTGGAATTATGAGAAAGAGAGGGAGTTGGCGCGCAAACGACATAAGGTAGAGGACAGAAAAGTTTAGGGAGTGCTGTGTGTGGGCGGGAGTGTAAATGCGGTTGCTGGTGGGGCTGGGCACGAAATTTTCGAAGATTGAGAGTAATGAAGCTAGGCGGCTTCATGATTCAACTGGAGCTGTTTTCAGGCTTAGAACCAAAGATTTTGGCCTTGATTTTTGCCGCTGAAATCTCTGTTATGGGTGCTTAATACTCAAATAAATTTGTGGCCATTTTAAATATCATGAATTACTATATCATCTATATTCTTGCTAACACGTATTTTACCATTCACCTAAGACTTTATAACTCTCAAAAACTTGCACTTGCAGCACTTGCTACTTCAACTAACCCTTAACTTTTGCCCACCTTTAGGAGTTGTTCGCGTCCCTTCAACGTGTCCGTCGGCGCTATCGCTGGCAGTGACCTGCCAACGACACTACAGTCGTCGTCGTTGGCGCCCAACTACCTCATGGTGCAGCACGCACGACGATTGTCGGCCGTCGCGGCACGGTGACCGCAGTTGTTGCTCCACGCCGTGTGGCTACAGCCTGTGCGTGACGAAGCTGAGTGGAGGGACTTGGTTCATTGGCTGAGACGTTGGCGGCGCTCGCTGTGCGGCATTTTTGTCTTGTTGCATCGACACAACGACGGGTCCAGAAATTAGAATAAACATGATAGAAAGTTTTAGTAATTTTTATATTGTCATAAAATTTTTTAGCTAATAAATTATTATGTAATTATAAAGAAAATGCTTTGCTTTCTGTTTATTTAAAAAAAATTTTTTTAGTAAAATAAATAAAAATTTTTTTGATGATTTACGTTTATATCCATAAAATCGGAAAATGCATAAAATTTAACGTTTTTCTCCATAATTTTAATTTTTGATACCATAGTCATCAAAAAATTGTTTATGCTTTGTCCATGACAAGTCGCTAAAATTATGACCTTCAATACTTTAATTCCATTTACGTTTTCATCCACAATTATCGAATAACCCATAAAATTTAACGTTTTTCCGATAGCCTCGGAATTCGAAAAATTGCAATCAAAAAACCAATATAATGTGAGACCACTATCGGTCACGACTGTCCATCAAACGCTCGTTCTAGCGGCTTTATTTTGACTGACCATTCGAACCTCGTGTTTGTTCAAGCCCCATCCCTTCTCCAAAAACCAATTCGAACCATTGCCTCAAACTTTTTTAAAACGGCTAGTATTCTGAGGTCTTAATTAGGACATATAGCACTTCATTTTTAGTATGTTCATTTTGATTACTTCCTCATCTTTGTGACCAAAAGCGTTCAAAATCGAAAAATAAAAATTTTTCTTCTTCATAATCCCTTTGAACCCCCATTCCCCATGCTAAAACCTTGCGAAATTCTCGGAACCATCGATGTACCGATAAACCCTGATTCATCTCATCAACTGCTTGCTCTTTTCCCCACATTAAACATGCAAAATAATGGAATTTCCCCCAACTTTGCACGAGGTTTTTGCTTATATAAACGGAAAGTTCGTGGACTAAATTTGTTTCCAGAATGCAGCGATATTTGGTTTTGTTGGTTGGCGCAGTCGTTGGCGCGCCGGATCTGGAGTTCGCAAGAGTTAGCCCTGGCCCGGACTCTTCGGCGCAATTTCGCTCAGCAGTTTTGCCAAGGATCTTCGGAGGGCAAGAAGTGAGGACACCGCTTGTTGTGGTAAGCGGTGAAATTTACAGAGGAATTACTCGAAATTGAAGACGCAGAATTTCACGAAACTTGGTACAAATTGACAATAACGCTTCCGAAATCTGGTGCGGTATTCTTATCCCTCACTTTGCAGAAAAAATTGGATTTTTCACCGCGAAATTTAGCAAAAACCAAACAGTTTTTTATCACTGTTTGGCACACAAAATGTTAGGTCTATATCTCTGCAAACTTAGGGCAAGGTACCTGCCAAAAATCTTTTTTTTTTCAGATAAAATGGCGAAGGTAGGGCCGAAAAACATGACTTTTTCGAACAGCTCTCTGAATTTAAGTACTCTCCCGCTTGCAAATCCCACCTAACATCTTGTAAGCACCCGCTAAAAACGGGCTGAGATCTTTTGTGATTAAATTTCAGACTGTGTACTGGAAGGCTACAAAATTATTAGAAAAAAGCCCCCCTCAAACTTCCCATATTCCACATTTTCAGACCGGTCCATACGGCGCGCGGCAAAAGTACTACAAGCCTCGCAACCGAACTGTCTCAAATTCAAACCCATCAGAACAACAGGCCGACTGCCCTACCTCTCCATTCATCACATATCTCAGCAAATCTCAGCAAGAAGAACTGTTCAAATTGGTGAGGAATGCCAGATCTCAGAATGCCGATGAGACCTCAGTAAAGTCATTGATGATCGACTTTATGCGTCAAACATTGGATTCGACAAAGTTTTCGCAATTCGAAGCCGAGAACAGAGAGTTTGAAAAACAAGTCATCGTCAGGCCAGTAGCTCCAGGAAGAGGCAAAAGGGCGACAGATGTGAGGAGGATCATCAAAAGGAGACCAGAGAGACATGTTGTTCGGGTAGGTCATGTAAGAAGAAGGAAGTTTTGAACGGCTCGGATTTCCTTTAATTTTTAATTTCTGAGAAAAATAGCTTGCGCTTTGCCTGGGTTGTCTAACAATTCAACAATTTGTGTCAGCAAGAGAGTGTGCGTTATGTGGGGAGCGGCCAGGAAAAGAGTCATTTTCTTCTCAAAGAAAAGTTATGGCCTCTAGAACTGTTCGAATATATCAAAATGGGTGGGGTTTCTTTCACCAAAAGCATTACAGAAAGGAAGATTGAAGTCTCCTCTAGATCTTCCCCAACCTAGAATTGTCATCTCATGGCAAAAAACAAGATAAGAGCAATTACATTATTCATGGTGTAAGTGATCTTATCCGTAAATTCTGTTCTTTCTCTGAAATAAAAGGAACATTTTTGGTGTGAAATGAAAGAAGAACACCTCCTCTTACTATGATAACTTATAGTAGCCATTTTTCTGCCCACCTTCGTGGATACCGCAAAAAATGAAAATTTCTTCGGATGAGAAGAACTTGACACATCAGGGAAAGACTTGGTGTCAACCTGCAATTATGACATAGCTTAAGCCAACTATGTCACCGATTTTCGGGCTAAAAATGTATGTTATACTTTTGTAGTGCGCAAGCTAAAAATGTCGTATGTCTCTTGGGAAATGCCAACCTTATTTTACACAAGATTTATTCAATTTTGACCACATCTACCTTCAACATTAAAAATCTTCTTTTTTCAGAATCAACGAGAAGTCTATGACATTGAAGAAGGCGCCCGAATTACAAATGAAATTCCACTTCATCGATTGCCAGTGGTATAAATCCCTTGTCGAGAACATTGGTCTTGGAAACATGACTTTATTAGCATCACATTTGACTAATCTATTTATTTATTTACAATTCCATTTCTTGTCTGTATATACGTCGAATTTCAGTTCAAAGATTAAAAGTGTAATCTCAAACATCGAGGGTTTCTATGGCAAAAAGTGCAGAGGAATCAGTGCAAGGAAGTATTAGATGTCAAGAGAACTTACAGGGGATGTTCTCAAAGGGCGACGCTCAGATTTTATTTTTTATTTTTTAGTATTGCACATGTGTTTTGCTAAGTTCACGTATAAGTTACGGATGTTTTTAAATAGCAGGTAACAGAAAATTTGAATTTTTTTTAGATGAGAGAGCATGCGAAATGAGGAGAGCTGTCAGAAAAAAGCCAGTTTCTCGGAAAAAACTTAATTTTCTGTGGAAAAAATCCATCACTACAGTATGTAAAAATGGGACAAATTACTCTAAATTTGCGCCAAGTTTCATCAAAATCTCAACGTCATCTTTGGAGAATCTCCCTATAAGCGAAAGCATCAGCAACTACAACTGTTTTACAACCTTGTCTGGCTCTAACATCTGCACTGATCAAAGATCCTTCTGTCTACCCGTTAGTCATACACATAGTTATAATACTTTCGATGCCATGTCTTAGAATTAACCAAGTCTTAGAACTTCTGAATGTGAGGAACCGGCGTTTCCACGCTCACTTCTTCCATTGGGATCTTTTCGCTTTGTTTCTTCCGCGCCTTTTTCTCATCACTCTTCCTTCCGATGTATTTCATCACTTTGTAGCCCAGATATTGTATAAGCAAGAAGAGGAGGACGGCAACAATCACTGAGCCCGTCTTCAGGAAGCCAAACACCATGTCGAAAAAGTGCTCAACGTGTTTTTTGAGAGACTCTTCGCCCGGAGAAAGGGTTGAATTTCCATGGTTCACTACTGAAAATAGAAGGTTTTTGAAAAAAATCAAATTATTTTCCTAACAAAGGTACCCCAAGTGCAACGCCCAGATTTACCTTATTGTTAGATTTTGCACACACATTGGGCGTGAAATAAAAATTAATTCCTGAAAGTTTTAGCTCGCGCTTTGCAGACGTCGCCGAGATATTGAACGATTTTTTTCGCCGAGAGAATACAGGGTCTTACAAAAAACGTGAAAGAAAGTCGGAGGCTATAACTTCTGGTGGAGGCGGCGCAGAGACTTCGTTTTTGGAATACGTATTTTAGCCAGATTTTAAAATTCAAACTAAGGTCGTTACGACCTTCTGAAATAGGGGCATTCCTACCCCGAAAACTAACGTGGAGTACTGAACGTGGTAAACGGCCAGAGAGAAAAACACTTTTTGGCCATAACTTTGCAAGTTTCGCGCAGAAAACATTAATTTTTTGTGGACATATTACCCTCTATGGTAGAAATAGGCATGAAACTTTTCGTGCTGAAATTCGGCAAAAAGTGTCAAATTTTCGCCAACTTTCGATCTAAAAATCTCGGTTGTTTCTGCAAAGCGCGAGCTAGAATTCTCGCATATATCTTAGAAAAAATTATTCTAAATTTGTGCTTAGTTTCATCAAAATCTGAGCGTCGCATTTGGAGTACTTCCCTTGTAAATAAACTTACTGATATGCGTATTTTCAATCTCAATTGACCGTCCATTTGCCAGTAGCACATATCCCGTTAGACAGACAAATATTAAAAAGAATATCCCAGCCATTTTTTTTGAAATTAGACGGCCCTTTTACCCGGCTCGAATACCTTTGAGCGATCAAGGAAATTGTTAGCTCGCGTTTTTCTCCCTTTTGCAACCCAGTCGCGCTCCCGTCTCATCGTTTTCTTTCTCGCTCAAGGCCAAAGGGAAAGGTGAACGGAGGCAAAAAAAAGTTAGTTACACCATGGAGAGCGTCGTTTTTGTTTTTCGATTCGTTTGAATTCAAATGGGAAAACGAAGAAATAGATGACCAAATAAGGAGGTTTGGATGACCATGAAATGGACAATGGGGCGAAAAAATAAAAGAAAAATTAACTATAGAAGAATGAAATTTTAATTTTTTTACTTGGCAAAAATTTAGATCACAATTTTTAACACATACGCAAGAGATGCAACTTGTTCTGTGCAAGACCAAATAGCTGAGATTTTTAGTTCGAAAGTAAAAATTTGATGAAATTCCCCGCTTTTTTGCGAATTTTCTGTTCAATTTTTATCACGGTATGTAATGTTTCCACATTTATTTTTTTGTAGAATCGACAAAAATATTGGAAAAAAGCGTTTTTTCTCTAAATGCTCTCCGTGTTTCGCATGCTCTCTAGTCAACAAATTCGTTGATTATCTCGGCTGCCTTTGCAAGGCAAGAGCTAAAATTTTCAGTTATTCTTACCTATTCTAAGCATGTTTATTGTCAGCAAAAAATTTGAAAGAAATCTGCCATCGCTTTCATAAATTTGCTATAAAAAACTTACTTTATTGAAATTTTAACAATTCTTTTCCACACATTTAACGCCCAAATTCAGTTTCTCAAAATTTTATTATTATAGGCACCTTGCAATCGTAATTTACATTCAAGCAAAAAAGTAATAAAAACAAAAAGAAAATACCAAAAATATGACACCGTAATGAGTTTTCTTGTAACCGAGACTCCTGGAGAGTAATGAGATAACAATTGTCATACCGGTAGAGTACAAAAAAAATTTGGAAATCGGGATTTTCAAAAATTAAAAATTTTTTTTAACTAAAAAAAGATAAAAAAAAATTAAAATTTTTTTTATGCTCTACCAGTATTCCCTTCATACTATACATTCTTAAAGCAACAATAAAAAAAAATAAAAATTTAGCACTCAAAGTCTTTTTAAAATTCAAAAAATCCTAATTTGGAAGCTCACCGCTTCTTATCGAAAAGCCCGTAGATGAGAGGATTGACAATGGGATTAACAACGATCAACGAGTTGAGGAAAGGCAGCGTAACTGAAGCCACTTGTTTGAGGGTGCCCTCGGATGGGGCTAGAGTGTTCATGACGGCCAGAAGATTGTAGGGCGTCCAGAAGGTCAGGTAGGCCACGATAATGAAGGCGGCTTGACGTTTGGCGCGCTGAAAAATTGAAGGCAATTACTTTCTTTAATTTTTGGATTTTCAAAAAAAGGGAAAAATAAATTGAAAAATATAATTTTTAGGTCAGAATCAAAATACAGTTTGAGATTTACAAGACAGTTCAAAACGTGGGAGTTTAAAAGTGAAATAAAATTCGAATTTACAGGAGAAGTACCGCAAATACGACTCTCAGATTTTAATGAAACTTAGCGCAAATTTAGAATAATTTTTTCTCAAATATATGCGAGAATCCTAGCTCGCGCTTTGCAGAAACAACCACGATTTTTAGATCGAAAGTTGGCGAAAATTTGACATTTTTTGCCGAATTTCGGCACGAAAAGTTTCATGCCTATTTCTGTAGTAGAGGGTAATATTTCCACGAAAAATAAATTTTTTCCGCACGAAACTAGCAAACTTATGGCCAAAAACCGTTTTTCTCTCTCTGACCTCTCTGACCGCTCTCCACGTTTAGCGTTCTCTCTCGGCGGCAAAAGTTGTTGAATATTTCGGTGGCGCTTGCAAAGCGCAAGCTAAAACTGTTAGGAATTGATATTTAGTCTATCCCCGACGTGTGCGCAAAATTTAAAGAAAATTGATATTGTTTTCGATTTTTGGCTTGTAAATCAAAATCGATGTTGCAATAATTTTGGTTTTTTTGGCATCAAAAACCAATTTTAAAATTCTTTTTGATGACTTTTCGAACCCCTTCCTCACCTGTCTGGCCAATGTAATTGTCTGCAGTGCGAATTGCCCGACCATTCTTGGCGTCGCAATTGAACTCCGATGAGTTCCATTGCTTCCATTTTCCAGTTTCAGCGAGCTCCCCGACATTGAGCGGTCTCGATAGCTGGACAAACTCTTCTTCTTCTCCACATTCAAACAGTTCGTGGTGGCGTCCGGCTCTTGTCGTAGCGATACCACCAGAGATGGGGGTACCTCCGCCACGGAGGGACGGGGTGTGGTAGTGGGAGTCTTGGCCTCACAATCGTAGGAATTGGTGGGACTGGAGGGCTTTTTGTAGCGTCCGCTGGTGAAAAGGCACTCCATTAGGCTGGATTTCCAGGTGGATTCTGAAAAATTGAAAGGGTAAAATTTGCAAAAATAAGAAAAATTTTCAAAAAAATGGTGACAAATTAATTTTTCTTAAAAAAATCCAAAAAATTGGTCATTATGACATAAAAATTCGATAATTAGATGTTTGATTATGTCATCAAAAAAATTTTTTTTTGCAAAATTGAATTTAAATGTCATCAAAATAAAATTTTTTTTATTAAAAAAAATTTTTTTTTTAATTTCAAAAATTTTTTTTTTATTTTTTTTCAAAATTTCAAAAATTAATCCCAAAAAATCCCAAACAGTACCATGTCGAAGCATACCTCCCACACTCTTCGGCGTAAACTGATTCAGCAGGCAAAGCACCAACGCATACGAGGCAACAATGATTAAGGCGGGTACCCAAAACACGAACAACAAATGCGCAATGTTGTAGATGCGTTCCCAACGAAGCACCTGATGGAATCGCTCAATGAGGTCTTTGTTTTCGATTGGCGTCAGCTTTTGCGTGCTGATTTGGATGTCGATTTCGTAGCTGATTATCGTCCACACCGGGGTGCACTGTCTAAAACGAGAATTTATTTTCTTTATTTTTTATTTTTTTTAATATTGAAAAAACTTAAAAATTTTTGTTTTTTACTATGCCAAAATCACAAAAAAAATCTCAATTTTTATTTTTTTTTTCATTTTTCTAAAATTTTCCCAATTTTTTTCTTCGCATTTACCGTAGGCCAGACATCTTTGGCGAAGTGTTTTGGCGTATTATTGGAGAATGCTAATAGTTTTGCAACACAATTTTCATTTCTTTTTTGGGAGCCGTTCCCACTGTTCTTAATTATATATTAATTTATGCAAAGGCTCGAGGGGAATGAGCAAAAATGAAAAAAACTGCTAACTCAACGAGGAAAATTTTGGCAAAAATTTTTTTTTATTTTTAAAATGTAAAAAAATTATAAAAAAATACAATTAATTTGCATTATTAAAAAAATAAAAAAATTTTATATTTAAAATGTAAAAAATATATAAAAAATTGAAATTAATTTTTATTATTAAAAAAATAATTTTTATTATTTAAAAAATATTTTTTTTATTTTTAAAATATAAAAAAATTAAAAAAAATTGAAATTCATTTTTATAATTAAAAAAATATTTATTTTTATTTTTATCAATTAAAGTAAGTTCTCTGATTTTTCAGACATCATTTTCTCTCAAAAATTTATTTCGAATTAAATATTTCAGGGATTAAAGAAACGAATTCCAAAATGATGTCCCGTTTCCTTATAAACAATAATCCCCTCAGGGCCGATTCCCTTCGAGACATTGGGCATTCGCAAAGGGATAATCTACAGAGACTCCCACAGTGTTACACGGGAACATGGCTGTGAATTTTGGTGGAAAAAATGCGAAAATATTAGAATTCAAAAATTTTTATTTTTATTTTTTGTTCCTCTCTTGATAAAAATTCTTAATGCCTAGAGGCATTCGCCAAAAAACAAAAAGGAAATGAAAGATTCAAAAGTTAAAAAATAGTAATTTTTTTAAATAAAATTTTCAAAAAATTATTCTTTGACTTACTTGAAATTCCCCATGCCCGGAGGCTCGAAAACTCGGAAGACGAACGACTGTGGGACACTGAGGAAGAATGCGAACACCCAGGCCACCACCAGCATCTTCCAACATCGCATATACGAGCGGCGAGAGGCTTTTAGTGTACTAAAAAAGAAAATATTTTTTTTTGATAATAAAAATTTATTTTTGATTTTTTTTATAACTCACCTCAAATTGTAGGTGCCAAAAACTCGATCAATGGCAATGCAGGCAACAACGAACGAATTTAGGTAGAACCCGAAGGTGTGGAAGAATTTGCAGAGACGGCAGAGAAAGTCGCCGCCGTACCACTGAAAAAATAAAAAATTTTTATAAAACAGCTGGAAAAACATGACGAAAATTTACTACATGATATTTTAAAAGATATATGAGATCCTCAAAGTCTTTTAGCTGCTATTTTACCTCAAATAATCAAAAAAAATTTTAATTTTTTCGAGATTTATTATACAAACTTATTAATAAAAAGTTTCCCTACTTGATATGTGACCATCCAAATGATTTGTGAGGTGGTGTAAACGAACATTGTCAGCAAGTCCGCGATGTTCAAATTCAGCCTCAACAGCGTGATCTGCGCGGCGGAGCGTGCCGCGGTCGCCGAGTTCTTCGTTTTCTTCATGTTTTTGAGGAGCCGGTAAAAGGAGACGGCGTTTAGTGGGCCACCGATCAACAGGCATACTGTGTAGATGATTATTTCTAGCTGGAAACAAAGAAAATTATAATCTACCATAACGTATTGTACTTGAAAACTCAAAAAATCAAATTTTTAGGTACTTTCAAAATTTTTGCTTTAACAAAAAATGAAATTAATTAAAATTTAAAAAAAATTTTTTTTTGAAAATTTTTTTATGCTATCTTGTACCAACTAGCTTTTTTTATCACCTATCAGCCCTTACCATCTCCGTAAACGACCGCGTTGGCATGGCGGGCGCCGTCGGCGTCGACGACAGCCATTCGCTGTCATTGTTCATCTAAAACATTCGCATGAAAAACAACGCAAAAACAGGACAATTCGAACGGAAAAGTTCATCACGAACGTCCCTCATTAAAGGCGCGGAACTCGAGAAAAATGTGGAAACAGAGTCGGCGGAAACAAGTGAATGATGACAGCCGAAATTAAAGATATTCCCGAGGCGCTTTGGGAATTATTCAACTCTTTTCGGCCAAGTTACAAACAAAATAGGGCTTCTTGGAATGTAAGGTGAAATTAAAGAACTGTTGGAAGAGTTATATTCAAATGATCTTTAGGGAGAAAAATACATGAAAACTTTTGGGGAGGGATGAAATATTTATGGTGATAAATATTATAAATAAAGAAACAGTCCAAGATATAAGTCTTTCGGGAAAATGGTGGTCGAAATGTGGCTGCACCAATCACGTCTTTGAAGTGAAAAACAATTTGAGTTTGTCGCGACACAATTCATTTTCCCGCCGGCGATGCGACATTTTGAGTGGAAAAATTATGATTGTTAATTCCCTATATATAAAAGCGTCGCTATGACCTAACGAGTCTTGCCGGACCCGCTAGCCTACCCATCCTACCAAGCCTTATTCGTCTGCCTTAAGGGCACCACGAGAGCAATCTACAATAAATATAAATCACAGCAATTTATTGGCCTTCTACTAACGGGGCTATCCTAAGCAATGGCCTAGGAAACTTGCCCTTGGCTCCAGCCTACCCCTCACACGGAGCGCGGTGACGCCGCTCCTTCCCACTGACTCCGGACTTCGCCGCTTCACTTTGCGTGCTACAGTGGCTGACCTGATCCAGCGGCAAACAACGTAGCATTTTGCATCCAGGAAGTACCAAAAATGTAGCAAAATACCTCCTTCTCCAAGTGAAAAAACTTTCAAAAGCGCGCCTGGTCTTTTTGTGCCGAAAAGGGCGCGCTTTTCAAAACGGGGGTTTTTAGTTGGAGAGGGAGGCATTTTGCTACATTTTTTGATACTTCAATAATGCAAAATGGTATGTTTTTTGCCACTGGATCAGGTGCCTACCTGTATTTTTCCGACAGACTGATAAATGAATGAATTTTAATGAAAATGGATAAAGACTGAAAATAGAATTTTCTAAGACATGTAAAAAATGTTAGTTCGCCTGTTTAGGAACAATGGAGAGCTTTATGTCAAAAGTTGACAAAAAACATCAAGTATTTCCCCAGTAAAAATCTGTGCGACTTCTTGCCTAAAGCGAAATGAAATGATGAGGGCGGTACTTAAGAAAACATAATCCACATGTGCCTTCAGCGCTTTTCCGTCAGGATAAATATCAAAGAGGGATTTATCCCACATCCGGTGTACATGACAATAACAGAAGTGGTCAATAAATATTTCAGATACTACGCAAGTGCCAATAATAGAGCTGAACACACGCTTTTTTAATTTACACTTCGTTCTCGAACATGTTTTTTAATGTCAATTTGTTTTATAAGGTTAATTGTATCATGTAGGCGGCTTTAGAGGGAAAAACGAAACTTTACTTGAAACATTGAGAAAGTTGGGACACTGAACCTTTTAAAATGAGAGCTTCTGTTGTGAAATTGGCTACATTTTAGGGTCGAAAGTACAATAACAATTTTTTTAAATTTGGTTTCAAGAATATCATCAAATAAGGATAATATTCTTCGACTCAAAATTGTAGCGCAATCTGAGCTTTTTGCGACTTTCTCGGTCAACACGAAATCGATCGTTATGGGGCGTAGGGCAGGTGGATACCCGAAAAAAGGTTGTAGGAGGTGCCTGAGAGGCTTAAGAAATCGTTGGATGGCCAGTAGATGCTTGGCGAAGAGTCGGCGGAGCCGCGGCGGAGACTTGAAATATGTCAAATTTTCAATTTTTAGCTGTTACTAACTTCATTTTTCTACACCCATGGTTATTATAAGATAAAAAATACCAAAATTTGCGGCACAAAACGAACTTTTATCTTGATGATATTGATGTAAGTACGTGTAAAATACCTCAAAACACGTGATAAGTTGTCCTGGGACCCGATAAATCTTATTGTTTCTATTAACTAGGCCTTCTCCTAGCCTCCCCAATACAACGACGAACCGGTACGATCCAAATAGTATTCCTAACCAGAGATTGCCACGGCTCCGGAGCCAGCTCTTGGCTCCGGCTCGGAGCGGCTCCGGTTCCCGAGCCCAAAGTCGGAGCCATGTTTCTCAGCGTTCAGAAAAGTAAAAATTTTGTGATCTTGATAAATCAATTGCTCGAAAAATACTCGGGACTTGACTAAAAAACGTTGGTCGTGTCATCTCTGGCATCAATAACTTTATTTTTGAAAAAATATTAAAAAAAAAATTTTTGTACCAGAGTCAGAAGCCGAAGCCATAAATTTGGCCGTGGAAATCTCTGTTCCTAACCCAAAAAGCCGTAGCGTTGAGCTTTTCATCCTTACCAAATTAATCTAAAAACTTGATTCTTTCCCCCTTCTTTCAGACCCAGACTTCTCTCCCTCCTAAAGTATCCAAAAGACACAGTATTTCCTGGTCTGTGCATAAATTCATTCACAATGAAAGTGTACACACACTTCAACAATCAAAAATCTCTTTGTTCCAAACACTTGGATGGGCCTACGGTATTAATCTTGCCCATTACTTTGCAAACTAATGCGGCTGCGACCCAAATAACTTTGGGAACATTCGCGAGTGGCCGAAGAAAAGTGTAAAAATACAAAATTACTGCAAATTAAGCCAATTCCGTCGCGTGCACTTCTGCGCTTTGGCCTCGGAAACCGTTCAAATGGGCGATTGTTTAGGGACAAAGCGAATGTGATTTATAAAAAAATTACGGGATTTTTAGACAAAATCTTTTAGACAAAAGCGAGGATTTACGTGAGCTAGCTAACATTACGAAGAAATGATACCAAATTTAGAGTCAAATGACAAGGGTGTTTTTGAGATAACTAGAATATAAGGGGTTGTGAGGTAGACAATGAAGGTTAATATAAGTAAATTTTAGTTGACAAAGTCAATAGCCTCAATGGAGAGGTACAAAATTATAAAAAGTATGAAGTATTTGTTTGTTTTTATCTTGAAAGTCTAAACAAAAGGCTTTAATTAAATGTGATAAAAAACAGCTAATTAAAAAGTTGAACTTCAAGTAAAATTTAGATCAAAACCGAGTGTTGAGCTCTTCTATTAGGTTGATGCATAATTATCCGGCGTTTTTGTTGGCGCATATTTTGTTATATAATAGTTAAAATTCGCGTTTTGTTTACTTTTTTTTCATAAAAATAATCTTCTCTATTTACAAGGGATTACAAGGGAAGTACCCCAAGTGCGACGCTCCGATTTTCTTTAAATTTTGAACAGACACCTGGCATGGACTAAATAACGATTCCTGAAAGTTTTAGCTCTCGCTTTTCAGGCGCCACCGAGATATTGAACGACCTTTGCCGCCGAGAGAGCACGCTAAACGTGGAGAGCGGTCAGAGGGAAAAGCGCTTTTTGGCCATAACTTTGGCAGTTTCGTGCGGAAAAAAATAATTTTTTGTGGAAACATTACCCTTATCAGTAGAAATTGGTATGAAACTTTTCATGCCGAAATTCACCAAAAAGTGTCAAATTTTCGCCAACTTTCGATATAGAAATCTCCGTTTTTTCTGCAAAGCGCGAGCTAGGATTCTCGCATATACTTTAGAAAAAATCTTTCTAAATTTGTGCCAAGTTTCATCAAAATCTGAGCGCCGCACCTGGGGTACTTCCCCTGTTAGTTAATAAAACGTGTGTCGAAAACCATACTCACATTTGCCATATTATGCTCTACCACTTCGAGAAAGGCTGGAAGTCAGCAAAAACGCCGGATAATTATGCATCAACCAAATACATTCCCTCGTTGGTTTACTAGACTAAAGATATTTTTTAGGACCATTTCTGAACACCAATACTTGCTAATTGTGGTCCAATTTTTTGTGTAATAAAATAAGCATCAAAGCTTTTCGGTAAAGTACATACGAAAAGAAATATTTAACATCACGCAAGGCGTAGGAGAAATATAATACATGTGGAAATATGTAAGTACGTCTCAAAAATTGGGCCTCAAAAATTACTTTTTCAATTACAACCTACTCTCTGAAACTTTGCCCACAACAGCTTCTACAAGTCATAGTCCGTTCGCAAAGTCGCTGAAGTGATTTTAGCGACGTCCACTGTACTAGGCGGGCCAAAAAGTCTTGACATGTTTTCGCACCGTGCGGGCGCATGAATTCGGTGTCGCGACGAGGTGTCGCGCGATAAAACCTTTGGCGGGGTGCGAATGAAGAGCGCACTGTGCGTTGTTTACCCTTTTCAAAACAATCTTTTTGCACTGTGCGGTGTCGCATTGCACCGTAAATTTTTCTTGTCGCCGCGCGACAAATTTCATGCACGACGGCGCACTGTGCAGACATGTCAAGACTTTTTGGCCCGCCTAGTATAAAAAACGTCATGGTGCGGGCGACAGCCTAGATTTAACAAAAAGAAAAAAACTGCACAGTACAAGGTGCACTTCTGTCTTCGCACACTGCATGCCGGAGAAATCACTACAGAGAAAGAAAAATCACTCCAGCGACTTTGCGAACGGATTGGTATAATACCAAATGCCTCCTAAGCCTATGTAAATCATCACGTCAGACAGACCATCCATTATTCTATCTGCCATAAGGTCGTTGGGTTTGCCAAGAGTCGTAAAAAACAGTGCAATATAGTCGTGTGCATCCATGAATTCTTGATGCAAAAATGAGTTTATAACGAATAAGGCCACCTTCTTTATCAGGAATAATTAAACCGCAATCTTTGACGGACAAATTATCAAAATTTCAGGAATTGAGATTGTTTGTAAACAGTAAAAATTAAACTCATAGAAACTGCCCTATTTGCCAATTAATTAGGACCATTTATCGGAATTTATCTTTTAATAAACAAAAGGATTAAACAATTAAAAATAAAGGTTTCATCAACGATGCCTTATAAGGGAATAAATTCGTCAA